CTTGTTATCAGAAAAACACCAGACATTCCTCAAATTTCCGCCTTACATTCCCTATTTCCGGTATGCTCCATCGCTCCGGATGACTCAGGTGTATTTGCACGTTATTGGCCCTGAGGTCGGGGGGAGGCTATGCAAGAGGCGAGATTGGGGGTCGATGAATAGAATGCAAAAAACACAGAGGGACCGGGACCTTTTTCCCCTCGCGAAAGCACGAATCGATCCTCCGCCCTCCCCCTTGACTTGGGGTGTTCGAGAGAGAGAGTGAGAGAGAGAGAGAGAGAGAGAGAAGGCGGGAAAGAGCACGAAATAGAATGAAAAGAAGAGGCAGGCGTGGTGGACTAGGGTGGACGAAGAAGATGAAGGCCCAACTTCAACCCCCAACGTCTGAAGCCGGGGGAAATGGGGATTTTTGCTTAATTTTCAAAAATCTATGTTTTTATTTGGAATTATATCTGCTGTTATGTTTGAAATTGTTTTTACGAGAATTACAATGTAGTCAAAACCCGATCTGTATTTTCTTAAACTACTTTAAACGAAATGCTTTCCACCTCCGAAACCCCAAATTTCAAATACCAAAAATCGACAAATTCCATTCCATCCATCCCGGTTTTTGCTTGTCAGAACACATTTTTCCACCCGAAATCCGCAGCTGCAATCTTTCTGACTCCCCCTCCCCGTCACTGGGTTCCAAGGTCTTTCTCGCCGAAAATAACCGGCGGGTGCGGCCAGATGGGATCGTAAAAAAGAGGGGGGGGGGCCTCTTTGGGCCACACGTGGGCCAACAACAGGCCACAATGACCTCTCACGCCATAGCAGATCAATGAATTTGTGTTTTAAGGACTAAGCTAAAGATCTATTTTTCTACTTTTTGATTATAGGCTTTGCTCATCCGGTCTGGATGTCCTAGAAAACGCTGCCTGAGGGCTGCTGAATTTTTCAGTGGCTTTTAGCCACCCTCGCCCCCAGGTATTTCCCATTTACGGGCTCGAGATTGCTTATTGGTGGGCGGGAATTATTTGATGCGTGCTGTAAATTGCGATTTTTTTTAAAGTTGGTTTTTGAAGGACGTTGGTTTTTAGTTGCTAAGGTCAGGTAAATATTAGTTAATTGAAATATACTTTTTTGATTTACCTTCAGGGTTTAGGTCCGATTATTTACTCTAGAAATTAGCATAATAGCATTAAATCGGCCTTGTTTTTTTAAGTAACATGAGATCCATTCAATCTCTCCATTTCTTGCGTAGCATTTCCGGAGGGCCTTTTGTTAATCCGAGATAATGATACAAAAGGTCTGTTCTGCGCTGAGTTTCTTACAGGCTGAACAATGCCTACTGACAACCTGAGAACTTTGTTTTTCCGTGTCCACCAAAAGCCTCCTGTTCTTGTCGTCCCCCATTTCACGTGTGACGATATCCGTTTAGAGCCGGCCGTCCCATTTGATAAACATTGGGATGAGAGGGGGCCCTGAAGGGACATTTGTTGCATGAAACGCTCGAGGGATTGGGGGAGTTCATGTGATGGATCTACTCTCTGCCTTTTGCCCATCTATCCTTTTGAAATACACTCAGTGTGTGGTGGTGGGGGGCTTTTGCCCAGATTTGGTCTTGTCGTTAGAGATTGATGTGGGGGATTCGTATTGCTTGGGCGTGTTCAGAATTTGATTGTCGTTGTAGGGATCAGCTTTTGTCTAATGTGGTGATATCATCAAGTTCCAGCCCTGTATTAGGCTTACTACGTGATGTTTTTTTAGTAGAATTGGATTTTCAAATAGAATCCAGGCCTCTGTGTGCAGAATTTCGCGCTGTTTCCGAATATGTTTTTCGATTTTGCTGAATAGCCATTTTCAAAGTGTTTCAGCGTATCTTAGTATCGAATCTACCCAAAATCAGCTTGTTTTCAACCCTGTAAAAATTCAAGAAATATTATATTTTCTCCTCCTTTTTGATCTCTATAAATTTATATATAGTAATTTATTATGATATTAATAAATTTGCTAGACATTCATTACATTTTGATAAGAAAAATTCGCAAATTCGTTTCAAACGAATCCGAAAAATGCTATTTTTGTGCCTTCAGTTTTGTGGTTTTGCGCCGCCCATCAAAACAGATGTTAGGCCTGATTTTAGCGCCAAAACACGGCTTGTGTGCGTTTGTTGTCCTTTGGCTTAATGCTATGAATTCCAGTCGAATTTTCAACACCGCTAAATTTGATGATGATGATCCTAAGATATGATGAACGCACGTATGAAATCCAAACAACACCACACCCCCCCCATCCTCCCTCGCCACATTGCCTCCTCCCAGCTGGACTCAATTTCCAGATAAAATTGAGCGCGAAACCGGGCCATTGGGGCACATAGAGATGGGTGGAAGAGGAGGCACACGCTCCGATGCTGGGTGAAGGACGTCGTTTCGAGGTGTGGCGCCCCTCCCCCCCCTCGGAATCCGGGTCCTCTCTTTTCCACGAAAAATGGGCTGCGTAATCGTTTGCCCTCGTGTGTCAAGGCCGACATCCGACTGATTCGTTGAGGGCATAGAGCCTTCTTCTTCGTCTTCTTGTTCGATGCTAGCGACCCCGGTTGGGGTGGTGTGTGAGGGTCATAATGTGCCTGTTCTTGTTACACCCTCCATCCGGGTGGATCAGCCGTTTTCTGTTAGATCTGCTGGCCGGGTTTTTTGAGGGCCGAAGGATAACAATAAATTGCAAGAGGAACTGGCTGCCTTTGCCGGTTGCTTTTCAGGATTTGCACTTTTTTATCTTCTTTTTATTGCCAAGAAACTAAAACTATGTGTAGCAATTTTCTACAAATTTTCCATGATTATAGTTCTCTATCTTAGGATTCCAACGATGCAGAGAACGCCTTGTCATTTCTAAAAAAGCACTGGTCCGTCCTAAAAACTAGCTTTTTGTTCCCTAGAAAGAAAAAAACTAGATTGCAAGTTTTTCTTTATTTTTTTTTAAGCTGAAAGGAACGCTTTTAATTTAGTGAGAAAGCCAGTTGCAGCCTGCGCTGTATTATCTAAGCGCTATTTTATTATTCCTTGACACCTGCTGCTAATTTTTTCAGAATTTTTCAACCTTCAGGCCCTCTCGACCTTAACCTTAAGCGAACGCCTTTCCTTCTTCAATGCCCCTCCGCCAAGACCTACCTGATCTAAAATGTATATAACATTTGAGTCCTCCCTAACTGGCCACCCGTTCCCTTTTCCCTCTATAGATCATTGAAATCCGCATTTTTTTTGCCGGGTACTTCTAATCGCTGGTCTCCCAACAGCCTTTTCCCATTCTGGCCCCTACAACAATTTTCTTTTGCTAGAGCCCAGCTTTCCAACCCCATCACAACCATAATAAACACATGAATCACACGCTGAAAATGGCCCCAAACAATTTTAATGGCCATTACTCAACTAAATGATTCACGTGGGGCGACAAAATTTTCCAGGGGTGTTGAATATTTGTTATATAAAACCATGAACTATATCTATATGTATTAACTCTCCGTCTTTTATTTATGCATAGAAAAAAAAATTGGTTTATATGCATTCATTAGTACTTTAAACTACGTTGCATTGCTCTTTCCGTTTTATTGACCTTTTCGCGATTCGTTTGCCATTTTATTCGCGAAGAGACAAAATTTTTCCAGACACTTTAAATTCTTTTATAAACGATAAAACAAAGCAGCATTCCTTTTCAGTTTTTACGACCCGAATACAATTCCGCTGCCATTTGATCCACAAAAACCAAATTTCAGAGCCGCTTTAAATTTATTTATTAGACTATGATAAATTTTCTAGCGAACTTTAATTGTTTAAAAGACATACAACTACACTAAATCCTCTTTTCCCCTCTCTACGACCTGTATACAATTCCATTGCCATTTGTCGTGAAGCCGAGTGTAAATGTTTGCCCTCCCGAAACGGCATAGTTTCACCCCACTTCCCCCCCCGCGGGGCGAACATCCATTCCATGCATCGTCACCATGTGTTGCAATCAATTTCATCCCTTCCACCCCACCCTCACCGTCTGACATTCGCTTTTCTTTCAGCTCCCCCCTTTCTTTTTATTTTCGTGTCCGAGGTCCCGCACTCATCATAATTCCGGATCCAGAAATTCCTGCATTCATCGGGAGAAGCCGATTTCGGAAATGGGCACTTAGGTTTGAATACCGCGAAAGAAAGGCTGGAAATGGCATCGCCCCCGTTATTACCTAAATTACTAGCCCTGGCCAACCGGAAATGGCTTTTATCTTCGAGTGATGAAATTGATTTAATTGTTTTTGACAATATTGTAGTTTGAATGGCTGTTTCGGAAACATGCCTCCTGCCCACCCTCGCCCCATAATCATTAGCCGCAAAATCGGGTTCGGGCCCCCTGCTTTTTCTTGCAAGTCGCCATGGGAAATTCGGCAACCCATTTGGCTTTCCTTTTCCGACGGGCGGGGGGTGCCGTTCAGTGAAATTCTTTTTCGGGTCGTTCATGTTTTCCCTAGACTTGTTCCTTGTGGTTGAAATTTCCAGGGAAATTTTGTAATTTTTAAAGATGGCTGACGATGAAGAACATGCAGAGACAAGGTCAGCACCGGGTGATTTGAACGAGGAGGTGGCAGAAGCAAAAACGAGAAGGGAAAGGTGTGTGGGTTTGGCTTTTGGCGTCCCTTTAAACTGTGAAAGAGGATACGACATACGAACGAGAAAACAATAAAATGAGATGAGAATCTTTTTACAGGAAAGCTGCAAAAACTATATCTAACCCATTTCTTTGACAAAAACAGACCCTAAGATTGTCGCCTAGATAACGCCGAGACAAAACAAGTTTTAGGTATCAACGACACCAACGAAATGCCCCCGGTTTCACATCAGGCCCACCCTGGCCAACACCCCGAAAAGAAGCAACCGGAAGGGAATTTGATGTATGTTTCTATCATTTTTAACAATATCGATTAAGTATATCCAATATCACATCCCTTTCAGATCAAACACGAACGATTAATAGAAAAAGAAATGCACGTCCTAGCCCAGGAATCACAATGTGGATTTGGGGGATGGAGGTAAATATATCTTTTCCCTTTTTCTACAATCAAATCCCAGGCCTAATTGGTTACAACGTTTTGCTACCAAACAATGTATGCTCTTCCTGATGTGCTGGTACTGTACGGTACAAGGATTAATCGTCAACGGATTGATACCATCTTCGATTTCATCGATTGAACGAAGATTCAAATTCCCTACGAGTACATTGGGGCGAATTATGCAGGTAAGGGTCGACTCAATGTATAAAAATAAAGTTTTTCCAGTTTTATGACTTTGGCTATGTGTTATTTTGCATTCCGGTTTCGTATTTTGGGGGCCGCCATTCTAAGCCAGCGGTGCTTGCTGGTGGCTTGTTCTTGATGTGTATCGGTTAGTCGCAGGCTTTTTAACATATGAATTCAAATCCAGGGTCCTTTTTGTTTTCAACCCCTCACCTCATTGCCGATTCATATACGGGTGGAAACGGCGGTGATGAGAGCTATGGGAAATGCTTAATTCGTATGTTTGAGCAGTTTAAGCGCCATCTAAATTTTTAGCCCTTGCCTTCACGGAAAATTCTTCAGAATCTGTAGCCTCCGCCGCGGCAAGTCGGCAATGCCCAGCTCCGGAAAATCAAGTAATTTTAATAAAACAAAACTCAATTATCTATTTTCAGCCTGGAACATTTCGCTACACTTTTCTCTACTGCATGGCTCATTTTCTTCACGGCATCGGTGCTACGCCACTTTTTACAATTGGCGTATCGTACATTGATGAAAATGTGGGCCCGGCCACCTCCTCGTTATTTGTTGGCAAGTTTTTAATTTGTATTAAATTGCCAAATATGAGTTTTCAAAAAAGCCATTAAATTTAGGAATTTTCTACGCTTTTGCCATCTTCGGACCGGCCCTCGGTTTTCTTATCTCCGGTCATTTCCTACAGTATCACACCGATTTCTACCATCTACCACCAGAGCAATTTTTGAAGTAAGAACAACCATATGGGTATATTAAAAATTGTTTTCTAGAGTGAATACGCTGGAAGAAACGGACCCAAAATGGGTGGGCGCCTGGTGGCTTGGCTTCCAGCTGGCAGCGTTAATCGGGGCATTGGCCATATTCCCAATTTGCTCTCTACCAAAAGTGCTGCCAGAATCTCTCAAATGGCATAGGTAAATTCGCATTATTATTATTATTTTCTACATAATTTGCATTATTAGATCGAGACTACGAAATGAAACTTTAACGGGCGGATCGAAAAAGAAGACTCCAGAATGTTGCGGTGTTCCCGCCAGTGGAAAAACGGCGGCTTTAACTGGGGAATTTTTGATTGATGGTTGGACATCATATCGTTAAATACTAAACGGTTATTTAGAAAAAGCAGCCTCAAATGCCCTTCATGACTCGATGCCTGCCGTGACAGCCCCCAGAAAGGGACCACTCTGGTATCAACTATGGCTGGATGTCAGGTATTCAAAATTATCAAGCTAAAATATAGCAAATTTTACAGACACATTCCCATTGCCATCTATAACATCTTGTTAAATGCTCCTTTTATGCTGATCACATTAGCCATGGGAATCGACGGCAAGTTTATTGGAATAATTATTCGCACACACGGCATCTTTTCCTCTTTTTCTCGTTTTCCCGACAGCATCTAATCCGTTCGCGATAATAGTCAATTTCCCCAAATCTTCCTCCGCCACCAAAGAAAAAGGCTCCACGGCGTGCCGTTAACACATTTCGGAAATAGACAATTTTATCTAAAAATAATTGGCTTGCATCTACAGTACCTGGTTCATCTTGGGCAAGTATAAGGCTAGGAAGTATTAGTAATACTAGGAATAGCATATTGTGCGTAAATTTGTGGTTAGGCGCTAAATATATTCGTGGGAGGGATTGATAGCTATTCACCCATGTAAGTGGTGGAACCGTGAGAAGGTCACATGTCAGTGGCGGAAGTTGTGAATGGTTAGGGGGTGTAAGAGCTGGCAAAGCGCTGAGAAATGGAAAGTATAAGAGAAAAAATGAAAAAATGGAAAATAAATCACTGTAATGTTAGAATTAAATTTTCAGGCCTCGTCGTCACTGGCGCCAGCTCATTCATGCCAAAGTATCTGGAACGACAGTTCAACGTAGCGCCCAGCAAAGCTAATGTCCTAATCGGTAATTCAATTAAGAAATTTGAATATTTTTCGATGCCAGGTTCAATCATGGTACCAATGGCTGGAATCGGAACTATGGTATCAGGGTTCATCGTGCAACACTTTCGATTAAGCTGCTGTCAAACCATTAAATTTTCCATTTGTAAGTCGCCATTATTTGTCGCAAATTTGTGCATCAGGTCTGCTCGCTCTTTCGTTATTGTTAACCCCAATGTACTTGATCTACTGTGATCATGATCCATTGGTTGGAGTTGAGCAGCACTATCCCGGCAGGTCAGTAGACCTCACTTTAAAGAAACCCTCGAATATTTAGCAATTTCACCGACCAAACCCCGCTCTCCCTCTACAACCAATGCAATGCAAATTGCGATTGTCTGGAGGCAGAGTACCATCCGGTAGGCAGAAATTTTTACTTGTTTTAGATCTTCGTTTTAGGTATGCGCTGAATTCGACGACGGTACCCAAATCTCCTACTACTCTCCATGTTTTGCCGGATGTGAGCAACCATACCAAACAGCACGAAAGGTAAATCGCGTATGCCTTCCGTTAATTCGAGTATAGTTTTATACGAACTGTACCTGCGTACCGATGAACACCAAAGGAAACCCGAGACAGGTCAAAAAGGGATTCTGCGAATCAAAATGCTCGGGACTCTTCGGATTCCTCGGCTTCTTCGTTCCCTTATCTTTCTTCACATTTGCCGTTGGCGTTCCGTTGATTTCTGTAGTCCTCAGGTAAATTTTTTTTGCTTAAGTATGTCATAACTATATTATTTTAGAACCGTGCCTTATGCCGAACGATCCTTTGCCCTTGGAATCCAATGGATATTGGTGCGATTGATTGGTACCATCCCGGCGCCAGTTTTGTTTGGGTGGATGTTCGATATTAGTTGCATACAGGCGAGCAAAGATGAATGTTCGGGAGAGGTTAGCTTTTTGTTATATTTACTTGTTATTCTATACTTTTTTCAGTCTGGAAGTTGTATGCTATATGTTAATAAGCTACTGGCCGACTTGTTCCTGACATTTTCTATTGTCGGCCAGGTGATTTAAATATTATAAGAACCTTAATGTATCAAATTAGGTCATCGCCATGGTGCTTCTCGTTCTAGTACTAATGATGTTCGGCAATCAATTGAGAGATGAAGTCCTACCTACGGACGCTGAAGTTGAAGGTCAGTTTTAATATATTATTTTTATAATCCGGGTTTAAGCCAATCAAATAATCCCGGAACTTGAACACAGCGATATTCCGGAAAAAGAGCCTCTAAACGTCGTCCGCGAGGATTAATCGCACTTCCCCCGGGTTTTCCGTTCTTTCTAAAAGCTCATCCACATAGCCAAAATTTCTCCTTCTATCACTATTACTAATATAATATAACTATTGTACTATATATAACCCAAAAAGTGTAATTGTTCATCTTGTTAAAAATTAGGTCCCCCAATCCGCTAGTCAATTGTTTTTTCCTTTCTGTTTTCCATGATTTGCTCCAATCGTCCATCAATCTGTGATCGCTCCCAAATATCTCGAGTGGCCAAAATTACCCTCTATCCAAAATGGTTTGCTATTAATATTACATGTTGTTTTTTATGGATCTCGTTGTGCTCTCGCCCCCATGAAAAGCGTTTCATTTCTTAAAACAATATCGGGTGGACACTACCTGTGTGCAATTTTGATGTGGTCAAAAATGTTTTTCTATGTATAGTCTTCTCCTGTAGCCGGTAATCTTTTTTGTCTATTCTTTTACTATGATTTGTATTTCAACAGCATGGTTCATCCCCTGGGTGCTTGTGGGCTTTAATATTGGCGACATTGTGCAATGTTTTTGACGATAACCATCGACAACGCGTGTACCTTTCCGGCTTTTCTTAATTGACGGTTTTTGCATAGACCGGTGAAGTGATCAAATAAAAAATTTTTGAAATTTTGCACCACAATGGATCTCAATTTAATGGATGGGCGCTGATGATTTCGGAGAGACGATCGTGTTCCAAATGATAGGAATCCGCTGGTGTACCTTTGCTACAAATAAATATGCAAACTGTTTTATTATGGGCACTTACTGTTGTTGTCGAATTCTTGCTATCGCAACGGCATCTCGAATTGTTGGATAGAAATGCTCTTTTGGGACATATGCATAAAAACCGCAAGATTCAAATAATTCTCTCACGGGTGCTAAATCGATTGCCTAAATAAACTTATCGGCAAAATTGCCATTACCTTTTGCCGTAGCAAAATAAACCTGTGCCCCGCGGTTTTTCATTTCAGCAAAAATCTGGAAAATTATAAACCTTTGTAGACGCATACCTCCTTTAAAGCACTAACACCCATATAATCTACAAACGTAAACCCAGAACAATCTATGATAAAATGTCTCGACACGTAGTCTGCCTCATCCGTCGCTTTTTTCTAAAACCACTATCATTAACGTTAACCAGACTACAGTACCCTTTGCTCCTCATCAAGTTCCATCAACATCCTCGCCCTTTCCTGCCGAAGTACATAATATTCGTGGGATTCTTCCCAGGCGCGGAACGATTTTTGAACGGCCGTTTTGAAGCGCTCGACATTTGTGAAAAGAAGTGGGGAGTCGAAGCGGAATATGCAAATGCCCTGAAAGTCGTTGGTTCTAGCGCAATGCCGGGTCTCCCACGTTAAAAAATGCGACGTTCTCGTAGCGTTCCGAGTCGCGGAAGTCAGCAGTGCCCTCAACGTTGCCGAGCAAATGCCAGCGAGGCCTGACAAATATTGAGAAAATGTTGATACCTATTAGGACCGACCATTGCTCCCTCATTATCGTGGTAAACAATGCAAATGCGATAGCAATAGCCAATCCTTCCGTCACATCAATTAAAGTTGTAGCAAGAAATGACACAACCCATATGCTCTAATTTCAAGGGATTGCAAGTTGTGAATACCTTACAAAATCGATTTTCGACAGTGGCCAGAGCAACCGCAAATCCGCAAATTTGTTTAGGATGCCTTTCAAGGCTACGATCACAAGAGCCGATAGCGCACACTATAAAAGTGTTTTATGACGATAATTTTGTAATATGGTATTACCATTGGTAGTGTTTCCAAAAAACTCGCGAAAAATAAAATAACAGCTAGCACCAAGGCTGAGGAGAAAATTGTAGAGAGCTAAAACCCAGTTCGATATTTTCAAGAAACCAACTTGTGTCCTCGTTCCCGAACTCATATTCACCAACGTTCTCCCCAAAGAACAGGCCGATGGATAGCAAGCGAAAAATGCAGATCCAACTGATGCCAGACCGAGTGCGTAAAGTTCCTAAAAAAATAGTGAAAATTCTCTATACCCTACTTGTCCGGGATCCACTTCATAATTCTGTTTCTTAGCCATCATTTTTGCCAATGAAATATGAACCGCCATCGAAACAACAGCTATAGAAAAAGCTTCCGGCACAACGTAGGGAATTAACCGGAGAAGCGGTGGAGAGGGGGATGGCATTCTGGATTAAAAGGCCGTTTGCGAGCCACCCGAGCACGGCTTGGCACAGTTTTTTTCGAACCCACTTTCTTGACCCCATCGGATAGAGCATGGCCGAATTAGTGGGGCTGCATAACTTCGAAGGTTTAAAAAGTTTAATTTCGGGGTTTAAATGGTCGTTAATGTTGCAGACTCCTAAAAATAATGTTGGAACTTAACCAAATTTAACCAAATTCGATGAAAATTTGGGTCAATACCTAATTTTGGACCTCGCGGGGCTTGAAAATGGCCGAAACATAGGAATCTCGCGCACACAAAACAGTTTTTGGGGCTTTTCGTTGTGAAAGGTTGTTTGCTGCGCGCTATAAATAGTATAGAAAGATGCGCAAGGATCTTCTGAAGGAAGAAAGAAAATGGGCTTCTGAGGGGGGGCTGGGATTAAAATCGGGTCGTTCGTCTGAGACATGGCGGCGCCCACTAGTGGCTGTCCCCTGTGCCCCCAAGCGAACCATCGCGGGTTCAATCCCGGCAAATCGCCAGTTTCGCGTAGGAAGATAATTTCTTTTCGCTCTTTTTTGCAATCGATACAGCTTTATCTTTAGACATCACACCTATTTCCAATTTTTCAGAATATGCAAACCTCGTCAGTCCGTGTCAGTTTTTCTGCCGTTCAAAAATAGCTTTTTTTCAATATGAAGGGTTACTGTCTGCGCGCTAAATGACACACCACTCGATGCAAAACGTCCTTGCACATCTTTCTAAGTGATCCCCGTCCAAAATTAGGTATTGACACAAGTTTTCATCTAATTTGGCTAAGTAACTTTCAAGATAATTTTTGGGGTCTGCAAATTTAACGGCCATTTAAACCCCGGAAATTAAACTTTTAGACTTTCAAAACTATGCAGCTCCACTAATCCGACCATGCTCTCTCCTATGGCGTCAAAAAAGTGGGGTCGAAAAAACTGTGCTAAGCCATATTTGGGTTTGTTCGGGCGACTCGCGGACGGCCTTTTAACCTTCAAATCTTTTCATACCCTGTTGGGATCTTATTCGCAATCTTCATGTTGTAATTCCCAGAAAAATCCATTAAATAAGAAAGCAGGGTTCCGCCGATTAACTAGAGGGCTAGTTTAAAAGATGAGTGTATTTTCATACCACGATCAGCTCAAAGGGTATCGGCACATTAATTTTGAAACGTTTGTTTATCCTTGGATTCGCGAATTCCTTTCCAAAGATTAGAATAGCCATCATTGCTATCGAAACAAAAACGCTGAAGAGATTGATGTCGCTGAATCGATCGATGAACATATCGTAAAGTTTCTAAAGGGATTTAAGGGACGAGATAAGTATACCATGACGATATAGCCGGGGCCAGAACGTTCTCGAAGTTTTCTTAGCCCGAGAACATCTTTTATTTGAGCGACGAGTACATGGATAGAAGCCCCGGTAGTGAAGCCGGCTACTACCTATACAACATTGATTATCACTTTTTGAGCATAACCTGATCCGAGAAATAAGTAATTATAAAGTCGAGCCCGGCCAGACCAAGTAAGAACTAAATAAATTTTTGTATGGAAGTATTATGCTAGATATGTACTTGGATAGCTCCAACGGCAAAAGTTATCGAAGTGGCTACTTGTGTAGGAGTAAAATCTTGAAAATCAATGGTGTCATTAGCAAATAATATTCCCTCTTGGATCTCGGTAATCTAAACGTACTGGTCCCACCTAAGTATCGAATTAACCTTTGTTATCCTCTCAACAGCCATTCCTGTCATCAAAGAAACTACGGCAAATGATCCAATATTGTTATGACGAGACATCCCGAAAATCATATATATCAACGCCGGGAATAGTGATGTGTAAAGACCCTGCACAGGTGGAACTTTTGCCAGTACAGCGTATGCGATTCCTAAAAAATTCTCAAATTCTAAAGGAAGACGGGATACCTTGCGGAACTGTCATAATACCCATCGTCAACCCGCCGATCAAATCATGCAGAAGATTCTCTTTCCAATTATAACGTGGCAGCCAATCGGCGATGGGGATAAAGGAAAGTAACGTAACTCTAGATCTATTAAAATACCATTACCGTACCCTTACCGAAAGTAAGAACATGAGCTAAAGGGTCGCGTAAACCTGCCGAAATATTTCTTGGCGTGGTGAACAAAGGGATCTTCTTGCTCTGGTTGCTTGTAAGAAAATTTCTCGTCGAATTCGACCTAAAAGAATTTAATGATACCGTTCGAGATTCAGCTAAAGACCTGATTCATTGGGGGTCTCACATTCCTTCCTAAATCATCAATAATCGAGGCTTTTCGTTTCGCGGGTGGGATTTCATCAGCTAGTGAAGAGCGGCGCTGCTAAAAGATGTAATAAGAATCTATATTGTCGTTTTAGGCAATACCCTCGTAATTTTCCCCGCTGCTTCAAGATCCGATGGAGTTATTTTTTTAGGGACCGGCATTACCTAAATACAAAAAAATAGCTAAACAGGGAAAGTAAGATAACTGAAAAATGAAAATTGTGCCAAGAGAAAATTTTTCAGACAAAACGACTACTGGTCAGTCGACGTCGACAGGAAATGAGTTGTTTTTGAAAAAGTGAAGGCGACAGTACCAACACGCGGCCATTATGCAAAGTCGGCTCCCAAACACGCCGTATTTTGCATGCCTAACCGTCCACTGACAATTTTTTTGATTGATGCTAACATTCTCTCCTGCAAAAGCAGATTAACCACTTTTCGACGGCATTGTTTGATCTTTGGGGTATAGTGTTGTCTCGAGTGGAACCGCGTCTTTATTTTTTTTTGCCGGCCCAGTTTTAGGCCTAGCAGGGACCAAGAAGGTTCGCTGGTGCCGAGAGGAGAAAACGTTATCTGGGGTTAACCCAAAGGGGCTCTCATGGATTCTAGAGTGATAATGGCAGATCTTCTCTGAACTTCCATTGGCCGGTGGCCATGCCGACGTTTAATGTTAATAATATCTTGTTATATACAAGTTACACGTTGACATGTTTGGTAAGTAATACTCTGGGTATAGTTTTAAAGTTTGATGTTTTTCGGACTAGTTTGACAATCGTCTTGCGGTATTTTTGTGCTAGACTCTAGTAATGGCTTGTTGAAAATTATTTGAGAAATGTTTGATATTTTATTTAGGAAGATCGAGCATGGTCCTTTGCTGTCGCTTTGACGATGCAAGAACTGGGTGGAATGCGATTAGTTTCTATTGAACAATTTGCTGAGGGTATCTCTTGCATGCTGTTCTCAGGCTCGATTGGAAAATATTGTGATGATGTTTCGAGGAGGAAAGGTGGTTAACAGGATTCTATACTTATGCGATATTTTGTAGGAATAATTAGCATAGTCCCATTGAATAATGTGGCTCTGATGTGTGCATGTGCTTGTTTTACCGTTTGTCTATCGTTAAGTGAGGCGGCGAATAAAACCTTGTACACTGGTATTTATCAATTGCTAATGAAACTAAATTATTTTTAGGCATCCTCGTTCTTGGGATGCTACTCTGCGCGATGAATCGGCTTGGATTAAACCAAGAGAAGAATTGTATCGGTAGAGATTGGGTGATGGTACTTGGGACTGGAGGAAGCTTATCAAGTAAGAAATTTTAAAGCTTCGAAATTAAAGCACAATAATTTAGAACTGAATGCTATTCTAACCTCCCTAGATCAATTAGCAAATGTTATTTCGCCACTCATTGCTGGAGCGCTTGTTTCTTTGATCAAGTAAGCTTAACTATACCTTTTTAGGATGAGCTACTTTCAGTCTGAAAACGACAGTAATCGTGTTCGGAATTGGCGGTGCAATTTCTGTAGTTCTCAAAGCCATAATTTTGAATATGCTCCTACAAAAAGAACCCCGACTTCATGTCAAAGAAATTAAAGGCAAAACGCTGGGCAGTCAAGGTAAGTAATTTACGGGGTTTTAAATGTTATATTTTTAGACGCAGTACTAGTTAAACCGAACGCTTTCCTCGATGCATTCCGTGTACTCGGTGTATACTGGAAACAACAGATTTTTGCTGCCGCTCTCGGCATGGCTCTTCTTTTCATGACTGTCCTAGGATTCGATGGGGTTTGATAAAGTCATCCGATTTACCAGAATTTTCAGCTTGCGATTGGCTACGGTCAATCCGTAGGTCTGCCAGATTCTCTTCTTGGTGGTTTCCGATCTTTCGGATCGCTTTGTGGTATTCTTGGCGCACTTTCCTATGCTTTCTTCGAAAGAATGATGGGTGTGCGGAAAACGGGAATCTTTGGATTAGCGGTATTTTTTTGGGCACCTTATGCAAAAATTTAAAATATACAGTTCCAACAAGTATGCCTAATTATTGCTGTGACTTCAATAGTGATGCCTGGCTCGCCAATGGATCTGGATGGTTATTTTGGGTCAATAACACCAAAAGTAAAATAATTTCCTTGTTTAACTCACAGGTTTAGAAATGGTGGTCTGATTTCAAAGACTCTTTCTCCCCGGTAACTACCGTGGCCCCGGCAAATTCTACCGAAGGAATCAATTGGCAAGATTTCACCTCGAATGGCGAAAGCATGATTTCAATCTTCGCTTTTTTGATCGGGATCGCTACAGCAAGATTTGGTAGGAAAATTGTGTTTGTGGTTAAAAGAATTAGTTATTTAGGTTTGTGGATGGCTGATTTGGCAATTACACAAGTCATGCAAGAAGGTGTCATCGAGTCACAGCGGAATACGGTATTAAAATCAAATTAAATAAATTTTTCTCAAGGTTTTTGGTGTGCACAACGCTCTCTGCCAAACGTTTTCCGTGTTGAAAGACGTGATGGTGATTGTGTTACCAGAGGCGTCAACATTTGCTATCTGCATGTTAATTTCCTACGGTTTTGTTGCCGTTGGGTTTATTGCATACTTATACTACCTCGTCAAGGTAACCCAATAATTCGATTGAAACTGGTTTTAGTACAAAAATCCGTTACCCGAGAAATCGCGGACGATCACCGACGTATTGGAGTCGAGGTCCGCTACGGAAATACTGGATTCAAGGCTTTAAAGCTAGTTTTAAAGTTATGTATAAATTTTTGCTGGCATGAATGTGTACTTAAATACCTGTGATATCATACTTTTCTGGATTTGTTTGAAAGATATTTCCTATTCTAACGGAACATATCCGGTTACAAGAAAAAGACATCCCTACAAGGAAAGTAACACCTCCCGCACACCCAGAATTTTTTTTTGAAAATCATTATATCCAGGCTATATAAAATTATGTATTTTTATCGCGTTTTATCAACACTAATAAAACTACTACTATTAATAAAACACTAAATTTTCGGGTTTTTCTCGTTCCTTAGCATTCTTGACGTCTTCAACTCACCCCTTTGATGTATCCATGGTTTCCAGAGCCATTCCAAAACCTCCGCTTTTTTTTGTTTCTTAATGCCTTACCCGGGCCCCTAAACCCTAACGGCCTGACCTCCTTGTTTCTATTTATTTAATCGGACTACAGGCGGGCCTAACCTCCACCAAATTTGGGGCATGCCTATCGACTACGGGAGCATTGATAAGCGGGGCACGTATTTGGAGCTTCCGCCTCTCACGATGCCACAAAATAGCTTCAACAATTTTTTATTCTATTCAACGTATACGTTGACATGTTTGGTAAGTAATGAAATTGATCTGAACTTCTAAAATTTTTTAGGAAGATCGTGCTTGGTCTTTTGCGCTTGCCTTGGCGATGCAATCCTTGGGTGGAATGAGACTTGTCTCGATCCAACAATTTGCTGAGGGGATTGCATGCATAATCTTGTCTGGAATTATTGGAAAACATTGCGATAATGTTTCTAGAAAGAAAAGTACGAAGCAGCTACTTATTTCTGCTAAAAATAATCTAGGCATCATCCAGGTGGTGGCGATGAATAATGCGCCGCTTATTTTTGCATGCTTATGTTTTACAGTTTGCCTATCACTCCGAGAAACCGGATTTAATTTGTTATATACACGTAAGAAAAGTTAACGTTTACGACAATTTTTTTAGCATTACTCGGCCTCGGGATGGTGCTGAGCGCAATTAATCGATTGGGTTTAAATCAGGAGAAAAATTGTTTGGCGAGGGATTGGGTGGTGGTGCTTGCCAAAAGTGGGACACTTTCACGTATGTTTTTTCTGGATTATTAATTTATACAAATTCAGGTTTAAATGCTATCCTAATCTCGCTTGATCAATTGACGAATGTAATCACACCACTAATTGCAGGGGCTCTTATTTCTTTGTTGAGGTATCATTAATGCGTATTACACTAGACTCCACCTAGGCTCCAAACAACACTTGTGATTCTTGGTATCACTGGATTAGCTACGATGTTATTAAAGGGCATCGCACTAATAGCACTCTTGAAACGAGAGCCAAGATTGTTGGTGAAGGAGGTGAAGGGAGAGCTTGTTGTAAACCATGGTAATTGAGAAGGTAGATACCATGCAAAGCAAAATTGTAGATGATCCATCAGTACCGGGCGTCCTGGCTACCTACTGGCATCAAAAAATATTTTCCGCAGCTTTTGGCCTGGCCTTACTGTTTATGACGGTTCTGAGCTTCGATGGGGTATTGTTACTATTGACTATGTTTCAAGAATTATATTTTAGTTAGCTCTGGGCTACGGGCAATCCGCCGGACTTTCCGATACAGTTTTGGGTGGCTTTAAGTAGGAAAATTGAGATCAAATACATCATTTTTTTCCAGGTCCTTCAGCTCACTCTGTGGGATTTTGGGTGCAATCAGCTATGCTTTTGTTGAGCGCCAAATTGGTGTCAGAAAAACGGGATTCTTTGGATTTACGGTATTGACAAATCCAAATCCTATATGGGCATGTTTAGCTTCAAGAAATATTACTTTTAATCCCAATTGCTTCAATTTATCTGCCAGGAAGCCCAATGAATCTTAGTGGATATTTTGGAAGTCTAACGCTTGAGGTATCTAGTGTGTTTATCACTAAAATTTTCTTCTTTAGAAATGGTGGCTAGACTTCAAAGTGGCCTTTGTTCCGCCGAGCCAACCCACTTTTACTTTGATAGATCCATCAGGTATACTAGAGAAGAAAGTCCAGCTGCGCTAATTTCGCATTTTTAGTTGACCTTCCAGCATCTCCTCAAAGCTCAATCAGCATTATCGTTTTCCTAAGCGGAATTTCCATCGCACGATTCTGTAAATAATTCTCTAGCGTTCATTCATCGTTTAGCTTTGTGGATGGTTGACCTCGCCATTACCCAAGTGATGCAGGAAGGAATCCCGGAATCGCAAAGGAATACGGTATAACCATTTTAATTTTGTGAGCTCCTTATTTAAGGTATTTGGCATTCAAAATGCGGTCAGCCAAATATTTTCCGTATTGAAAGATGTGATGGTGGTTTTATTACCGGATCCAGCTACCTTTGGAATTTGTATATTCATTTCGTATGCATTTGTCTCTACAGGGTATCTGTCGTATTTGTATTACCTTCTCAAAGTAAGCTTAATTTTACAGAATATTTAGTGTAAAATCAATTTAGTCCAAAAATGAGAAGGCGATCAAAACAGAAAACCTGGAAGATGTTGCTGAGGCTCTGATGCTTCAACCTGTCGTCGAATCGTAAAACTTTTATTGCGCAAATAAATATCAAAATTATTAGTTGAGCCAACCCAAAAAGGATCACTTCAATTCCATACAAATCACAGCTGGGCCAAGGGGGGTGGAACCGAATGAATATACCCGTATCTAACACATATCACAAACCAAGACCAGAATTCGTTATTTGATCTAATTATCAGACCCAAAAAGAGGAATACCCCAAGTTCAAAAAGTGATGTTGCGTATCGCAGGACTAGATTGAAATTTTGAGAACCAAGAAATCCATGACAGCCACATCGAGATCGAGCGCATCGATGGTTTGCAACTCTTTGGTAGACATTGTAACACCACTGAGATTTGTTCGTATAACAACTTTTGCGCCAAGGTCACGCAGGAATTGACGGATGATGCCCTGGAAATGCTTTGCAGATAGAAAACAAAATACAATGTTGAAGCGATCTGATCAAACATAAAAGAACACTTTCGGATTTGAAAATAAGGATTTTAAGGTTTTACGCTAGCTTTACAAAACTCAATTTTTGGTCAACAACCACGCACGTCTACTTTTTCATTACCTCGGCCCCATTATAACCCTAGAAAATTATGATCAATGGGTTTCGGCGTAGTTAATATCTACCTTAAATCCATGGGTGATACAATGGACCATCGATGCCGTCCCAGTATCAATTCCATTACGGTGAATGATCATCAAAATATCATCAGAAGGTGAGGAGAGCCATCGAAGGGAAACAAGCTGATACTCACAGGGGAGCACGAGTTGAGGTAAAGAATCTATTAGCAGTTTTTACACTTTATTGAACACCTACTTGTGGCCAATTTGCCCTCTAAATCTCCAGCATTTGCCTGGAGGACAGGTGGGTAGAGTAGTGAAAGTAATGACAAGTGACTGCCTAGTGAGTTGTAGCTTAGGTGGTCATTCTAAATGTATCAAAATAAAGTTATTTAGTTAGATATTAACCAACCCTCTTTTTCTCTGTGACCTGCTCCAATAGTATCGTAAAATCGATTTCAGTGGGTTTCATATCGTTTGGAATGCCGTCGTCTTCGATTCCCAGGCCTTTACCGTCATCCTGATTTAGCATACGATCTAAAAAATCAATTTGTTAGTTTGATTTAAGGGCATACCAATCATGATTTCGACACTGCCATTTCTCGGAAACATAGCCCCGTGTTCTACATTTGAAGCGATGGTCAACCTATATTCAAACTTAATATAGCTTGTCTCTAAATTACCGCAAAACGCGATCGTCCATCACAGCGGCTGTAGGCATTGGATAATAATCAGATCCCACATCGTGACCATGGTGTGGAGTTCGGCGAATCAACTAATTTTGTAATAAATTTTGATATTTGTTATATGCTTACCTGCAATCCCACACTATCCGTATAATGCCAAGTTGTATTTTGGCTTAACGACGCTGTAAACTGCGTTGCCAGCTCAAAATTTTTCTTCTTGGTGATATCCATATGCACTTTCCAGTGTATCCTCTCACCGGCGGAACCTAAGAAAATGATGTTATTGATTTTTCCCTAGACCTTAAACATACCAGTCAAATTATTCAGGGCATAGGTTTGCTGCGGTACGTCGCTATTCGCCAGTATGTGAATGACATCTCGGACTGGCCCCTTGATGAGCATGACACGGTTGCCAGGAAGTTGTAATTCCTAAAGGGCACTAGATAATTCCCGATAGGGAAATGGTCGTACCGAAGCAGCTTTCACGCCGGAAGCCATGATATAAGCACCACCACGGGCTCCAGTGTATGCCGCAAGGTTGTGCTTTAGGAATACGACTTCAGTAGATGCTGATAATGACTCGACCGCCTTCGCGAAAAATTATTTGCTTTTCTCGATAGCTTTACCTTAAGCATGCCATCATCTCGATGCATGGTTTTTATCCTGTGATTTTCTAGGGTCAAATCCTTGACTTCGACTTCTTTGACTTTGAACTCCCTGACAACGGTTGTAAAAGAATAGTCCTAAGACTTACTTTGGAACCTTCACTCCAAGAGCCTCGTGTGCTTTTGGCAGAAACACATTTGCCAAACTTGGTGATGGAGCGGAAACGCCCCTTTCCGCCAGATCACTTCGTAGGAACAACGAAATAGTATTTCGAGCCAATGGGCTGAGCATGACCTCGATGGCCATCTAAAATCGGCTTATTCACATCTAGCTTGAGCTTACCGTATAGTTCTCCGCTTTAATATCCCCTCCAACCACCAACGGCTCGATTTGCGAGTTTAAGATGGTATTGTTTTGCAGCGCTACAACATTTGCGGAGTGCACTTTCAATGTGATAACTTCCGCGCGAGGATGGGGCAGTTGGTTAAACATCGAGATCGTTCTAAGCAACCTTATTGATTCTCAGTTTTGTTTAACTTACATTGGTTTCCCGGTGTATACCTTCAGTAAGGCTCCCGCCGGAATTTTGTCAAAATCCATCGGTTTCTCCAGCTAAATGGTAAAGATAATATCTCCACTGTAATTTCCACCGCTTGAAATCCTGAATTCAGTTTTGACATCACATCTTGCACCGCAATAATAGCATTATGGAGCTGAATAGAGTAATCTTTCATCACCGATTTTTTACTGGTGCCTTGAACATTGAAATAATTTTTTAATTTCTTCCGAAATTACCCGTAATAGCGTCGTGATGTTGGAAGAGCAGGAGTGCGCGTCTCGATTTTGTTAGGATCTTTTGGTATTCTTTGATCTCATCGACCGATAGGGTTCGGCTTTTTAGGGCCAATAGTGCATCCGCGGCATGGATTTGGCTCTAAATTTTTCGTAAGGAAAAACTTCTTAAAAAATTACATGTAGTAATCTTCCTTGTTTCTTGTAGAACGGTCTAGTTGTGAAATAACCCGTCCACCAAGATCCCATGGCGCATTGATATGGGAAGAAATCACCGGAGATTTTAGCCGGTGACTTCTTCTTATCCTTGTACCATTTTTCCAAAGCCGTGAAGTAATCATTGAACGTGCCAAACCTATGAAAATCTATCTAAAACCTGAATGACTCCAACTTACTTTATCGACACCTCACTGCCCTTATTAATTTCAGCAAAAAGCGGTACAAAGTTGTCGTGTTGTTGATTCCATTCCTAATTTCAAAGTGATAAACCGATAGGCACGCAGGTATTTACACTCATAAGCTCAAATCGGAAATCATCGCCATGCATCACAAGCAGCACATTCGATTCGTACATTTGGGCCATACGCTTCAATTGTTCCACAAACATCGCGGCTCTGCAGCCAATTCCAAAGATGTTGTGCGCGATACTTACTTTTGTTTAACATTATTACCATCGATATTTTCAGGTTTTGGCCCTCCACAACCCCACTGGGTCATACGGCGGAAGTCAAATTGGCAACAGACTGACTAAAAATATTGCATTTATTTCAGGATATAGAGAAATTTACCGAGTCTGGTCCGCACGAATTTAATATATCGTAGTGAGTATAAGGTAGAATTTGAGTTAAGACATCACTATTACCATCTTTATCTAAAACCATATTTTGCTGTCACTCATAAATTTAGATTTTCTTATGTTATCTATTACTTTTATGAAAATGCTCACCAAAATATTGCCGCCAATGAAAAGGAATAGCTTTCTGCGACTGCAGCCACCGCTTCATCGGATGGTGAATACGGTTGATCACATTCCTCTTGACCCCAGCTTTAGCAAAAAGATACGGCACAGAATGGCTATAGCCAAATGGATCGTTTGACCAGATTGTCGATGGGACTTTGCCTGAAAAAATTATCCTATGCTTTTCATGCCAATAACTTACCAAACTCATGCTGAAGGTATTGATGGCCTTCAACGATATTATCAACCGAAACCGGAAAATACGCATTAGCTTCGTCCGTCATTACCCAGGACCCGGAAGCCAATTCAACGCGACCCTCGGTCACCAATCTATTAATTCAAATTCAGATTATCCTTATAAAGATCAACTGACTTTTTGACGCCTTTTTTCACCGTCTCATTCTGCTTTGCCCACCATCTTTCAAAAAACACAAACTCTGCCCAAAGGAAACGCATGGCCTAAAACAAAGTTGTATTTTTCTAGCCAGCCATACCTTATTCTTGTCTTGTATCATAAAATCGTGCATATTTGTCAGAATATTGTCGGTATCCTGGCTGTAACTATCGAAAGTTCGCAGCCAGCCTGAAAAAAAACTTATATACAAAAATTTGGCGTCACCTGGATCCACATGGGTAAACGGCAGCAAGAAGACTTCTAGCTTTTCCTTGGAGTTTGTTGGGACTGCGCGATTCCCCTTTGGCTGTTGATCACTTTGGAAGGTGTTGAAAAGATCGTTTGTCTAAAAATTAAAATTACTCAAAGTTCTAGCCTTACGTGATAGTTTGCAGCTTTAACCTCATCCTCAAATGATTGATACAACGCATGCTTCGTTTCTACTGGAGAATTCAGAGTTTCCAGGCTTCCTAATAAATATGGAGGCCCATCCTCGCTCTTAAATTTGAATTTTCTAAATGAACTTGTTGATTTACCTCTTCCAAAATGCCACCCGAGAATTGCTGATTCCTAATGGCTTGATAAAAATCTTTCTAAATAGCTTTTTAAGGGATATATCCATCTTTCTCACCTGAGATTGTGAGTGAAGTATTAGAAGCCCCAGAAACGAAAGCGCGATTGTTGAGATTAGAAAAGTTTTAAACCGCCGTCGGCAGAAGGGCTTCAGGTGCCATGTTGGCATTCTAAAATGAATAAAATAAACCAGTTATCAAAAAATTCAATTGCCTAGTTTCTCCAGGATTCTTCTCGTTGAAGTCCTGTTTAGCCGCCGCCCAATTCTAAAAATTATGCAATGTAAAATTCTGGCTTATCCTACTATATATAAAAAAATAGTGTCTGTGTGTGTATATTTGCATGCAACTTCCGTAAGTATGTACCGCACCTACAGCCTCAAGCGAAGGTTTTTAAGGTACGTATGATACGTCGTTATGCGTAAGGATCCCGAGATGAGTGCACACATATAAGATTTAGGAAAATCGGCTGTTTTCGCTATTAAAAATAAGTTTTTGTAAAGATTTCCAAAAACCTCTTTGTTAGGAGGCAATTTGCATGCGCCGGAAGTAGGGAGGGCCTATATAAAGGGACAAAGGAGCTGTTTTACACTTTTCTCTTGCTAGAATTTAGGGAGAAGCATGCAAATTGAGGACTTGGATGTCCTGGACGGGGCCAGGGTGGAAAAGCCGCGAAGCGGTTTTTCAACCCTGGTATAAAATAAAAATAGCGAATGGTGTAGTGTATGAAAAAGTAGGCTCAAAATGTGGGGGGCGATATCCGCACCAAATGCATCAAATCGTTGGTGAATTGATTGTCGCCGTGGCGAGGCACGTCATCTTATCGGGACACTTCGCCCCGCTTCTCCCCCTTCTGGTGGAACGTTTCGATAAGCATGGCGCATGTGCGAAAAAGTAAAACCACACTTTGGATGCAAAATTGAGGACCGCTTTTTGCAAAGCGGCTATAACAAAGTTCGCCGTCCGTCCATTTATGGTCACATTTATCGAATAATGCATGCATATGTCAAAAAGACGACCGGAAAGAATAGCAGCCTGGCTGCTATGGTTTCGTGAAAGCGAGCCAAGACAAAAACCCGAACAGCGCCTAGAAATTCGGAATTGGCTAGTTCGAAATGTGGCTTCAACGGACGCGGGGATTAATAAGGGGACAAAGCCGAAGGGAAGGGACGGGCCAAGGTTTCAAAGTTGAGGGGCTTCAGGGCTGAGAGAAGGGGGCAACGCTTGGATTCACCCATTGTTGCGCGGTATTCGAATATTCCCCCTCAACGCTCTAGAAACGCTCAGGAAATGGCTTGGGCCTAGGCTATGGGACCATGAAATTCGTAATTGGGGGTTTGATTTAAGGTTAATTTATTCAATCGTTGGAGTAAGTAGGAATAGGGTTAACATTGGATATCGCGAATTAATATAGACTAAAATAGCTCTGAAAAAACGTACAAGGATGTGCTTTTCTCACTTTCAGACAGGAATTGATTTTGGATCGGAGGCGGGCGCGAACGGCGGAAATGGGATTCGCGGCTAACGGAATTCGACCAAATATCGAGCTTTTCCCATCGAAAGAATGTTGCACATTGAAATCCTATACAAATGAATAATTCGTGAATATTGAACGTGCTAGCCCGAATTTATCGAAGCACGGGGCACACAGGATTCTCTGCTATCGAAAATATTTTTTAGGTGATCAAGATTTTCTGAAATTTTTATTTTAAAAGTAATCTGTACTAATCGACCGCCATATTGCCGCCTAACAATATCCAGGAACTAAATCCAGCGGCCCCGGGAGTGCGGTGCTAAAAATTTCGAGGGAGTCCCGGGCAGCGCCACGTGTGGGTCGGCCCGGGCTCGTGCATTTTTAATACAAGCCCACCGGTCGGAGGCCTGTCCATACACGGCAAATAGACGGACAGACATATGGACGGACGGACGGACAGACAGAGATAGAGAAAGAGGCAAACGGATAGATGGAATGGAATGGACCGTGGGTGGCGCACAATATTGTACACCCCCATTATCCTCGCTCGGCACCAGGCTGCCGACATCAAAATTCGGCACTTACCAGTATCAGCTTTGGAAACAGTGCAAAAGTACAAAAGTTCAGCGCGAAAGTTCGGTATTTAAAAGCTTGCGAAGGTCTGCGCGTGCAAAAAGATAGATGGGTCGGGAAAAGCCCGCCTGAACCCTGGCCGCTCCAGAATTCCGGCATAATTCAGGCGTGCGAATACGCCATTTGCGGCCGCACGATGAGGAGGGCATGTGGGGGAGGTCTCGAATTTCTTTGTGGGTGATTATGATAAAATAGAAAAACGGTCGGCATCAGATGCATGAAAACTGGGTGGTCTACAGATTTCGATCGGGGGAGAGTGGAATACGAAATCGTGGTGTGTCAATGGCGGAGGGCGTGTGGTAAGCAAATAGTGAGAAGGGGGGTTTTGGATCAGCTGCTTGATACGAGAAGATTTGAGAATTGATTTGGAATTTTGAGAGGGGAAAAGCTAGGAGGAGGAGATTCAAAAATCTCATGCTTCCCCGCGGAAGTTTTTTGTGTTCATGAGTTTCAAAACAGGAGTTCGTACGTTTTATTTAAAGTTTTTTGCTGATCAATACGCCGCGGAATCCTAAGAAAGGACCAGAATAAAAAAGAGCAAAGCTTTTTTCGCTACATGCAGATTCACCGCATTTTGAAACGGGCCAGCCCCGCAGATTCTGCAAAATACGTTTTAAACTGCAAACAATTCTGCACATGTTAAAAATTTAAGGTATGGTTCTGATTTTCCAGCTTTTGAAATCAGCCGTAAAAAATAACTTTCAAATAACCGATTGTATAATTATCGATGAATTCTGCAAACCGATAATAAAAAGCGTCTCTTTGTTAGACTCTGAAAAAGCGGAGGAGCGGCCTAGTGAAAGTTCAGGTGAAGGACTATAACGTGGATGCGATTCGGGATCTATGAATTGTGAAAGACGTCGCATAACTCTTGACTACGAAACAGTCGTTTTTGTTTGATCGAAAAGCGTGAATAAAAGGCCCGGTTCTGGAAAAATCAGGTGAGCCGCTTAGGACATGATTCAGTTTCCTAAGATTGACCATATGGACACTTTCCAGCTTTAAAAGAACGTATAAGCAGTCCTCACTACTAAATACAGTCGATGATGTCCAACCGGAGCATTGTGGACAAAAAGGTAAGTAGGTAGGTAGGGGCTGAGAAGGGAGCCTGGTGGGCCCTCCGGGGGAAGATGTTTGCCCAAGCACCCGACCACTCCCACCCGGACAAAGTCTACCAAGCAATGCCCAGGCTCCTCACCCGTCCCCTTCCGCCTCATGACCTACTTATTAATTAACTAGTTATAGGTGGCCAGAAGGTATGGGCGGGGGGGGGTTGGAAAAAGTATATTGAAGCGTGAAGCATGGGGCCCCAAGATGAACAGGTTTATTTTCGGGTGGACCGTTGTAAGCGGTCAAGCAGAGGGGTTCGCAAGGTTTTGTAACAAAAAGGAAAAACTGTACTGATCAATTTTTGCAAATACGTTAAGGCGCTGTTTATTCTCTGTATCATTTTATTCCCTAGATGGGAATTTTAAGGTAGGGAATACAAAAACTCCCTTTTCGACGCTTTTTGGGGATTTTATAAAGTACCATAGCTTATTAGATAGTGCTTTGGGACGGATTGTCATCAACACGATGTTGTCATACAAGCTGTTTTTTTAATGGCGTTATTTGTCTGGAATTTAAAGCGCCATCATTTAAATATGTCAAAACGAAAACTCGAAAAACACCTGAAAGGACTCCTAAGGAAACTCATATCGACCCACCATCTTCAAATGCGCTGTCTAATTCTTCTGTCCTCCTCTAATCTTTTGTTTGTTGCCTCGAAATTACCGTTAGAAGCTTTATCTGAAAATCGAATATTTTATACAGCGAAATCGGATTCGGCATCTCCCCCCGCCCATCATTCACCACCTTAATTACCTAAATCACCGAACCCCGCCTTTGTGCACCGAGCTCAAACCTGGAACTCCCCTCTCCCCACCACACCTGAAAATCCGAGCAGAAAACACAGTTTCAACACCACCGCCTCATCCGTTCCGCTGCAAATACCAATTAAGTCGTCGGCTGGATGGTGCGTGGCGTAGGCAATGTGCAATTAGTCAAGCCTGGAAGCCACCAGCTGAAAGCCATAAATTCGCCAACTCCATGGGGCCTCGATTCAGGGAAGTCGGAAAAACGTTGGCATTTTTGGGCGGAATTCCACGTCTTTTCGAATGTCATCTCGTCTCATAGCAATGGGGTTTGGCTGGCAAGGGGCCATTTTCGTAATAGGTTTTGACCGAGGAGCTTCGGAAATGATCTAAAAATTTGTAAATTTTTAATGGCGTTAATTCGTATTTACATAGTGCGGTATATCTTCTAATAAAATACTCCCCCTCACGGCAATCAAAAAGAAAATAAAACCCCGTTTTTGAATACCATCAGAATACCAGCTTTCGTAAATTTCATCAAAAGAAATTTTTGAATTTTTTTGAAAGACATTTTAGAAATTCAAAAGAATGCTAATAAAAACTTTGTTAATACTTGGTGTTAGCGTTACAAACTCATGGCTAGAGCTTAAAAGGCCGTCCGCCAGTCACTCGAACAGGCCCCATACTAGCTTGGCACAGTTTTTTGACCCATTTTTTATGACGTCATCTGACAGTGCATGGTCGAATTAGTAGAGTGGGATGGTTTTGAAAGTTTAAAAAGTTTAATTTTGAGGTTAAAATGGGCCTCAAAGTTGCCGACACCCAAAAAATATATCGAAAACTACTGAACGGAATTTGCTGAAACTTTGTGACAAGCCCTAATTTGGGTCGGGGAACATTTTTCTAATACATTGCGAAACCAGAAAGTGGCCGGAACATAGGTATCTTGCGTACTAAAAACAGTTTTTTCGGAATTAGTAGTTTTACGGGTGATCGCTGCATCAAGCGATTAGTACCAAAAGGTGCACCGAAATTTTCTCTATCGATTGATGTATCTTTTAGAATGCAGCGAGCACCCGTAAAAACCGAAAAATCGTCCTGAATGGGTCGCCGGAAGACCAAATTTGGCAAAAATTTCAGGGAGTGACATGGTTATGATTCTATAGCCCGAGTTAGGATAATTGCAAAAAAAGAGCAAAAAGAAATTAGCTTTCTAAAGGTAGGCTGGGATTGATCTAGAGGCGCCCGGGCGCAAGGATCCCAGGCCACTATCAATGCACCACAGGATTTTTTTTTTTGGGGCTTTGTGGAAAGATTGTTTAGGGGGGGCCCCCTGGGGGGTGTCTTGTGTTTGCCGGGTTTTGGGGGGGGTTTCGGGCTGGGGGTTTGTTTTTTGGGGGGGGGGGGGGTGTTTGGGGGGGGGGCCGGGGGAGGGGGGGGCCAGGGGGGGTAGGCAGCCGAACAGGCCTGCAGCCTAATCAGGCCCCCGGAGGCCACTTTTTCAAGTTTCACCCACGGGGTATCTCGCCAAAAAAAATTGTTTGATTTTTTTGGAGATTTTGGGGGATTACCGGGGGAGAGGAAAAAATAGAGATTTTGGTTGATTTTGGGAACCAGAGGATTGTATTTTTTTCCCGGGAAAATTTTATTTTTTTTGTTGAAGGGGGAGATTTTTTTTTTTTGGGAAAGGGGGTGGTATTTAAAGAAGGGGGGTTTTATTGGGAAGAAAAAAAAAAGAAATTTGGAATTTCAAGGGAAGAAAAAAAAAGAAAAGATTGAGAGTTTGAGGATTTCGGGGAACAAGAAAAATATAAAGAGGGATTCAAAGGGGGGTACTCTAGCCTATCCCCACAAGGAATTCTGCGCCCTTTTTTTATTTTTATTTTATCCCTATTTTTATATTATAAAACCCCATATGAAAAATATCTTTATTTTTTTTAGGGATTCCCCCCCTGGGTTTCCCACCCCCCAAAGAATATTTTTTTAATTTTTTTGGGGATTTCCCCCTCGGGAGATTCCATACAACCCATTAATTTTTTATTTTTTTTTTTTTTTTGACCTTCTGGTTCTGGGCAAAAAAAAACTTATTAAATATTTTTGAGTGATTTTTGATATTGGGACCCCCGAGACCCCCGAAAAAATTTTTTGAATATTTTTTTTTTTTTTTAGTCCCCGGGGACCGGGAAACCCCACAAAATAAAATTTATATTTTATTTTTTTTTTTTATCTAGTGTTAGGAAACCCACAAAACATTTTTAAATTTTTGGGTGGTTGGGGTGGTGCTCCTGGAGCCCCAAATTCTATAATATTTTTTTGTTTTTTTTTTTAACCTCCGGACCCCCCAATTTTAAAATTTTTTTTTTTTTATGGTTTCCTCCCGGCCCCTAATTTATTTTTTTTTTTTTTTTCTCCCGGGTGGGGGTTGTGGGGGGGAGAAGGATGGGGAATGCCGTGGGAGGCCCAGACCATTTTATGACCCTCAAAAAAAATTTAAACCAAAAAAAAAAACCCTCCTCTCACTCAAAATGGCCGAAATTGACGTCTTTGGCGACCCATTCAGGACGATTTTTCGGTTTTTACGGGTGCTCGCTGCATTCTAAAAGATACATCATTCGATAGAGAAAATTTCGGTGCATCTTTTGGTACTAATCGCTTGATGCAGCGATCACCCGTAAAACTACTAATTCCGAAAAAACTGTTTTTAGTACGCAAGATACCTATGTTCCGGCCACTTTCTGGTTTCGCAATGTATTAGAAAAATGTTCCCCGACCCAAATTAGGGCTTGTCACAAAGTTTCAGCAAATTCCGTTCAGTAGTTTTCGATATATTTTTTGGGTGTCGGCAACTTTGAGGCCCATTTTAACCTCAAAATTAAACTTTTAAAACTTTCAAAACCATCCCACTCTACTAATTCGACCATGCTCTTTCAGATGACGTCATAAAAAATGGGTCGAAAAAAACTGTGCCAAGCCTTGTTCGGGTCTCTCGCAAACGGCCTTTTAAGTAATTCAACTTGATTAACCCCAATGGAAAGCTCCAATATTGCTCGATTGAACCCCTGATTTTCGTTATTTTTGACCGATCGAAAGTGAGAAACCCTCTCTCTAAATCAATCTCCCTTTTGCGATTATAACATCGCAGATCGGCATATCTTATGAAAAATACGATAACTGGCTCTTCGTCTTCAAATTTTAATCAACAAAGGATCTATTTTTCACCCCCCCCACCCAAACCGGCAGTTTGTAATCCATTTCCCACGGGGCGTCTCCATGCCTGGTTTTGCCTTCTGCGGGATGTGTGTGGTGCGGCCCGGCTGGGGAACAAGTCGTTGAATCAAATGGGCCTCGCCCCAGGATTCCGGCTGGGCTTTTCTGAAAATGAAGCTCTGCCGCCCAACACACACACACATACACCGGAACCTCCCGGTCGATTCCTTTTTTAGCTGTTTGGGGATATCCTGGAGGCTGAGTTGTGTTTGTTGCGTTGTAAAGTCGATTTTTATACAAATAGTGATAATCAATTCATCATCCAATTTTATTGAATTAGGTTGCTAAATTTTTAGTAGAATTACAGACAATAATAGAAAGCCTGATTGAATTAAAAACAACCTCAAACGTCTATAACCTATGGTTGATTTTTTATATATCCAGTATTAATTCACTTGTTATTCAGTCGCGTGAAGCTGTCTTAAATGTATGCTAGAAACAGTCATTTTACTACTATGTATGCAGCAGGATTCGTTTTGAATTGACCGGTATTTTTTAGCCGTTTTCGATGTCTTATCCAATCCTTACTTCTCCCAACAACCCGAACCATCCAAAAATATCTTCCGAAAATTGGCCGACAGCCTCCCTTCCAGCCATTCCCTAGGCCCATTAATTTATTGAACGAGCTGCTCAGAAATGCATGACCAGCCTGGGCTACTATTCCCCCCTACAACGCATACTAACCCCCCCCCCTTCCCCCTAAGATTTGCTTTTTTCAAACACGTCATCCCATTTTTCGACTAATTTTTTCACTCTTCATTACAGAAATGGCGATCCCAATCGGCGAAGACCCGTTCGTCCCACGAGGTCTGTAGTTTCATACATTTCAAAGAGCCTGATTGGACAAAGTCGCCCATTGTGTCTTCTCGTAAATAATTCGGGGCTCGCTCGCTGCTCAACGCGACTTTTAGCGCCGGGGTCGAGTCTCAGTTTTTCTTGAATCTCTCGTAATTCTTTCTGATGCCGAGTTTGCGCAGGAAAGCCAAAAGTAGGAAATCTTTGGGTTATTTTATGGGTCTCCTATTTTATTTCTATATACCCGTAGATACGATCGTTTTAGGCATTGATTCTGAAGATGAAGAAACCCTACCCTGCCTCCGATATCGCCCACCATCAATCCAAGAATTATGCAATCGAACACATTTTTCGCCTAGAGAAATTAAAGTTTTATATCGATCCTTCAAACAGGTTCTTTTTGCCAGCTAAATCTATTTTTTCTTATTTTAGAGCAGCCCGAATGGCGTCATCCAATATTCACAATTTGAAGAAATCTATTGCCAATTTTTCCCGCAAGGAGATGCGCGTTATTATGCCAATATGATCTTCAAAACCTTCGATACGGATGCCAATGGAATTATTTCATTTGAGGTATTTTATTCATCGGTTTTAATTTTAATTCGTCAGGAATTTGTCATTGGTCTCTCAATTATCTCGCGCGGCACTAATGAGGAAAAACTACAATGGATATTTTCTCTCTACGATTTTAAGAAAAAGGGCGTTATTAGCTATACAGAGTTGCTGCAGGTGAGATCAAATTTGAATGAGTTAATTTTTTTTTAATATCAGACGGTACAAAGCGTGTATTGTTTGCTTGGTGCTTTTACCGACCCACCGGTGTGCAATACGACTATATCCAATCATGTGATTCACCTATTAAAGGTGGTTTTATACAAAAAAAATGGCATTTTCGATGCAATCTTTTACAGAAATTCGATCCGGATCGCAACGGACTGATTACGCGCGAGAGTTTTGTGGCATCATGTCTATTGGATGAGACGTTGTGTCAAGAGTTGCAATTATTTGATACGAAATTGTGATTTGGGTATGGAAATCATAAATGTAATGGATGGTTGAATAAGAATAGGAATACAAAGACCAGAGTCGATCTTATTCAAAGCAACCTCAGTTTTGAGGAGCTTCTATCAATCAGTTGAGGTCTTGTTTCACCTTTTTTTGTAGTTTATTATCAAAATACCAAAATTTTTGCATGCAAATTACGTCTGATGCGGTGGAAAAGTGCACATTTTGATGGTTTTCATGCAAGAATTTGAGATTTGTATAGCAACTGGAAGCGTAATCGAATTTTCAGATTTTAGTGCTTTGATTCAAAAGGTTCAAAAGGTATAAAATAAAGTAAAGGCACAGAAAATTTTAGTTTAGATTTTAATATTTAAAATTGAAGAAGAAATTAAAAATTCCAGGAATTTTGTCTTTTTTTCTGAGCTCGCAAAAAGTGGCTTTGTTTTTCCACACACGTACGGTAATCCGATCCGCAAATTTCTCAAACAGTTTGTCGACGTTCGATGCTAATTGCTACTACCAAAAAGGCAAGGCCGTATCCTCCGACCAATAGCCCCCACGTGCCACAGACCATGGTACACAAAATGGGGTGCTAACCAGCCGCCCGGGTGTCCTTGGTAGAACCAGACCCCCCGGATGAGAGCCAAACACAACGGAATGGCCATCCTATAGGGAACAAAACAGTGGTGCTCCCCTGTCTTTCTGCCTAAGGCATCACTATTCCTTGCTAGGGCCATCCCATGTAGCGGCCACCTTCAAATGGCACCCCGCTGTTTCCGCCCACCTACACTCCCCATTCCCCAGCACCAAAAATCGGCGTGTACCATCGATTTGGCGGCCGGTTTTTTTATGGATTTATTCATGACCCCAGGCAAGATGGGAACGGCAAGTGGTTTGATTGTACGTTTGACCTGAAGTTCAGATTTTGGAGAATAATGTGAATTCTTTAATTTTTTTATTAACGCTTTGGGCGCCGACGAATTTATAAGATCTTACGCATCTAGGTAGCTTACATACTGAAATATCGGGTTAATTCAAATTTAAGAAAAAGAATCAGTTGTTTGCCATATCACTCTTGTCTTTTCACTTGCCATCCTTGTTGAACTTTTATCCCGATACCGGGTTTAAACCACGTCTCTGATTTACGCATGTTAGGCAATAAATTCCTAGGTGACTATATCAGTTGCAAAATTACTTTCTTTAGCACTATTTGAACTACTTACGGTTTATGCTATTAAAATAAATTTCTTAGCTTGTAAGAAAATACATATAAGCCCTTTTTTATTATTCTTTCACTTTGGCCGAAATAGCAAGCCGAGAATACCTACCTAATTTCTTTCTAAAAAAAATTTCTTAACCCTAGCAAGACATTTACTCAAAGCCTGAGGATTATCGGGAAGGCATGGAATCGGTGTGGAGAATCACGATGAATTATTCGGTGGGCAGCAGGCAGGCTGTCAGCAGCCATATGCCATCCCTTGAGCCCCCCAGGAACGGTTCGCGAAAAACCCCCCTAGAGACCATGATGTCTATTTACTCGCCTTTTCCGTTTAAACAACAACAATAATAATTAAGCAGGAATTTTGTTATTGGAGCCTGACATTATGCAAGCGCCTGATTTAAGATTTTAGCTATTTTTTTTTCTATTTTTGCCTGCTTTGTTACCCGAAGATTCCTATTTACGGACCCTTTCCTTTCCGACTAAACAACTATATTTGTTTGCTTTCCCAGCTTTTGTATTGTCTAGATCGATACGAAGGCCAAAGGTGTCTATGCGATTCATTGTCAAATGAATCCATACACTCGAAATTTCAATATGTCGAAGTTTTCCATTAATATACCTTCCCGAAAATCCCTTAAAAATGCTCAACTTTTGCGATCCTTAATTAAGTCCATATATGTTTCGATATTTTGATAGCAATCGTTCTATGCCCGTTCTTTCTTTTTATAAACATCGATTTGAAAGTCGCACCACCTCCCAAAATGAACTACCCTCGAACTCAAGGTGGCCCAATCGATTGCCCACCATAAATTGCACTTTTTCCGCCTTGGCTATTTCGAAGCCACTGCATCCCTTCCATCGAAGCTTGATTATCGGGATGGACCTCGGAATTCTTTGTGAGAGGCAAAGCCCGGACGAAAAACCGGGATGGGGTGGGGTCTAGTGGAAGGAGAAAGAGGGCACAGCAGAAGGGTGAGGCAGTGGTCATCCATAATGGCCGTCTCCAAGGAATTCCGGGCTTCCGATTCACAACTATAGCCACTCCCGAATCAGCCGTTGGCCTCGCCGTTTTAGCCGGAGGGTGGTTGTGCTTCCTTGGCATACGGGCTATCGGTCCACCATATGGTTGTTTCAAATTGGCTTCTTTGGTGGGGGGGGGGTGGTGGCCAACCGGCCTGGGGTCTTTTTCTTTCTTAGATCTTTATCGTTAGGCTTCGAAGGTTCCCATTGTGAGGTTTTTGCCTAAGGGATGTTTCACTTTATTATGACAGTGTCGTCTTTGTGAATTAATGTTAAAATCTGAAAATGATTTTGATGGTTGAATTCAGAATTTTTAAGCGATAAAGTAGTCTCATTTCCCCCCCTTTGAGCCCAGTTTTTCGCTGTTTTACTGCATGATTTAAAATAAACAATTTATTGACTTAATGCGATTTAATATAGAAAATAATTTAATCTCTATTCCCAGCATTAACTAGGTTCCCAATCTTTTACCTTTTCACCATAAATCTTTTCCTAATTCTGTTTTACTCTATGTTTATGCACTTTATGCGTCTAATGCTGTAACGCTGCATTCTGCTTTAATAGTTTAGAAAGAAAGCTAACTGTGCTCATGAACCCCTCTCAAAGCACGATTTTTGATCGCGATCTTTAACCATCTCATCGATAGACATTGTGATGTCCTATTCCGTTCCCTATCCTCCCTACCATCCATTCGTGGCTCGTTTACAGAAGTACTCAGCCGGGGTCTCGATCCGACCCTTTCTATTAAGTCGACCCCACGCCCCGCCCCGAGGGGCTCGTCTCTTCCCATTTGAGACCTGATACCGGAGCACAAATAGCAACATTGACCCCCCCACTGATACCAGCCTGGGCTTTTTAGCTAGGTTTTTACAGCTTTCTTTTTATCTGAATCGTAGCTCTTTAGAGATATTCTTTTTAGCACGTGACTACCCTGAAAAACCTTGTTCGACCTAATTTCCGGAAGCATGGTGGGTGTTGAATTTCGAAGTGACAGGGTGTTTGCAGGTCATTTATGGGTCGGGGGAAATTTTTCCGCAAAATCTCCAGCTAGAGTCGGGTTGTTTTCGTAACAATTGGGTTGTTTTTAGTATTTTAGCAGTGCCTATTTTTGATCTGTTAGAGGATTTGAGGATCTTATGTTTGATTTGATTTGATCTTTTATTTTGGTTATCTTTTTTAGGATTTCCCGACGCCGCGGTAATCACTGACTAATAAAGAGCCGATTCCTTCAAAAATCTAATTTTAAGACTAAAAATAGAAAAAGATCGGAGATGGCGCTAGTCGATTTCACTCCATTTCACACCACATGAAAAGTGTAAAAAAAGTGAAGCTTCCGGCTGCAGGCGCTATTTTTTTACATAGATTAAGTATTTTACCGATTAAATCCCATTCTCAATCTTGTGCCCCCAATTTTTACATGGGTTATTCTTTGTATATCTAGCCACTTTTTGCACCCCAGCTCCACTAGCAAAAGCTCAAGAAAGAAGAATAGAAGCCATGTCGAAGAGTGGTCTCTCGGGGGGACAAGCGGTCATTCTAAGATGTGCCCCCTCCCCCTCCACACCACACCCTCTTGCTCCCCTAGGGAGTAAGTGGGACCACCAACTGTCCCCCGCCCTGCCTCTCTTCTTGTGCCACTGACACCTGCTCCATCTCAGCCTCCCCACCTCATTTCCATCTCCTTCAAACCTCCACTTGCTCCCGGCTCCCCTTTCACTTTGCTCTTTTTTGCCACCACCACATCCGGCGGGCTTATCCGTCATCAAATCTGTGGAATTGGACACTTTTCGAGATGGATTCGCAGACCGCGGGAGAATCGACCAGACCGAAGGTTTTTTTAGGGAGGATGAGTATTTGAAATCCATCTCAAGTTTCAGAAGATGTGCCATGAATTTCACTTCAGCTTGAATTTCCAAATTTTTGTAAATTTTCTTCTAGCGCTTCTGTAAATTTCAAAACATACTGTTTTTTGCCGCAGTCTATGGTACAACTTTTCCAAGGTTAAATCTGACTCCTTGGAAATAATTTACTTTTTTGGATTTCAATCACTTATTTTTTTACGAAAGATACCTGGAAAGTGCTTTTGAATACGTTTGATTGGTTTTTTACGTGTTTTAACCTATAATTTTGATAAGTTAAATCCGGTTTCTTGTAAATTCTTTACTGTAGATTTAACGTCAAATTTTTTGTAAATAGTATCTTGCATTTTAATTTTAACACTTGAACATTTTTGCCACATCCTAGAAGCGCATTTTTGATTAGCTAAATCCGGTTCCTGGCAACAGTGGTTTCTTCTCCTTTTTTTGCAAATCGGAATCTTGGCAACCGTAACCCAATCCTCGGGGACAAACCGGTCGCTATTCCCCTCCGATAGCCATGCATAACAGAGTGCCGACGGCCAGCCGGCACAATCCCTGTGTGCATCCTGCTACTTTATGATTATTTGTGGCCGACAGGGCGTCTTGAACATATTTGCGATCGTATCCTAATTTTTGCAAGGCTGGTGTTCCTTTTTTATGCAAATTGAGTTGAAGAAACCAGGCTTTCCGGAATTCAGGAAGCTTCTCCTGTGTTCTTGTCAAACCCAGATTTTGGGGTTTCTCGTGGGCGCTAAGTTCGTCAATAGGTGCAATCGTTCACAAAGTACCAATGTTGGTCATTTGTAGTCGGCTAGGGAATCTTGAACAGATTTTCTACTGTATGCAAAAATAGCGTACTCTTAACCTTTTCGTAATGCAACTAAAAAGTGGAAAAGGGTGCTCACAATCAAGGAAATTTCGGCTTTTCCTCTAAAATCCAAGGTGTAGAATTTATGGGGCCAGGGGCATCAGTAGGTGCAAAAGGTAGCTATGCAAATTCAGACACTATCCTTGTCATATTGGTACCTTTTTGTTAAGTTTCTTGTTAAAATACAACTGGAATCGGAAAAGGAGTGTTTCTAGGCTTTGTCGGCAAGTTGAAAATACCAGGAATTTTCGAGGCCAAAAATATTATGAGATGCAAATCCTAGCTGTATGCAAATTCTAAAACCACCATTGTAGATTTTAGACGGGCGTTTGGACCCCCCGACACTCCCCGCAACAAGCGTCTCGTCCCAATTAGCGCTGGAATGGGATCGGGAGTATTTACCGGGTATTGAGGGATCCGGGCCCTTCCCTCCCCCCTCCTTCGCTCTGACCACTAGTCATCTAATAGCACGACTGGTGGACACTCTTTCTCTTCCCCCTCCTTTACCCTTCTTTTCTTCCTTTCGGATTACCGCCCCGGCCGTCTTCGCGCCATACAATCGAATTTCATCCTATCCGCCTCTCCCTTCCCATTCCCTTTAGTCGCCCCGGGCGCTACATCCTCTACACCTCTATTGTTTTTGGTTTCTGGGATCTTTATTGTATTTTAGCGGGTCGTATAGAGAATTTAGATGAAAACCAATTCTCTATTAAACTTTTGTTTTGCTATAAGGACATATTCTCGCAATTTAACAACTTAATTATTTTTATTTATTGCTTGGACTGCGCTAAAGTATTTACAAAAAACGGTTACGAATAAACATCCGGGAATTGGTAATTATTTTATAAAGAATAACAACAATAAATTGATAATTTTTTGCTTTCGGAAATTAATTATCTTAAACCAACGAGGGCTTTCGATTTTTAAATTTCACTGCGGATTAAATACGCACAAATATACATTAAAATAGGTTTGTTAAACCGGTTTAATTAACCAACAGGGAATTGAATTGATCAAAAATTAACAACTAATAAAAGTAGCGTTTCGACTGAAATTTTTGGGTATTACGGGGTTTAAATCAAATTTTATGCGCGAAAAATATATATGTGGCATATCCTATTAGTACTATTGCATAGATTTATCCTTTTCTCTCTCCACTGTCCCTACAAATTGGTACTCACCCCAATATTCCCATCCAACACCCCCGATCTGAAAGGTACCACCCCGCCGACAATCCGGGCGTCAAAATTCCCAGGCCTCGCCCTGGGTGAGGACATTGCCACCTCAGCCTCCCTCAAGGCCATCCTCCTTCTGTCGTGCGCGAGATCCATCCCTCCTCCACCCGGCCGGTCATCCTAAAAACCTCTAAAGCCCCCAAACGAGCAGTCCCAACCCGGGCGACGCAATTTCAGTACCGTCTGCACATTGCTATCTTTTTCAGGTATAAAAGGCTTCTTAAAGTCTTTATTTTTCATTTGAGCGCAACTTTTCTTTTTTTGGGAAAAGCTTGCCATTCTCTTATGGACGTCAAAACCTAGGTTGGGGGCCCCCCAGGAATTGCATTAGCTTCTCCTCCGTCCTAGGGGCACGGGTTAGACTGGGCGTTTTTTAGGTATTTGGCAAAAGAATGTTCTGTTTTTTTGCCATTTTGCCTTAATTTTTGAAAAATCTTGGTGAATTTTTAAAGGGCGATTCTTCTTTGAAAATGAGCAGGGCGCTCTTCCGATGGCCCACTATCTCGCCTTTTTTTGCAAAGCGTTTCCGGTTGGCTTTTGTTTTATATGAAGCCTGACCTCCATGGACGTTCTATGTTTCCTGAGTATGTGCTCCTGACGATTATACGCCTCTTACATTGCATAGAACACCAAAAACAATCCCAAAATCCGTAACCAATCCCCATTCATCCAAAACCCCCCAGCAAAGGCTCGTTTTTCAAAAGATTTATGGGGGCTGTACGGAGGATTCCGGAGTGGGGAGTGCCGGTCATTTGCGACAGGTCAAGCAATGGTCATCCCTTAGCTGAGACAGGGGCCCTATGCTGGTGGACCCACCGATCGGGATTGGCCATTGATTCATGGGCAGCCGTTCGGGAATGTGTAACACAAGTGGCCCCCGGGCCTCGTTCGGGTCTCTGGCAACAATCCGTGCTCGGTGACCCCTTTTCGGAGGGAGTAGTAAGTGGAGACGGGGTGATCGGGGAAGGAGCATCTTTTCGTACCACCGCAACGGAGGCATCAAATGACAGGGGGGTAAAAACTTGTTGTTAAGGGGAAATTGACCGAATGCAGGTTGGAAGGGGATGTAGATAATTTTAAATATTTCTTTTTCCAGATCTTAAAATTCTGTTCATTTATCGTCGTTCACACCCGGAAAAAACCAGCTTACGTAAATAGGGTACCTTTGGAAATATAGAAAAGTTACGCACATCGTTGTGTTTGAATTGTTTGGAAAGTCAAACTCGATTTTTCTTAAAACGCTATGAGTTGGGTTTTAGGTTTTATTTTTGAACCTAAGTTACCATTGACTTATCATCATATTCCTCATCGTAACTAGGCAATTGCCATTAATCTGTAGGGCTCCACTTGAATCCATATTACACCGTTCCCATACCCCCGCCCTCATTACCAAAATTTATTTGATTGAAGTTGCGTGGATCGGCGCCTAAACCATACCACATACCTCATGCAAAAATCCCATATCTCGTTTCGAAAAAAGGCGTTCTCAGCACACGCTTCCTCTAGGGGCAAAAAGTTGAAAGAAGGTCGTAGGAGATGACAAATGGGCACGTCAAGGGGCACATCGCGGAATAAGCCATGCCGCATCTCCCTTTTTTGAGCAAGTTTTTCCGGGGGAATGAATAGAAACCAACGTATTTCGGTTTCTTGCCTTTCCTATATGCAAAATTTGTGTATAATTTGTTCATATTGAATATCTTTCGATTTTAGATGACGTCCTGCTAGTCAAAAACCATTGAAAATGCGCTTCGGTTCTGGGAGTTATGACGTCCGGCAAAGCGAAGGGATGCATCCGGGCACTTTGAAGTAAGTTATCAGTCACTCACTAGTTAGTCAGCTAGTTACTCACTAGTCACATAATAAACACGATAACAATGAAAATAATAGAAAAAATCCTAAATAATAATATCCAAACTCGTAAAGTGTTTTTTACGCGTCAAGACCTACTCAAATTAGCGCAAAAGAAAAAGCTTTTGTTATAATGACGATAATAACGATTTTGCTTTGCAAGCCATTTATAGTATATTTGTTTACCTTCAAACCTACTCGAGTTAGTGCCAAAGAAAAAGCTTATCCCCCCTTCCCCTCCTTGAAGAAGGCTGATGTTCGTGCCGAGGGATGAGGGCTGAGGGGTTTTGAAAGGCTTTGTGGTAAGGACCCCCTAAATCGCGCCGCTTCCCCCTCCCACTCGATGGAATATCCGAACGGCTCGTGCTAACTGTAGCCTCTGCCCCTCCTCCACCTCACAACTGCCAAATAATCGACGCGTAAATTGGTCGCACGGGCCGTTTTTTGTGGCGATCGGGGGGATGGCCGAACTGCCCAACTAGTCTGTATGCATGCGAGGGCTGGTGGCTAGCAATTTCGGCTATAATGCGTCTTGTTGCTGGTTTATTTTCGAGTAATCAAAGGTGAGTGTTAGCCAGGATTAAAGGAGTTTTGTGGGATGGATGTTGATTTTACCGCATTCCAACTCACCGAATCTCCAATCGCCTAAATATTTCAATGAATGTTAATTAGCATAATGGGTTTCCAGAGTGTTCTAAGAGAAAATTATTGATTCTATTGTCTTGCAACTATAAAATTTCTGGATTTTGGTCCTCTCTGTCTTCCAAAAATCGCTTAAATGAAATCTTTAGGTAAAAATGTGGTGAGAACTTGTGTAAGACAAAATAAAGTTTCGTAGAAAGCATTCGGCCAAATGAAAAACGGCCAAACCAAAAGTTGGTCGAAGAAATTTAGCGAAATGAAAGCTTACAAATCCACTAGAAAATGTACACATTTTTATTCTTGCATCAAAGCCCAACTTTCCAGCCGTCATCGCACCATCACCTGTACAGTATTCTTCCTCGACGGCACCGAGCGCCAATTCCAGTTTGATGTAAGCTTCTTGTCACACTGCCAAAAAATAAACCCGTTTTCTCTGCAGCGCCAAGCCCGCGGCCAAGACCTCCTCGATCGTGTCTTCGGCCACCTCGAACTCGTCGAACGAGAATACTTTGGCCTGCAATTCGTGTGCGTTCTCGACACCCGGGATACGCAACAAAAAGTAAGTATTCAAATTATTAACCAAAATAAAATTTCTTCAGAGATGGCTGGAACCGCAAAAATCTGTTCGGAAACAGATGTTCTGTCCCCCATATTCCCTCTTCTTTCGGGTCAAGTTTTTTGTTAGCGACCCGGTGAAGCTGGTGGAGGAGTATACAAGGTAATAGTAGAATTTACAAAATTATATGCATTTTTAAGATATCACTATTTCCTACAAATAAGGAAAGATCTGCTGGAGGGAAAGTTGCGGTGTGCCGAAGGGAGCCTAGCGTTATTAGGCAGTTATTCGGTTCAATGTAAGCATCTTCATTGCTAATTTATGTATTTTTTAGCGGAACTTGGTGACTACAACCCTGATGAGATGCCTTCAGGTTATCTGGATAATTTTCCAATAGCTCCCGGCCAAAGTCAAGACCTTGTGAGGAAAGTGGCGGAATTGCATCAGGTAATTAGGGTCTAATTAGTCCCTAATATTTTTCTGACTTAGGTGCATAAAGGACAAACGCCTGCCGAGGCTGAATTTAATTTCCTTGACCACGCCAAACGGCTGGAAATGTATGGCGTGGAATTGTATGAGGCCCAGGTAAAACTATCAATATTCTAGAATAACTTCCCATATTTTTAGGATGTAAAAGGACTATTGATTTCCGTGGGTGTAAACGCATTCGGGTTGCTCGTTTTTCACCATGAAAAGAAGATTCAGGTATAAATCGTCAGATTAGATTAGGTAATTTGCTTTCCAGGAATTTGCATGGTCAGCCATAATGAAAATCTCTTTCAAGCGGAAGCAATTCTTTGTAACCGTCCGATTACCTGATGCGAACGGGGTAGATTTTCATAAAAAAAGTGTTGTTATTTTCATAGTTGGAAGACGACAATTGCATTACATTCAACATTCATTCCGCGCCAGCATGTAAACAATTGTGGAAAGCCTGTATTGAGCACCACACATTCTTTCGGTAGTTTTTCTCTATTCTCTGTCATAGAAAATATTTTTAGATTGATCGCCCCACCAGCTCCACCACAAAAAGGTCTTTTCAACCTGGGCAGCCGTTTTCGCTATAGGTCTGTTCTTTTCCTCGTCTCTAATTCCTAAAACAAAGAAAGTCGGGGGTGAACTGTCCCATTTTCGGGGGTCCGCTATTTGCTTTTTAACAATTTTGGCGTGCCGAACGGGTGGTTGATGTTATCTGGGGCTGTTGAATTTGCCGGTTTTCAGCGGACGGACCGAGTTTCAAACGATCGAAGAAATGCGGCAACGGGCAAGGGTGGAACGGACGTTTAGGAGGTGAGAAAAATAATTCATTAGATTGTGAATTAAAACTTTTTATTGATAATTAATAAACTTTTTACTTAGATCCACATCCAGAAATGGCGGTCTTAATTCGAGAGCTACAATTTCTGGTGGACACAGCTCAGCTTCGTCCTCGCAATACACTCCAACTCACACCGTCGATTCACCTGATTTAAGTTTGAGGCTATTCAGGTTGGTTTTAAAGCATTTGTAACGATGGTAGCTTAAATTCAACTTTGATTATTCATAATCAGTGTTGAAAACACGGATTTTTTTTCCATGGGCGGAAAATTCTTGAGCCTGTAAAACCTTGTGAACTTTCGTAAATTCGTGCATTTTCCTATTGTAAAAACAAAATATCACGATTTCCCTCTCCCTTGAGCACCCCGAGCACCAGCTTTCCACCCCGCAATCCACGCTTCAGTCATTCGTGGGCACGCAAGCTACTGCCACTTGGTGGCGGCCGATCAGCCAGCCTAGTCTCTGATGCATCATCTCGGGTCTGTCGACCCCCAGAAGCCCCTCATCCACACCCACCACCCCCGCCACAGGCACCAAACACTGATGTGGCACGAAGGCGAAACCGCAGCCCATTGAGCATCAACCCAAGGAGGGTGATGGCTTCCCCACAACTCGGCCGACCACATCCAAGCACTGGGCTCTCTTCATCAGCACATCAATCTTTGGACGATTCCAGAAGCTCGGAAATCGATGCGTTCCTCTCGAGAAGTCTCTCCATGCACAGCTTTGACGATAGGTTCGTCCTGTTCGTGTCGCTTTGTGTTGATCGCGGCCCTCAATGTCTTCGTCAGGGGGAAAGTGTTCGATTTCCGGGGTGGGGTGGCTCTGATAAAAGATCGTAGCTGGGGGGAGGGTGGTTAATGGAGAGCAGAGACGAGGTGGAATAAGAAAATGATGCTGGGATTTCGCAGCTGTTTCGTTTTTGTGTAGATGATTCAGGGCTTGAATCATCGGGGAATTATCCTCATTGTCGTTTTTATGAACATGGATTTTGCAGGCGTATCGACGTTCAAGCGTTATATTTTCAAATTTTTCAAAACATGGTTGATTAATTTTTACCGAATTTTTATTTCGCAATCATGTTTCATGAAAGTTGTTTTTAAAGGTATGTTTCCTAAAAGCATCAGACTTTTCGTGATTAAATTTTACAGGCTGCTTAAGTCGGTGTATCCCGGAGGCGTCTCTTTGCCCCTTTTTTATATAGCGTAAGCGGTTGACTTCATTTTTCTATTGACGTGGATCATCTGTAGATGACGCCGCATTCCTGAAAAAAGGCTTGAACGTAAGCCTTCCATGCCTTAAAGCATTTCTAAACTTTTGCCGTCCCCGTGAACCCCCCCCCCACCAAGTCGAACACCTTTCCCACCCCGGTCCCCCAGGTCGAGGCGCGTGCATGTGTGTGCGGTGGGTGATAAAAAAGGTCTTTGTGGAGGAGGTGTTTCTTCCTGTGTAATTCGGGAGCGGGCCGTCCGTCTTGGGCCAAGAAAAAGAACGCTAGAGCGGGGAAGGTCCCAATGGGTCGGCAGGTAGCCTGAGGGCTCGAAGGGAAGAAAAGAGAGAGCGAGAGAGAAAGGGTAGTGTCCCCCAGCCCCCCCCCCTTCTAGCAACGAGACACACAAGATCTTGACCGCTATCTATGCCGACTTTCACCCCGTAGATTTCATGAATCCCCTCCTGGTTCTCTCCTTCTCTTCTCTCACCCTCTTCCCCTCCTTCTGCGAATCCATGCTGTATCTCCGCGCATCAACATTTGCCTACAGCCTGGCTCATAACAGGCACCATCTCCCGCTGAGCCCTCATCCCACCCGATATCCCACCATAGCTCCCCCTTTCTGGCTACTTATCCCTCCACATCGCATTAACCATTGATTACGCCGATTTGGCAATAAATTAGGACATTACGCTGGATTGTCTTTGGTCTTCTTAGCTAGATGGTCTGATATTTTACTTAAGACATGGATAAATTCTTTTTCAATTCCGATACCAATTTTCGAATGTCCGACCTGGCTGTAAAGCCATGTTAATTGGCATAAAACCGATTTGTAATCTTGAAACAAACGTAGATCGGCTTTGTTCACTTCTTCATTCTTCTTCTATTATTTTCTTTTTCCCATGTTTCCTTCAATCTTCTCTACTTGTAGCTAATTGACGTGCTCATCAAATGAATTATGGACGACGACGATATGACAGCAAAAGCTTGTCGTAAAGTGCATTGGCTTTGTCTAAATGCCTGGCCATGCTACGAAGACGATGGGTGAGCAGCTTTGATTTTTGCCCTCTACTGCTTCGTTGAAAAGTTATATATTTTGTACCACTAGCTCTAAAAACCTACACGCCACCATACTGTTAATCTCCTCAAGTTCACGGCCTTCACCAATATCCCCCTCCATCGATGATATCTTTCCAAGCCGCCGCTAGCCACCTCCTATTGCCCCTAATCCGCTCATAAACTGACGGTTACTTAATCGCCTTGTCGGCTGCAGCCCATCCCATCCCCTCCCCCCCCAACTCCGCAATTATTAGCTCTTCCCCCAAGTGTCAGATCGCCAACCTGATTAGTGTCTCCATCTTGCTAACATGTCGGGCCCAATTGGGCCCTCCGGGACCTAAACACTAATGCGCCGGCGGGCTGTTGGAAGCCGACGCAGAACCCAGCGCTTTCCGCCCCGTCAAAAGCGTCAAAATTGTCGGCTTCCCCTCTCGGGGACCGTATGTCCACATAGTCGTTTGAAGGCGCGACAAGGAACGGATTGGGCGGTCACCATGTTTGTTTTCCGAAATACGCCGGCCACACATTCTGTTCGGTGGCCTAGGGGAAACCCGAGGGGATCTAGCCGCGGGTATTTGCTGAAAAAAAATCGGGAGAACGTTGAATTGGAGTGTTTTTGGGGGGGATATGTGAACGTACGAGGGGGGGGGAGTAAACATTTTAGCTTGATCAAAAATGAGGGTTTCATTGGGCCCACTATTAAACAGTAAGGTTCGTAAATCTCCGGTTTCTAGGGTTTATGCGCTATTAAATATGCATTTATACTGCTTCTTGCATTTGATTTTGATTAATCCATTTGGAAAACCGATTCAAAAACTTTTATCGGCTATTTTGCTCTTTATTAACACCCAAGACAAATTGAAACATCAGTAAACGGCGCTTCGCATGTTGTTCATGTTATTAATAGAGCCAAATAGTCAAATGTCGGCGTATTAATAGCAGCAATACTGCTTCTTACAATTGTTAGCAATATGTTCTTTCTGCCTGCGCCCTGAAATACAGGCTGTTATTAGGTGTCTAGTTTATCGTACAGATATAATAGCTTTCAAGGGATAATGAAGTCTTAGCTGAATTAGCATAAGCGTCTTTTTTATTTTCTAAACCAGCGCCCAAAACCCGCTTCGCGGGCCTTGGGCGCTGGAATGCGGCCTTTGCATGAAAAGTTTGACCTTCTGATAGCTCGGGTCCTGCGGACCCCCCCCCCCCGCCCCGACCACACGCGGGAGTGCAACTGGCCAGAATGAGGAAGTTTGTATTTTTTCGCATTATGCAAATTAGCCTTCAGGTACCCCCAAAGATCAATAAAACCGCCTTTAACTTTGTAAACGTGTATTTTTGCGAAATTCTGAAAACGCCATCGGAAACAGAAGGGTCGATTCCCCCGGGTGACGGAGAATTAGGGCATTTTATGCACGGGAAGGCCCTCAAATCGGGCCTCGAAAGTGACATCCACACACACACACACACACATACACTCCAAAATTATATGAGGTAGGATGAGCAAAAATCATTTCTGCTCGCTGCTTCCTGGGTGCGCACTCTTCCCGATTTTTGCATAGTGTTTTCGGTTGGCTCGGTACCAATTTGAAGAAATCTGCTCTACATGCGCCTTCCTTATTATTAGGTTGGAACATAAGTTCGTGCAATCGAACCTTGACAATTTCTTTCTGATAATTTAGTGGCCAGATTCCGATATTCCATCTTTGCATATATTTATTGGGTTCATGAGTATGTGGGACCAAAATTACAGGTTTTTAGCCCCAGTAGTTTTTAAGATTTTTGCGTTTCTCTCGAGGGCACTTCAAATGTTGGACCCGGACATCTTTCCGAACCGTCATAAAGTCACCATAGGAATTGATCATCAATATGCTAATAATTTGTATCTACCGGCTACATGCCGAATTAGCCTAAAATGGAAGCCAATTTTGTTTTGTAAAGGCGGGCCGAAGCGATTTTTCATTTTCGCTTAAATCTAGCTTTAAAAAATTCTAATAGGGAAGCAACGCGGTTCCGTTCCACATATCGAATAGAGAATTTTGTTGCATATCCGTTCATCCAAAAAACATTTTCGTTCTTGTTTTCCGGTCCGAAATTTACAAAGAAAGAAAAATATTGCACGAACTTCAGGTCCAACCTAATACTTTCAAGACTCCGGGTTTAATCGATTTCATTATGTAATTTCGTATTAGCCGAATTTCGCTTCGCATTGACCACCCCAAATCTCAGAGCAAATTCCCGCCCGGAAAGTGCCCCCTTAACGCCCCGTAATTAATTACCAATGGGTGCATTAGTGGCTGGGTGGCTGGCTGTTAGGGGGGGGGGGGGGGCAGAGGCCACAGCTTGAGGCTGGCGGCTTCGTGTGTATCCCGCCACGGAGAGATATATCAATGGGTGGATGGTTTGAGGGGTTCGAGTGCCAGCCCTAGATCTCGGCTTAGCAGGGCGAAGGCACAAGGGCATAGGGGGAATATAGAAAGCGGCGACCTTACAGCTGTTTGTCGAGACGGGCGTCATCCGGACGCGGACACGGCACCATGCCAACTAGTCCACTGTCTTCTTCTCTGCGCTTCTTCCCCCCCCCATTCATCGATGCCGCGCGTGGAATCTTGGGGCGCTGCATCAAAGAAACCGTTGCGTGGCAAAACATGTCGAGGTGTATGACATACATAGGTTCCAGTTAAGAACACAAAGGTTGTAGGGGGGGTGGAAGGCCTGGAATACCGAATTTTCTAATTGTAGAGTTGCTCTTTTAGGAACTGGAAATACTATATAGGCTTTTAAATAGTCTTTTACAGACCTTAGGCATAAAAACTGGTTATTTACCTTCAAGAATGTTTTGTTTCTTTTTAAAGCTGTTTAAGTAAGTTTTTGGTTTAAGTTTTTAGCGCTTTCCCTCCAAATAGCTGAGAGCCACTAGGAGTATGGAATTAATAGTGATCGCATCCCTATATTAAACAGCTGAATTATATATAAGTATTTTATGAGTTTATGACGATTATTAGTTGAAAATCGACAATTTACTGAGGTTCAAACCCACTATATAACCCACTTTTCCCTAAAGACAGCTGCTTAGAGGTAACCTATTACAAAGTTTGAAATAGTATTTCGTTTTTAATGGTTCTTTCTCAATTTAAGCTAGGAAAATCTCTATTTACTCTCTTCCGAACCTACTATAGCCCACTTTTCCCCTCAAGGCAGCTGCTAGCCAAGATGTATTCGGGCAAACGATACCCTTCTCGAAAATCACACCTCGAACCACCTACAGAAACTAACAGCAAAATAACTCTTTCGAAATTCCTAACAATTTTTTTTGCTGCATATGATTAGCTACTCACTAGCTTGATCACTTACACAGTATAGAGTGATCACTCCAAAATTTGCCCACTGGATTGATGGCAAAGCTTATCTGCCTCGAATTCCACCCTTGTCTCTGACCCTGAACAAACAATAGGCTCCGAATTGGACCCGAACTATTCCCGGCAGATCGCACTGCCCAAGGAGGGCAATTAAAGTCTGAACTCCGCATGCGGTTTGCCAGTTTGGGCTGGGAAAATTTTTGAAACTGTCTTTGCATATTTTTTGATTTTCTTGTGCCGTAGATGAATTTGGAAACATCAGGAAGTAATGCTTAACGACGAATTGCGCCGGAATGAAAAATTCTAGATAGGATGATTCAGTTATTCTGTAAATCTAACTTTTCTGTAGTATAATTAGCCTAGAAAATAGTTCCCAATGACATGGTAGCTCTAGTAATTTGAATCCTACCTTAAAAATCTAGTAAGATCCTATTTTCCCAAAGAACCATGGCGTGTGCCCGGTTCTATTGTTGCGAGAACAACACCTCTCTGCTGACCATCTTCTTCCCCTTTTCCTCCTGACCATTCTGAAGGCGATGGGTGCAGTCGGCCTCTTCTTGCATCCATTGCTTCCACCCGGTCTTCTTCTTCTTCTTGGTCTTCTTCTCCCCTTTCATGTCGTGTCGTGCCCGGCCCCTCCCCCTTCCATCCATTCCACCCTCGCATCTGTGACACGAGCCATCAACTCCATCCCACAACTTATACACACTCTTTCTCGACACTCCACACCAAAACCGGCCAACCCCCCGCTCTAAATTGGCCCCTATTTTGGGTCTGACCCGAAAATTCGAATGCCCCCTTCCGCCATGATTCACTAAACACTCCCCCCTCCAGTCCATTCCTCCCCCCCATTTCTTCCAGTCAACTGAACAGATAAGCCTGAAGCCGAGCAATCGATGCCATTCAACTTTCTATAACCTCAATTTTATTTCGCCCGAACTCTTGAGGAGGTTTTATTCCGAAATGCTAAAATTCGCGGTGGTGCCTTGGATCATAAAGCCTGAACAGGCAGGTTCTGCCTCGCCGCGTCCGGTGAGAAGGGTACGGCCACGGTAGGTGGAGTTTTCGCATATTCGTGGGCTATAGTCGATGTTGACCACAAAAACTTTTTTCATTACACTTTCCGGTCTGTTTCCATTAGAGATGTTACACATTAGTGTACAAAACTTAGCAGCATGATGCAAAGTGCGAAAGCCAACAAAATTTAGCTTTTTCGAAAACCATGTTAGGAAGATTAAACTTTGCATCCTGATTAAACGAACGCATATAGGTAATGCGTAACAAATGGAACAAGCCATATATGCGTAACATCTCCAAGATCTTTTAATGCTTTCCTAGAATTTTATATTACGAATTTTACTATTATACGCTGCTTATATTTCTAAATTAAATATTAAAATAAAATGGAACGTGGCCTACGCTTACAATCTCTAATTTTATAAACTTTAGTCATTTTCTTTCGCGTCTCTCCCTTTCTTTTATGATTTTACCTATTAATAATGTTCCTTTACAACCCAGCTTTCACCTACAATCCATAACAGGCTCTAAATCTACCTCCATCTCTCCCCCCCACACTCGATAACTCCTTCACGACCCATAAAAGCAAACAATCGCGAAGCGGGGAAGGATGTTTATGGTGTTTATGCCCTAATGGTAGGGTGCTAGAGTGCTTCCATTTCCGCTGCGTCATACAACCTAAATTCGGCTGCATCTTGGGAAACATAACATAGTTGAAGCCGCCTTTTAAATAGATTTCGACCTTCCCCCCCCCCCCTTTTGAACAAATTAGCTGACCGTTCCTTTGCCGACTCCCACAAAAAAACGCTCCCAAAATGGCAAACGATGTCAAGCGACCGAATTTGCTGTGAGCTGTTGAGTGGGTCTGTAAGTGGTTCTCTTGCGCTCCTCGATTCCCGCTCCTCCAAGATCTCCCCCTCGCGCTCCTTCCTCATTTTAGCATACTGACAAATTTGCAGAATGGGCTGGGATGTGAAGGTTGGCGTGGGACGGAAACGGTTGTTAATGGCGATGGGATGGGGGTCGGCTTTGTTGCTAATGCGCTTTTCAAGGCTTTTTTGGGAGAGAATTTTGGATTATTGAGTTTCTCGGTAACCTAAAGACCAATTTAACTACCTAAGTGCTCGATTGGATTTTGCTGTCGTTACCATATCGCCTCCACGTAAGCCCTTTTCCCGTTCAAATCTATTAAAAAAATGTATTTGGAATGCAGAACAGATCTGAAGAGGAGCTCTTTTTAGATACTTTCCTGATATTACGACGCAGCTTAAAGTCGGCAAGGCATATGGAAAGGGTCGGAACCGATCGATTTTACCACTTATTTTAACAATTTTGGACGGCCGGAAAAATTTGAAACCCTCTTGGTTCCAAAAATTATAAACGCTTAGCTTAAATCAGAGCAAACTGCAAGGCTTTTTTTTCTCCTGAATTCAAATCCCACAACCCACAAAAAATTTGGCACGCGCCAATACGATCATCCTCAGACTTCGAAAGCACCGGTTTCGAGTGACCGGGCCGGCCCTTCCTCCTACCCCCCGGTATCCGGTAGTAATTACACAGAGCGTGAAATGGATCTCGTTCCGATTCACACTTCTCGCGCAATTGCCTTTCCCCGGCTCGGTCCTCTGTTCGGACGAGGAGCAGCAGGAGAAAGAGAAGCAGGACAAGGCTTTTGCCCTGCGGGTACCTTCTTACTTTCGCCTGCGCCCGGAACGCCATATTGCGGTTATTAGAGAAGTGCAACGGTGTGGGGGAATGTGGTTTTGGTGGGTTTGGGAGGGGTTTAGGATCGAGGAGGGAGGGAGACGTCATTGTTTGTTTCGGCCTAACCCAACCTTGAAAATAGATTTAAAATCAGGTTTATATTAAAAGTTCCAAATTGTTGCGTACGCTAATGGCGGCCGAGACATTTTTAGCACAATCGCCTGAAGCGATTGGCATCTGAACCGGAATCGTAATTAAATTCCCAAATTTCATTGCGGATTATTTGATTAGGTGCGGCCCGTTAAAAGGTTGAAATTAACTGCCATAAATTAACTTTTCAATTTCAGCTTTTTCTGTCACAAGACCTTTGAAGAACTAGTTCTCAATTCCATAAGCGGTGCGCAAACATACACGTTCCACTCCTCAGTTTATTCGGCGTATGTGTATGTCTGTTGTCGAATAGGCGAAAACAGGCCGAGAATGACCGGGACAGGCTTGAGATGAATGAATGTCTCCTCCTATATCTAGAGGGCGAATCTCCCGGATCCTCCCCCTCGGATGCATAATAGCACTGCTGGCATACTCATCCTCATCCTCACCCGCCTTCCACAATCCACCCGTTCTATCCCTTCAATCTTGTCAAACCCTGAGTTTACCCAGCTCCTTTTTGATGCTCACCCCCAAGTTGTGTAATAATTTCCGAGCAGTCGGAACATTGTTTTTCGTCTCCATTTACCAGGCGGCACCTGAGAAATCTAGTCTAGCATTATAGGTATCGGGTTTCGGCCCTTGGAACGCGGCTTTTTTCAGTTGTATACCCAGATAATTTTTTGTTTCCGCTATGGTATTGTTTGATTGAACCATATCGAGGTTTTTATTGAGCACAATCCGATGTAAAAGCATGAACTGTCGTCCTTATAACACTGTAAAAACAGCAATCATTCCTAAAAAAATCTGAATTTGAACGGTTTTATTGCTAACAATTGTATAAGAGAGTATTCATGATAATGGAATAGCTATTACATTTTTAATGCTATTTTTCAGCGAGTCATCGGCACCTTCGCTCCGAGCAGCCCGACCCAGGGAAACCACTTTTGGGGCCGACGTTGACGATTCCGATATCGAACAATCGTGGACGCCATCGATGATTGGTACACAGGTTTGTGGTTTACAAATGTCCTTTTTAGTAATTTTTATTTTATTAAAGTATTCTAGTCGGTTCCGTTTATGGAACTATTGGGTGGCACAAAAGTGTCCCTTTGGCGTCCTGGATCAATTCCGATTTTCACGATTAAGCAAAATTTCTCAAAAAGGCGAGAAAGCAAGAGTTTTGGTTTAAGTGATCAGTTCTGTCAGAGAGCTCCAAAAACGCTGATTCGGGGGGCAATTTCCGTTTCCGAGCGCTTTTCCGAAAAAGCTTTATCTCAAAAAAATGTTATGTATTTTAAGATAACGAGCCATGCTTGTTTTGTCGTCTTTTCAAGTTCTTCCGAAAGATGTAAGAACCTTTTTTTGTGCTAGCCACTGCTATCTACTTCCGGCCCGATAAAGAAGACTGTCTTTTTTGGGTTAGATTAATTTAGATTTAGATTAATTTATAGTAGAAAAGCTTTAAATTTTGAAATTGACTGACAACTATCCAACCCTTCCAACCGTATCATCAATTGGTCGGGTGTAGCCGGAGCCGGCTGACGCGGTGCGCGTCTCGCGTGGTGGGGGGAGTTCTTGGCGAGGGTCTCATTTGCTCTTCTCTTCTCTGGGTCCCCTCATTTCCTTTCTACTGCTTCTTCTTCTTATGCGCATCTCTCTCTCTCTGTCTCTCTCTCGCTGTCTCTCTCTCTCTCTCTCTCGTTGTGGTTGGTGGTGGTGGTGGTGGAGGAGGGAGGGAGACAGGTCCAGCTAGCCCTCGCCCCATTCGATCAGCACAGTCCTTCCCCCCTCTTCTTTCCGTCAGAAGATCCTCGTTGGGTCCTCTTCTTTCGGATCGATAAATGCTCGACAAGGAGACGACCCTTACGAGGGGTACTTCTATTAGAGGCACTGTCGGCCGAATATCCTCTGCAAAATTGGCTGCCTTGGCTGCGAGATTTGTGAATGAGCCGACGGTTTGTTTTTATTACCGCTTTTGCGAGATGATTCAACAATACCCTCGATTTGTATTTACATTATTTTGTCGTTTTTCCTTTCATCTATGTAGATTTTTCGAGCCGGACCCTTTAGCGTCGTTTTAATCTCTAATCGGGTTCTCCGGAAAATCCAGCTCGATTCAATGAATTTTAAATTAATTAGTTGTAATAAATCATTTGCCGCTTCTTTCGAAGCGAATAGTATTTTGGTACTGCGCTGGAAAGATATACTACATGTAATTTTCCAAATCACGCCTTAGCATGCCCATCGTTTGTGGGTTTCAGATCAATCGATCTTTTAAGATGGCTTTCCATGTTTTTTTTTGTTCCGCATTGAACATCCCTCGACAACTCTTAGAAATTTAATTATCTATGTGAACCTCTATTTGAATCCTCAAAAACGAGATCTCATTCCGAAGGTCGATTTTCATCCCCTAGACTACACCCTCCCAAAAATCCCACCATTGCATAGATTTCTGGCCGCCCAAAAACATCCGAAATTATCTCTCTTTTTCCCTTTCCCCCCAAGACGGCGTGGGGGTCCTGGGGCGCGCGCTTTTTGCGTCTTGGGTGCCATATTTGCACGGCACTCGAGGGCCCACTGGAAGCGACAAACAATTGGCCCGAAGAAGCCGAGGAGGGGAACGATCGTAGAGACCACGGAAAGCCACCCGCATCTCAAGTCTCAAAAACATGGTTGGAATTAGATGGCAGGGGTGGGGAGGCAGCGCAGAGGAGGGTAGAATGAAAAAGCTTGCGGTATTTTTGGGTGCTTATGACTAATTGGTGTGCCCACGCGGAAAAAAAGAGTGTGGAGTACCTGTATGTATGCCAAGGATATTTTTTTATAATTAAAGTATTATCGTAATAAATAATTTTTAGGCTTGTACCTCGGCCGCTCCGTTGCACCAAAAATCCCATTTGGGTTCCACGCGGAAAAGTAGTGCTAATGGAAATGGTTATGGTAAGTAATTTCATAGATTTTAACATGGAGTTGAGCTAAATTATCATTATTTAACCAGGGTTGAAAAACCGCTTCGCGAATTTTCAACCCTGGCCCCGTCTGAGCCCATGATATTCTGCAAATTGCATAATTCGGCCGAATTTCGATGAGAAATAATGGAACATGCATCCTTTCCGCCGTTATATAGGCTGCCGCCACTTCCGGCTTATGCTGATTAATTCCTAACAAAAAGGCTGCCCGATTTTTGAACAAAATTTGATTTTTAATGTCGAAAATAGCATAGGTTAGAAAATCTGATATGTGTGCAGTCATCTCGGCTTCATTACGCACCTAATGACGTATCATACGTAGCCTAATACCCTTCCCCCCTTGAGATATCCTCCGGACACCCTGACGGAAGTTGCATGCAAATCCACACACATACACACACAAACACTATTTTTTATATCATTATTTAATGCTTTAAATTTAAATAAAGCCATTTTTGCACATTTTTAAATTAGGCTTAGGCTCATGCTTAGGGCTTAGGCCTTGCCAGCCAACTGATTGTTTGGCCAAGTTTCTATCGCAAATATTATATGCGTAAATATGCCACAAATTGCTAATATTATATAAACAACCTATGTAACAAATTTAAAAATTGATTTTTGGAGATAATCCTATGGTTTTTATTTTAACGACGATTGATGGAAATTATTGGTCACAGAAAACATTTTGTATTAAGTGTATTTGCTATGGAATGGAACTTAAAGCGTATTTTGCACAAACGCTATGCTCTTGTATTTTCTAGTATAATTTCGATCTTCCCAGGTCCCAACCACAACTACACCACCCAACCCACCGCCATCTCCAACGGCTACACGGTTAGCGCGACAAATAACGCGTCCATTAGCAGGTGGGGGCGGTAGTGTTTGAGGAGGAGGTTTGTTCTTTGTATTTTTCAGGTATCCACAAGGCTCATCCACTCGGGCCACTACACGCACTCTACCCGCCGTCACCAATGGGTCGCCCAGGAATTCGCTGGCCAGGTGGGGGAGGGGCACTTATCTTTCAAAAAACATAACTTTTCGGCGCTGAGTAAAAAGGCTTGCAAAAGTTGGTCGTGGTGTGACCAGATGACGTAGCACTGAATCTTTGGGCTGCATGAAATTCGGCCGAAAAGCCGATTAAAATCTATTTTAAAAGTAAAAACGACCGCAATGCGAAGCCTTTGTGCAGTTTTTGAGCTAATTTGTATTTATATTAATTGATAAAAACCCAAAAATAGATCCGAAAGATTGATCAGGAAAGAATAAACCAACGTTTCTTAGACACCCTAAAAATCGGTTCGTTTGCTAGCCGAAAATTCCGGCAAATGTTTTAAATATCTTTCCATTCTCGAAAATCTTGTCGGTATTTGGAAATTCTAGCGTGATCGGACACCCCTAGAAAAAATTAGATACCCATAAACTAAATATCAAAGAATTCATGCCATTTTGTTAGTTCATTGGTCCTGATTTGCCGGTGATGACTCACAAGGAGACGTTTTTAGATGGGCACGGAGTTTCGTAACGCGACCTAGCTCATCCGAAAGCGCTTGAAAAACTGAACAAGATCGCGTTTTCCATTTCTGCGAAACGATAGCGCTTGATTTTTAATAATTACATTAATGAATTAGCAGAAATTGGCATGGTTCCCCTCGCGCGGAGCGATTTCCTTCCAAAAGTCCCCTCTCGCGGAAAGCCAGGCCCGGTCTTCCCTTCCCCATAGCGATTTGGCGCAGTCGGTAGGGCGTTTGCCCCCCACGAAATTTTTTTGAACTTTTTGTCGGTTCGACCCCTGAGCCCAGAATTCGTTTTGCTTTTTAATTCCTGAACGCTTTTGAAATGTGGAATCTACTACAAAATTAATTTTTTTGAGGTATGCCCCAAACCGGTAGCGTTGCACTCGCGTCTCAGGGATTAAAATCAACTGGCCCGCTTGTGCCTCCACCGATGCTGTTCAGAACGTTTATTTAACGCATTGAGATAAGTAAAATCAAAATTCAGCCCCCTAAAATAAAAAGCAAAACGAATTCTGGGCTCAGGGGTCGAACCGACAAAAATTCCAAAAAAATTTCGTGAGAGACAAACGCCGTACCGACTGCGCCAAATCGCTATGGGGAAGGGAAGACCGGGCCTGGCTTTCCGCGAGAGGGGACTTTGGAAGGAAATCGCCCGCGCGAGGGGAACCATGCCAATTTCTGCTAATTCTTTAATTTAATTATTAAAAATCAATCGCTATCGTTTCGCAGAAATGGAAAACGGGATCTTGTTCAGTTTTTCAAGCGCTTTCGGATGAGCTAGGTCTCGTTACGAAACTCCGTGCCCACCTAAAAACGTCTCCTTGTCAGAGGAATTCCCTTTACTTTCTTTCCAAAATCCATGATCCTGCTCTCCAAATCCCCTTCCGCTCCGATAATCCGCCTGTTTTTCCAGCTCCGGATATGGCGGATCAAGTCCACCGCGAACAAGAAGATCCCCACATAGTCACAAGGTATGTCCCGCCCACTTTACTAATACCCCCTCAAGTGTTTCTCACCATACCCAGAATATAGGCATCCCCCATTCCCTCCCCCCATTCTATCAAAAGTATAGGCGTGTCTTCTGCCCTTCTTTCCACCCTCTTCTTCCCCCTCCGCAGCACAACTGATTTTGTTTGCTTAAGCGCTCGGGGCTAACAGGTTCCCTGTCAAATGCTGGTTCTGCCTATGGCTCCGTTTCACCCTCACCAAATCCCTCATCTGGCCCACCCCTCCTCCCCCCCCCCCTCCTGAACCCTATTCTTTCCACCTGAACGCCTAACCGCTTCCCGGAATTCAAAGTTCAAGCGTCAAACCAATTTTCCAATTTTCAGTCAAATTCCCCAGTTGACGAGGGGGCAATTGTGACGGTGCGTATGAGGCCTGATTCTCAGGGCCGGTTCGGATTCAACGTTAAGGTGAGTTTAACCGGTATTTTAATTTATTGTTTTTCTAATCTAAGCCCATTCTGTTACTATATGCCAGATGAATAACTATTAATATCTTTTACTATGGGTATTTGAACCAAAAATCGATGGTTAGCCGCGGATTTTGGTATTTTAGTCAAGCGGAAGCCCTCCATTAGATACGTAAAATCCCCTCTTTTAGAAACGCTAAGAAACCGAAAAGTCTTGAGTTTATATTAGGAAAAGCATAGTAAATGTAAATGCGTAATTTTTAGGGCGGCGCTGACCAAAACTATCCGGTGATTGTCTCGCGAGTGGCTAGTGGAAGTTCGGCGGATAAATGCTTTCCAAGGCTTAATGAAGGAGATCAAGTAAGCAATTTTGCTAGTTATAGATATAATTGTAACTTAAAGCTAATTTCGCTATTCTTCAGGTGCTGATGATCAACGGGCGTGATGTCTCTATAATGTCGCACGACCAGGTTGTCGCCTATATCCGGTCAGCCAGAACGATGCCGAACGGAGGAGAATTGATCCTAACAATCAAGCCTAATGGTAAGCTCTATGTTTATTCTAATTAAATTATTTAGTCTTAATATAAGCCGTATTTAAATGATCCATTTTCCAGTATACCGATTGGGAGATGAAGCCCCGGAACCCGATGCTTCCTGCCAACCCGAACCGCTCCGAGTCGCCGATACCGTACCACGTTCCGACAAATTATCCCATTCACTACGTATCCTGGGCGAAAGTCTGAAAAATGGATCTATTGTCACGCAATTTGAGGTAAGAATTTTTTCGCCTAATTATATAAAAAATAAATAAAATATAAACTATGATTTATATAAAATCAGTAAAAGCTAGATATTAATTTCGTTTAAAGTATTTTGCTGTTAATTTTTATCCACGGCTTTCAGCAACTCTATCGCCGCAAACCCAATCTGTCAATGAACGACTGCCGGTTTTCGAATAATGTAAATAAGGTAAGCTTTGGCAAAAATTTTTAGGAAAAAATTAATTCAGAATCGATACCGAGACGTTTGCCCCTACGATTCTACAAGAGTCATCCTGCAATCGGCGGCTTCCGGCGATTACATCAATGGCAGCTTTATCAATGTAAATTTGGATAATACATTCTGAAATCCGAATCAGATGGAAATCCCGGCAAGCGGCATAGTGAATCGATACATTGCTTGTCAAGGACCGTTGGCCCATACTACTCCAGGTAAAGAAAATAAAGTGTTATATCAATTGTTGTTAGATTTCTGGATAATGTGCTGGGAGCAACTGTGTACGACAATTGTCATGTTGACAACAACAGTCGAAAGGGGGAGAGTAAAATGCCATCAGTATTGGCCTAGGTAAATTAATAAATCTAAACTATTAAAAACTTGGTTTTTAAGGCTCTATGAGACCCAGGAGCAAGGCCGACTAACGATTACTTGCGTGAAAGACCGGGAAACGCCGAATTGCTCCTATAGGGAATTTAATGTGAGGGACAAGCAGGTAAATCTTTTAAATTTATATGAAGAATTTTTCTAGCTTACCTAACGCAGTTTCCATTTTGTAGCTTATTTTTTCAGAGCAAAGAAGAGCGCCGAATAACTCAGATGCAATACGTTGCCTGGCCAGACCACGGTGTCCCAGATGACCCACGGCATTTCATCCAATTCGTTGATGAGGTAGGTTACAAACAGCTTTAAAATCCTTCTTAATTAAATTAAATAGAACGAGAAAACCTATGAATTTTTTTCCAGGTGCGAAGGGCCCGTTGTGGATGCGTTGAACCTATTGTGGTTCACTGCTCTGCCGGAATCGGTCGAACTGGTGTGCTGATTTTGATGGAAACTGCCGGTAGGATTAATTAGGATAAAACGAATTTAACAACATTTTTCAGCTTGCTTCGTTGAGGCGAACGAGCCGGTATATCCGCTAGAAATCGTCCGGGTGATGAGGGACCAGCGAGCGATGTTGATTCAGACACCTGTAAATTCCAAAAAAATGAGACTATAATGCTTTCGGAGAAATTCGGCCTTTCGAACGCCTTTAAAAGACACAACACTTTTAGACCTTAACTTCTGTTTATAAAAATTAATTTACTTTATTTGAGACAACTTTAGTGAGAAGAATCTTGGCTATGGGTTAGAAAGATGTCTTGGACTATATTAACCTTTCGTATTTTTTAAAACATCAGTAGATTTAAGTACGTTATTTCTTAATCATAATGCCTCATCTAACTTAATTTTAGGGCCAATACACCTTCGTCTGTGAATCGATCCTCCGCGCTTACGCCGATGGAGCCATCAAACCCCTCGCCGAATATCAAAGCAACCAATCTCAATTCATGAATTAAAATCATTTTTTGTTTATTCAGATTTTGATTCGAGATCCCCCTTCACAAAAACACCATCGCTTTCATGAACCCCTCCCTCCTCACGTGTATCCCGCCTTACTACCCCGTCCGCTTTATATCCACCATTCTCGACAGTACCACTCCTTTCAAAACTGCTTCTTCTACCCCTCCCCCTTCTTTCGAATTCTAATATTGATTGATTGTTTATGTGCAAATATTATTTACAGAGTATTTTTGGGTGTAAATAATAAATTTATAGAACTTATGGAACTACGTTGCAAAAATACACCAAATTCGCAAATTAAATGGTCGCTTACATTAAAAAGCAAGAGATCGGCTTAAAAATGCAGTTAGATGCAAAATTAGTTATTACCATCAGATAATTAAGAGAATTTAATATGCTAATATATAGTCTATAATTAATACAAAAAATTGCATATGATTAAAAATTAAATTATTTGCAAATCCTAAATTAATTGGCGTTCCAGCTGCATGAAAATGGCACTCGACCTTTGATTTTTTAAATTTTGGACGGGACTTGATTTTTAAGAAAACCATTTAAGGGCAAAATACTCCTATAAATTTGGCGTCTATGGATTCCCCATTTTGTTCGCGCTCAAATTGATAGCCAGCTATTAACATGACTTGCTCACCCCTTTAAGATTCACCAAAATCCACGTTGAACTTTCGAACTTTGGCCCCAGGCTTGAATTGAGTGATCCAATGATTTCCCCCCGTGAAATTGTTGTGTGGTAGGCATGCGGGGTGTGCGGGGTGATTACACCAAAAGCAGCCTATAGAGCAAATCCTTACAGCCCCCCTCCCCCACCAAGCTGCGATTCTCCGCCCGTGGTTTGGGTCATTGGGCACAGCCGCGCACCCTTACAACCAATCATCCCGATCTAGCCGGCTCGTCAACACGGCGCACATCAACCGCGGCACCTTGGCTACAAGTTCGCTTTTCCGGTCGGCTTTTGGCTTGGATATAGTTTTATTTTGGCGTTACGGCACGATGTCCGGGCCCGCAAATTCGCAATTCGGCACGACGCCGCAAATTTATATCCTATCCTACCTTATATAATTTGGTCGCGTATCTTTGTGTGCGTGTGTGTGCGAATGTCACTTTCGAGCCTCGATTTGAGGGCATTCCCGTGTATAAAAGGCTCTAATTTTCCGTCACTTGGGGTAAGCAACCCTCCTTTTTCCAATGACGTTCTCAGAATTCCGATAAGATACAAGTTAACAAAGTTAAAGCCGGTTTTATTTATTTTTCGGGTACCTGAGGGCTAATTTGCATAATGCGAAAAAATACAAATTTGCTCATTCGTGCCATTTGCACACGCGCGTGTGGTCGGGGGGGGGGGTCCGAAGGACCCGAGCTATCGGAAAGTCGAATTTCTCATGCAAAAACCGCATTCCAGCCCCCAAGGCCCGCGAAGCGGGTTTTGGGCGCTGGTTGTGTATAAATTTGCGTGGATTTCTTAGTTTCATGCACAGTTCCGTGACTAGTCAAGAAAGGTCATTTGGTGAAAATAGGCCTTTGACTTACAAACATGCCGATTTTGCTGGAGAACCAGGTTTTTCCAAAATCTCGGCCTTTGAAATTTTTTTGAAAAAGGTATTTCATATTTTTCTAACCAAGCGCCGTGAAAAACTATGTATATAAATTGATCCGAATCTGAGGTCCCAAATGGGCCCAGGTTAAACAGCCGCATAGCCGTTTTTCGACAATCCTTTCCTGAAGGTCCTACAAAATTAACCTAAAGCTCCTCTGTTATCATTCATGATTTAATTCACAGGCTTTGTCTGATTAACCTACCCTTTCCAATCCCTAAACGTACCAAATCCCTCGCATCAAACCACTACGGCCAGATGGCATTGATAGGCCCCCGGGTGCCCGATCTGGAAAAAAAGTAGCTCGCTCTGTGGTAGAGGAAGCTTTTGGAAAAAAGTGTCGTTGAGTGAGGAATCAGTTGGCCTTGTCAGAACGGCTCTCGCATTGGGCCCTTCACTCAATCAATCGCTCCGCGGGATCAGTGGCCCCGGATCTTTATCCAATCTTTACACGGCGTTTCCGTGCTGATCCCCACAAGTGTCGGGGCAGCAAATTTTTTTTGGTTTTCACTTCCGTTTCTGGTTCTGATCTAGAATTTTTAGACTGGTTGGTGTTTATATAGTCCCTAAGATGCTATATAAGACTTGAAAACCTACTTTCAGCTTTCTTACAACCCCTCCGGGCTTCATATGCCAGCCGGTGACACCCAAGTGGTGAGAAGATGGCCCTTTTGATGCGGGATGCCCGGCAGTCTATCGCGAATGCAGGTGCCGCATTCTTCAGCGCTTTATAACAATTTACTCGCCGTCCCTTCCCCGTCATTCCGGTAACTTTAGAGATGGCGCTTTTTTCGGGCAAACGGAAACAAGGCCTCCCGAGTCCGCCCGGCTCACCGCCCATGTCTACCGACGACGATACGCTGGCCGGGGTTGAAGCTTTACTCAGCAGATATGAAAACCATCGGTAGGTTTTAATTCCACGTATTTAATTTTGATTGATACTTTGCTTCCTTTAACGGTTTTAAGAGAGGTCGGATTGGGATGATTTTTATTCTACTCGGAAGGGATTGAACATTCGAAAAATCCAACACGTTTTTAGAAATATGGGTATTTGCTAGATTTTCTACGATTTACACCATTTTTTAAATCAGGAAACTTTTCAATTTGGGAAGGCTCATTGATTATGTGAGAAATTATGCAATTTCATCTAAATTTATGGAAATACCGCAACTTCCGTTGATAGATATTCGCGAAACAGTTGCCGTTGCTTGGGTTTTAAGTTTTCCATCTAACAAGGAGACGGTTTTTAGTGTGAATGGAGTTTTAAGTTGAAACCAGGCCTATTCTGTGCAAAATTTTGCGCTGATTCCGATGCTGTTTTCCAATTTTGCTAAATAGCTCGATTTAAAAAGTTACAGCTATTTTAAGATAATTTTTAGGCCCAGAGTAGCCATATGCTATGCTGTGCTACTTTTTTGTTATAATGTTCTAATTTATTTTAAGTAGTCTATCTTGTAGAGAATTTTTTTCTGCTTTGATTGGTATATTTCATTAGTGCGGTACTACCTATGAACGATCACTTATAGGGGAGTGAAATAGGCTGTTTTTCCCCATTTCCCATACAAAAAACTGAGTCCATACCAAGTATCGTCGATTTTTTCAATTCTCAACAATTTTGAGTTAAATAGCTCATTCGATAGAGAAAAATTTTCTGAATACGATGGCCATATTTATTTTTGGAAAAACAGCCGGGAAAAGCAACATAATGGTCCCTAAAGAGGGGAAAATGTGGGCTAAAATGATCTTAAAATTGCTGTAACTTTTGAAATCGAGCTATTTAGCAGAAATGGAAAACATATTCGGAATCAGCGCAAAATTCTGCACAAAATAGGCCTGGTTTCCACTCAGAACTCCATTCACACCAAAAAACGTCTCCTTGTAAGCACCACTTTAAGCTCTAGTTCAAGATCCTTAATATCGAAGAAACGTGAAACGCTTTTGCAAATGAGGGAACGAGGAGTTTCTGAAATTTGCGAATCCTTTCAAACGGTATAAAAATCATGTCGATGCCACTTTACGCCAGATCGCTAGAAGGGAGTAGTTTTTTCGGACGCTCTGGTATTTTGTATCCGGTCAAACCCTTCCTTATTAGCTACAGATTGAATCCTAATCGATCATTATCATGAATCTACTTCTAAAAATATCTGATGTACTGAACGTGAAGGTGTTGATGGTTGTGTCGTGGATGACACCTATTGTCCAGACCCCTCTTCCCATCCTTGAGCCTTGTTCAGTCCTAGTGTAACATCCATGGATGTCCCCAATTCCTCTCCTTTTAACCCCTTCGCACAGCCGAGAGCCTCGGCATATATCTCGTTTTTCACCGGCCATCACATTGACTAGTACCTGGTCCGGTTCATCATCTCAATCGATAACTCGAAGTAGTGATTTTGAGCGACTTTTGGACGCTGTGGTCCTGATTGCTGATTAGGTTCTGGATAACGCTTTTATACATATCAATCCAATATTGGAAGAAGATTAACTCGAATGCTAAATAGAAACGGATTGAAGCTTAGCGAAAAAGCCTATTTTTCGCAGAATTCGTCGCTCTTTAAAGATATCAGCTTCTATCTGTCTCTCCCTATGAAATTTCATTGTCTAAATGTTTTTCCCGAGGTACAAATTGTTTTTCAATTTTGGTTATGGTATATCCCAAGTAATCGACCCACTCTAGCGGGCCGCAGCAGCGCCCGATTTTGGTGAATTCGGTATCGAAAGAAAGCTCTCGGAAGACGAGAAATCAAGAACTTTTCGTTTTTCAATATGACAATTTTCATTCACGCAGTTTAGTGGAAAATTCCCAAAAAACTGTAGATTTTATGCAGAGTTTGCCTGTAAATTGCTTGCTCAGGCTAACGGGACGACGCGGATTTGACGCGTACTTAATTAATCGTTTAATATCGAGCCAGGGTTAAGAAACTTTGAAAACTAAAACACTTGTGTTCTCGCTTTTTAAGGGCTTTCGAATGATGTAAAATTCGAGGCGCAAAATCCCGATCCGAGCTTTCTCCTGCCGCTAGAGGGCGTCGCATTTTTGGGGCACCCTCTACTTTCCCAAATTATTAGAATTTGCAGGCAATAAAAAAATTTGCATAAGGCCCCTGAGGAAACTTCAAAGGCTCTAACTCCTGCCCCCCCAGCTGCTCATAAACCCAGTAGCTATTGTGGTCTTCCGCGTCTCGAAATCCGAGCTGCGAAGTGCCACAAATAAAAGACACGAGTCCACTGTTCGGGGTGTAACGATGGGTAGAAAAGGGGGATGAGACACAAAGGCGTTTAGAGCAATGAAAGGACAGCTGTCTTTCACTGACTTTTCGTCTCGTTTTTCGAGGCTTGGATAAACTTTTATGACCGCATGGCCAAGGGTGGAAGAGGTGGTCGTTGATTGACGATCGAATGTGTGAAAAGGAAAACGAGGCCGGAAAAAGTTTATTTCTTAGGGTCGGTTTGTGATTTTAAAGAATTTAAGGAAATGGGCGAGGAAGGCTAATCATTCTCTATGCAGATTCTTACTACAGGGTGTCACAAAAAACTATCACCATTGGCGATTAAAAAAAAGCGATCACAATGATAGTTGTGATCGCTTTCTGTGTAATTGTAATTCTGTAATTCAAAAAAAAACAGGATTTAATTTTTTTTAATGTTGAAAAATTTTTGTCCTAGTAGAAGTTTTGCCTAAAAATCAGTGGTAATTCGCAGTTCAAGTCTTTCACCGTCCCCTTAATACCCCACCGCATTTTGCATTTTGTAACTTTCAACCGGAAACTCCCCCCCCCGACACTAAGATGAGCCGACAACCGTTCGGTTCGCCTTGGGCAAAAGGGTGATCGGGTGGAGTTGAAGTAACAGCTGACCTGCCCCTTTCTACGACGCCTCCTTTCCGCATAAAACCTCTACAACGGCGTGATGGGACCTCGGGGGTAGCAATAGAAACGATGCCGATATAAATCATTGGCTTAATGGGACCTACAACAGGGGCGGAATGTGTTAAATCGAACAATAGAAAGGGCTTGGGACAAATAAAAGCAGATGTTTGGTCTTGAAATCTCAAAAATCAAAATATTTAAAAGCTGTTAGTGCCTAATAATTTTTTTCGAATGTAGATAACATAATTCCCCTGTAATTATACTGATTTCAGACCATTAGAAGTGTCGTGCGTGTCGACGGAGGGCTCGCGGAGAGCCTCCGTGGCCACATCCATCTGCATCCTCGACTCGCTTGAAGGCATCCTCACCGATAATGTAATCAATTTATCTATAGTTACTATTATTAAAGTATTTATATGTGAATTTACTTCATCTTTTAGATGCTCGCCGGTGGATATCGTGGGAGCCAGGCAGAACTTCCAAGTTTTGAAGCACTTCATGCCGCACCAGCACGGGCTTCACTTTTTATACGGGTTTGTCGTTCGTCATTCATTGTTATTATACATTATATACGTTATCGATAGCATAGCAGCAATTAATACCTTATATCAATTAATTATAACATTAAAACCATATATTCAGGACGAAAAACCAAGCACCTGGGTCCGAACGGTAATCCCCCAAATCCCATTTTGTTCGATTCCCAGTTCATTAAAGTAACAACTCATCAAATCTTTCTCCTTCAGGCGAAACACTTCTACGACAAGTACAGACTCCGAAATTATGCCCCATTTATTCTACTTTTTCTATATTCCCTGCTTGGAGCATTTCTGTTCCATTCCCTGGAGTCAGATCATGAAAAACAGTTGATGATGTGAGTTTCAAGAACATAAATCAGTGTAAAATCGACTTTAGTAAAGAGCAGCGCGATCTCGAACAATTACGCAATGTTACTTTTACACAATTATTTCGATTGGTGCGGATACCCAGTGAACAAAACGGGGACCAAGCGAGGTGAGCTTAAGATATACACAAAAACTGATTACCATCTAGTATAGTATAATATATAGTATATTATTAGTATAATAAATCTAATTTAGCAAAATTTTGGAAACACACGAGAAAGAGCTACAAAGGATAAAACTGCCCGACCATATCAACTGGGATATGTGGGGTGCTATGTTTTATGTTGGTGCTCTGGTCACTACTATCGGTTTGTGGCATTCTTTGGAAAACTTGGCTTTTTAGGCTACGGTAATATTGCGCCCCGTACTGTAGCGGGTCAAGCTCTTTCGGTGCTCTATGCCCTTTTTGGAATTCCTTTGGTTTTGGCGATTCTTTCACAGGTAACAGTTGTTTTTTTCTCAAAGCCTCCCAATTTTGGGAGGCTTTGAGAAGCTTGATTGTATTTTTATTTTATGAAGCTACTTATATGTTTTCTAGTTTGGGCGTACGCTAACAAACTTAGTGTCTGATTGGTGGCAAAAATATCGACAACGAGTAAAGAAAGCCCGGTCTCGGATTTGGAACAAAGCCAAAAAAGCGCCGCTGACTCACACTAGACGGTAGGGTTCTAATCAATTCATGTATTAAATACAATCTAATACAATTTCCAATATATGACTTTACTTAAGGCATATATTACACATTTAGCAATACAATAATCGAGCTCGAAGACGGCCACCCAGCCCGAGATCTGATTTCCGTAGCCGATGAGGGAGATTTAGAAGAGCTCGAGGAAAGTCGGTAAGTTATATAAATGACTATTAAACGTATCGGATACTTTTTAGAACTATTCCTGTCTGGCTGGCCCTTCTAATTTGCATATTATGGATCTGCGCGTGCGCGGCCCTATTCTGCATCTGGGAAAAGAAATGGACATATTTCACGTCGCTATATTTTTTCTTCATCTCCCTGTCGACTATTGGATTGGGTTAGAATGTTCCCTTGCTATTTATACCGGAATTCAGGAGACATTATTCCTGATCACCCGAGAATGCTGATTCTAATGTTTTGGCTTGTCATCATCGGCCTTTCCATCGTCTCCATGTTGTTATCCGTTATCCAAATTAAAATGGAGGAATGGCTGTATAATTTGATGATTCGGATGCAGGTATTTCATTAGCTTTGGAACGGAAACGTGTTTTAGAAAGAATATCAAAAAGCGCTTGAAACTGGAGACATGATGGACCGGTCACAGATTTTGGAAAAGTACGTTTTCTATATACGTTTAATCCACTTCTCAGAATGATGGACAACCAGCCTTGGTATCTAAAGAATTTTGGGCCCCACTTAATGAACGACAAGCAAGCCGATGCTTTGGAAAGAAAAGTAATTTTTATTTATTTAGAATTTACGGTCGTTTAGGCTGAAAAATACGACCGTGTCATGAGGGAAGTTAACAATAAAAACATTCAAACGGAAGGCCCAATTTTTGATACAAGAGAGGCGCAATGCGAAAAAGCTAACCTTCAGGTAAAAAATACTTAGTTTTAATATGCCTTTTTTTAGAGTATGGCATGCTCCCCAAAAAGTGAATCGCTAAAGGACCTCAAAAACATGGAAACGCAATGGAACAGGTAGGCGCCGTCAAAAATAATAATTATCGATCCACTGCCCGTTTTTTCTAGACATTCTTCAATATCCTCTTCAAGGTATTTCAATGCATTTAATGCTATTGCATGAACGCCCTTAGAACGCCTATAGAAAGCTTCCCAATCTATCCTATTCTTTAGTTGCTGCTAATTTTCCGCCACCTCTTTCAAAATCACGAAAACAAAGACAATATCTTCATTTTAGCGATTGCTTCACGACGTGTGATGAGGTCACCGAGTCACTGGCGGTCCCAGAATTAGAAAAAGAGCTGTTATTGGAAAAGTAAGTTTATATTGAGCCCTTCCAAAAACATAAAAACAGGGCTCAACTGATTTCTGAATGCGAACAAACATCGGAGGCGGCATTGAATTCGGTCGGAGCACAAACGTCGTTAGCCCCAGAATTTGTGCCAAAAAAGGTTTGAAAATCTTAACTCACATTATGCAAATTCCTCAGCCCGTTCAATCATCCGAAAGCTGTTCTCAGACCGAAATTGCACAATTCCAAATTGACGAGATCAAGCTGAGACTCCATAGTATACAGGTAATGATTATCAACGTTTGTAAAGTCTCCAAATTTTCAGGAAAAACGAGCAAAGGCCGCAGAAGCGAACGCAATCTCAAAAGCCGCGCTTTTGTTGGAAATGCTAGAGAAAGAAACGCAATGTGACATCTTGGACGCAGCACTAATGGTAGCTGAGATACGAGCGCATTAATGAAGGCCTTTTTAGGACCCAGAGATTTTCGCTGAAGTTGAGCACGAGGTGAAACATGGTAATTTGGCCGATGTATCCGTCAAGAAATCGGTAGGAATGTAAAAGGATTTTGTTTAGTGATCATTTTAGGAAGCCGGAGTCGGGACCGAAAGTGGCTTCATGCGAGACCAGGGTTGCAGAACGGATTCGTCAATGGGAATGTGGTGTCGTGGAACACAAGCTGGACTGCCCATGCATAGGGTAAAACAGAGCTTAAACATTTTTTATAGCTGTTTTAGGATATGTGCATCTCGACGAGTCGTTCTGAAGATTCACAATCGGATTCACCAAAAATTGGCACACCACAGAGAGTTAGTGAAAAAAAAGAAGAAAAAAACTAATTTGATTAGGATCAAACAACGCTGACGGATTCTGGGATAATGATGGCGAGAACCTCTGCCACCGGGTCGTCATCTCCGATTCTTCTACCGGCCGCTGTCGCTATTCAATGTACACCGGATATGCTGGTAATTTACTGACATAGGGGATACATTAAAGATAAACAGATTTAGGACCTTGTAATACACATTAAAAGTATTATATTATCTATTAAAAGTTTATTTAGGACCATGCAACACATACAGAATCGGCGATTTGTCAGTCAAGAAGTATGGAAACGCTTCCGGTTCGAATTGACACCGAGACGAGAGAAGTGCAAACGGCAAAGGAAGTACAGGTCGGTACATGCTGATGGATTAATTGTTACATACTGTTTTTAATTTTTTTACTTTGATTTGTCTATATTTGAACTTATCATAAAAGTACTAGGCATAGCGAGGAGGAAAAAAGCCCGGTTTTCCCCGGGACCACCCGTATGCTTGTTGACGGGTAGGCCAGACCACCCATATGCTCGCATGGGTGGTCCCTGCATTTCCAGCAAATTACGCCTTCCCACCTCGCCACCCCATGAGAAATACACGGCCCCAATGCCCGAGACATGATGCTTTTGGCCCAAATGCCCATGAAAATAAGCGCTATTTGCTTAAAGCTATACACCAAAACTTAGTTGAGAAAGCTTAACTGACCACGTTATCGTCCAAATATCCACAAAAATGACCGTAAAGCCATAGAATAAGCATGGGTTTTCCTTTCATTAAATGATAAATAATGCTGAAGATGCCTAAAATACAGAACTTTTATGAAATGACAAAAATCTATTGATCGTAGGGCGAAAATAAAAACAAACAACCGAAAACTAAAAATATGATTTTTAGGACGAGGGCACGGATGTTCATGGTATTTTTGTTGCAACCACTTGCGGCACTCAAAGTGAAATACCAGATAGTGAGGTTGGTACTTTATAATTACCGTAACTGACTTAAAGGTAGCTATTTCTTATTTTCAAATATAAGCCATTTTGCCTTTTCTAGGATCGCTCGATGATCACCGATATTCCAAAAATGCGCGATCGCAGTATGGAGACCATTAATGTCCCATCTTCTACCCAAATCGAGTGCACTCAAACGGATTGGCCAGGGGATACAGGAACGGTAGACCTAACTTAGCACCTCAAAATTTTATAATTAGGCTAATGGGCCATCAATGTCATTTATGACAACATCCGGACCAATGTCGATGTCATACTCTGCGTCGGTGATGTTATCAATATCTACCCAGGTACTGTAACAGCTTTTTAGCATTCTGTTTTATAGCTTAGAGCATTAATGCGTTCCGCAGTACTTATTGATGCTCCGGTTATTAAATGGCGGTTGGAGGGTCAATAGTTGGGGGCTCTCGTTGGCCCAGCTCACAAGGAGACGTTTTTTAGTGCGAATGGGGGTTTTAAGTTGAAACCAGGCCTATTCTGTGCAGAATTTTGCGCTGATTCCGATACCGTTTTCCAATTTTGCTAAATAGCTCGATTTAAAAAGTTACAGCTATTTTAAGATAATTTTTAGGCCCAGAGTAGCCATATGCTATGCCGTGCTACTTTTTTGCTATCATGTTCTACTTTATTTTAAGTAGCCTATCTTGTAGAGAATTTTTTTTCTAATTCGAAAGGTATGTTTGATTAGTGCGCTACTGTCGATCGTCGATCGCTTACAGGGGTGACAAATAGGCTGTTTTTCACCATTTCCCATACAAAAATCGCAGTCCATACCAAGTATCGTCGATTTTTTCGATTTTCAACAATTGTTAAATAGCTCATTCGATAGAGAAAATTGTTCTGAATACGGTGACGATATTTATTTTTGGAAAAACAACCGGGAAAAGCAACATAATGGTCCCTAAAAGGGGAAATTTGGGCTAACATGATCTTAAAATTGCTGGAACTTTTGAAATCGGGCTATTTAGCAGAAATGGAAAACATATTCGGAATCAGCGCAAAATTCTGCACAAAATAGGCCTGGTTTCGACCTAAAACTCCATTCACACTAAAAAACGTCTCCTTGTCAGTTGACGGCATACCATGGTGCCACCAAGACCATACCTTGGTATCACCTCTCGTGGCACTTACATCTTTTGGGGCAGTGCCACGGTGATACGAAAGTTTGGTGACACTAAAGTGTGTCGTCAACTGAGAGCTGTCTTTTTGGGCGTGGTGATACGTAAAACGTACCCCAGAAGGGAGACCGGGTATGAAAACTGTATTGTAAGGACATTTCGGGTACAAGTACGCTGCTTTCGCGTCGGGTTCGGATACAGAAGTGTCTTTTCAGAAGGTTTCCTTTCTAGTTAAACCGTTAAGAGAGGAGACTTTGAATTCAATCGTTTTTGGGGGCAAGTCATAAGCTAAAAAGCTTTCCAGCTTTTCGGCTTCCCGTCATTTCTTCGCACGTTTTAAATATCATTCTTTGATCTTTCCTTGCAATCAAAACGCCCACAAAAAGCCAGACGTGAACATCAACCCCAACTATTTAATAGAATAATGAAATTACCAATCACCCCGTCCCCACATTTCCAAGGGTCTATTGCCTCACCATACGCCATGTACCATCTCGTAATTCGATTTCATTTTTCCAAAATTAGAAATACGGCTTGCAATCAGAATTTGCGCTTTTGACATATTTTTGAAGATAATGAAATGAGAGACGTGGAGAATAAATGGAAAAAAAATGTTGATTTGTAGTGTTCACCTCCGGATTCTCCGAATTCTACCCTGCGAGCCTATGGACGGTCTTCAACATCCGGTGTTGATGATGGCTCATCAATTGATAGGTATCATACCGAACATATCAAACGAAAGACGAATCTTTAGTAATGGCCAGCGCAAAAGTTTACAACGCCAAGAAGTTATCATCCAAACCGATGACAGCTACTTGAAAATTGCCCGTCGCTTGGATGATTATAGGTAAGCTAATACAAATATAGGTTATTTTGTATAGATCTAACAATAATAAAAATTCACTGCTACCGGTTTGTGCTGCTTCTCCAATGTCCCCGGGTGCAAGTCCTGGGCGAGATGCTGGGTAGGTTTAATGTAATTGTAAAATTAGATTGTATGCTGCATTCCCTTCAAACTACCCTGAATGTCATCACTTTTTCCTTTATTATTTTTTAAATAGAACTGATCGACCATCGGAAAGGAGAGGTTTTTCTGTGGAGCTGAAACCGCCTTCCAGGCTGTCGAGACGGCCATTCAACAAACTACATACCTTGTATGCCTTTGGATTTTGTTATTTACACCCTGAAAAATTATTCACTAACAATTAGGAAAGGACTATTGCAAGCGAATGATGTATTTTAATTGATTTTAAACCCGCACTGGTTTTTAGACAGATCTAGAAACCGTTTCCATCATAAAATCAAAAACCTCTGTATTCTAATTGCTTGATTTAAATACTTTTTAGGGAACAAGCCAGCCAAGAAGGAGATGATACCCATGAAAATTCCGTTTCGGTGAGTTTTTCGAAAGTATTTTTCAAAATCCTGTTCATTATAGCCTTCCGCAAAGACTACCGATTTATAAGGAGGTAGTCGGAATAAATTTGTCACTAACTTTATTATTTCTTAAATTTTTAATTTCCGTTAACAACACAAATTTTTTGTGAGGAATTTAATTATTTCCATGGTGAATAATTCATTAAACAAAGAAATTAAAACTACGCTAACTATTCTTTGCGCGGTTTCAAATTTATTTAAGGCAAAATTCTTTTTGTAGAATTTTCAATTTTCCAAAAGCTATAAGTTTCCCTAACCGTTTCCCTCAGTTTTTCAGCTTCTTTGGCCTTTTTAGTTTCTTTCACTTCACCGCGTACAATTTATAGCAGCCATTTTAGGGAAAGAAAGCCCGCTCAACATCACCTCGAAAGGGCCGTGGGCGTACGGGTATCTCGAGACAACCCTCTCTACCAGTCGGAATACCCCGCGGAAGAGTCTCTGATTTTGTAGCGGCGCACGAGCGTGGAATACCCAATCCGGCCACTTCCCTCCGGACCCCAGTCCGAATTATACGACAATATTCATTGTGCCAGGATCCTGTTTAGAAATTTAATTTTTGTGTTTACAGTAGCAACAAGTTCATCTGGTCTTTCTTTCCAGTATAATTAATGCCCCTGGGTATAGGCAACACATCAGGATCTTGTTTTTATTCTTGAAAGCCAAAAATCCTGAATGCTTATGATGAAAATGTAACATAAACTAATAGTTCCATTCAATTTTCGATTGAAAATCGGTTTTAATACGTGATACCGGTGTTTTTGTCCAAAAGTTTATCAAAAGAAACTTGAAGATAATTCTATTTTATTCGTGAATTTATTTTAATTCAGTTGTATCAGCAACGGGTTCAGTTGTATGGCTGGTTCTTTGAAATAAATCTTTCTAAAGATGAACACACCAACGCCTGGTACACAGCTCCACCAAATTAGCCACTTCGCACGCAGCTTTTTATTTAAATGTTCAGCATCAGAAAATGTCTTATGAACTGTTTAGAAAAATGTAAATTTTTTTTGTTCCAAAGTCTGCCCGGTGCGGAAGTTCATAGAGCGATTACATGAACCGTTTGAAGACATCTGCCAAAAATTTTTATCCAGACAGGGTTTAAGCTCTGAAAATGTAACCAGATTAATCGGCTACGTTTAATGTCGTCAGTCCATCTCACGTAGACTTCAACCCTTTAAATCGCACTTTTTCGACCTTTCCTCAACAACACCAACTGTCTACCGCATTGTAAAAACAATATGATGCAATTAGAATTCCCGGCGGGTGGTGACAAAACGTTAAAAATATAGGGAGACAGTAGTGATTCCCTGGCTACTTTGATTTTCGTTTCTGCGGTCTTCATTCGAGAGGTTCGTGGAATTACAGGATGGGCAACATCTTCGCAAAAATTCCTGATACATTCTCGCATTATAATGATCCTTCGTATGTGCAGAAGACGTTTTGGTCGGCGTCCCAAGAATCTACCGTAAGCCTTTTGACCACCTTTAGGAAATCTGACAATTTCTAGCTGATGGGATGTCCTTGTTCAATATTCTTAGGGATTATTTGCTGGATTTTCTTGCGCAATAGGCAATTGAGGAAAAAATATGAAGTAAGAGGAGCTTTAGTAAATTGAATTGTTTCTAGAATACACTTGTTTTTATATCAGTGGCATGTTTTATATTTGGATCTCCGATAGCTTGGTATAATTGTCTGATCTATGTTGGGATGAATATCACTGGAGGGAATTTTCGATTTACGGCTTTTTCTTGCACGTTTTTTAAAGTGCTTGGATTGACAACATGGTATTGCTCATTTTTGGTTCCTAGTGTAAGTTTTAATTCTAAGCAATAGGGTAGCCTTCGAGATTAGTATATAAATCTGGAGAAATGTTATTAAAAAATCCCATATTTTATTCAGGTTGTCGCCCTAAATCGCTACCTAGCCATCGTCAAGGATAAAAAGACAAACTGGCAGTTCTCATGTAAAGTTTTGATGTTAATCTATTCCCCAATGGTACGCCAGCTTCCTTTCGAAGGAACACTTCAAAAATTTAGTTATTCATCGATCTACTCAACTTTTTCTTCGGAGTCCCTACCGTAAATGCCACCTGCGCTATTCTATTGTACGCCACTTTCACGCCGATCCCTCAACTCTATAATGCCTACGTACTATCCAACTGTACGCTTGGTGTTGTGTGGAATTTCTTGACGTACAGACATATCAGGGGGTTAACGCGTAGTGGTGAGTGTATAGGCATTTATATACCAACAGGTTGTGTTTTGTCAACAACTTATAATTATTGTTTAAGGTGTATTCCGTTCGGATGATCGTCAACTCTTCCATTCCATCTTTGCCCAGTCATTCATTCCATTTTTCGCCACGCTCTTCTTTTCCATCTCTCATCTAGGAACAATCACGCAATGTAGGTTTCATAGAAACCACTAATGGATGAGGCCAACCCTCAAAATTTGTTCGAATTTCCCGATTTCATAGCCTCTGCGATCACTTCGCAGGTCAAAAAATCGTCTGATTGCATGTGGTGTCACCTTCTATTTTTTATTTTGTAGTATACAAACTTCCTGAATGGTTCACGCGACCAGCGAATATGTACGCACTCATTGGATCGACGCTGTTCATCCCGCTAATTGCAATTCTGATGGTAATCGCTAATTTCCTTAGGGATTGAGATTTTCGGAGGTTTTTCGGTCTTTCAGTTTTTGTATCGTTTGTTTCGATTCCTACAAATGATTGCAAAAGTCAAAACACGACCTTTGGAGTTTTGCACGAAAACGAGGATCTAGAAATAAGCCGATTAGTTGAAAATTGGGGCATTAATTGAACCATTAATTTGCGATAAAAGTAGAAATGTTACGAATCAAGTAATATACTGACCAAGTAAATTTGCTTGAACAACTTTATTTGCATCTGAAATCTTCAAGTAAATATAAAATTATTTTACGCCGTTTGCCTAAATAAGCATCAAGTAAAATAAAATTAATTGATTTACTTGATCTTGATTGATTTGGGAGAATTACTTGATTTTCAGCGAAATTACTTGATTTTGTGCAAATTCGCAATGCAAATGAGGCAATCGTGCCGCGAACCTAGTAAATTAGCATTCGATCATGTCATAAAGTTCATTACCATCCGAAAAATGCGAGAATTCCAGAAAGCTATTGTTTGATCAAGTAAATCAAGTAAATCAAGTAATCTTAATTGGCTCTTTCTCGAGCGGACTCAAATAATATTATTTTACTTGGTCACGCGCTCAGCCCCATCCAAATCAAATAATATTGTGCCATTGTATGCAAATAATCTTGATTGTTAATTGATTCTTAACATCTTTAGATAAAAGTGTAGACCATAGAACGACATAATTAAATGAAATTCAGGTCTCTCGTATTCGTCGTGTAATACTTCATACGGTACTTGCCCCACTCCGATCGGAAGCCGCCCAAGCCGTCATCTGGAGCACGCAGAAGGAGTCGCAAGCCCAGGATTCTGCCACACTTTTTATGCGTGTAATCCCACCACGACAACTTGCGCAACGTGGCCTAGTATCAGCATGAAAAATTCTAGCGGAAACCTAGCATTTTATTCCAATGCCGTGTTTTAATTATGTAAAGATAAATTTTCGAGGAATATCTCGTTTTAATCACCCTGTAATCATTCACATCCCAATAAAAGAAAATGGCTGAGCGAAAGCCCCGAAACCCGACTAAAGCTGACGAGATTTGTCGTCTTATTGTCTTTTCGACGGGGCCGCCCGAAGTGTTGTTTTTCTTTGCGGTGAGGCCTGGGGGAGCTATTTGCAAGTGGTGTCTTTGAGGTCCCGAGGGGATCTTCTTCTTCCCTCCAAGCATTTCCTCCAACCCATCCCTCTCCCCATCGCTACCTCTTCCTTATCCCAAACAAGGGGGCTTTACCTTAATTTTCGTATCTGAAAGGGTTGTCAATTGCGGCCGGAAGTTACGACATTTTTGGTTTCAATTCCTGGGCCTTTTGAAAATACTGTACAAGTTGTCTCAAAAATAATCCTACCCTGCAGCCTTACTCGAAGCGGTCCCGTTTTATGAGAATAAGTGTATTAGACTTTAAATAAAAATGAGCCTAATTTAAATTTTCATACAGTAAGTTTGAGTTAGTGATTTTTGATGGGGTTCACGTGCAAATCGGGCTTTCAAATCGGGCCTTATATTAGGTGAAAATGAGCAGCAAAACCTCTGACCATGGGAAATCTTTCCTTCTCGAAAATTACCACCGAAACAACGATTGAGGCATTTTTACGTCCCAGAATCGCCTGAATTTTTGAACGGAATGCTGAATTTTTAGTCGGCTAGTTTTGCAGATCGATGTTACACAAATATAGTGAGAAAATTGCAACGCAAAAAGGGAATTTTACCATAATCGGTGAGATACTGTAGCGATTGGACTGTAATTTAAGATTATTAGCATCCAGGGCCCAGTATACCTTTCGCCCAATTTCGGACAGATTGGATAAAGTTCGCTCAAAATCCGAAGGGTTACTCTTACCTGATACCCTGTAAAACGTCATTATACCCCTAAATTCACTAAGAATCGACTGTTCCACCAGACCCTCATGTCTAAACAGCAGTCGATCGGGAAAAGGAAAAGAGTCCGGTTGGATTGGTGTGTGGAGGGAGTGCCGGAGGCAGTGTACGGCTGGCCCCTGCTGGCTGCTGCTGTCCCTCTCATTCCATCCCAACACCTGATTCCAATCCGACACAATCCACACTGCCGTTCCGTTCCGTTCCCCCATGGTTCCGCTACACTTTTTACAAAGGTCTTCATACCCTTGCGCAGACGTCGCGCCCCGGTCATTAATCTTACTCGGGAAATGCTGGCTTGGTGCTGTAAAGCGGGGCCGGAACGGTTGGGAAGTCACCATCGCTTAAATTTATGTTTGGCTAGGAGCTAGTTTAGCTTAGTTAAATTTTCTTTTACCTTGAACTAGTCATAGAGCCTATTGCAAATCAATACATCAATCGATAGAGAATTGAAAATAAATGTGAGGCTTAAATATTAGTTTTTGCTGAACGCCTCTCTCTAAAAAGTTATTAGACTTTTCATGGTTCCTAGAACCTATTTTCTCAAAATCGAACCTTTTGGTTTATGATTTTAGATTAAGTTTAAATAGCCTATCTGATAGAGAATTTTTCTGATTCGAATGGTATATTTTAGTAGTCTTTAGACGTTTCAGGAGTCTGGAATAGCCCGAAAATTACCAAGTTTACATAGAGAAAAGGGAACAAGACAGACATCAAAGATCGCAATTTTGGCAAAAAAGTTATTTTAAAACCCAAATAACTTTTCAGAGAGAGGCGTTCAGCAAAAACTGATATTTAAGCCTCACATTGATTTTCAATTCTCTATCGATTGGTGTTGTTACATAGCGCTTTGCCACCTGGGTCAAAAACACTTCCCTTGTAGGCTACCTTTCAACCATGATCCTGGCTACGGTCTGATGAATTTTTGGAATTTGCATATTTAATTCGCGCATAAACCTTACTCAGAAGAGGAAAAGTGGGTAAAGATGCTCGGAAGTTGTGGGTAAAGCCCTTACTCGGAAGTTGTAGGTAAAGCTAAGTGTCACCTGCAAACACTATTTTTTCCGATGAATGTAGCCAAATCGGCCGCGGTAATTTTTCCATCAAGATTTCTCTAGCTTGTCGATTTAGAAAAGCTAATTAAACCCAAATCCGCCATCAACCCAAATTCCCATCCCATCCTCCCGGTTTCCGACCATCATTTAGCCATTAATTTCGCCCACCTCTCAATCCCATCCGCCCCTAGCGTATCCTCAAAAGCCAGCCGTTTCTTCTGTTGCTTCTTCCCTGTCATCGTCCCCTACCCTTCTTTCCTTCGGAGTCATTTTCTTCCTTAGCCCCCAGTCGAATTCCGTCGTGGCGACCCTCGGGGGTGTGTTGTGTCAATAAAAAAACGCGGGGCGCGGCCGCGCCGTCGGACGTCGGGGGCGGCTTATTCGGCTGGTTGGCCGGCGATGGAAATCCCGGTGGCTGGGCAGCTTAATCTCATTTTTGATCATTGATTTGATTAGGAGCGCGGGATAGGAGGGTGACGCGGAGAGCATGACTTTTTATTTGGTCGCTGTGGCTTTAGGGAGGTGTCTCGTGGTTTGGGGATGGCTGTATACCTTGCTTCCGGTGTTATGTGTTTAAATATTTCCGATATTTTCCAATGTTGAATAGTTATCTTTATTTAGAACGTACCCGGCTGCTTAGAATTTCAAAAAATCAACATTCACATTCACATTTATCCTTCAAAATAGCGAAGTAGTTTTAAAAAGGACGATGTGGTTTTACCCCCGTTAAGCAATCTTTACCAGTTTTTTATCTGGAAAGGTCAGTAAGTCGAAGATTCAGTATCTCAAATTTCCCTTGAGGGTGAATATGCAAATCAACAAATTCGGATTCATTCGGATGATTTCGGTTTTTGAAATTTCGAGATAAATATTTTCCAGAAGCCAATTTTCGGATGCAATTTTTTTAGCGATTTGCATATTTGCCCTCAAAGGATTTACCATGTACACTTTCTAGATGACTTTTTTAAGCGCTATGTTTTCTTCCCATCTTCGCATTGTCCATAAATGTACTATACTCCCACCAAATGCTGGTCGACGACCGCCGTCCCCGGTAGCTCTCGAAAACTCTCCACCCTCCCCCGAATCCTCTTCTAAAGACCCACTTTCCCACGCTGTCCCTCCAACCACCACCACTCCTCCAAACCGAATAGGATGCCTCCTTTCCAAACAATATCTCCAAAACATCCTCCACCCCCAATTCCGAATCCCAAAACCAACCCCCCATTTCAGGATGCCCATCTAATGGAGCAAGAAAGTTTGCTCAGACGCTCCTTACGCCGTATCAACCCCTTTAAAAACCGTATTTTTCGCCTCCCAGCAACACCTCGTTTGACCAGAAGTCGCAAAGGTAGGCGCTAGCTTACGTTATTTTTAATCCTCCTTGTAAGCCGATAGGGGCCGAGACCCCCGTGGCCTGATATTTGTCTAAAATTAAGAGGCCGCGTGGATCGGAAGTGTGTCGGGAATAAGAATGTTGATTTAGTTGGTTCCGGATGTGAGGATGCAACCGGGTGGAATTTTGAGCGGACGCAATCCCAGCGGGAACATGATGTTGGCCGGCAGAGGGGGGATGCGATGTCTCCACGCTTTTTGTGGGTTTTACATAGTAAAGCTCGAGGCTGTTGTTGTGTTTGGGAGGCATGGAAAGCGAGAGAGAGAGAGAGAGAGAGCGAGAGAAAGTGAGATAGAGAGAAAAAGAGGGAGAGAGAGCGAGCGAGTGAGAGAGAGAACACAATTTAGCTTCTTTAAAGTCCTTTAACTGAATAACTTCAAGTTCTGCTGCAGGTTAAGTTTTTTTGATTTCTTTAATTTAGCGCGTTTCCTTATGAGCAGAATGTGCTATAGAACTTTTGCACATTTGCCCTCATACCATTTTTAGAGAGATTGGAAAAAATAATAAACCTTCAACTCTACCGCCTTAAAATGAGCTATAATTTTCAAAATGCTGTTTTTGGGCAGATTCTGAAAATATCGTCGGAGTCAACCAAAAATTTAGCATAGGAAAGTCTTATGGTCTTCTTCTCTATATTCTGGTTCTTTTCAAATTTTTGTAATTGAGACAAGTTCTGGATCTGATCCGTACGCTATAAAATCTATAGTATTGACTTGCCAAACCCTTCTACAAAGAGCGCGAAAAGCGTGTTTTTTTGAGAATTCTAAAGTTAAAAATTCCTTTTTAGAACCATCGGAAGCAACGATAGCATCTCCCGCGCCAGCTCATCCGCCGATTATCAATGCCTCTCGGAAAGCCTCGACCTACGACGTACACGCCGCCATCGCCCTGACGTGGTGCCATTATTTTTTTTTTGATGTCCCACCCGTTCTTTCCAACAAATCGAATTCAATGCACACTCACTTCGTGCTGTAATTCGTGACAGGGTGGCAGCCGTGCCGAGTTGTAATCCCAGACAAACAGCCCCTTCTTGCTCCCCCCTTCCGCTACCCCTTGAGCACCACCACAAAAGAACTGGCTTAACGCCAAAAAGAGTTGCGGCTGAAAGGAAACGCGAAACTTTAGATGATGACCAAATTTCAGTCACCCCCGCCCGACCCGATACAAGCGGAGACAAGTATCGCACAGCATATGCAAACCCTATTGTCTACGCAGGTTTGTGTATTTTATTTTATATTCGTGCGTAAAACAACTGCTTCGCGGCTTTTTGGCCTTGTACCCGTCTCGTAAAAAGCTATTTTATTTGTCATTCTATACTTAATAACACTTTTCCATATTTAAAAAAAGCTTCAGTAAGGTTTTTGGCACGAAACAACTTCCGAAAATGTGCATGCAAATATACACAAAAAGACACTATTTTTATGATATTTATTTTTTAATTTTATCGCGCTTTTAGGATCGGCGGGCTCGAAGAACCCAAGCCCTACCCCAAGGACCCTATAGCCAATTACCAGTCACAAAATACGCACCGGATGGCCAGATCTCAGATGCATATTGGGGAAGAGGTAAACAAAAACAACTTTATTTTAATATTTTCTAGAACCCTCTAATTCCCCAAACATTTCAACAATGTCCCTCCTCAACACCTCAACCATCCCGAAAAATCGTACCCTCGGCCATGATGGCATAATATTCAATCGAGGTTGAAGCTCTGCTCCAAAAGTTCAAAATAATTTTAGCCGGCTCATCACTCCGCCGACGTTCTTCTTTACGAACTTCCCAAAACATCAACGGACTCTTTAGTCGAAGTTCGACAACTCCAGCTAAGGGAATGGTAAATAGACCTCAAGTTAAAAAATTTGATTTACTTTTTAGCCTCGGCAAAAGAACCTCAACGCCAAGCCGCTATTTTCCTTGAACGACTTCTATTCAGAAGCTCAGCTAGACGATCCGTTTCTTGGACGGGAATGGGTCTTTCGGTAGGCCAACGGCGTAAACTGGGATTTTTCGATATAGAGAAATTTACGAACATTCGGTCGTCGAAGGGGTACCAATTTTGTATGTGGAAGGAGGGCGTGGTGCTGGAAAATCAGCCATTGCCAATCAAATTATCATGCATTCACCATTTTATAAACGACAAGTAAGTTACCCTTTTGAAACAGTATCTATCGTAATCAGACCTCCGATACCTTGGACTCCGGATGTGAAGCGGATGCCCCACATTATGAATGGTTGAGGGCGGTGGCTGCAAGATTGGTGGCATACCATGTCTGTTCGATCCAAGACGGTGAGAATTCACAACGAAAACCTCAATTATAACTTCTTACAGCTGCAACTTGCTCGATACCCGAATTTGTCTGCAACCTCGGAGCAACACTGGCCCACTCGCCAATATTGTTGAGCTATGCAGATATATTAACTAAGGTACCAAAAACATAGCTTTAGAGGCTTGACATTTTAATTTAGAATCCTGGTCTCCAAAACCTGCTCACACTGGACAACTGCCTGAAATTCGGTCCTCAACATGTTTTCGAAAAAGCAATTGTTGATCCATTGGCCCAGCTTTCTTCTAGTGATCAGGTTATCGTGATTGTGTTTTTCCAATTTCTCAAATTTTTAGGGTTGTTTGGTGATATTGATCGACGGTCTAGATGAGGCAGAATTCCATCGTAGTGAAGCAGGAATGTCCATCGGTACGTCGTCAGATTATAATCAGAAAATTTAAGATTCAGCTCGTTTCCTTGAATCCGTTTATGGCATGCTTCCGGCTTGGATTCGGCTAATTCTGACCGTCGACTACGAAGCACCCACCAGATTGGAAGGCCATTTATCGGCTAGTGTCAGGTTTGCTACAATTTTAATCTTAGCACCTAGAGATATAGAATTGACGATACACAACTAGACGAACGTGCAATGCGAGATAGCAGGATGCTAGCTGAATACCGCGTCTCGGGTTGTCATCTGCTTGAAGAGGGCTTAAAAACCCTCAAATTCACTTCCGGTGATAATCCGCTTAGTGAATTCATTAGCAGAATTGTTGCCCAGGTAATTTTCGAGGGTTTTCTGTCATTATTGTTTAGTCCTGCGGAAACATGATGTACATTGCGCTCCTATTATCTCTTGCAGAATCTAATGTTATTCGATTAAAGGTCGTGCATTTTCCTGGATTTTTTTTGAATGTTTCTTTAGGCTCTTGCCTCGGCCCTTTTGCCCGCTGATCTCGATGAACTTTACCTCCTCTATTTCAACCTGACCTTTAGGTATGCAATAAAAATTAAAACTTAGCTCCACTTGACATAATCAAAACCTATTCATAATTTCAGTTCTACGGCTATATTCACAAGATGCTCTCAAATCCTCTCCCTACTAATTGCATCTCTCCAATCACTGACACCTGAACAAGTGGCTGAAATTCTAAATGATGCCTCCCCGAAACCACTGGACCTAACCCCAGAGGAAGTTCTCGAAAGGTTAATCACATTTATTTAAATTTACCTATTTTCTTTAGGGTCGAGCTGATGTCACCATTTGTGGTGCTTTCCTCAATGGGCCGGCTTTCCCTAAAGCATTCCAGCTTTCGTGAATGGCTACTGCGAAGTCAAGGGCAATGTCGATATACCGTTGATGCCAGGTTTCAAAAAAAAACAACAAATTAAGATAGTAATAATCTAGGGAAGGCCATCTCCTCCTCGCCATTTGGTTAACCAGAAAGAAGCGCCTCGACTCTTCAAAACTCTTCGACTTGGCTCATCATTTATTAAAAGCCAATCCACATAAATATTTCAACAATAGGCCGGTACCGGAGGTAATTGCTGAATCGTATGTTGTAATTTCCTTTTTTCTGTTCCTCTAGTATTTCCCCAGTTTCTGTTTACGGGAGGTATGTCTGTCAATCTGTTGTGAAGTTTAGAATTAGAAGCTAAAATCAGCATCGTTTTTAGATCTCAATCTCGAGAGAATGCCAGGTAAACTGGCTGGAATATGCGGCGGAGAATATAGGAGGGGCGCTGCTGTACGATCGGAACCTACTGTATCCCAACAGCAAGGTGTCGCGTCTATTGTTGCTATCCGGAGCGTCGGCGGATGCTTGTCGTGAAGAGGATGGGATGTCACTTTTGTCCTTGGCGGCTCGACATGGCGATCCATCAGTGGTCTCGTTATTACTGCAGTTTGGGGCTCAAGTGATTCCGTCTAAAGGTGGGTCAAATCAACCAATTATTGATGAATTATACAAATTAAGCATGGTTAAACCCTGTATATAATATTTAGGCGAGTTACCAGTCGTTGCTGCATCAAAAGCCGGTCAACTGGATGTCGTCCAAATATTGCATCAACACGGTGCCCTCCAAGGGGATTCCGCACTTTTGGCTATCATTGGTATGCTTATGATAAAATTTTAATATCCCCTGAATTTAGCTGCAGCAGAGGGTGGTCATCCGCAAGTTGTGTCCTTCCTCCTGGAGTGCGATTGGCATGATGCTGAAGCAAAGGAAGTTGCTCGACAAGCTGCACTTGAAAAAGCTGCTTCTACAGGTTCGGCTAATATCGTCGACGCTTACTTGAAAAATTATTTACAAAATAGAACACAAAAGAGCCAAAATACAAATTATTTTAGGCAGTGTAAGTGTTTGCGAATACCTGCTTGATGGGGTCTGCGAAAAAACGTTGTCGTTGGATAGTGCTATGAGGGCTGCATGTCTTGGCGGATCTGCAGAAGTCGTACAATTCTTGTTATCAAGGTTAGTCGTTAAAGGGATGCCCAACCTTTTCGGGGCTCAAAAAGCAAAAACCAAGCCGCGGGTGGGGGTCGAACCCGGGACCCCCGTTTTGTGGGCCAGGATGCTATCCATTAGGCCATAGTGGCAAGCCATTGGATGGGATGGGGACGCCACAAGAGGGAAAAGTGTCCGAATTCTGTGCGGCACTGGCGCCTCACTGCTATACAAAATTCCCGCGTCATTTGTACTGCCCGGAATACATAACTATATATTTGCCACCAAAACCTTGGGTATCCCTTTAAATAAATTCTATTAATAATTAGTTAATTAGTTTTAAATTAGTTATTATTAAATCTATGACTTCAGAGGTGCTGTCCTTTCCACGCTATCCTGGCCGGAAGACCGATCGGCTTTGTCTTGCGCTGTGGAAAGCGGAAGCTGGGATTTAGTGGTGAGTTTTTAAATTGTTAAAGCATATTTATTGAAAATTTTAGACAGCCGTCCTGAACCAGCCAAATTGTGAAATCGATCGGCAGGATAAACAAGGACAAACAGCCCTTCATCTAGCTGGTCAGAGAGGTTAGAAGAAGGCCAGATGAAGAAAAACACAAATACTTTTAGGTCATGTGGGCCTTATTGATCTTCTACTACGGAAAGGGGCAAATCAGTCGCTCTCGGATCTTGAAGGAAACACGGCGTTGATGATGGCTGTGAGATATCTCCAAACTTCGAAGAGTAGAAATTTTAGATCAAAAACAACCACGCGGCGTGCGCGCAACTATTCTTAGAGCGAGGGATTGATGTTGTTCATCTACAAAATATTGGTGGGTCTAAAATCACATGTTTTTAATATTGAGTTTAGATGGGCAATCAGCAATCCACGTAGCATGCGCCAGCGCAAGTAGGCCGATTGTTGAGAGTATTTTGGATGCTGGCGGGAAGATCGAAGAAAAAGATGCCGAGGGAAATCATCCAATCGAGGTTTTTTAGAATTATAGATTTTAAAAGGCCGTTTGCGAGAGACCCGAACAAGGCTTGGCACAGTTTTTTTCGACCCTGTTTTTTTGACACCATCTGAAAGAGCATAGTCGAATTAGTAGGGTGGGATGGTTTTTAAAGTTTAAAAAGTTTAATTTCGGGGTTAAAATGGGCCTCAAAGTCGCCGACACCGAAAAATTATCTCGAAAACTACTGAACCGATTTTACTGAAATTTTGCGACAATACATAATTTGGGACGGGGATCATTTCTCTAATACATTGCAACACTTGAAAATGGCAGGAACATAGGTATACCGCGTAGTGCAAACAGTTTTTGCGGAATTAGTAGTTTTACGGGTCCCCAGAGCGCTTAGCCACTAATGTTAAAAGATGCGCGCGAAATTTCTGCATAAAATTGTATATCTTCTGGAGCGCTACGCGCGCCCGTAAAAAGCGAAAAATCGAGTTTAATGTGGCGCCAACGCACCAAATTCGGCTATTTTCTTTCAAAAGACAGGCGAGAGGAGGCGAGATAGTGGGGAAAAGAGAGAGAGTAGCCTCCGGGGGCGATCTGGCTGCAGGCCTGTTCGGCTGTCGCTGTGGTGCATTGGTAGTGGGTCGGGATCCTTGCGCTGGGGCGGCTCTAGATCAATCCCAGCCTACCTTTAGAAAGCTAATTTCTTTTTGCTCTTTTTTGCAAGCTTCCTGACTTGGGCTCCTGAGGCATGGCCATTCTACCCCCGCAAAAATTTGCCGAATTTGGTGCGTTGGCGCCACATTAAACTCGATTTTTCGCTTTTTACGGGCGCGCGTAGCGCTCCAGAAGATATACAATTTTATGCAGAAATTTCGCGCGCATCTTTTAACATTAGTGGCTAAGCGCTCTGGGGACCCGTAAAACTACTAATTCCGCAAAAACTGTTTGCACTACGCGGTATACCTATGTTCCTGCCATTTTCAAGTGTTGCAATGTATTAGAGAAATGATCCCCGTCCCAAATTATGTATTGTCGCAAAATTTCAGTAAAATCGGTTCAGTAGTTTTCGAGATAATTTTTCGGTGTCGGCAACTTTGAGGCCCATTTTAACCCCAAAATTAAACTTTTTAAACTTCAAAAATCATCCCACCCTGCTAATTCGACTATGTTCTTTCAGATGGCGTCAAAAAAAACAGGGTCGAAAAAAACTGTGCCAAGCCATAATGGGGTCTGTTCGGGTGACTCGCGGACGGCCTTTTAAATTACTTTCTTAGACGGCAATAAAAGCCAGAAATGATGGGGCCATTGCTGCTCTGCTGAGGCGTGGTGCCAGATTACGTTCTGTGACTTGGACGGTCTCAAAACAATTCTATCCGCGAGCGCTCTTGGTATTGCTTCGGAAACTTCTTGATGATGCTGGATTGTTATACAGGTTTGATTTAATATTTTTTAGCTTATAAAAGCCCTTTAAAGAAAACGCAAAACCGAAGATGCCATCCACCGTCTCAATTATGCATTAGAGAAATGTGATCAAATGTTGGAAGACGATACCGGTGAAGAGCAAGGGGAAGAACTTCGAGTTTTCCGCTGGCAGGTTTGTTAAAAAGTAAGAAAAAGCATTTAATGTTTTCTTTAGATCTTGTTGGGCCTCGCAAGAGCAAAACGACGACAAGGATACCATACGGAAGCTATAAGATTAAGTAGCGAGGCTGCCATTTTGGCTGATACAGGTCTAAATTTTATTTCTTTTTCATAACGAAATTTTTTAGACGACAAACTGTCTGAAGTCCTGTTCTTCAGGGCAAAGTGCCACTTCGATAATCAAGATCTGGAAAGGTTGGATAGATAGATAACTTTCTATATTCCTTTTAGAGCCCGCTATGATGCGATGGCGGCTGCCCAATTGAAGCCGATGGAAGAAGAAGTGCGGCAATTGCTGACAACCTTAACTATCCCATCCACGAGTATTTTGAATCAGAAATAAATAGTTGATGTTTTAATTGCCACCCATATCAATTTTTGTTCACTTTTGCAACTGAAGTTATTTAATAAAGATACTATCTACTATCTTTTCCATTTTTTAAGGAAACATCTGGCATTTATCAACTTCAGAGACAAGACCTCAAAGCCACCATTATCAAGAGGCCGCAACGGGACCCCTGATTACGACATGAAATTCCAGTCCGCCCCGTGTTTATCTTTGCTACCCATTTTCTTCCTCCCCGATTAACCATCTTTCTAAATTGTCAACAGTCTGCAAATTAGTTAAACATTATTTTTAAGCACAAGATGGTATGGAGGCACGCTGTAAAAGTGGCCTTAGCTGCCGGCGAAGCCTTGGCTAAAGGATTCTCGAAAGCCGTGAAAGAAGAGTTGAAAGGTTTCTCTGCATATGTTTAAATGACATTTTAAATTTAGCTACCCAGCAAGCGTCCGCTGCACAAGCTGCAAAAGGAGGACATTCCAAAACTGAAGCTCAAGAAAATATGGCAGCTAACGCCAGGCTCGGCATCTCACTGGATGTAAGTGCAAAAACCAATTATTAATTGAAATGTGTTCAGGAATCAATGCAAATTTTGAACGTGAAAGCTCCGCTGGATCAGAAGCAAGTAGAGGAACAGTACGAAAGATTATTTGCGCTTAACGATAAGACGAAAGGCGGCAGCTTTTACTTACAATCGAAGGTGAGTGGAAAAATTCGGCACAACAAGCCAAGCAAGCCCAAACAAAAAGCCAAATTTCTGTTTTTATAGGTTTATCGTGCCAAGGAAAGGATAGATGAGGAATTCAGAAAAACTGAAACAACAAAAGCCAGCAAACCACCGAGTTCCGAAGCTCCGACAGCCTAGACTACCTAAATTTCTGTTACCATACGGGTTTAGGCCATAGATTCTAGTTTATTTCGTGACCAGTTGCTCATTGTTCTAATTGTTATTATGCTTTGCAATTATTTTGAATAAAGATTGACGAGATTAATGCCATAGAATCATCCTTGTAACACTTCATTTGCATGTACAATATCTTGGGCCTGTTTTCAAATAATCTCTACAAAACCGCATGTTTAGAAAATGAATCATGATTTTCCAGCCGACGTTGACAATTCAGAAATTTTTGAGCAATTGGCTAGGATAATCATTGGAGATGGAACATGTAAGTGCGCTTAGAGTTTGAAAATATTATTTTAAGGGTCCTCTACAATTTGCAGTAGGAAATCCGCAGAATTCGTCTGGAATAAATTGCTTGAAGGAGCAAAGAAAGGATTGACCGGTATTGCTAATCCAAAATTATTAATAAAGTAATTTTAGAAGACGAATTCACGAAAAGTCTATCCGGAGAAGCTGTCGACCACACAGATAGTCTTGCAAAAGTCTACGAAGCATATCGAGACCGGATTATCTCATTATTGTCTACAATTAAATGCCGGTCTCCGGAACTTGTCGATTTTAAAGGACGTGTAATTCCTCCGGATGTGGTAGGCTGCAAATGCCAAGAATAGTATATTTGTAGGACGATCTCTCTGGCGAAGCCCATTTTGCCGGCCTCGACGTGCGATACCTAGAAGTGGGTGCCACTTCATCAACGCCCCTCCACCTACTCTGCGACCGCGATCAACTTATGGTAAATTAATCAAAAAGGGCGGCGTGCGTAATTGAAAATCATTTACAGGACATGCAGCACCAACTAATGGAGGCCCAAAATTTTATTGCGAATGTAAAGCGCAAATTTAAGAATTGATCTGTATTTGTGGCTATGCTATATAAATGTATTTATCATATAGATTTCGATTTCCCTCGTTTTTACATATTTTTCCCGCGTACAATCCGACCAAAATGCTGACAACAGAAGGCTCACACTAGCCGATACCCTGTGTCCGCCACCAAAAATTGTAGCCCCCAACCCACATATTTTTGCGATAAGTTTTTTGCCCCCCCTCTCATCTCATTCGCCGCACTTTTTCTGCTGATCAATGCCCAAGGGAAACGGCCTGGTTCTCAGGAAATGACCGCTAATTTGGCTGGGTGGGCTCCAAGCCGATAAATGGCCACCACCCCCCCTCTAACAAGTAAACAATCCCCCATCGCGCAATTTGGGCAATTAGTCATTGGAAAGATAGGAGATCCGTCAGTATTCGCTATGGATTTGAATTTGAATGTAGGTAAGGAGCGGCTTGCCCGCTACGCTACAATACTTCGGGTATGAAGGCTATGGTGATTATATATTCCACCTGGCCATAGAGGACTACTTTTTGGTATCGTTGACTGGATAATTGTCTGTATTGTGCATGCAAATGCAGCCTTTTTGCTCGTAGTTTACGGTTTCTAAGTCAGTACCTTTCTTATGGTATGCCAGCTAATGTTGCGTCTTAGTAAGGAATAAATACTCCTCAAGTCAATTAGCTTAAAGCCTGCTATGTTGCTAACGCGCTTTACATAACCTTTTGCCTTTTTGCCATTTATTGATTTGCCTGATTTATCCGCTCCGTTGAAAACATTTTTCGATACTTTCTAGTCATTTCTATCAATTAAACAGAAGCTACCGTACACTTTCAATGTGCATGTCCCAAATAAACACGCACCCCCGCAACCCTCCAGAACATTTTTTCGAACGCAATCATACCCCCCCCCCCCTCCTTTCAATCCAGATCCCCCCTCCTTTCAATCCAGATCTGCCCCTACCCCAATTATAGCCAAATTAGCCTTCACCCTACACTGTTGCAATCCACCCCGATTGTTTGTGGAACCCTCTTCTCCGTGCAGCTGGTGTTGGGCTCCAGAAAGGAGCGAGAAAAATATTTCCTTCCGCTCAGTGCGCTGATCATCCCCTTGGCAAAGAAGGGGGGTATCGTGTGACGCCGGATGTAGAAGGGGCGGATGAACGGCCACTGCCCGCTCTCCACTTCTCGTTTTTTTTTTGTGTGGCTCGTTGGGTCGAGCGAGCCCGGATGGAAAAGAGAATCCAGAGCTTGGAGCCCCGGCCGGCTGAGGGCTGCCCCCCACCCCCATTGAGGGCCAGAAGAGCCTATGGCAATGACGCCAGGCCAGCGCCGAATTACCCGAGCCTGGAGAAGACAGAGCCCGAGCGGGGAGAGCCCCTCCCCTGCTCCCCCCGTCCTTTCCTAGGGAGGCTCCAAAACCCGGCCAGTGCTCCGTGGGCATCAACTCTTCGCCTTCTGCTTCTTCTGCTTTTCCTCCCTATGCCTTCCCTCGCAATCCCCGCACATTCCAGCATCACATCACACATACACACACGCCAAGTCCCATCCCTTTTCAGCCATCCCCCCCCCTCCGTTCCGCCGGCAAGAATAACGACAAGTCCCGTCAGCGCCCCCGGGAACCCCTAAAAATAAATTTATTTTTGCCCACCCAGGGCAAACCCGAAAGCTGACAAAACAGGCAAATCCGCAAATCCCGCGGTTTGGTTGGCGGCCAACTGATTCCAATCTTTTGTAGAATCCATTTTGCCGTACTGCCAGGTTCTTAAAATCTGGCCTTCGGCAAGGTGATTTGTGGAATTTTAATTTGTCTCTTTCATCTTACATCTATCTCCCACATCTACATATTTTGTAACAGACGACTGTCTGATCCATTTCCTAGCTTAATTCGAGTCTCATATTTTTTAGCTGAATTTCCTGTCAAGAGAACGCCATGATTCTACCTTGTTTTCTCTTTTTTCAGCTAGCAACTATATTTTTCCGGGTAATAACTTCAAAAGCCTACGTACCCAAACTGCCCGCCAGTGCCTTTAGTAAGATTTTTTTGGATAGGAACCGAATCGGGTTGTGTTGAAGGGCCACCCATCACATCACACCCAATTCATGCCATCGTGCTGTCTCCATCTCTCTCAGCCACGAGTGCAAGCCAATTAGCCGGGGCCCGAATTCTGCATAAAACCCTGCAGCGTTTTCGGCGGTTGGCAGCATTTCTTCTAGAACCCTTTTTAAGTGGTTGGAACGTTTGGGAAAAACAGGAGTTCGTATACCTTTCCTTACAACGCAAAGTTACTTCTATTAATTTTGATATATAAATGACTGCTATTCAGATCCTCTCCCTATCTCTCTCTCTCTCGCTCTCTTTCTCGCTTGCTCATTTTCTCTAACATTCCATCAACCAAACGCTTCCACATTTTTTTTACTTCGATCAATCTCGAATACCCCCTAGACTCAAAACCAACAATTTGCCAAAAAGACTTTGTTCCTATAAGCCACACCCACCATCTCACCGCCACCCTCCAGAATCTAGATCCTAAGAGAAACGCCTCCATTTTCCACCGCTTCCTCTCATACATCATCCTCCCCTAGATGGCTTTCCCCCCTTAAAAAGCACCCTCACGAATCACTGCCCTCAATCTCCTCTCTCGCCCCTTTCACCACCATTTCATGACCAATGCGCCTTTCGGCTCGTCGCAAATTCGATAAATTTTTCAACAGCCATTCATGGCCAAGGGCTAGAATTTGTGTTCAACGGGCCCACGAATCGGGAAGAGCTGCGTTTTGGCTTTTGATTTTTGTGTTTCCTTCATAACATTTCTCAAAGGGTTTGTGTTAGCAGCTATTCATTAAGCTTAGAAAAAAATTTGCATCTGTACTTTCTAAGTCTTTAATCCAGGGCGATCTCTAACAGGGAGATGGTTTAACCTCGGAAGCTCGACAAGACGAGTCGTTTCATGTAATTTTTAGCCGCTGATATCGCGTCCCCGCCCGTTATAAGCGCTGAACGTTTTGATGCACCTATAGAGCTCGGCAAGGCTGATGGAATTTTTAGTTGAGGATACGGTATCTTCCACGAGTTATCAACGTATAAATCTGTTCAACTGTTTTGCCACGATTTATGGAAATTTTATACCTTACACTCCAATTTTCAGCTTATGGTGCTGCGGCATCAATCTGCCGACTCCACCTCATCACGCTTCAGCATATTTTCATTAGGTAAGTCCTTAAAAAGGTCCCGGCAGCTGTTCTTTGGTGGACTAGAATTCCAGTGGATTACCACTGACCCATCACTAACAATGCCCCACTTTCTGCCTTTTGTCCGCCCCACCGAAAAGGGGCTTTTCCCATCCCTTTTTTTACCATTTCCCGGGACGTTGATTTTGAATGGAACACAGAAAATGGTTATCCTCGGAGGAAGTGCGGTTTCTTGCAGGGCGGGTGCACAGTGAAGCGGCCAGTGAGGACGCGGATAGCACTTCTTGGGAAAGATCGGTGGGTTAGGGATTTTTCGGGTAAATTTATGTGGGGGTTTTAGGCCTCGGTGAGCTGTGTGAGGAGGACGAGGAATGGGAGTGTTGTGTCGATTGACAAGGATTTTGAATGTCCGAATGCGGACTCGGAAAGGAAGACGAGATTGCTGGAATGTTTGAAGAAAGAGGTATTTCATGAAAGTTAAAGGGATGGGTTAAGTATATCAACGGATTTTGGTTGATATGGCTTTCTTAGACTTCATGCATACGCGTTGTTTTTTATTTGATAGTAGCTTGTATCTGTTTTCGTACTTTTTCGTACGCTTCGGAGCGCCTTCGTAAGCTTACGTAAGTTTCCGTACTCTTCCCACTTCGCGCTTACGCCGCAGTCACTACAACTCTATAGCCGGGCTTACTCGCCCCTTTATAAGGTCTTTTAAGTAAAATTTCTGCTCTAAGAAATTTTTTAAAACCATTCCAATCTGAACCGCCACCGTACCCCCTACACGACATAAAGCACAGCTTTGTTTTGCTAAAAAACCCACATCCCATCCCCCATATTCTTCGAATTGTAGCCGAGACCTTACCCCCGTCGTTTAGGTAAAAAACATTATGGAAGAAGCGGTCACAAGGAAAACGATCGATTTGGGCTCAAATTACGTCAACTCGTTATGCGGTAAGGGGGGCATCTAGACGAAATTGAGACGATGCGCTTCGTTTAGTCGCCGTAGAGGCCTGTCTACTGGATGGATTGAGGAAACGAATGTTGGGATTGCTGGGGCAGAGGACCAGCTTTGCACTGCTTCAACATGTCGCCAAGGCATATCCGCCGGCCACCGCGGTGTTGCAACGGGTTGAGGAAAATTCGATTGAGTGGGTATATTCGGAAAATACGGAATAAAGGGTCGAATGCAAAATTCTAAAAAAATTATCTACATGGTTACCTGAGAAAAGCACCGCCTGTAACAGAATGAATTTTACACTATGCCTTTATCGACGATTTTTGTTTTCCAATAGTTTTATAGGTCGCGCAAAGCTAAGCCTTTTGTGGCCAGAAAACGCATTTTACCAGACTAAAATTAGCGATCAACCGGCAGGTCTTGCATAAATCACTGTTTTCATGGTTTTCGATTGTAAAATTTGTGAGCTAAAATCGTCTACTTTAAAAACAGAGACCCACCCGTTTTTCGGTTTTTTCTAGACTTGAATAACTACCTAATTCGTAGAAAAAGGGATCGCTACTCCCCGCTGAACCGCTTTTGGTACCCTGTATTTGCATATTTTCAATGCTCTAAAAACCAATTTTCCAGCTCTCAATGTACAGCACAGTGGTGCTGGATACGGGAAGCTCTTCACATGCACCAACTATCCGTCATTGTCCATCATATTACTACTTCCACAAGGTTTGTATCAGCGTACCCCAGGTTCCTAACCGCACCTGTCCAGTGCTCGCCGACTCTACGAAAATCAAGCACTAATGGTGGATCGCTCGAAGGCGGGGATGGTGGCCGCTCTACTGTGTAAGCCAGCTTTCGTAGATTGGTCTATACCATGATGAAAGGCGTCTTAAATCTTCACGGGGCTCCAAATTCTAGCCTGCAATTTTTGGGCAGCCGTAATTTGAAGGGGAACGGGTGCTGCTTGGCGTCCAGAATTTCTTGGCATACGCCGGGCTATAGCTACCGTATTTTTAGTAGAGTGGAAAATTTATTATTTATAGTTTATAGTAATTTAAATAACTTGTATCTATAAGGAATATTTCATTTGATGCTGGACCACAAAGCGCTAGTATGTCTAGCAATTGATTGAATGAATACCTAAACCTCTTGACCATAGTGTGTTTGTGCTATGTCTGTAAAGGATTTTTTACTTGAAAGAAAGTACGCATTAAATTACTATAAATTCTGGAACATACGATAACTATAGTTTACTTCCGACTTGTTTGCCAAAAACTCCCAATTCAGAAAAAGCATTCAATCCACCCAGACCAGAACAATGTCCTCCCCAACCCCCCGCCCCTTATTCTCAATTCCACACGGAAGTCTGCTATTGCCGGGTGGTGAAGCGAATATTTTCCAGAGGTGTAACACTGGCCCGGGAGAACAACGCCAGCATATATGAATGCATACCCTCCCCCCAAAAAAAAAAAAACACGAAGCTGTCAGATGAGAGGGGAAAAAGGGTGGAGGGGCCCAGGGTGGTGGAGCCTTTTTTCGCAGTGGGGTTGTGCTGGGTGAGTGTGTTTGGGGGGTCCGGGGATGCATTTTCTTCTTTTTGCTTGAAATCGATGGGCCCTGGGCCCTGAAAAGGGGCCCTCAAAGGCCAACTAGGGGCACCCCCTCCATTTCATCTCCCACGGCGCTCGCGGGCAGGCGCTTCCGTTTAGTTTGATACGTTAATAAGGAGAACGTAATCATACCTAAGGGCGCTGAGATGTGGACTGTAGTGTGGAATTTGTAAAGATTGTAATAGAATTTATATAAATAACGTTGTTTTTTTACTGTTGAAGCTTGAATCCGTAGCACTTTTCATTGGTTTTTAATTCTGGTACTTTCTTCTTATCAGATTTATTGAATTTACAAAACTGTTTGAAAATCTTTCTAAAGACTATTATTTTGGTAAATGTAGGCTTTAACTAATCTTTTTTTAGCTCAAGCTATGTTTAAAAAATTTATATTTTTTACAGTAGGACCGTGTGCCGTCACCTTCAAGCGTATGAGCCATGGAAATGAGGAGACGTCCGATGAATTGGTACGTATATTTTGTATTTTATGCAATTCCTAGACTTACAAATTACTAATTTTTCTCTTTTTGCAACTTACATTGCATAAACGCTGCCTCACCGATCCGCTAGGGGAAAGCCTCCAAAAAATTTGGAACGCGTCTGGGATTGACGTGCCATTTCGGAATGCGGAATGAGCCATTCGGGCTCAGCGCCAGCGCCCGGAATCGAATCCTCATAATTTTACCCTCGGAAAGGCCGAGGCTTCAACAAAATCCGGGGCCCCGAATTCGAAATGAAATCCACCGTACAGGTCCGGCAGGCGTCGATTGTCCAGCGGCGGAATGGGGGACGACATCCATTATCGGTAATAGCAAATTAAATCAAAGTATATGTTGTTTGGCTTTTTTAGATAACGCGTCAAGGTTCTTCGATCGTTTCAACATCCGACAGGGCTTCAGTCAGCAGGGATTACATATACTCATTACATCATAATTTTAAAGTATGTTTTTACGCATTTAATGAGATCCATCCATCTTAGTCCATTTTATTATATGGTAAAAATAATGTTAGCGTCGCGGATGCTTCTCTTGAAGAACCTACTAAGGTATAAAAACTGAGAAAATTTATGAATATCGTTTTAGGGCTATCTTTCACTTCACAAACAAACTCATTCGGGGCTACTCCTCTTAAAATGGACACCAAACCAATTAATGCACGCGAGGTATGAAAAATGTTTAAATTTTACTAATTTGGATTTTTAGTTCTCAACCCTGTTCGGCGAGTCGCGATGGGGAACAGAACTATCTCTTCAAACAAGCATTAACAATCGATATCTCGCAAACGATTTACATCCATTTGCACCAGAAAGGTATCCAAATTTTCCTGGTCATATTAATGTATAAATTCAGATGAGAAATCCCCATCGGTGCTCATTTTCGTCAACACCGAGGGGGTCCAATCGGCTCCTCTGCAGGTTTTAATCTTTATTTTTTGCAAAACTTCCGCTTAGTTCCCAATGGGGCAGCATTCATTAGTGTTCCTAACGACCCTTGAATCGGGATTAGCTCCATTCTGCCGTCTCGAGCCGCCGTTGTGGACCAGCCAAACGAAGGGTTAGCTAATTTCCCCAAAAAGCAAAATTTTTCAATCAATTTAGAAAAAATACTCCCTCAAATTCGTCGCAAAACCTCCTCCGCGGGCCCAACATTGGATTACGTCTTTAGAATCGTCTATATTACTGGTAAAAAAATTTATGAATTATTTATCGCGAAGAATTAGGGCCCCATCGAGTGCCATCAGAAATAGAGCCCACAACCCCGCAGAGCCCACCGCTGAATAATTGGTTTGTCGAGAAAGTAGTTGCATTAATGAGTGGTTACAGCATCTCGCTCCCAAACTCTCCCAACATTTTGAACGGCGAACACATGGATAGTATGGTCAAGTAAGTTTTTAACACTTTATATAGTAGCTTTTCCTTACAGCTTTCAAATCGGGGAAGCCTGCGAGACGATGAAGCAGCAGATATTAGCTAGGGCATTTTTTGGCTGTATGTTAATGAAGTAAACTTAATTTCACTGGTTTAGGGTTATCTTACGTTCGACACCTACGTACGATTCGCTCTCACTTAATGTATCTAGTCGAGAAAAAACAGCTTGAAGACCAGGGCTGTGGCTTTGTTGATGAAGCTTTTTGGGATAAATGTCGAGCGGAAAGAACTGTAGGTTATCCAATTTTATTTAACGTTTAATAAATGTTAAAACCTTTGCTTCTTACCGTAAACCCCTATTTCCAGCCGGAACTCGAAAAAGAATTCCTGCAACGTGTCTACTGGCGTGGCATCGAAGGCGATTCCCCCAAGGATTTGAGAAGACGGGTACCCAATTATAATTGATGAGCCGCCCCCTAACCCCCTTCCAATTCCCCCCGAACCGAGTCGTTTTTTTCAGTGCTGGCCCTACCTAATTGGCCTATTTGCATGGCAAGAAGAAATTGAGCCGAAGACCACACAGTTCACCCAAGTCTATAGGTAAAATTGGAGGCAAGAAGTTATAAAGTGAAAACTAGGGATGATGTGGAAAAATGGAGAGTATGGGAAGCTGAGGTGCGGAGATTGGATGAAGAAGCATTTAATTCGGGTAGCAAACTATAGAAAATAAGTCGGATATTTTTTTAGTTCGTGAACGAAAAGTATCCGTGCGAGAAGAATCCATAACAAGCGATGTTTTCGAAGAAGAGCCACATGCCTCTTTCGAATTGAAGCCAGAATCGGTGATTTTAAAGTACCTCCCCAGGACTTTCTTTTAGTCCCAGAGCGAGGAGCGACTTTTCCAGTTGTTTTTAACAAATTTGCATAGGATTGAGAAGGATGTCGAGAGGTAATTTTTAATTTTGACAATGTTATGGCAATCCAGATGCGATCGGAATCTATTATTTTTCCAAAATAAAGAAAATCTGGAAAGCTTGAGAAGGATAATGTGCACGTACGTGGCGAGGTATGATTTACATTAAAAAATAATATTCTAATTTTGTTTAGGAATTTGGAAGAAGGATATATTCAGGGAATGTGTGATATCCTTGCCCCATTATTGGTGGTTTTTGAAGATGGTAATAACGACATCAAACACCTAATTAAATTGTTTTTAGAAGCTCTTACCCTTGAATGCTTCACAATCATGATGCAGCGAATGAGGGAGAACTTCCCGCAGCGCGGCGGAATGGATGAAAATTTGAGCAATTTGCGTTCTTTGATCCAGGTTATTTAAATCTTTTTAAAAATAAGATAAATTGATTTCAGGTGGTCGATCCACAAGTGTTCTCTATCTTTACAACATCATCTGACTTTACACATTTGTATTTCTCCTATAGATGGTTTCTATTGGATTTTAAGAGAGGTAACATTTTTTATTTATGATTTAACACAATTCTTTATCAGAATTATCCTATGAGGGAACATTCCGTGTTTGGGAGACGATTTGGGCGAGTTCAAGAACTGTCAGCCCGCATTTTCAAGTAGGTTTCTACCGTATGAGCAAATTCTATAAACTTCAGTTATTCTTTGCCTTGGCCCTTGTTACCAACTATCGCGATGTAATTATTGAAAACCAAATGGATTTCACTGATTTAATAAAGTTTTTTAATGGTGAGTGACTATGCTAATTAACGCAATTTTGGCGATTCTTCAGAAATGGCGGAACGTCACGATACAAACCGTATTCTGGAGGGTGCTCGAGCACATCTAACTGCCCTACAACAATTGGTACTACACATCCGTTAATGATTGTATGCTACCGATATTTTTTGTATATTTCCCGCTTTTAATTACGATTAGCGCCTACTGTATTTGCATTGACCAACTTTTTAAACTTTGCCAAAATGATCTATGCTTTACCTTTGTCCTGTGAATTGTTTTTTTACATTTCTGCACAGTAAGTCCTAGCCAATATAACTAATCGCAAGCTGTGGTCTCCCGCGCGTCCTGTGAATCTATGCAGCCCGGTTTTTTTCCTGGAGAACGAGGTCACTTTTCCACATTTCTATTGACCCACACACATCAAATTTTTTTAGTTCTAGTATTTGGCGTAATAAATGAGTATTTTCACGTTTTTGCGACATTACAAAAAAAACCCAATTGCAAACTTAAATTAATGATTAGTCAGGGAGAACAGTGGGAGAGAGAGAGAGAGAGAGCGAGAGAGAGAATAATGACATGGATAGTTTCCAATGCTCGCCGAATCATAACTACATGGGCTGCTGGTCGAGCCTGCTTAATTCTTTGCATTCAACAATTCAAAAATATGGACACTACTTAGTTTCAAGTCATTATTCCGTTACGATACAAATCAAGTTTTCATTGTTTCCGACGACCAAATACAGCTCCTGAATTATCATATGGATGATAACTTTTTTAGTATAACCCTATATTATCCTTGACTTTGCATACTTGTCTACGCTTCTCCATTTTAAAACGAATAATGAAAAATGTTACTGTCTCGCTCATTATACAGGGTGGCGATTAATTACCTGCGCGGGGGAAAACGCTCGCTCTGGATCTTTCGTTAAGGCAATAAACGATTAGCCACCTCCTGAGGCTACAGTAGCCTTCTAAAGTGTAGCCATGGGATCAGGATGCGCGTCGTCAAGCCGGAATTTATCTTTCTTGGCTCTCGGTTTTTCCTGATTGCTTAACCCGGTTAAAATTTGGGTAGGATGCAACCAAACAAACACCAAAATAGTAAAACAGCTCAATCTAATAAAATTTGGAGCCCCATTTTTGGGGTGAAAGCGGCGCTCAGGTAATTAATCGCCACCCTGTATAGGCTCCCGCGACTTCCGGCCTATGCAAATTGCTTCCTACCAAAGAGGGTTCCCGATTTTACAACAAAAACATAATTTTAATGTCGAAAACCACAAATGTTGTAAGATCTGATATCCGTGCAGTCATCTCGTGACCATTACGCACCTAATGACGTATCATACGTAGCCTTCGCTCTTTGAGATATCCTCCGGACAGCCTGACGGAAGTTGCATGCAAAGTGGCACACACACACACACTATTTTTTATATATAGTAGGATCTCAAATTGTGCGGTTGAGCACCCGGAGACCAACGAAATGAACCGGCTGGCAGTAGGGTTTCCCGAAACCCGAATTCGAGATTGGAGTGTGTGTGGCCCTGGAGTCTGAATGCGCAACTTTAACTCTTCTGATTAGTGAGCCCTTGTCATCTTAATTTTTACACATTTTTTCTAATAATGCAGACGAAACAGCCATGAATTATGCTGCGCCAGGCACTCCACCTAGTGGCTTTTGTCGCTTGTGAATTGTTTAGTGCAGAAAAGTGGGAATGGGCCATTTTTTGTGGGCTTAATTTTTCGCCTTTCAAATTTGGATGGTTTTTTAAACTTTGGAATAGTTTTAAAATCAATCTAAAGCGGCTATGCATGTTTCTGCCACTTAAACAAAATTTGATAGTTAGAATGTTGTACTCGATTGAATATCCCTCTATTTTGTTGCCCGCAATACCCGAAAAGCCTGCCGCTACTCGTTTTCAGCCCCGGTAAACGACCATCCGATCTTCCAACGCACCCTCTGTTTTGACGGTCTACTCCCATTTTTTGATGATGAATAACGGCCCCCGGGTTGGCGTCATCCTCCAACTCTGCTAACCTGCTAAAAAAACGGAATTTTCAAGCTAGCGAAAACTTGCTTTACGGTGATTTCCCGGCTTTTGATATCGCAGATCTGCAGTTAGCCCTCTCTTAATTTGTGATTTCTTTTCATCGGCGGATTCGCATCTAGCGGATTTTTCATTTGGACAATTTTTCCTGACCAATCTTTAGTTCTGCATCCTAATTTTTTTATTTACGTCTGGCTCGGAAAAATTTTAAGTCCGAAAAATTTTTAAACTTCCTTAATTTATACGCTAATTAGATCTGATAAAGATTTGAGAGTCATTAACTAAATCATGCTCTTGTAATTAAAGTTTTCATTCCTGAGAACTACGGGGTCTAATTAGCATGCGCGACAAAAATCAGCAAAATAGCAATGGGCCAAATAAAAATCGGCAAATTGAAAAAGACAACTAACCCTAGGCCTTCCGAAATGTCGTAACTCACCATCATTCCACCGCAGCTGGATCCACTCAAAATTGCCTCAAAATGTAAATCTTTTTCGCTTGTCCACCAATTCAAAGTCCAGCGCTTCAACGGACTTCTGTTCCATTGTGTATTTAAGCTTTGGAAAACAAAAGCCACATCGGAACAAGGATCTTCTCCCACCCTGAGGCTGTGTCCACATCCCCATTTATTCCACACCCAAAATACTCTACATCGTATTTGAAACGACAACCAGGATACCTCAAATCCAATCTCTGTAATCCGCCAACTACCGAATGCCATCATACTTGGTTCGTCCATGTACAGCATTTCTCGCATTATCATTAGCATGTGAGTCATAAAAATATACAATTTTCAAAACCGATTTTTTAAAGTATTTTGTATTGTTCAATACTATGGCATCAATGAAGCATGGCTACCTACAGAAATCATCTCCCGGCAAATTGAAAACAAGTAACCCTTACCATTCCATGTTGGCATACGATAATTCAGTCCAGCCATAATGCGTGGGTTACGAAACAGTATTATACCAGGCTGGAAAGGTATCATTTCCCTTTCTGGGTAGAGATTTGATTTAGGTAAATTCTCAATCCCATTCCACGCCATAAAAAGCGGGGCCGGGTTGGGAAACCAGTTATTCGAGATTTTTGCATTGCTGGGGATCGCGGACCAAACTAACAGGTATATAATTTTCGGGGTTATTGAATTCTTTTTAGAACCCCTGTATTCAATATCGACGACTCTGGGGTTATCCAGCAATTTATATTTATACAAGAGTTCTTTCCAGCGATTATACCGAAAATTAATTTTATGATGGAAAAGGTAAGGATATTCAAACGTATAAATCCCGACATTCGCAGTAAATAATTATAAATTACCTCATAATATATTAAGCGTCCACCAATGGCAGTGGCCGGTTTGCATCGATTGGGGTGCTGTAGATTTTCAACGCTAGAACCGCTCAAGAAAATGAGACAGCCTCACGTCATGGGCTCTGGTATATATTTCCAGGTTATCCCAATCAGTTGATTCGGAAAAATGATTTTAGAGCCACCTATATTTCTCCCACATGAGGGCTAAACTCCTCGATCTGATGATACCCTCAGAATATGCTGTCAAAGAAGCCGAAGCTATCATCAAGAAAAAAGACCTTGATGGACCAGTGTGAGCATATTTTGGTCGACGGCTACCCAGGGCTTCTTTATTTTCGCAAAAGCGGGACTCGTGACCAAAAGAGCCCTTTAGATATTGCGTACATGCGCGAAGAGGTGATTTCCTGAAAGCACCTCACCCTCAGGCTTCCGAAGCCAATTTCACGCGGTATGCAACGAAATGGTTGTTGAAAAAAAGCAAGTTATTCAAATACCTTCTAATCATTGAAATAGATGTTGGTGATAAGCCAGCCACTGTTTTATTTTTCTCAAATGATCCGGTGTGGATGGATGCCGTTTTTGCTGATGTGCTTTTCAAAGCGAATAGGTAACGTCTGGGTAAGTAAGCTTCTCAACCTATCATTTTCAGAACACAACTTGGTTACAAATATGAAAATATACATTACATCACTCCGAATACTACTTCGGCTTTCATAACGCTGGTCCTTTCCCGGCTATACTGTGACAATGTTTTGGTTACAGGTTAATAGAACAATTCATCGATAATTTTAATATTAGCACCAGCTTCGACGTTTGCTTGGTATATGGGATTTCTAGCAAATAACGGATCTGGAAATGTTTACCTATCGGAGGTAAAGGTTTGCAAATTTTTAGAAAGCTTTTCAGACATTCGCAAAAAGTGATGGCGGCCTAGAAAAAGAATTAATACCCAGCGAATTTTTCCTGTCAAACTGGATACCACTACGGTAGGCTTTATTTTTCCATCAAAATTTTGACGGTGTTAAGAAGACACGACAACGATAACTTTGAAAAGATCCAAATCTCCGAAATGCGGCCGTTTATTCCGGCAACGCAACGGCGTTAACAGCAGCTTGGCTCAATTTCGGGTTCTATCGGGTCTCAAAACTTTCATGTATGTATAAAGAGCTTGCGTTTCTATGCTAAATAATGCATCCCGCGTCAAAGACACACATTTCACGTTCGGGCAAGTTGCCGGGGTAATTGGATCCATGAGAAAACATTGAAATCGAGGAGAGACCATCGAGACTGCTCCCAAGTCTTACGACAATATAAATGCTATGCTATATTTATTATTGTTATTACCAGGTACGATTTTGATGATGATATGGGTAGTTTATTGGATTTAGTGGCTCTCAGCCGGACGAATCGGACTCGATCTCTGAAAGAATTAATACAAAATCAATTATTTCTTGCGCAAAGTAAGAAAATCATTTAATTAAAAATTGGATATATTTTTTGATTATTCAACAAACGTCCGACCTGTCAATGTGGAAAGTACAGTGACAAATGTGTCGATAAACTTAAATTCCTTTCAGTTGATCGCTTTGGTAAGTGTTGTCCAATTTTCTTTCGACATTTTATTAAGGATCAAAGCGCCGAAACAATTACAATGTCCGCAGAATTTGTGATGGTAATTAAATGATATCATTAAAGCATTTAAATTTTTGATTTAGACCTGGCAAGATCAGCTTTTACATTGGGATGTAGAAGATTTCAATACGACAATGATTTCCATTCGTGCATCGCAAATTTGGAGGCCGGATATCGTTGTCAGTTCAGCGTTTGTCCAAGTTTTTGGAAGCCAAAGGGTTTTTAGAATTTGCACAACTTATACGATTGATCCAGAGGAGCAGTTAATCACTTTATTCAACGACGGGACAGTGCGTTATAGTATGTATGGGCAATTTGTGAATATTTGCGATATGCGGGTTAGTATAATTTCAATTTAATTTCGGGTTATTATTACGTTCAAAACCGGCCCCTTCAGTGTGTTTTCAGGTGAATCGCTTCCCATACGACACGCAGATCTGCCAGGTAGACAGGCTTTTCAGTACCTAATGAAAGATTTTCTTTCTGTGGTCAGGTAAATATTGGACCCTGGACGTACCGGCGTGAGCAGGTGCATATCATCGCCCTGCCCGTGCACTCCTCTAACTCTGGGGATTACTCGGTAGGTTCTAGTGATTCAAAAACACCAGGTGATTCAGGCCGTGTGGTACAAGGTTTTTTATAATAGCAAACACTTGTTTTCTAATATATATGCAAACGTATCAAAACCTTACGCCGAAAAGATGCTAGTCGCGAAAGGGAAATACCCTCAGCTTCCCGGATTTGCATCTAAATTAGTTTTTCGCAAACCAGAACCTGGCCCTCCCAGTAGCGAAAAATGGAAAAGATGTCATTGTACTAATTTTCCATATTTTAGGGCAACAGTGAATGGGAATTAACAAATACAACGGTCGGTGTCCACAACACTGAAGATACCGACATCAATTTTGTATATGAAGAAGCGGAATTTCGGGTTACCCCTTCACATCCGGTTTAAAAGCATCTTTAGGTCTACCTAAAAAGAAGACCTCAATTCTACGTCTTCGTACTTCTCGTCCCAACTTTAGTGATTACGGTAGTCGCGCTCTTCGGCCTTTTCGTACCGACGAATACAATTGGGGAGCGAGAAGAACGGGTTTTTGCAAAAAATGAAAATCGTAGATTGATACTTTTAACTCAGGTTAACCTTGGGGTGATGACACTGTTGTCACATTCTGTCATTCTGCAGATTGTGGGGGATGCTATGCCGAAAACTACTGGGTTGCCAGTCCTTGGTGGGCAATGATCGCAATAAAAAATCCGTAAGCTTTAGGCAACTTCATCTTGGCCGAGATTTTTGTAACAGCTATTGGGGTCCTCTTTTCGGTGATCGTTCTGTCGCTTCATTATAGGTACATTTTCGAAAACCAACGTCTTTTTTTACTTTTTTTAGAGCTTTGACACGAAAATGGGATGTTCCTCGGTGGGCCAAATGGGTTCTACATTTCCCAAAAGTACGGTACTTCACGAATTAGCAACCAATTTTTAGATCAAAAAGATTAAGCGTGTTCGACGACGAAAAAGTGAAGGGTTTGGGGAAGACACCAGGTAGAAAAACTTGATTTATGGATCTAGACATCTCAAAAATTAGTGGTTTTCTGGCGGATCTTTCACAGCTTCTATGTCTCTCTGATGTATATATGGTGGATGAAGAAGCTGATCGAGTCCGAGAAGTATCACTCTTAATGTTACCAAGCAATCACATTTAGATGCGCTGGACAAGCTTTTTCGATCGTGTCGACATGTGCCTGCTTGTCGTCTTCCAGATTACAAACATCTTTGTTACCGCCTTCATCCTTTAGTCTCGAAATAAATTGTTTTGTGCTAATTTCCAAACCGTACTCCTCGTATCGATTTCCATGACATGCTAAAGAACAAATAATAAGAAAGAGCTGGCAAATTGGGGGCCGGCGATTCTCCCACGCGAAATTTGATCCGGATGTCTCAACACTTCGGGGGAAACTTGGGTTTCGATGTGCGGCACTGCCGAGTTGTTCCATTAAACAGCTGGTATTTTGCACTCGCATGCTCAAGAACGCTATTTTTATAAGTGTAATAGGTAAGCATTGCTTTATTCATTAAGTCCATATTGATTTAGTCATATCATTATTCTTGCCAATTACCTGTAGAGGTAAGAGAACAAAAACACGCGAAGCTGCTCTAATTGAAATTTTGTTTGACGACTCCGGTAAGGAATATTTATATAAATACTTCTAAAGTTGGTTTAAGATTATTCAAATGAAGTGCGTCCCGTATATGACGAGAAAACCGTGACCAATGTGACTTTACAGTTAAATCAATTTCGATTGCTATACCTCGTAAGTTAAACTCCAATTTCTATATCCATTTTAGGACCAAACCTCAGAAACTGTCAAGTTTATGGTTGAATTTGTGGTGGTAGGGTTAAACGCGTTTTCTCAGGTTTACAATTTCAGACATGGAGGGATGAATTTCTGAGCTGGGATGCTGATGAATATAATTTAACGGAAATTAATGTGAAAGAAGATCGTGTGTGGCGTCCCGACATTGTTATATCATCGGCGTATAAAAACGATGTTTTGGTGAAGGGTTTATTGTTTTAGGGTCTCGAGTTCGTCTCCCCTCGACGAAAATTCGCGATATATTAATTTGGATAATGATGGAACGGTGACGGAGAGTATTTATGGAATGTATGAAAACATTTGCGAAATGAAGGTCAATGATTTCCCGTATGATTCGCAGAATTGCGCTGTTAATATTGGCCCGTGGAACTATAGAAGCAATCAGGTATGTATCAGGTTGGTAGATAAGTCCTGTCACAATTTTTTGAAATCGCTCTATGAAGCCGCAGAAACATCCAATTTGGGCTTTCGATACATGATTTGATAGGTCTTCGGACGCTCTACCTCAGCATGACCCTCCTAGGACCCCAAAGTCGCTGGTCACCGAGATACAGCCTCGAAAAGTTTCGCTCAAAATCTAGTCACAGCTTTCGAGCGAGTTATCTCTGCCTAGAACAATTTGCATGCGATACCTTTAACACCAATCGATAGCTCTCGAGGAAGTAGATATCGATAGATGTTGAGATCATCAAAAACGGACATCGGATGACCGAGATACGACCCCTTGAAATTTAGCCCATTTCTTAGAACTTTTCCCCAAATCCCATACATTTTGCACATTTGGGCCAAACTTTGCCGCCTTGTTTTTGCACGCACCGAGAAGATTTTGTCAAAATGTATGGGATTTCGAGAAAAGTCCTAAGAAATGGGCCAAATTTCAACGGAACATATCTCGGCCATCTGATGTCCGTTTTTGATGATCTCAACATCTATCGATATCTACTCCTCGGGAGCTATCGATTGGTGTTAAAGGTATCGCATGCAAATTGCTCTATGCAGAGATAACTCGCTAAAACACTTTTGCGTAATTATTCAAAAATCTTCAAGGGCCGTTATCTCGGCGACCCACAATTTCCAGACCGTATCCGACTGCACCCACGGTAGAGCATCTCAAGACCTATCAAATCATGTATCGCAAGTCAAATTGGACGTTTCTGCGGCTTTATAGAGCGATTTCAAAAATTTGTGACAGGACTTATCTACCAACCTGATATTACGTTTAGATCCTAGATTGATCAATAAATCATTACAGGTCCATATAATTGCTGGTAAGCCCAGCAATTGGGAATATTACATTGTAGGTTATTATCAGTTCTTCTAAATTTAAAATAGGGAAATAGTGAATGGGATTTATTGAACGCAACGGCTGTGGTTCGAACCGAAGAAGACACTGATGTCGCATTTTTCTACGAAGAAGCTGACTTCACAGTCTAACTTTTTCGATCTTCAAAAATATACTATTAGATCACGATCAAGCGCCGCCCACAATTCTATATCTGGGTTTTACTAATCCCAACCTTTATCATCACAATTGTTTCACTTTTCGGACTATTTATTCCGACAAATACCAGTGGAGAACGAGAGCAAAGGGTTGGTTTTCATTCGATAAAAGTTCACCAACTTTCAGGTGGTGTTGGGGCTTACAACACTACTCTCCCATGCGGTCATCCTACAAATTGTTGCAGATGCGATGCCGAAGACGAACGATCTACCTTTATTAGGTTAACTATCTTCTAAAAAAACCTAGAAAGAACGAGTACCCGAGCGCTATGTGTAAATCGAATTCAGGCAACTTCATCTTGGCCGAAATCTTCGTGACAGCAATCGGTGTGCTCTTTTCCGTGCTAATCCTTAGCTTACACAACCGTGCGCTAACAAGGGGCTGGAGTGTTCCACAATGGGTCCGTTGGATACTGCATTTTCCAAAGGTGAAAAAGACATTAGTAGGAGGCATAGGAGGAGGGTATTTTCAGGTGCGAAGAAGAAAACGTTTGCGCCGAATTCCAGTTGAGACGCCAGGAGCGCCACCGGCGTAAGTGCTTTTGCGTAACATCAATTTGATCAATCGAAAAGTTGCCGAACTCTATATTTCTATTATAGAGGAGTGCTCGGTGATCTTTGTTCAATATTGGGCCGCGTGGACGAATGGATCCTTGAGGAAGAGAATAACAAGTTACGAGAGGCAAAAACTATCCGACGATGTAACGTATCCATTCAGATCCGCTGGACAAGCCTCTTTGATCGAATCGACCTCCTGCTCTTGGCCATCTTTCAAATCGGCAACATATTTGTCACCATTTTCACTATATAAAGCCAATCTGTTGCGCCAAAATGCCGTGCCGAAAGTTTCGTTTATAGAAGCACCAAGCACGGCAAACTTCCAATTTAAAATCCACAAGTTTATCATCGAAACCACATTTGCATAATATGTTCTCGGCTAACACAGCTGACAAAATGGAGAATAGAAAGGGGGATTCGACAACATGGATGTACTAATGCCGTTGAAAAGAACTAAAACACAGGAAGATACACAGTGATACACAGTGACGAGGGGGGAAGAGAGTGAGGGGCGGAAGCGGAGCAAATTGCGGAAAACCGGTGCCAACACAGAATAACATTTTCTTAGATCGGGGCACTTTTGTGGATCGAATTTTGAACTTCTTATGCCTTGAATGCATTCGTTTTTCGGTTGTTGCTAACTGAATGGCACAATCAAAGATTGGGAGGGAGTAACGGGAAAGAGTCGGTATTGCCCAAAAAAGTGCTCGAGCTGCCAGCGCCTAAATTTGTCTGCGGGGGGATGTGCCGAATATCGTTGGCTGGCTACGCGGTATCCAATGCCCTAGGAACAAACAGAAACAACGGCCATCCCCAACTCTTCGTTTTAACGTTTGAAATTTGTAATTTTAATCCACGGCTACACAAAATTCCCGTCTACCACAACGGAATGGAAGAAAGATATTTCCATAACCAAAAATGGAAAAAATAATTATCGGGTGAACCCAGGAGAATGGAGAAGTGGGAGTGGGTGTACACCCCGTGGAATAAATAGTAAAATTTGATAATGAGAAAGTAGAGAATATGGGGGGGGGGGGCGATAGATAGTCAACCTGGCAGAAGATGGTGCCGGTGGGCGTCTAGCTGCGGTTCTTGAGCTGATTGGAGAGCCAGTCGAGTCCCTCATATAGACCGTCGCCGGATGTAGCGCAAGTTGCCTGGAAAAAAAAGAAAGTTTAGATAAATCTGGTAGGATAACGACTATAGATATACTTGCACCCCCAAAAGTATCCGTTTCTTTTAGCGTGGGACACTCCCAAAGTCACAAAATCGCGCGCAATTTTGCCATGTATCTCATGCACTATCTCCCGCATTCACTACCCGCCATAACGAAGTAAAAATAACATACCTGAATGTACCAAGTGCGGCTACGTAGCGTGTGCAGGCCAAGCTTGTCGGTGACCTCAGCCGCATTCATAGCATTCGGCAAATCCTGCTTGTTAGCGAAGACGAGTAGAACAGCATCACGCAGCTCATCTTCCGCCAACATACGCATCAATTCTTCACGAGCTTCACCAACACGCTCCCTGTCGTTCGAGTCAACGACGAAGATCAATCCTAAAATAGACATTGAAAATCGATTTTCAATTAAGAATTAAGGAGCAAAGGCCAATTTTCTCGCTAGACAGCGAAAAAAGCAGCGGCGGAAAAAGATAAGATAAAAGAAAACGAACCCTGGGTATTCTGGAAGTAATGCCTCCACAGCGGGCGAATCTTGTCTTGACCGCCGACATCCCACACGGTGAACGAAATGTTCTTGTACTCAACAGTTTCCACATTGAACCCTGGAAAACAATACGTAATCGGAAAGCGGAATTCTAAACGTACCGATGGTAGGAATTGTGGTCACAATTTCTCCGAGCTTCAACTTGTAAAGGATGGTCGTCTTTCCGGCCGCGTCCAACCCGACCATCAGGATTCGCATCTCCTTCTTACCAAAAAGGCCTTTGAAAAGGTTGCCGAAGACGTTACCCATTCTAAAAAAAGAGTTTGAAGAGCATACTGATTTCAAAAGCAGAAAGTAACGTGGCGAGAAAGTACCAAGTAAGAATCAGGGACTTAATGAATGCAATTTAGCGCCATTCATTAAGTATTAACTAAAAACTATTTCGTCTGCAAGAGTTTCGAAATCCTCGTGTAGGAAAATGAAACAGCTGCCGCTTACAAATCTAAGTTTTGAAACATGGAAAAGCTTTGACAAGAGGAACAAAAATGAGGACGTGTTTCAGCCCGAGGTTCCAAATTTCCGATTACGGCATAATATAGCGCAGGAATAGGAACCGAGATATCTAAAGTAATAAATATAAACTAGAAAGAGGTCGCTAATCAATGAATCGGTTGAAAGGTTCAAGTTTCCGCGTGGGCGGGATGAGCAATGCCCTCCAAAAAATGATGAAAACGTGTCCGGAGTCGATAGAAGGTGCTGGCCACACACGTCAACGCGCCCCGCACGCCCCGCGTCTACCGTACGCGTCGCGGACTTGCACATCAACTGGCGGCAAAATAATCGTACAGCCCAGCTAATGAATCCAGCCTACAGCTTGAAAACATGAAAATATACAAAATAATGCAGAAAAATAAGTTTTCTTTGATGAAATTGGGAGAATCAGGTTGTGGGAATGACCATCAAAAACTGTTCTTGAGGAAAACATCCGTAGTCGTGCAAAATTTGCCAAAAAATCGATGATCGCGGAAAACACTCTAGACTTCAAAGTTGCGATGCTTTATGGAAAACGAGCGAAATTCCGCGGCTAGAACGGAAACATTATTATTGTGCCCGTGTGATCAGCGTATGATGAACTAATTATTGCTAACTTATCGGAATGGGCTTGCTTCATTCCTAGAAATGAAGCTGCGAAGCTATATCGATTTTCTACTTACTAGAAGATGAGAATAATGCAGCCTTTTCAAACATCGCGCGTGAATTTCGTTTATCTATCGCCTTCCGCCGCATCAAATTTCTTTTCAGATTTTGTGGTTTGAAAAGGCTCTTTGAGCCGACACACCTTTCTACACCTAAGAATTGATCGCTGCCCTCGAAAAGAGCACAGGAATGACTTTTAGTGCTCCCACACCATTTGTAATCTTCTTGATCCCCGGCACTCTCCCAGAGTGCATAGGCATGCCCCGTAGCGGCCGAGTGAAGTTACCGGGGAGATAATCGCGCGACAAGTTGGAAACTAATCCAGGCACATCCGGTCCCATCGATCCCAAGGTTGTGCTGCCCACTTTCTCCAAACCCTGTTCTATCGAAACAGTACAGCCGCCTTGCCCTCAGACGTTCAAGCGGACCGATATTCCCTAAAGAATGCATCATCGTAATTTAGCAACAATTTAACTTTTTGCTTGCCCGATTCGCAATGGGTTCACCAAATCCAGAACATAAAGCTTCGATTATGTAATAGCATACAGTTTGCCCTTCGACTAGCTTACGAGCAAACTGAAAGCTGCTGAGAGCCGAATTTCTAATGGTTCAACGATGGCAGTAGGGTTGTGAAGCAATCATGACGCCGTCGGGCTTGGCGGAGATCGTAAGTTTAAATTAACAAAATAATGATCACATTATACAATGAAAATTCGGGGCATAACTTGGACAAATGAGGTTAATTGGTGGTGATTCAGGAAAAAAAAAACATTAATTAGCGCTAAACTATATAAAGTGCGGAAATTCAAAGTCGTTAGCACTTTTTTTAACAACCAATATTACTACAATATTGATCGCTTATTCTTTTAGGAAATTCCAGTCTGGTGCGATCGATAAAGACTTCACAGGGTGCCCATCTGGTTCGGCTGCAGAAGAATTTTCAGAGGTCGAACCTGCCATACGAAAATACACCCAAACATATCGATAAACTTTTTCTGAAAGCTTTGAATTAGCTAGAATTGTTCTAACAACTTGTTATATATCAATGTCGTTCGGTTCGTTGTCTTTGTACAGCGTGAGAATCTTTCAGACAGACTGGGTTTCCTAAAGGCGATGTGAAGGAGCGAATGGCAGAAATGAGTAGTGTAGAAGAAGAGACGGATTTTGATGACCCGGAAGCGGTAGATTTTAGTTTTCAAAAAGGCACAGATTACAAGACAAAAACAGTAATGGTTTACAATATAACTGCTCCAGGTCGGCTTAACACGCTATGGAGACATGCTTTTGGATGAAAAACGGAATGTTGCTTATCAAAAAGCTATCGAGAAAGTGGTGACTGAAATGAAGGATACTGGGAAGGAGGTTCACGTCTTGGATATTGGTAGGAACAGAATCTGGCAAAATTTTAATGGTTTTAGGGACCGGAACCGGCCTTTTGGCGATGATGGCTGCAAGAGCAGGTGCTGATCGGGTAATCGGACTCGAGGTTGGTAATGGATACACAAATATAAGTCTATTTATAAAAGAGTATTGTGTTAAATTTGCGTTTTTAAACGGACCACTTAAGGAAAACGAGCTTATGATCCCATTTGCTGAAAGATTAGTTGATGCCAATGATCTCAACGATAAAGTCGAAGTATTCCATGCTGACCTCAACGAAACTGAGGAGGGAGAGCTCGAGCTCGACGACAAGGCCAACCTAATCGTGGCTGAAGTAAGTATTTTAAAATGTATAGTATACATAAAATAGGTATTCGACACAGAGCTGATCGGTGAAGGAGCTCTGGCGCTTTTCGCGGCGCAAACCCGGGAGTTACGGACTGACGATTGTCGATTTATACCGGCAAAGGCGAGGATCTACATCACACTGCTCGAGAGTCCATATTTGAGGAAATTTTCTGCACTTCCCGAGCTTCCCGGACATCGTAAGTCAACCGAATACCACGAGAGAGTGAATTTTCAGCTGAAAGACCCGAATTTCTCGACTGTCTTTCTGGGTCGAACATTTTCGAGGTTCAGTACAATGCTATCAATCATGAAGGTCTACGGGAGATTGGAAAAACGGTGGAAGCATTTTGGTACGCGCATACTTCTTTATACTTATTGCTCTAGCTTTGATTTCGAACATGGCGAATCGAGCAAGCAAGCTGATAGAGTGATAGACGTCCATGGTTTGCTCGATTAAATTTCTTTTCCAACAACAGTTTAGTAACTTCCGACGGCCAGGTCGATGGCATACTTTTTTGGTGGGAGCTTGACATGGACGGTAGCGGGCAAATTCTGTTGAGCACTGATCCGAAGAAAAACGAGGTAGGCGAAGATAGGGAAGCGATAAATAAAAGAATATAAATAATTTTTTTATAGTGGAGAGACCACTGGCTGCAGGCGATTCATTTTCTGCCCGGGAAATGCGTTGTCGAAAAAGACCAAGTGCTAAAGATTCATGCAGCGCATGACGAATATTCATTTTCCTTTAAAGTTGCAGCTAATCCGCCTGAAAAAGGTCCAATCGATCGGTTAGTCTTGAAATTATTGGATGGCTGAAGTTTCTCAGAGCCTTATTTTGCCAATGCGATCTACACAATCATGTATCACCACCGGAAATCTACCGAATGAATGCTCTTATCGATTGCCCGAAAACGCCTGCTTGGCTGGAAAAGGTATATATTAAAGTAATTTAGAAAAATCAATCTTCTAAATAGATCTGCACCGGAAAGAAGATTGTCTGTGCAGGTGAAAGTCCACTATTTCCGCTTCTCGCCGCCAAATACGCAACAAAAGTCTACGCCGTGTTAGAACTTGATGGGGCTCGGTAAGGCAAAAACACACGAAAAAATAGGCTGTATTTTAGAAACATCTTGGAAAAATACAGAGTAGCCTATGGGCTTGACAACGTCGAATTGGTCGAAGGATACGACGATATTCTTGAAAATGTTGGATTCAAAATAGTTTTAATAGTTAAAAAAATAGGTGGACGTCCTATGCTTCGATCCAATTTCTTCAATGCGAACAGCCGTTCCTCTAAATGTCCAATTTTGGCCGGAAGCAGAGCTAGTCCAGCGGAGATGGCCACGAGTTGAAATCTACCCCAAGGTGCTACCAGCGTTTCTGAAAATTATGCATATTTTAGAGCGCAAAACTTCGGAGTCTCGCTATGAACCTTCCGAATTTGTGCAAAACTGTTGGCTCGGTCAAGGAAATACAGGGCTTTGACTTCAGGATCTATGATAGGTGGCTGAAGGTAAGAGGTCGAGCTCAAAATAACAAGAAACATTTAGAAAGCTCGAGCCCAGCTTGACGAATGCGTAAACAATTTTCCGTTATGGCAATATGAAGGGAAACCTACGTCCACCCCAGTTACTGTAAGAGAAACAATATTAATTCTAGGATTCGATGAAATTTTAGATTTTTCAGTTCGATTTCCCTCCACAGTTGAGCGTCATGGAAGTGAAGGTTAAAATGGCGCTTGGGTAGGTATTTTAATTTGGTTTTACTAATCGTTTTAGCGAAAAGCCGAATTCCGTTGCTTTATGGTTAGACTGGGAATTGGATGATGGTTTCAACCACAGTAATGGATTAAATGAGTCAGTTTATGATCAAGTAATTTAGCAGAAATTTTTTTAGGTTATTTTTAGGAAGAATTTAAGAGTTTGGCCCTTAATTTTGAAATATGTTTTTCAGTTTCTCTGCTCAAGACACTCCGAAATGGTATGAAGCCGAGCAAGGAGTCTACTTCATCCCGGAAGATCGTCAAGACCAGAAAGAGCTTCAAGTCACCATGCGTTTCAACGATGGAAGAATTGATTTTTCATTCTAATTCTAAACCCAACTTTAATTATCCCTATGTTATACACTTTCCATATCAATTTTGCCCATCCCTACTTGCCGATTTGATATCTCAAAATTATCATTTTATCCTAAATTTAATAGGGATTTTTGAGAATGTGTATCCTCTTCATCTCGCTGGTTGTGAACATTTTCCAAAATTCTATATCGTTTTTGATTTCCAAGATTCTAATTGCCCCCAATCGATTCGATGCCCTATAATTGTACATTTCTCGTCACCCACCACCACAATATGTGATCCCCCAAAAACATTTACACCCTCCACAAATTATGAACACGATTTACTTCTTTTTGCCATAAAAACCATTGACTTTCTCATAAAAAATTCAGGATATTTTACACTAATAAATAACGTTATGATGCGCGACCTCACGGGGGATTCGATGGTTTTGACAGACCAACAGGGTACAGGATTTATTTTTAGAAGGGGTTGCACAGGTCGTGGAGGTCGTCAAAGTCGCAGCCATTATCGCAGCACATTCGCATTACTTCTCGTTCTTCGGCGGAGACGGCTCCTTCCTAAAAGTTATGATTACAAAAAATTCATATGATTTTTACAAACCCTAAAATGGCCCGGGAACGAGACAGCTCTTTTTCGGCGGCGCATTGTGCAAACTGTGGAAAATGCTTCGAAAAAGGTGGCTCCACCTAAAAATAGATTTATTAAAGTCGTGCTGTATTAGAAATTCAGTTTCATATATACGTTTTAGCTTTAACATACCTTCAGGACACAGCCGCAGTTTCCCGCTGAAGATCGCTAATGGATCAAAACGCGGCACGGGTGCTGCCGATCTCTCCAGTGGTTTCTCCACAGTGATTAGTGGAAGTGGTTTTACAACTAAACTTATTTTTACCTTCATTTTATTAAATGAAGTCCGTACCATTCATGAGACGTATCGGGGTCTTTACTTCAATCTCACGGGGCGCGGATCCAAAGTAGCTATAAAGCTGATAATTGATTTTAATAAAAGTTATATATAAATTCCTAATGTCCGACCGGAAATTCACACAAATTTTGCATTTAAATTTCAAATTAAAATTGTGTGTGTGTGTGGGAGGGGGGAGGGCCAACGCTGAACCCCCCCGCCGCGTAGCGGGGGTCAGCGCTGGTAAAAGTTGTATTTTTTCACGGCGTCATACTAATTGTCATACAAAAATAAAATTATAGAAATACCTAGAGATCCGATTCCACAATGACACTGCCAACACCACCCGGCAAGCCAAGAGGCATAGCATGAGGGCCCAACGAGTGGTGCGCATTACCGCCTAAAATCTTATCATAAATAAATTAAACAAAAAAAACGAGAAAAATCTTATTATTGAGTGCACAATCTCAAAAAAATATAAGAATTGTACGATAGTTTCTTAAGTGAAACAAGGTGTATAAATGACAAGGGGATATCATAGAACTCGAATTAACCCTCCGAAATCCTAAAAACTCTCCAGGACCCGCGATCTCCGAATTATCCCAGATTCCGTCGTATGGCGTTGTTTTGGCCCTTCCGACTTCCAGTATTATACCCCCCCCCCCCCCTTTCCTTCTATCCGGTGGGTGTTGGGGGCCGGGCCTTCCGGACCTACGAAGTGATTTTTGCTATCGTCTTGTTCCCTAATAATTCATAGATTTTCCGGTCTCATTATGACAGGCCACGGCCGCCCTCGAACCAAAGCGGCCCTTTCCCCAAAATTGCTGAGTGCAACCGGGGGGCAGCATCAAGGAATTGGCTTTTTGAGAATGAGGGGGAATGAATCGGTGGTAGATTTCGGTTTTGAGGGTATGGTGCGTGTAGTAGTGAGGAGGAATTGACGTAGTTGGCCGGATGCGTGGGTGGGTGGATGGGATTTTGTTTTATGACCAACTTTTTGGTTCTAGAGAGATTGAAAAGTGCCAGAATCAACCATTTTCCTAGATTAGGTATCATGATAAACTCGACGCCCCAAATGGCACAAGTTGATGGAATATAGCGAGGAAGTTGTATCCAAATAAGGCGGCGTCTTATACTGTAAACGAAATACCTAGACAACCTTGATTAAAAGAAAAAAACCAGAAAAACCAAGAACATCTAGATTTTTTCATAGCGTTATTTCGCGCCTCCCGCACCTAGTCGCAACCAGGGTTGGTCATTTTTGACCCGGGTCGGACCCGGACCCGGACCCGGACCCGGACCCGGACCCACCCGGACCCGCAGAAATTTGCATGGGTCCGGGTCCGGGTCCGGTCGGGTCCAGGTCCGGGTCCGGGTCCGGAAGTTGCGTATTTGCATTTATTTGAGATAGAGATTTAGGATTCTAATTTTCCTCGGAAAAAGACAACGGCATTAATTATAATGGTTTATCCGGTATGATTCAGGTATATAGGAGTCGAGACCAGAACATCAAATCACATCGGATGGAGCCCCCATCCGAAGTTAGCAGACGTGAGAAATGTCGTGCAATATCGTGGAATTTATCCAGAAATCGGCATGCAAATGACCCGGACCCACCCGGACCCGGACCCGGACCCGGACCCGGACCCGGACCCGGACCCATGCAAATTTGATCGGGTCCGGACCCGGACCCGGACCCCCCGGGTCCGGACCGGGTCCGGGTCCGGGTCAAAAAAGACCAACCCTGGTCGCAACTTGTATCAAGTAGCACTAGCAGTACATAGTCCTTTTAAAGGGATAGAGAAGTGGAAGCGACTCTAGACAAGTGACATATAGGCTTTTTCTAAGCCAAAAAGCTAAATAATACAAGAAGACATCCGCCCGAACGCCACTCCCCAACCGTAGCCCCCCCCCCCCCAAGGATAGCAAACGTTGCGTGGGTCCTTAAATGACGCGAATGCAATTTCGAGATGTCGCGAGAATCTGGGTGGGTGGGTATTGAGCCGTGTATAATTGGGGAAGGCATCTAGGGCCACAGTTTTGGGTGTAGCCGGGCCCTTCAAAATAGAGTCATGCAATTAATCGTAATTGGCCGCGCGGGGAGGCGCTGGTGTATGGGGCTAATGTAAGGGATGGTGGCTGGGCCTTACGGGGGGGCTTATAATATTTTACGGATTTTTGGGGGCGTCGTTTCGCGGCGAAAATTGAACGGAAAAGACTGATTGTCATTCAGGGGTGATTCTTACCGTAAATTTGCCTGCGCACTTCCGTTCTACGTTGTGACAACGTAGTTTCGGAATGATGATATCTTTGCGTTTGCCGACCATTTTAGAGTTTTTCCTTTTTTTTAAAAACCGCTTCGCATGTATAAGAATTCCCCAATCGGCCATCCTCAAAGACCTCAAAACACTCTCCATCTCCCCGTCAGATCTCAAAACTCAGCCCCTCCCCCATCCCATCTCTTCCTCCCCCCAAGGGTTTCTTCCCACTTTCTAAAACAATTATTTCCATCCCCCTCCGCCCGATCCCCAATCCATCACCTCTATAATGCTAAAATTTCTATTCATCCTCATCCCCTTAGCTGTAATTTGCAGGTAAGTCCCGGGATTTTGCACCTCCAGAATGTGACCTTGACCCGGTAGCCCAGCCCTGGTCAGGTTCAGGTATTGATTAAAATGGGTATCGGCTATGGTTAAAAGTAGGGGCGTGGAGAAGTTAAAAACTAGGCTATTTTAGTTAAAGTTTCCATTGATTTTCTTGATTCTTTTTCCAGCGCATCATGCCCTCATATGATGGGACAAGCTGAGGCAAAAGCACGAGCTGAAAAAACGAAGCAAAGTATTGAAGCACGCCTCCAGCAAAAAGAAGAAATTGGTTAGATTTTGGTCAGGAAAAAAATATGCTGCAACTTTAGGAGCACCACCCGGCGTCGAACCAAAGAACGACGGATCTCCTGGAACAGTCCCTGAAGAAACCTCGATACAAACAACTTTGATACACCTCAGCAAATCAGGTTTAACTATCGTCTTGTTCGGAAAATTATGCTATAGATGCTGAAAAGCAGTACGCCGGGCTGATCGCGGCAAAACTCAGGGAAATTCGTGAAAGCTTGCGTAAGGAGCTACGGTTGACAATCGACAATGAGCATGTATGGAAATATACTTTAAAGCAAAAAAAAAATTAAAATCAGATATCATGTAAAAACAATGCCGACGATCATTTCCGATGCCGAGATTATTCCCAAAGCCATTCTTACCATTATTTGGTTGTGGAAGACAGGTAGGCACTGGAATTTTCTATTCAAGAAATGTTTTTTAAGTTCTCGTGGAGCTGCCGTCTATTCCTTGGATCGTGATTTGAATGGAGATTCCCCTGGAAAAGTTGAAGCGGCGTTGCTAGAGTAGGGAAAACCAGGGATGCAGATATACTTTTCTAGCGCGCTGTCGAGACACACGAGACATCATCTGTCTCTGCACGCATCGAAGGAGGCTGAGAAGGAGGTATTAATTTGTATTTGTCAGTTTCATAGGAACTCAGGTTGGTTTTGTACGAGAGTTATCCATTGTTGAACTTGAACATGTTGGGAAGACGGCGAAGAAGATACGCTCTCCAAAAACGTACCCAATTGCCCCGACTGAAATGCAAGCAATTGAGACTCAGATTTTGGAAATTCGGTAAGTCATGGTTTACATTCTAAGCTTATTGTTTATTGCCCAGGAATAGCGAGGGCCTTGATACGACAGAACATCGGCTGACCGTCGTCCCATCTGAGGAAGTATTCAATCAAATGCTCCAACGCTACAAATATGTCTTTATTCTGTTCTGGACGAACGGTAGGCCCTGATAATTTTATACTTGTCCATTTTCCAGTCCGTTCCTCCTCTTCCCATGCCTATAATCAATTTGCAAAATTGTCTAATAATTTCGAGAAAACCGAACACATTCAATTGGCGGTTGTCAATTGCCATGAAGTCGACTTTTGCGTTGGTGAGACATGCAGAAGAAGGTGAACAACAGTTATTTAGGCCTGGATTATAAGGACTTTTACACGGTGGTGGCATATCAAGATGGCGAGAAAGTAGCCACGCAAAGTCTGGTCTTTGATGCGGACTTTTACGTTGGCTGGATCGAGAGGTAAGAGATGTGCGAAAAACGTTACCCTATTTTTTAGAATTCTTGCTGGGACCTTGGTAGAGCTAAAAAACAAGGATGAGCTGAAGGAGGCAAAGAAAGGTGGTTATCTCTCCATAGTGAATGTAATTGCATTTAGGAAAGCTACTTGGAAAACAACGACAATCCGTTATAATTGGTGTCTTCCCCGACAAAGATGCCATCGAATATGCCCATTATGAAAAAGTGGCTGAACTGCTGAAGGGTCGATATTACATGGCGTATTACTTAGACAAGGAGTAAGCATACCAAAATACCATTAAAGACTCCTTAGGGCCCAATCAACACTTGCCACCTACCGTCCCGGCGAGAAAAAGAAGCGGGTCGATTACGCAGGGGCTTTCGATCCACCAACACTGGCCAATTTTATTACCTATTCGCCATTACCGACTGTGGTAGGAGCAACCCAAAATAGTCGAAGAATTTTGCTGAATTTCAGGTGGACATCACTCGAGGTTTCAATCCAGATCTACTATTCAAACAACCATTACCGATCGTGCTACTTTATTCCCCTCCATCTTTCGATTCGAAGAATTTTGAGGCCGCGGCCGCAAAGCCCGCATTCGCTCATTTAAAATATATTTTTGTTCGTGTGAATAGGTAATTAACATAGAAATAATTTCGAATCTGTATTAAGCGATGGCTTGGCACTCCGTCATGAATTGTTGAAGCCGTTGGGAATCTCAAAAGAAGATGAACCTGTGGTAATTTTGTATATCAAGGTATGGATATCCAGAATTCGAAAGTCCTTTTTGCTTCAGAATAAAGCGTGGCACCTTGAATTGACTCCTGAGAACGACGCGGATGAGATTTTGAAATGGGTTGATGAAGTCGAGGCCACTCCTGCTGAATGTGGGATTAATTTTTTTTGAAATCGTACCTTAACCTTTTCAGATACTGTCACTTTCAACGATGCACATCCATTAATGTATCTACAAATTGAAGCATCAAATAATGTAGTTTTGTGGCCTATTTATGGCTAAAAGCATTTAGATCTTTGGCGTTCAACCTGTACAACCACTACCCGATTTGTCGGTATTCCAGATTAAGGCCATAAAGGTATGAGACATTTTACAGTCTAAATTGCCCTATTAAGCCTCTACTTAACGATATGGCCAAATCTGGCTCCGGCGGTGGATGTCCATTTATGCATGGTGGAGCGATCCCTCCACAACAAGAAGACGCACGCCATCAAGAATTATAATTCTAGCAATTTGTTCACGGGTTCATGGTCATAAATAATATCCTGACTTCTATTAGTTCATCAACTATTTATACCAATTGAGCAAATTTTAATTTGGTAAGCACCAGAGAGTATAAGGGTATCTGGGCAAGGCGAACGATGGGGTAAATGCAAATTTTGGCAATGCGGTGACAAGAGGCAATGGCTTGACTATCCGATATCATATCACAATCGTGCTTATTAATCCCATTTTGGCAAATAATCAAATATGAAAGGAAAAGCAACCCTATTTACATCACAACGCACTTTTGTTTGCCCTTTTTGCGCTGCTGCTTGGTGTTAGCACCGGGAGTCTCCTAAATTTAAAAACTATTTAAAAATTAAAGAATGCATACAGTTTGCTCCATTTCATCGTCTGGGAAGCTTTTCACGATTCGAACAAGTTCGTGGAAAGCGTTATCCACATTGATCGGTGGATCCTTTGCAGATGTCTGGAGGTTACGCAGATAAAGATGAAATTATACTAAAGCACTAACCTCAATGTAGGGCAGTCTCAATTCAGCAGCTAAGGCTTTTCCTTCTTGTTCACTAACGACACGCTGCCCCAAAAGATCGATCTGGAATGACGATCATATTTAGGTCTTTGTATCAACTATATCATCAGTATTACAATAAACTATTAGATACCTTATTCGCAACAAGCAGCACCGGCGCTTCAGTCGAATCCTTAACTCGTAAGACCTGCTTATAGAGACGCTTTGCTTCTTCAAGGGATTTCCTGTCGCAAACGGAATATACTAGCATGAAGCCCTGTAAGAACGCATATGTGCTATTTTTGTGGTATGCTCCATACCTTTCCGGAACGCATATACTGTTCTCTCATTGCTCCGAATTCTTCTTGTCCGGCTGTGTCGAGGACTAAAAAAAGCAAAAAGTATTATGAAACGCTATGAAACTGCCCTATAGGCGATTGCGGTCTAGTAGAAATGTACAATATATTTTTTGCTCTTGTACTATTTTTTTCACTATATATTTACTATATATAAAAAATAGTGTTTGTGTGTGTGTGTGCCACTTTGCATGCAACTTCCGTGAGGGTGTCCGGAGGATATCTCGATAGGGAATGAATTTTATGGTATGTATGATACGTCATCAGGTGCGTAATGTCCTAGGGATGACTGCACGCACATCAGATTTATCAAAATTATCTATTTTCGACATTAAATTTAGGGTTTTGTTGAAAAATCGACGACCTTCTTTGTTAGGAAAAAGTTAGCATGTGTCGGAAGTTCCGGTGGCTTATATAATGGGGTAGAGAGCGCGATTTTCATTTTTGTCACAGGAAACCCCAGAATTATGCAGTCCGTATTTCATGAGCTGAGACAGGGCCAGGGTTGAAAAGTCGCGAAGCGGCTTTTCAACCCTGGTTTTAGGATAAAAAAAGTAACATACCATCCATTATAACCCATTGTCCATCGACTTCGCAGTGCTGTATATATTGATCTTCAATTGTTGGATCGTAGTAATCAACGAATTGTTTCTGAAATTATCGAATTGAAGAATTTATGAAATCAATACTCCGTGTACTACTTGCTATTTCAAGACCAACCTGGAAGAATTGGATGGTTAACGTACTCTTTCCGACACCTCCGCCCCCGATGATCACCAATCGATACTTTGGCATTTGCGACTCATCTTCTGGCGGTCTTCCTTTTGCCAGAAGAGCCATTGTTACCTCAAAATTATTTATTAGATACGTTAATACGAGGCGAATAAGAGCAGGTATAAAAAGTAAAGCAGCTTAAAATAAAACAATTCAGACGCTCGAGGTATGTAAAACTGAAATGTCGGAAGCTTGCGAAAACTTTCTGGTTTTGCAATCCTAACTAGGCAAACACGAAGTTAGATTCGATATTAGCGGTATAAAATAATACTTAGATTCACTGCGCTATGCTATTTCACCACGCGCTTTCATAGAAAATCTTAGGATTCTAGCTATAAAAATCCTCAAAAAATGAGGGTAGAGAACACCGGAAATTGCTTTCTCCCGAATACCCCGCGTATCATGACGCCTCACACCGCCCAAAAAAACTGAAAAGCATTCCATCAATACGAAATAAATAGGCGTGGTTGTGACTGATGATCTGTATATCGAATAGATGGGGGAACGCCTTGTTCCACGCCGTAGGGCATTGTTTCTATCCTTCCCCCCATTGGATGCCTCGCTATCACCACACCCAAATACCAGCCGCAACCCGATATATATTGATTCAAATGCGCCCGCTTGCGAATCGCCTTGCTGTTTCCTCAGCGAAGTATTTCCCAATCATTATAACCCTCCATGGATTAGCTGGTGGTTAGCCTGTGCCGAAAAACCGCTTCGCGGGGTTTTTGAAAAATGGCTCCTGCTGGCCAAAGAATTAAAGTCCGATCTACCGCCAATAATATAAGCTAAGCTCCAACGAATGCCATTAGTCTCCTAACTAAAAGAGCGACGCAGATTTTTACACCTTTTACACCTTTTTATTTTTGACACCGTAGAACCAACAAAAATCAATTTATTCCAAAAGCAACGCCGGCGCAGGTTGCATTAACCAAATAATCTGCAATAACAGTGGCTCAAAAAATTAGAATAACAATTTATTGGGTAAAAATATGAAGGATGGTTAACTGTGCGTGATGGTAAACACAGCGATCAACAATTGTGGGGTGGTGGTATTTGTAGAGGAGACACGGGGCCCATTACCAGGAGTTCTGGGGTTGGCCGGTCTGCCACTCGGCATTAGCAGCTCCTGTGGTGCCCCAGTTGTCGGTGGCAGCCTCGGCAGCCCAATCCTTGATCTCCATTGCGTTGTTGAAGTCGATGGGTCCGGCATCGGCGGAGGTGACGTATTCCGGGGCGGCGGTCTCGGCGACCTCGGCGGCAGCGGCCTCTTCCTTCTCGGTCTCGGCGGGGTCACGGTAGAAGTAGAGGTCAGGCATGATCTCCTTGTCGTCGAGGATGAATCCAGTTTGGCGCGAGATCTTTCCCTTCAGGGTCAGAACTTCACGAGCCAAGAACCACCAGAGAAGACCGACGGATTGGGCTCCCTGAAAGATTGGTTATGCCATTTAGAACTTTTACAATATACGCATGCCAAGTTATAAATACCTAGACTAATTCAAGCGGATTATTTTTTTATTTATTAAGTCGTACGTATATTTACACACTTTCCTACTCTCCAGGTGTAAAAATTTCTATAAGCTATTTGGGAAGCGGCCTTTCCAGATGAATTAAGTTATATATAAATTTTGGACCACTTAAAAAAGTATCGTCAAGAGGTATCTTAAGTGGAATGTCCAGATCTATCCATATATATCGATATTTACTACCTAAGAAGCCTACTGGCTCCAATTAAGTTATATATGGTTCTAAAACTCAATAAGTATACTCGTTAGCTATATTAATTTATAGTGTTCTTATAAAGGTTTTACCCACCTTGTTGTTGCATGGGATAGCAATGTCGACAAGCTTCAACGGCGAGTCAGTGTTGCAGAACGAGATGACGGGCACGTTAGCGTACGAGGCCTCAGTGACGACCTGGTGATCGACACGTGGGTCCGAGATGATAATGACGCGGGGCTCCTTGTAGTTGCGCTGGATCTGATTGGTCAGGGCTCCAGGAGCGAAACGGCCGAAGATTGGGGTGGCTCCTGTGTGGGCAGCGAACTTCATCAGGGCACGGTGGGCAAATGGACGAGCCGAGACGACGATCACGTCGGCGGGGTTCTCAATGGCAGCGATGGCACGAGCGGCCAACAGCAGCTTCTCCCAGGTGTGCTTCAGGCTGATGACGTTGACTCCTGGAAATTGATGCCTTTTATAGTGATATCGGCCTGTATATATCCAATTAAACCATAGTTTGTATAACTATTATCGCAAGGTTTTTAATCCTTCAAGGGCAAGTTCGGCGAGTTCAGGTAGTTACACCATATTCCCCTGTGTAAATAGGTATACACGTAGTTTTGCTTGGACGTGAGCTTTAACAATGTTTTGCTTTAAAAAAGCGAATTCATGTTTACTAAATACTAGAAAAATTTTTGGTCCCAAACACCCCACAAACACCTAGATCTTTATCTCCAATCGAACATAACTTTTACAAAATATAATTATTGACAACCAAATACAACCACCTACGCGAGCTAATGTATATCAACCCTATAAACCCTAATAAATGGTAATTTTTGCGCCTAAGAACTTTTCAACCACCTAGATATAACTCACAAATTGCTAAACCTCGCTAAATTTTTATTTTAACAAAACCCACCGTCAGCGCGACGCTTGTAGACGTACTGCGTCATCTGGTGATCAACATTGGTGGTTCCAATGTGGGTTTGCGAGGCAAGGAACTTCATCGCATCCTCCTCTTTCAAGGCAAACGGCTCGTAACCGCCCGACATTTTACCTGCAAATTTTGGGATTGAGTTTTACCTTATAATTTTAACAAGCGTACTTATTGTTTTAGAAAACATAACGAAGAATCAGAAATTTTAGAAGAAAATTTGGAGGCCCAGGAAACCTTTAGTCATTTTGCTCATTAGCATAAATTGAAAAGCCCGAAGCGCAGCCTTGGGTTATAGAATCGCCCCAAGTAAACAGGCTTATATTTTAGATTAATATTAAAGCAACGTTTAAACGTCTGAGGATGGTTACGCAAAGTTTTTCTGCGCGGAAAAGAAAAAGAATGCGGTAGGGCAGAGGGATAAATGAAAATGCCGAGTCGGCTACAGACACCTCGGGTCCCGAAGCGATTGGGCCTTGGCGCGTGTAGTTTGAAGTCGGCGGGCGCGCATTTCAATGGGGTAATGGCCGGGTCAGCAGGGAGAAAAGAAGAAAAACTTATTGGAAATATAGAAGCTTTCAAAACCAGGATACCAGAATTTAACTAAAAGATTATCGGGGATCGATAATGATATTTGATAAAATATTGGCGGTTAGGGTAGCGGTGGGATAAATCTTTCGCCAGCTAAACCTATTAAGCTTAAAACTTTTGTTTTGGATCGTTAGGGTTGACCTTGGGAAAAGCGGTTGGTCTTTAAAAACATTAATTATGTCGATAAACACTTCGAAACAATCCTTTAAATTTCTTTCCTTACAATTCCTTTAATCCTTGTAAAAATTACAAGGATTTGTAATTTTCGAACCAGGGTTAAAATTATACATAAAGGTTTTTTTTGGAATATGACACCGGAAGGCATAGACATAGGCATAGATATAGAGTTATGTGCATTCATAAAGCCTTGAAATAAGTGTAGGAAAGGTAAAGGAAGTAAAGGGCAATACCAGAAACAACATTATGAACATTTCATTAAAAAATGCATAAACAATCACCGACGAATTTAAATAAAACTAGAAACATGACAGTATTAATATCATTTAATTAGCTATAATTTAACATTAGACGATTATATGTTATGAAGACCAGGCGCTTTAAGCGAATCGCCACATCGGCCCCTGAGAAATTGTAAAGCTAATTAAAAACGTAGTTTTCATATCTTCAATATTTTATCCAAAAGGTCGCACTATATAGGTCCAATATGCAAATTTATATACATGCCCAATAATTTATTTAGCGATAAATTCCTTTAGTTCATTGTTGCCTTTGTAGCGTGCCGTCCGTTCAGTTGCACCTAGGAATGCCATGTTGAGAGGAAAAAAATCTAAAACTTGCATTTTTCAATGACTTCTATTTGCTCATCAAGTTCGTCAATTTCTTTTAGTAGCCGGGCCAGATTCGTGTTGATGTTATCATACCTAAAAATTAAAAAGGTCTTCAGCTAAAAAAATTACTTTTTGTACAACTCGGCTTCTCTGGAATCCGCCGATACATCTCGTTTTCGGTTTGTAAATACCTAATTTTTATGTTGAAGTGGCTGATAAAGTCTCACCTTACTGGTCGACGGTGAACTGGGCTCCATTGTGGTTATTCAGTAGGTTGTCGGGGGAAGGGGGAAGGTGTTGAGGGAGGGAAGGGGAGCAGTGTTTCGGTGTGCCCGGTCGAGCGTGTCAAAATTCTAGGCGGCCAGTATGAGTCTTTCGAGGTGACAGAGTATGGAAGCGGAATTCTTGAAGTGAAAGAACAACTTTAAGAAGTCTACCTAAAAAAAACCTATAAGACTTCCGTCTGGATATCTAAGGATGTCCAAAGCTCTCAAAAGGATGATGTTATTGTGGTAACGGGAATATCCATGGAAAGCGTCGACAGCCCCACTGCTTCCACAGCTTTCCTTTCTGAATTTCCTTCGATAGCTGCGCCTTCTCCCCCCGATTTCCCGAGAGGCCCCATGGGGTCCTCCGCCCCGAATTCTCCCCCCACAAATCTTCACAAATTGCCCTCCGCTCCCCAAGTCGAGTCACTTTCCAGTCGGCATTCATCCGAAAAATGGACCTTCCACAAAACATTACCACCAGCAGATTTATTTCCCCAGTAAGCATCCTCCAAAAAAATCCTGGCAGACTCGTCACATATGCCTCAAAAAAATCTCCAAAAACTTCCAGTCTCCGCCAATCTCGTCAACCACTCCCCGGAAAAAATAATTAACAATGCAGGTTTCTTTGTGGTTATGCGTCTTTTGAAAATACGCGTGTCAAACCAACAGATGACAATTTATGAAAATTCGTGGCTTTTTATGGGGATGGGGCTCTATGAAGAGGCGGGTACAGTAGGAGCTGCATCACAGAATATTAGATCGGTGGCGGTGATGTATGCAAATTGCAGCCGTCGTTTACTTTCTGCCAGCCCATGCGTAGAAGCGGCGCTTTTCGAAAGTTGGGACCTAAAAATTTAAGTAAAAATAGTAAGTATGTAACGCTGTTTACGTTGAGGTAAATTGCTTACCTGCCACGTGTTAGGTCCGGAGCGCTTGCCAGCCCATGCATAGAATCTATAAGAAAGAAAATTAGCGCTAAGGTATCGAAACGTACTGCTTTCTCTTGGCCATCTGCGGGTACGGGTCTTCCAACATGAAACCACCAGACCGCTTGATCGGGGCCGCAAAGTCCTCCCATTGGTAGCCTGGCTGGGTCTGAAAAATCTTTTGAGTTCTGGATTTTCTGAATCTTCAGATCTTGGACGATTTTAGTATTCACCAGATTTTTTTACGCCAATATGCTCGAAATCTATGGCAGAGTTATCCATAAGGGTCTGTTCATTAGAGTAAGTGAAGTCAGGTCGGAGAGTCACCAAGGGGGGGGGGTTGTGTTTTTGCAACCCGATCGCGGGACTGCGTAGCGTTTGTAGGCTCATCGCCGCTAACCGCTCTCCCCAATTTCTGAGGAGCATTTCCATAACAAGGTATGAAAGCGAAGAGCGAAATCCCCGCCCTCCAATTGCCATCTCTTCGAGCCCCGTTCCGAGCAAATCGCCGGTGAAATATCGGTCTCTACATCCCAGAACCCACGGCTTTCGTTTTGCCGGCCCATCCCTCATTCGCCACCCCATTCATTGGTTTGCCCTTAAATTGGGTGCATGCTGCCAAACAGGAAGCAAGACAAGAGGAATGGTGGAATGTCGACCGGTTTCGGCCCCTGGCCTCCTATTGTTTTTGTGAAATCAAGAATAAGGAGGAAGTCTGTGGCTAGCCGAGAGTCATTCTCAATGGCTTCTCCATAACCTTTCAAAATGTGTGGGTTGTCTTTTGTTTTATGGGGTGACTTTGAAACAATGGGATTTGTTGCTGGGGCTTTGAAAAGCGAGGAACACCCAAGAATAGTAGGTTTCAGCGGCCCATCTTCATAGAGCTAGTCCCTAGAAAAGAACGGTATTTGCAATTGAAATGACGTTATCTTATAATAGAAAGAAGATTTTCAGATTTTTCCGATGGTCATCACCCCGGTTCGTTGAGGTCTAATTTAAGATGCGGACATTTTTGCGTGGGGCTTCCCCCAGAGTCTGAGGAGTTTCCACGGTGTCTTGAATCTTAAATGTTTTTAGACAAAGACCAAGAGGATGTCCGCTTTTTATGATAGTTTGGTCTTTTTTTCAGCTTACCAAGCTCTAGATCCCATTTTGAAAGGTTTGGTTAAACTGAATTTTCTAAGGTATTACAACAACAGCCAAGATCTCGAGTTCCCCCCCCAAACCACAAATCCCAGATCCGTTTCAAAATAAGAAGACCTTCAGGAGCTAGTGTGGCTCGTTCTGGGCTAGGGGGAAATCAGATAAAGGGTGATCCGGGCGCATCTGTAATGGGGTTAGGAATGGCTGGTACCTCTTGGTTCTGCTCGCCGATGGCGGCAACGAACGGACCGGCCAAGAACAGGGCCAACAGAAGCCAGGAGAGCATTTCTGAAAAATAAAGTTTCCATCGAGATTTGAATATGCATAGGTTTTACCTGCTACCGTATGACGATAGCTGCGTCATACGGTAGCACAGTATAATAAGGTATTCGGCACCGCGAAAAAAATAAGGTTTAATAGCCAAACGGTTACACAAAAACGGTTTCTCACTATTTTATTGAGAACTACAAGCTTTTATCGAAAAGCTATAGAGCTTAAAATATCAGTAGACTAAGCTTACAAGAACAACGAAGCCACGAAGACTTAGGTTGTAGATCGTCCTAAAACTTCAACCCTAACACGCCTGAAGTCAATCTTGTCAAACCCGACAAAACTGTTTTTTTAGTGAGGCGGAAGACGAACCTGTGGGGGTGGCTGCGCGAAAAATGAGGCCGAGGACCCGGGGGGATGTGGGCCACCTCAATGGGCCGGTGCTCTGGAACCGCCCCTGGCCCCACCCCGAGACGAGGAGGAGGAGAACGAGGACAATAGCTGATGCTGAGACAGGAAAGCGTAGAGGATATCCCCTACAACGTCTGCTTTAGCTGGAATTGGTTATTTCGGGGTTTCGAAAGTGACGAGGGTAAATGCGTTCAGGTAGATGAACACGAACAAATCCGAATCAGAACAAATTACACAGCAGGACCTGCAGCAACCATTTTTTGCCTGCACTACTCGTCTATTTCGATCGATAAACCATTCTAAAATTAGGTGCGTCGTCTGGACCTAAAAAAATCAACTATCGCAGTGGCGGTTTGCCAAAAAAGGCAATTTTTGGAAACCAGACACCTATGGACGTAGCTGGAATTCTACGGGTGCCGAATGTGGGCGGTAGTGGCGGCTAGTTAACGGCAAAAATCAACAATAACGTAGCTGAAAAAGTTGGTTCAATAGTCCTCAGAAATTTTTATATATGATTAATCGTCAGCTAAGGTTAGGTTAGTAATTATGTCGTTATAATTACGTCCTTAACATTAGTTAAATGCGTAGCATAGCATTTTGCGTGTTAAAAATTATATAAAAATAGAAAAGGTTCTACTATATTCGACATATCGTAAAAAAGGTGGAATAACGGCCACGGACACGATCTAAAATATACCTGGTTAAGTGCCCTTATTTTTCCTTGAAGGTATCTCCTATCTTCAAGTCTGGACGCTACATCACTGCCCTCCAGACGAATTCCCCCATTCACAATACCGCTTCTATTTTAATCCCAACCAATGGCTATATTCAGCCTGAAGCGTGGGTTGGGTTGGGGTGAATTCCACTGAAAACCCTCCTGACGTGTTGATGGTGTTGTCCAGAAGCAAAAGGCCGGCTCCTCCTCAAAGCCTTTCCCTTGTGCTCCAATCGGAGGACATCGAGGGCTCTCGGATGGCCCCATCCCGGGCAATCAGCCCATATCTACAGCTCCGCTCGTCGAATTGGGTCCTTCTGGGGGCGGGGGGGGGGGGGATGTGGTGGAAGGGTCTTCTTTTCTTTTGTCCATCAAGGAGGAGCCATACGAGGGTCGTTTTCGTAGTTATTATGGCTATTAGGTGAGAGGATCCATTAGAATTCGGGGGAGTCGAATGGTCCGTCATCGTTTTCCTGGAAATTTTTTTTTAAAAAATCAGGTAGATGATGTTTGGCTAGGCAGGTTGAGACGTTCAATCGAGCTCGAGCTCGACGCCGTCTAGCGCTTCGGAGAAAGTTGGGATCAGGATATTTTACACCCATGGAAAGCGCTCCAAGCGGCGAGAAAAAATGCGTCGCGTGTTACAAAATTTCGAGCAATTTATTAAAAAGCTTGCGCTCGGCGTCATCCAGATAGCTTGAAATCCGAAATTAACATGGCTTTTAGTCCTAAAATCCGGCACTTAAACAGCAAAACTGAAAAACGAAAAGGCGCATTTTTTTCCTCGCCTTTTCGTAAGCTTGCGAGAGATACCTAGTTTGCCAAGATCGTAAACATCCGCGGCTCATTGGAGGGGGTTTATCTTTTTGGGGCACACTGTATATAAAAAAAATGCTGATTTTCGTCAACTCATTAGCAAATCTGGTGAAGATGAATATCAAAATAAAAAGGCCAACACTCATGATGCATATGATTTCCGGGCTTGCCCGATGATTCTTTTTATATGACAAATAACCAAATTGTAGCGTCAATTTCTGTTCGAAAAATTCCATATAAGCTCGGTGATAAGAAAACTTTATCAGATCAAAATTCATACATCCAATTCCAAGCCAGTCATCCCATTAATAACAACAAAAACGGGTGGCTGATTTTGTTATAACTCAATAATCATTAATCCGGCAATACAAAATCTATCTGCACATTTGAACTAAACAATTTGTGATAAAAACACGCTAAATAATCAGCCACACATCCGGTAACCGTCGCATCTTGGGGGAGGGGGAATTAATTAACATCGCAACAACATGGATACTCCCGGATGAAAATGCGCAGCTCGAAATAGAGCGCCCGATGACTTAGAAAGTATTGGGGGAGGCGTAAGCGTTGCAATTACAGAGAAAGACACCCAGTTGGCAAAAAATACCTTACATTTGATAGCAAAAATTTAATGGAATGTAAAGTAATGGTTTTAATACAAGTCAACAGATCAAGAGGGGAATTGCTAAAAATTAGTAGATGCAGCCCCGAAGGGCCGTGGCAAAAAGATGGCCTTCATCGCCGGACTTCGGACTCGACTGGAAATCATCGATCTGGAAACGGAATGAAAGTTGCGTTTTTTTGAGATGAGAACCCACTCGTTGTTTAATTTCGCGAAGGATCTCCTTCATCCGACGATTCTCGGCGTCGACCGCCCCAAAGACCGCGGGAAGGTTTTGGGTGTCCTGGCGAAGACGGAGGAGCTCGGCCTGTGATGAGAGGATAGTGAAAGGTCTATAATATTTAATTTACATGAACTCGTCCTTTGTTCTGCTCCAGTTCTTCGTAGCGCTTCTGGAGGGTGGCGATTTGAGCGCGAGCCTGTTGGCACTCAAAGCATTCTCGAGGGGTTTGGCAGTTGGGGCCAGTGGGTGAGCCTGAGCCTGAGGTGTGGCTATCTAAATTCGAAATGTCTTCGGTAAAATGGTTGGCTGACCGGAAGGAGAGATATGTGGTGCTACATCAGGGTACATTGGATTGCGCAGGGTTTGCATTTTCTAAAGAATAAATATTTTTTTATTGACGTTAAATTCCTGATTTTTTTGTCGGTATATCTGTGTACCCTCACTTTCTCTCTCTCTCTCTCTCTCTCTCTCTCTCTCTCTCTCTATCTATCTTTCTCGCAAGCACTCTCTCTCTCTCTCTCTTTATCGCTCAAGTGAACAGACAGGCAGCAATTTCTGTTTTTTTTCGGTTTATCTTTAAATCCCCTACCAGACGTGGTGGCTCGGTATCGTCGCTAGTCGTCCGGGCATGAGAACTAAAAACGTAAAATTAAACTACGCAAGCAACTCCATACCTTTTTGGTGTATGAAGCGACGCCTCGCTTTCAGTGGCCGAAACAGCAGAGCTCTAAAGAGCAGTCATAACCCCTCACAGAAATCCTTGCCATTTCCTGTTCCATCTGGACGGCTTGTAACACGGTTGGAAACGATAATTGACCGCGTTGTTCTGGGGGGAGTTGAGCTTCAAAAAGGATTTTACATGTCGATACCTTTAACACTTACCGGTGGCCATTTGGTACAACCCGGCAGTGATAAGGGGATTTGTGGGGAAAGGGATACCCTGGAGTTTAGTGTTCATCATGTGTTGTAGAAGAGCTCTAAATATTGAAAGAAAGTTAAGACAAGGCATCTAAATTAACGTACTGTTGGAATGCTTCGGCCTGGGAGCATGGTTGGGGGAATGAGTGTTGGCTGGTGGCTGTGGCTGTGGTAATTGGCGTTTGGGTTGCAGATGGGGCTGGCAAGGGCATTGCTAAATTTTGGGGATTGAGTTATGGCTTTTGAAAAAACCTGGTTGATCTAGGGTCGCGAAATTTGGTGAATTGTTGTTGCTAGTAGCTGGGCGTCGGATAAGTGGTGAGAAGGCAGATTTGGCTAAAAATTATCGATTATTCGGGTAGTTCAATGAGATAAAAGGATAAACACGCCGTTCTATAAAAGGTAAAATAAAGAAATAAGTATGGAGATTACTCGAGTCGACTTACGATCTATGCTAAAAGCTGACGGCATCGTCGGAGCCGGCGGAATAGATGGTATCCCATGGATCGGCGTCGGTTGCGGAATAACATTCTGATGCTGATGTACCAGATGCTGTTGAAAGAGTTGATGCTGCTGCATCAACTCCCGATGGATACGCTCCGTAGCGGCAAGTCCAGGAATTTCCTGCTTGGTGCTGTTGGTAGACGGTAGGTTGGCCATCATGGAAGTGGAGCCGAGTAGGGATGCTGCCTCGATACGAGCTTCGCTTTCTTCTTTCACCTAGAAGGGCGGGATTTAGGGAATAACGAAACTAATTTGAGGCAACGGGGTTCTGTGGAACGGGTGTTTCCTTGAATGGATAAGAGGTGGTTTTTGGAATTGCAAGTATGTCATCGAGATAAAAAGACCAATTTTCTGAGAATCGGTACTGGTTTTGGAAAGCCTATAAAAATAGTTTTTGTAAATAATCATAATCCTAAAAATCGAATCCCAGCAGCCAAATGGAGACCCCATTAAGACCGCCATTTATTGAGCGGTGCCAGGGCAGAATGTCGCGGCCCCAGGATTAATTCACGGGTTATCCGGTACAATCGTTTTACCGCAAAAAACGGTATGCAGGCGAGGGTTTTGGGGTTGCCCGGGGGAGAAAAGAGAGGAGGGGCGCATAGGCGTTCCCGGTTTAATCCCAGCCGCACCGAATAAAGGGCGAGTTGCCAGGAGACGAGCCTACGGAACGGAGTTACTGGGTGTGGTATGGGGCAAGGACACAGAGGTGGTGATTATTAACGGCGTTACATTTTAGCTAATGAAATTAGAAGGAGCGCTATATTTTATGATGAAGAGATTGATGTGGGGGGCTGGAAACGGACTGGCTGGAGCCAGGTGAGTGGAAAGACAGGTGCAATGGAATTCCTGGACTCTTATCGGGCTAATTGGGACTCGTGGCCCAAGGCTGGGCCCTCTGCCGCAGCGAGGCCGCCCGGATTAGAGTGGGATTTATGAAGAAATTTGCCTGAAGTGCCTCTGCCCCTCTTTCATCCCTACTTATTACCTGGCAGCTTTTCAGCGGCTGGTACGAATACTCTTCTCTGTGCGCCAAAACTGTATGCCATGACTACGCGGGGGTTCAAAAGGGAGAGGCCCGGCTCGTAATGGGTCCCGCAGGGAGTGGTGATGGGAAGATTACTGTGGAATATGGGGGAAGGTGGTAAACAAGACCGAAATCAGAGGGATTAATGTACTTGGAAATTTCAGATGGGGATCAGGAGCTTGGAAGATTCGGTTTTTAGGGGGTATATACTGGCTTAACAACAAGAAAGTATATATCATCGCTAGAAAGCTGCAATGACTAAATGGGACCAAAAACTCCAACCATATATAAAGGGTTTGGATGATAATGCCTAGTCTTGGTTCTACGCGCCGGATACGGTAACCGAACGTGTTTCAATGTCCGCCCAGACTGACCCTGTCTACCACCCGCTGCCGAAGCCACATTGCAGCTTCACCATAAAATTTACGATCCACCAAAAGTTTCAGCCCACACACACCGACCTGGATATGGAAATGGAGAGCTCGTTTGTCGGGGAATGCCCAGTTGCAGCATCTGCAGATGAACATCCGGGAGATGCCATGCTTTGAATACATATGCGTGCGTAGAGAATCGGAGCCTGTAATGAGAAATATAGTATAGGCGGTAACTAGAGTAGGCTTATTTTATCATACTTGACTAATGCCTTTTATGACGCCTGCCTTATGAATTAACAGCAAGCTTCTTCAAAATTCTCCTGGTTGCATTAACATCGCATTTTTGTCTGATCTGATCGCCTTTTAATGAAGTATGCAAATTTGATGTTTTTCGCAAGAAATAAGTACGCTTCCGGACATACGATAGGACTTAGCACAAATCAAAAGCCAAAGTTAAGCGATTCGGTTTTCATTTAAGATTCTAGGCCTTGAACAAAGATTTTCGCATTTTTCTGTTCCACAAACACCATTAAACCTTTCCCAAATTTCCCTGATTTTGATTGGATGGTTTCATTGTGGGAATGGATGGAAAATGGGCCCCAAGGGGAAAGAAAAGAGAAAGGGAAAGGGCCGGTGGCTACGAGTACCAGTTTGCGTGCCAGTATTTGATCAGCGAAAACACACATTTTCGCCCTTTCCTCCCTCACTGGTCTCACAATCCCATTTCAAGGGGGGAGCTATGTTTTGTATTTGAAACGCGATGTGTGAAAGCCAATTCGTAGAATTATGGAAACAAGGAATAAATGGGAACCTAAACAACACTCAGCCGCACTCACTTTCATTTTCCTTTTGTTCTACCAGATGATGTGCATTAACTGATTTCAACTTCCGCTTTCTCGACCCGGCGTACCCAGCACTCTCTAGCGCTTTAATATATTCCCGTTTCCGCTGCAAAATCCTGCACACATTCGATTTAGCAATTGAATAGCGCTCAGCAATTGCGGCTTGGCTCATCCCCGCATTCTCCTCAGCCATCCTGATCAACTGGACTTTCTCTTCAAGCGTCAATTCCTTGTACGGTTTCTTCTTTCTCCTTCCCGTCAATGAATCATCTGATCGTGATCCACAAGGAGATGCTGCCATTGGTTCTGGGCAATGGATTTTAGGGCCGAGGGGCAAAGCGAAGGCTGCCGGTTCCGGCAAACGGGTTACAGTATCTCCCATATTGTCTTCACAATGATAACAGCATCTCCTGGAAAGCAAGAAAATAGAAAAAGAAATGGGTAGTAATTTCAGAGCGTGAGGATAACTGGATAAACATAAAAAGCAACATTTCACCTAAAACAAGAATAATGGAATCGAAGCGAAAGCGCGCTGGTATGCGAGCGGGGAAAGGGAAAGCTAATTGCTAAAATTTGGAACGCGACGGGGCCCGGGGGGGGGGGGGGGTGAGGTCGGGTCACCATTTCGGTACGATCCGTTTCGTGGATTTAAGAGGAAGGAGGGAGGGGAAAGCGAGAAAGACACCCATGGGAAAGCAAGATAGCAACTTTTCAGTTGCGGGGATCGGGGATGTTTTGCGGAAGTGACGAACGGTAGAGGGAGATTAAACGATACAAAGTATGTGGAAGGTAAGGCGATAAAATGCAAAAGTTCAACGACAAATCTTTGGATTAAGGTGATGAGGAAACTGGCAATCGACTAAAATCTGCAATACAAAAAACTGATTTTGCTAATCTAAACAAATAAAACAGTTGTATGTCGCATTGGCAAGCTCCCAAATCCTCTTAAAAAGACGGTGTCTGGAGCATTAGCGCTTCATCCTCACTAACAAATCCTCATCCCTCTCCTCACATTACCCACCAAATATCGCCGGCCACCCTTTTTTTGGCGCGAGCCCACTTGCTCGAGCCGGAAGTGGCCGTGTTGACCCTTCAAGTTGCGACTCGTTGTGTACCCAACACACTCCCGTAGACCCCCCCCCACAAGGCTTCAACCTTTAATTGAAAAGCTCGCACGCGTGTTGCGCCGGTTGACCAATGGCCGGCAGCCCGAGGACCGGCAGATCAAGCAAAACAGCCAGAACCCGTGAATGAGTCTGGCTTTTCCAAAAGTGTTGCCTGCCCGTAAACCCCGTAAAATTACTATCTCGAGACCAGCCTACGCACAAAAAATCAGACCTCACCGACTTCTGGAATGACAATGGATAACCGTATGGTTGTTTGATAATTGGCATCTGGGATTTCATTGGGCTTTTTTGGGGGCTAGGAACAAAAGGGGCACTTTTCTGGTTCCTGATACGGTACAATTTTTAACCGGGGAAAAGGTGAGAAAACATTGAGCGATCAGGGCGCGTGTGCGCTTTAGTATTATCGATATATATGAGATTAAAGAATTGGTGGACGCTGATAATTGAGACAGATCAGTATGTTCCAAGCAGAGATATAAGAGCAACGACGTTTAAACGTAGGCATAAATTGCTTGCAAAATACACATTATTTCGTTGGCTACCGTAACCTGCAAAAGGGCTCCTTTTGCCCTTTCCCCGGAAAGGAAGACAGCCCCGTTTTTAGCCATTTTTACGATGTTCCGGCAGCTCTATTTTTAGTGCCTATATAAATAAAGACATAAAACGAATAAAATGCTGTAGTCTAAAATACTTATGCAATAAACAAAGCTGAAACGTAGCAGACAACTACGGGCTTGTTTTAGAAAAAATTATTTTCGATATATTCAACATATTTATGCGGTTTTCTTAGCGTCAGCCGATCGAGTCTCAAAAATATATTTGTGAAGGTGATATAAAACAGTAATAGAACAAGAGATATATGACAAAAAGTCCTACGTTATTTAATTTTGGCGTGTATCTTTGTGTGTGAGGATGTCAGTTTCGAGGCCAGATTTGAGAGCCTTCCCGTGCATAAAATGCTCTAATTCTCCGTCACTTGGGGGGAATCGACCCTCCTCTTTCCGATGGCGTTCTCAGAATTTTGATAAAATACAAGTTTACAACGTTAAACCCAGTTTTATTCATTTTTGGGTCCTTGAGGGCTAATTTGCATAATGTGAAAAAAATACAAATTTCCTCATTCTTGCCAGTTGCACACGCGCGTGTGGTTGGTAGGGGGTCCGCAGGACCCGAGCTATCGGGAGGTCAAATTTCTCATGCAGAGGCCGCAATCCAGGCGATCCAGGCCATCCCAAGGCCCGCGAAGCGGGTTTCGGGCGCTGGTACCAAATAAAAATTATAAACTACCCCGCGGTAACCCTTGGGATTAGCATCTAGCAATTCTTAAACAGAAAGGTATGTATGAAACCTAAAGCCTAATGAAAACATGTGTTCCGATAAATACTCAGAACACAAATACAGGGCCTGGGGGGATATTTGATTGTGAATGGTCAGCAGCGGTGTGGATGGCCAGGGGGGTCGCCCACCCTCCGCCCCTTCCTCCCTTTTTCACCCTCCCTCCGAAAAAGCGAACCTGTACGCCCAGCCTTTTTTACATAGTGTGTGACCCTTTCCGGGTGTTAGATCATGAGAAAGTACCGGGCCAAGTATCCAGAAAATTAGCAAGTCATGAAAAGAATGAAGGGCTAATTAGAGCGTTCACAGGCTGTTGTTTAACATTTGTAATTCCGGGTTGGCTTGCGAAAATGTTGCCAAGAATTGGAAAACTAATTGTTGAAACCAATAGGTGAATTCAAGGAACATTTGGCATAGTTTCAGCCTTAACTACGGTACGCTGGGAAAGCACAAAGCGGGAGAACAAACAGTTCGGCGTTGGGCGTGAGTGAACGGTAAGTATGACTCGCTGTGATGCTTGCGCTCTCGAAAAGTTTCTTTTTAAAAATATTTATTGAAAATATTACTATGTAAAATTAAATATCACCATATATTAGCACTAAAGGAATTATTATTTTACGACGGCATCGAGGTACTGTAATTACAAATAGCTTAATGACTTCAAATGTCAAAAAAGCAACATTTGCTAATTTAGCTTTTTCATCACAGTTTCCTTTTTAGTATTAAAAATTAAATGGCATTATATCATGCATACCTTACAGCTTATTCATATTTTCTACCCGCCAAAATTGCACTAACACCCCGAATAGGTTTTGATAGAGTCATAATAGGTGTTAGATGGTGCCTGGCTTTCCGCCGCTTTCCGCCGCTCCCCTCCAAGCCATCAAACGAATTTCGGGACCGGCGCCAGATTTGGCTACAGTATGACTCAAGCCCCGAGGCTCCTTCCTCCACTCGACGATACGATATGCGACACCCGCGCGAATGACATTTATGGCCACCCCGTGCTGAATCAGGCGTTTTTCCTCGTTGCACCTCCTTCTTGGGCGCCTTCTTCCTCCAAAATGACACCTGAAGGCACTTCCCGATTCTATAGCAAAAGCTTGCGGGGAGGTGGGGGTATTTTTGGTAAGAACTGGGTAACGGGCGAGGTAGTGAAGCTTTCTAACATTAAAAATTTGTGTATTGGATTTGGTTGCACTAATTTTTTTTAAATGCCCGCCTAAAGCGCATCGAAAAATATACCAAGAGCTTTTTTACAGCCTGGAAAACCCATATTATTTTTCCTAACATCTATTGCTAGCTCGTATTTTATCCATTTTATTCCCGTTATCCTTGGTGTACCGTATTTTTTTTGACGTTACAATGACCCGTTAGAACCCGCAGGCATGAAAGCAAAGGGTTTACCCCTCGGAATTTACAAACGGGTCACTCCACCCATTCGCTCCCCGTTAATCTGGGGGTAACAAGTTTTCAGGTTGGGCGGTGGAAAAAATTCAGAGGTGAAAGGCCCGGTCGTACATGCATTTTTTGCGGAAAGTATGTCAATCCGACCCGTTTCAGGGGCTTGGAATTATGCTCGTATCATATTTTTGGGACCGGTCAGGAGGGGGGAATGGAAATGATGCGGTTTGGAGGCATGTGCCAAAAATATTACGAACCGTGTTGGGGGTCAAAGTACGACGGGATTTTATATGTACGTTTTATAGTGTATGCACGATACTGTAGTCGCAAGGTAATCTTCCAACTCACCTTCGAGCCAAATTTTGACGGCTAATCGAGGGCGATCTTTTAAAATAGAATTAAAACTCACTATGTATCTCCCGTCTACACAAAGTACATTTGTAATACTTGAAGTGAATTTGCATCCGATGTCTCGACAGCGACGACGAATGGCAAAACACCTTTGAGCACAGCTTACACCGGAAAGTTCCTATAAGCAAAACTAGAGATTACATAAATTTTAAACCTACCTTTCAAATCGGGTCGCTTCAAATCCTTTTCTTCTTTTAGATCATCCTCAAGTTCTGAACCCAACAGCTTTTATGCAAATTAAAACCCAACCTGGCGTGCTTGAGTCCGTTTCGATCACGAGTGGATTTAAAAATTCTCCACGAGGTTGTAAGAGTGATGAAAAATGTTTCAGATCGTCTCCTTCAAATACTGAGCCCTCTAGCATCTAAAGTAAAATATAAAGGATATAATGATTAAAAAAGATAATACAATTTGAGGCGTACAGCCACCAAAATTCTCATCAATTCGCTGAATGAACAGATTCCGGAAATCGGGGCTGTTATATTGTGATGCGCTGATGGCTATTAGGCGAGCGGTCTGCGGCCGGGGAAATAATAGGGCCACTTGAGGGTTCAGAGAAAATCCGGACAAACAGGATGCTAATTCAAGCTATTTGCGGTCCAAGTGGTGGCACTGCTGTTTTAGATGAAGAGTTATTCAGTTGGGGGATAAATTTTAAAGTTTTCCAGAAAGCAAATTTTTAAGTTGCAACAATTAAAAATCCTGATAACAGTTGTGCTTTTAAAAAAGCTGCAAATCCTAAAACGGCTTCAAAACCGAATTTCAAATGTCCAACTCCAGGACACCTAAAAGGAAAACCCGGGGGCGGTGGTGAACAGGGCTGGCCCGCGTTCTCTAGGAGGACTTGGCCTACTTGCCCTAGCTTTCGCGCCCTGAATCGGTGTGAAAGTTCCAGTGAAAGCTCACCACCAAAAAATATACTGCCCGCCTACAGTAAAAGCGCGACACGTAAGATTGCATATAAAACTGCCAAAAATTTTATAATTTCTTTAGACGTCAAAGTAATGAAAATTTTGCACGTCGCTAAAAAATCGCAGTTAGGATTAAATTGGGAGAACGTGGAAAAACTTGGACCTACAGTAAGACCAGCAGTTTTCGCGGAATGAATGAGCGATGCCAAGCGGCGGGTGGAAAGTTGGCTCTAAGGCGGCACTCTGATTCAGCGTCCCTTTCTTTTCCGGGTACAGTACCTTGTCAATAGGACTGACGTGGAAAAGTTGCCATGTTGGTAGTTGGCTTCGGAAAAAATTGGTTATAAGGGAATCGGCGCATAAATGGAAGTTATAAACCGCCCACAAGGCCCAGTTTTCGAAAAGTTACTTTTGCATTAAAACATGGAAAACCCATTAAGGGAAATAAAGAAAATAAAGGATTTTTATGTGACCAAAAACTAGGGATTAGATTCAAACATCCTCTAAAACAAAAAAACCACCAACCAACGACCGTCGAAAGAAGTGTCGGTACCGTCTAAAAGGTGGACTGTTGCGGGACTCTATTGTAAATCGGGCTGAGTGGCCACAGTTGCTCAGCCATTCCTCCCCCTATTCAACCTGCAGACTTTTCCCCTTTAGGAAGTCACTCCCCCGATTTGTCATAAAGCCCAGCACACCGACCAGCTCTTCGTTACCAGAATATTTATTAAAAAACCAAATACAGGCTAAATTATCATTTATCAAAAAAAATTATGCAAGTCATCTCTGCCTTCCTGCTCCTCGTTATAAATCGGATTTTCCAGAAAAGAAAGCCGAGAACAAGCGTTGTTCTCGAAATAGGCAATTTGAGTGGTAGATCGCTGGCTTGTGATTGGCTCATTCCACAACCATGCGCCGAGCCGTGGATGCAAATCACCAGCTATGTAGATTGCCACCGCAATTAACAAAACCAGGGTGGCGAGGACAATAAAAGCCTAAAATGTGTCAATTCGGCGTTATGAAACTACCATTTCTATCCTACATAGAGCGATTCGATTTGATAAAAGTGTTTCCATTTCTCGGACATTGTTCCACATGGTCTATTCTATTTCTAAAGGCCTAAAAACTTCAAGGTACCTCGTTGCCACGTGTTACATTTTCAGTAAAGGCGGTCTCAAAATTCTCGAGGCGTAGCTGGTATTCATTAAAATGTCGATTTAAATCATTGAGAAACTAAATAATTGTCGTCGAAGCTCTTGGCAACAAATACCTGGACCGCATTGCTTGTAAATCCCCATAATTCATACACCTGCTCGATGGTGACATTCATTGATAATTCTTGGGCACGGATCGATTTTATGCCCTATAAAATTCTTGTATTTAAATTTCATATTTTTCTACGACAAATTTACCGCCAAAACGTCATTCTGCGTGCTTTCCTGAATCAAATGATGCTGTAGGAAAAGGTCATGAAAACGTTCCCGAATTTTTTCCGTTTGTTCGGACTATAATGACTATATGCGATAATTCTAAACAAACGTAAAATTCTTGTTTATATTCACAAATTGCAGCCGTCTTTTCCGTTTGTGGATAATATCTCCAGATACCAGACGAGGTCAACTAAATCCATAGTTTATATCCGAAACCTAAAAATAAACCGCTACAGCCGATTTTCGCCAAGTTTTCTTGCGATCAGCGTAGTAATTGTAGGTATCGAGTTTTAGCTCAACTTCTTCACTTTTATAGATGACAGGCTTTCCGTTAGTCCATTCAAAGCGGTTGCGCAGGTTGTGGAAATGATTTCCGATCCATGCTTCATCATCAGGCCCCAAGTCTGATGTTCTCAAATAAAATTCAACGATTAATGCGCCTCTAACCCATGGCTGCCAAGAAATAATCAGTTGCCGCATCAGGTATGTAAGCTAAATGGCCACCATTATGAACACAGGCTTCTTCATGACTGGTGAAAGTAGCTTGGGTATTATTGACCTAGGTATCATCGACAATTATACGCATTAATAGAATTCTTACCTTATAGCAAATACCTGAGCGACAGGCTTCATGAATTATTTTAGATTTTGATATAGTGCATAACATGAATAAGGCCAATAAATAAAAGCAGATTTTGAAAGTCATTGATTTTCGACTGGCACTTGTGGCATATGGGGGTCTTGGGGATACGCTAAATCTAAACTGAGGGCACGGGGAAGGGCGGCTAAACAACTTTACTTTTTTCTATCTCTTCCAGCTTCTACCTTGTGAAATATTGTTTATTATTTTGTGGATACAATATTCTCATTTTTGATAATTTAGGGAAGCAAATGAACTCTATATAATCTGCCTTTTATGAAGAAAGGTTCTTTATGTGTTGTAGATTATCAGTGCTGTACAATTTCATGTAGATAGCGTAAGTGAATTTATTGTTTGGCAAATATAAGTAATTCTACAGTAGTTATTATGCCCATCAAAACAATGCGGTTTTCCACGGCTAATAAAGCGTCTTGTGCTCCATTTCGTGCCACATTCGGAACGGTTTCGTGACATCATCCAGCGAGATGCTAAAGATTAGTGGGTTACGGTATATCAGAACATTTTGCTAAGGCAAGATCATGTAATGCATACCATTCTAGAGCGCGTTTCGAGTCAGTCTTTGGGTTTTTCAGGAAGTCGTGGAATTCAGCGTCGGAGAAGCCGATTTCGGCGGCCTGGAAAAAAATATTGCTAAAGTTGTAGTGACATCATTTTGTTCTGTGTCGCTCTCGTTATACGGATCACTTATCAGGACGGCATGCCAACTCCAGAAACTAGGTCATCAACTCAGAGAAAGGTCAATAAGAATTATCGCGTGCAAAAGCGGATGCTATTGGCTGGGTGGTCGAGGTGATAAAGGGCACCTGTTCGGCGGTGGCACCGTAGTAGATGGCGTCAACACGAGCCCATAGAGCTGCGCCCATACACATTGGGCATGGATAGCAGGAGGTGTACAGCTCGTACCCGCTCAGGTCGAATGACTGGAAAATTAGAAACTAGATGTATAGGAACAGATTTGTCTAAATAACTCAGGGTCTGTCTCGTTTTCACTCTCTCTCTCGCTCTCGCTCTCGCTATCTCTCGTTCTTTCGCTCTCTCTCTGTCTACCACTCTCGCTTTCCCTTGTTCAAAGCCTAAAGTACGTCGTTTTTATCCTCTTTACTGATCAATTTCCCTAAATAGCTTCCAAAGTGCGCATAAATCGTATTTGTAGCTAGCTTGCCATCTCCCCGAAACCGTTTTTTTAGGACCGAAAATTGATAAGACCATGTTCTAGCCACCGCTATCGCGTGTTCCCTACCTGTTTTTCGCCCCCAACAATAAAGCTTTTAACCCACAAACTAAACCTGAAGGCAAACCGAAACTGCTATAAAATCCCGAAGCATAGCTCACTAAAAATCGAATCGAAACGGGATACACACGCATTTCCGGGACAACTTCTTACTTAATAGATTCAATGACTACCTTCAAGATTTCGCAAGCATTCCGGATGGCGGTCACCTCTGCGTGAGCAGTTGGGTCATTAGTGGCAAGAACCTAGGGAAGGAAATAAATTGCCACCGGCAATATGGGACTCACTCTGTTATGTCCTCGGGCGACGATCTTGCCGTCCTTGACGATGACGGCTCCGAAAGGGCCACCTTGGCCGGATGTCATTCCGTTGATGGCCTCCTGGAGGGCCTCCTCCATGAAAGCGGGTTGAACTTTGCCTGAAAAAACAAGTTTACTTAATGTTATAATTAGGATATGCAAATTAGCATATTCCAGGGTCGTAGCTTGGCCTCGGCCTGATTCCCGCGGAAAGAACAGGAATATGTAATTTTTCTAGCTTTATTAGCATTACAATTCACCCTGTTCTAGCATTATCCCTGATTATACCACGAGAAACAAAAATCATGGATTTTCTAAGGTTACATATTTTTAGGATAAAGGCAAATTTTATACATCATTAGTGCGACCTGCTTACTACACGGAATAAAAAAATTATTTTCGAGGATTTTCTAGCGCATTAATGAAACCTTCAATGCCTTCATCAACATCAGCGCTCATCATACCAATCAAGCCAATACGTTTATAAATTTACCACTTTGATCCAGTCGATTCCAAAACGCAAGCGGAGCCATGCTGATGTCTGCTACACTGTTGTGCGTGTGCTTTTCACGCGCATTTCCCCTGTATTTATGCAGACCTTCTCCCCCCCTCCGGGTCCTTCCTGATAACGTGTTTTCGTACCGCCTTCCAAGTATGGGCTCCCCTCTATCAGCCGCCCCACCTCATTGCTCTGCAAATAAATAAAACAAACACCCCTTTCCTCAAAATACCTAAATAATCAGAGCACTTTGAACCGCCTGACGGGAGCGCAACCAAAAAGTGCTTCCCTATAACCATAGTCCTTGAAAGCCGTGTGCCCGATAAAAAGTTTAAGACTCAGAAGCTGTTCGTGCGAGCAGATAGACTCTAATAAAAACATAAAAACCTACGTTTTTGGCTCATGACAACAAATTGGGGAGGTTGGGCAGTAGATTGGCGGGGAAAGGGGGCAGGAAATGAGTCGTGGGCAATATCGGGCCACGAGGCGCAGACAAACAGAAAATATTGAGGTGGGCAAGGGATACGAAGGATTGGTCTCTTCACCCAGCCACAACAAATCCCTCCCCAACGACAATGATCTGTGTTGTGGGAAACTGTTTTCGGCCCGCCAAAAATGAAGCGAATGCCAGGGTGGGGGGAATGGTCTCAACAGATCATCTTCCCTATCAGTTCTCAAAAAGCCCGCCCAGAAACACCGTCATCCGGAAAGGGGAAAGCCGATTAAGTTGGCGGGCTTACTGGGTGAGGGGTTGGGGAGAGGTGATGGTTCAAGTTTCCCGGCGAATTTTGACAGCTGCCTGATTGCGTGGTCTGTCTGGAGAGTGGAAATTAGGTAAGAGAAGAATGGGAATAAAATTGTAGTAATGGAAAATTGCAGGAAAATGGAGCATTATTGCTGAGTTATAAAAAGGACTTAAATGAAACTTCTAAAAATTAGGTTCTATGTAATTTGACTTCAGCACACCGAATTAAATTGTGGCGCTGAAAAATCGCCGGAAAATATTGTATTATCACGAATCTAGGACGGAGACCAGATAGAAAAGCTTTTATATTTTATTAACTCTGAATTTGAAAGGTACTCGGATGTTCTAAAGAATCTCGGAATCAGAATCAGAATCTCTAAAAAAATTTCCGATTGAGAAGTGTTCTTGGATCTTTTACATCATATCCAATTTTCTAATATTAGGTTGGTCGGAAAGTAGCTAAAACTTTTTTCACAGATATTCTCGAAATCAATCCAAAGTTTAATAGTGGTCTAACTATTTTATGTGTAATCTCCTTCCTTATTTACGAATGTAATGAAACGGGATACTACGCCCCTACAAAATAGATACGATTGATTTAGCGAAATTGTAAAACTGCCACATCTACGGGTTCACAGCACCGAATAAGGCGATTTTTTGTGTACGTATGTGCAACATCATTTGGCATCTACTGACACTAAAAAGCAAAAAAATCCCATGGCAAACCGCGAAGAAACATCCGATTATCAAAAGTCCTCGGGGACAAAATGTTCTGGCCCCATGCAAAGAAAGCAAAAAACAATAATATCTGCTGGAGTAAATTTCATGGTTTCTTTACTGAATATAGCACTAACCTTGACGCATTTGGGGATATAAATATTGGTTACGCGGGGCGGCTCGTTTTTGCAAAATAATCCGCTCAAGTTACATTCTATCTACTTTCCGACCAACCTAATATAAACAGGTGTAATAATAAACATGTAAACAATATAAACATGTTCTTCCAAATGATTTTTTCCGCTTTTTTTGGCACAACAGCTTCACACATTTTTGTTAAAACTATAGAAATACAACTTTTATGATCAATTAACTAAACATTTAATTTTATGTTACTAGAGATTTCTGGGCTATAAGAAAAAAAATCGAGTTTTCGCCTTTCCCCCACCTCCGATAATGCAAAAGCACCTCACCACCGCACCAAGCACACACACGCACACACACACACACACACACACACACACACACACACACACACACACACACACACACACACACACACACACACACACACACACACACACACACACACACACACACACACACACACACACACACACACACACACACACACACACACACACACACACACACACACACACACACACACACACACACACACACAATTTTTTTGCATTAGCTATGAATTATCCCGTTGTTCCTAATATCCAAAAAAAAAGAAAAATTGCTTGGCAATTTTCCAACCTTCACAAACGCTAACACATTCTTTTTATCCGCTTGGACTAGAATTGGTTGCGGCGGATATACTTGAAATGGACAGGCTGATGACACGGAACCTGAACCGGTGTGTCGGTGATCGTGTGGCTATGGCTTGGACAAAAGATGGAGTAAGAGAACAGACCGGCCGAATGACCCTAATAGATCTACGAGACCGGTCTCATGAAGGCAGTCCTCTCGTGAACGCCATCACTTATACCTGTCGCATATGTCGCTGTGGATACAGATAAAGTTCAGGATACAAGGCGTTATCTGGACGCTTGGAGAAGCACTGAAAATTTTATTTCGTCGTCTATATTTTGATGAACATTTTTTGAAATTAAAAACCTAGAATCGTAGTATTTTAAACATGTTTTTGCTGGTTATAAAAACACCAGTGCTGACCACCCGCTACGCGGGCTAGCCGCCACAATTTGAATTTTAAATCTGAATGCAGAATTTGGCTGAATTCCTGGACGGACGGGCGGACGGACACTAGAAATTTATATCTAGTAGATATTAGTATGTGTACGACGTTCTATAAATCGTATTTGCAAAATCTAACTGAAATTCTAAATATTAGACATTTTGAGTGCCATCCCAGCTATCCTACCTCCCCCGTTATTCTAAACGTACTTGTAGTTTTAATAGTTAAATTCTTACAGTTTTTTATATACTTGTTATATTTGGGCTAAATGACCCATAGTTATATTTTTCTTTCTGCATTAAATGACTTTATGTAATTGTTGTTTCTGGTTGGTCATTTGGATCCCGATTCCAACCCCAACCTTTCCCCAACCATTTCTCCTCGAATTCGCGGGGCCCACCCCATCGTCGGCTTCACATAAAATCGGTCACAAAAAGTGAAATGCGTGTTGCACTTTCTCCAGCCCACTGAGAACACCTGCATCCTTCCGACTAGCCGGCTTTTTCGAATGCACAATCAGGCTTTGACCCCCCCCCCCCCGCGGCTAGCCAGCGGACGGCCGGATGCATCACCCACACGCAGTGGCTCATAAAAAGTGAAGGGCTTCCAGTTCTGGCATTAGTGATTTATTTCCTGTTCTCGGGCGGGGGCCTTGAAGGCGGCAGGATTGTAACAAACGTTTGCAGTTTTCGAATTTGCTTCCAGAATTTATTTTTTTATCAAACGTACAGTAATGTATTAAGCACTTTCTGTATGTTTTACACCTCTTATGATTTGATTCCGATTCCCGTCCCTCCTCCCTGACACAAGAAAAATGGGCAATTGAGGAGGATCTGACTGGGAGGAGGGGGATATTCGTGGACTGGTGCTCGGCTCGGGGCGATGGTTATTGGCAAGGTCAGAGCCCCGGAGATACATATCGTACGAGCAGCCACTATCGACTCTTCCATTTCCATATTTTTTCCGTTTCATTTCTCCACACAACATCAGGATTTAGATTCTATTTTTCATTTTTAGTTTGTGAAAAATCTTTTGGGTACTTTTCACTGCTCCCAGACCTTTCTAAGCCAGAAAAACTGCAGCTCCAGTTTTATGGTCATCCCCCGCATTGTTTTCCTTACGGCTCTTGCTGTAAATTTTTTTCTGGTAAAAAAATTTTTATGGCTTGCCGTAGTCGTTCTTCCTTTACTCTTGATCCCAAAGTATTTTTCTACGATTGAAAAAATTATTGCTAATACGATTCACCTTCCCCGACCTCTATCTCCTAACCCCTTGTTTTAGTTTTGCGGGGGGAATACGGTGGCCGTGACGAAGATCTAAGCGATCTCACAAAATTCAGTTTTTTCCTCGCGGCCGCAGTGATTTTTCATTTCTAGGGGTGCTGACCTTGCCGCTATGCCCATTTTCCGCCTAGGAACTACTCCCTTTTTTCAAAGAGTTTACGCCTCTCACCCTCACGGTTTTGAATTTTGCAGATGGTCCTGCGGTTACTGGTTGTAGTCCTGTTGATTGGGATGTGTTGGGGTAGATCAAAGAAAAGTTGCTGCTTGAGGAATGGGGTATGTCAATACAATTTTTAATTCATTATAATTTTTTAGGTCAGTGAAGAGTGCGCAACTGCATTATGCGATCCAAACAATCCACCGGGAGATGTGGAAAGATATAGTTATTTTGATGGAACGCATAATTGTACAGCTTATCTCAACGGTATTTTAAAGATAAAGAATATACTAATAGTTTTCAGAAATTTCTGGATGTTTAACAGATGGTAGAGACAGTACACAATGTTGTGCAAGAACGGCTAGAGATCCAGGTTAGTGCTAAAAACAAAAAAATTAAATAAGCTAAATTTCAGAAGAACAAGCCTGCTTTGGAATGTGTGCTGGTGATGTTTCGCCCAGTGAAACATATCGAGATTTAATTTCTTGCATTGCCCTGAATCTGCCCTCGATTTATGATTGCATCCTCAAAAGTTATTCTACCGTACCAACGCAACCTCAAAATTTGAGGTATCGTAACTCGTATTTACACCTCCACTGACGGTTTCAGGATTGAGGACAACATTTTACGCTGGGAAGCGCCGAAAGAAAACGTGTATTTGGTGGAAAAATATAAGGTTCATGTCACCGATCTTTCCGTCAAGCAAACGACGGAAATAATCAAGGAAACAAAGGTAGAAACATTATTTATTTATTCTTTAAATATAAAAGTAATCTTGAGAATTTACGCTTCGACCTTTCTACGATAAAAACGGGGACCAGATATACTGTATATATAGTGGCAGAATCGTCTGGTGGAAGGTCACAGAGTAGTGAGCAATTAATGATGGGTGGAGGTATTTAGACGATGAGTTAATTCTTCAAAAAGCTTCAGGACATGTGGAAGGCCATACAACACGTGTACTCGCTTCCGCAGGGGCTGCTTCCGTGATCCTGGGGTGTACTATAAAATCCAAGCACGAGCGAGCTTCGATCGAATGGGAGCGAAAGAACAAGAATGGGGATTGGAATAAAGTGGAGGGGATTAGGTATCGAAGGGAGACCTATCGATCTCCTACCGCACCCATGCATCTATCCGCCTTAAAAATAAATAAGCCGAAATTGGCTGATGACGGAATGTATAGATGTGTTGTCAGGCAAGCGTCATTTCAAGCGGCTTTATATAACAAATTATTCAGAAGACATCGTTCTCTCTTTGCTGAAGTAACACTCAACGTGGTATCACCCAGCAACACTCCCCCAACTCCACAGCCATCACCCCCAGAAACACCCCACGAATGTTGCAGCAAAAAGATGACCACCTCGAATTGCACATCAATGTGCACAACCAGTTCGAAAATATATACAAATTTCTACATTTCAAGATCCAGATCAAAAACGACGACAAATCCGCCCCGGAGCCTATCTACCCTACCATAACTGCAGTGAGGAAATGCACAATTTAATGCAGTGCACGATTGCTGAAGCGCAAAGCGGTCCTTGTTGTATATTTAAAAAAGTATAACGAATCTGGTCCTTAAATTTCCTATGAATTTAGGTTCCCTACCAATGCCTCGGGTTATGTGACCGTTCTTTTACCCTGGCTAGCCCGATGGAGGCGTTCAGCTGCTTAAACTATTTCAACGAAATTATGCACTGCCATGAGGAATCGTTTAAGGTGTGTTGGCCCAAAAAGAAAATACTTTTTAGAATATACCATCACCGCCACCGTCTTTAAAAATCAGGAATCATGGAGCAAAAACTACGCTTGAATGGAAACCGTCACCTGGTGCCACTCGTTATACTATCTATTATAAAAATACCGGTATGGGCCAAGTTACAATAAATTCTCGAGTTTTTAGGTTCCCCGAAATGGAAATTTGAAACTACAACTCTGACATCAATTACATTGAATGACATCGAACATTTTGCTCTACAATCTAGTAATTTTTGAAACAATTTTATATCTTTTTTAGGTAATGGTCTCGGATCTTCTACAGCTCTTCGTAAATTGTTAGAAAATGGTGAATGGCTTTCGGACTACGAATAATATCTCGCTCATTTGCAAATGACCTCTTCCCGGGTTTCTTAGGTGTGCTTTTGTGTCGCAGGGTGCGAGATCTCAGCTGCGTTGTATCAATTTATATCATGCACCTTCGCATTATTCAACCGTATCAATTTGTAACCGGGGGGAATTATTGGGATTCCTTGGCCGCTTCATTTTCCTTGTCTTTGCCCGTCTTTTCCTTTTTCTTAGCAGAAGGAGGAGGTTCGGGGATACCCTGAAAAATTGTTGTACATAAAGCAATAAATAAATTGGCGGAAGGGCTGATTGTCATTGGTATGCAAAGCACAGTAAGATGCCTTAATTTATCTCAAAATGAATATTTAGTTTTCTTTTATGATGCCGACGTTATATAATTTGTTAAGATAGCATAATTGATATATAAGATATAATTCCATTCTTAAGACCTGATAATAGAAATAGATAAAAACATCTATAAAGATATCAGCGAGGTAGAACTCTCTAGAAGAGTAGGCCTTCATGATAAGTACAAAACATACCGGAATGACAATTCGTGGCTTGACCATAGATGAGGTACGTCTTGAAGAATCCTTATGAACCTCATACCGCAGTGTGTCAGTGGCCGGGATCGTTAGCTTTGCCTTCAATATTTGCCCGATTCGCATATTGACGTTGTCTTGCTCGGCATCACGAGTCCATAATGATACCTAGATTCAAATTCATTAGAACTCACCAAGTACGAATTTCTACCTTATCTCCCTTCTGTCGTACATTCACTACAGCTCCACAAATCAGCTCTCCACTATCTTCAAACTGTTCGCCAACCATGGCCATCATCAATTCCATCCAATAATGATCAAGAAGTTGCTGTCTTAAAAGCGAGTTTGCATTTTTATGCTGTTTTAATAATTTTTATTCTTACTTAATGATTAATTTTATTAGTAGGATTTTTATCCATTGTTCTTGCAGTTTTGGGGACCATCCCCCGTTCAAAAGTCCAACTGGTGGCGACACAAGGGAAGTGGGTTATGCAAATGACACATCGACCCCCCGAGCACAAACACACAAACCCCCAGATTTATATGCATCATAAGGAGACTACTTTCCTTCAAAATCATTTTTATATGATGGAACGATGCATCAGGATAATACTCTAATTTGCAAAAACTCGCTAAAAACTCTAAATTTTCCTACCTTTTCCGCTTCTCAACCACAACCAACCATCTACCACCTCGCACATTACTAGAATCTTCCCACATTGGACGAATATTCTAGAAAATTTCCAGCAATAAGAATAACATAGTATGTGAACAAACCTCCTTAAATAGATAATAATCCGAGCCCCAGTCCAGGGCACTACAGGGTTGAATATTACTGTACAAACTCCAGAAGTCCTCAACCGTCTCGAATACCGCCAATTGTTTCAAACAATCTTCCCAACAACGATTGCGATCCGCCTGTAATATGCAAATTTTGGTAACTGATTCAGTATGCTAATTGAGCACCCAAAACTTACGTCTTTCTGCCACTTACCTTCAAATACCACAGTGCCCATCGATTCTGTAGGGCGTGCTTTTCACCGAGTGGCTGATAAATAGTTTCCTTCCTGTTTTTTTGCGGATTTTTCTAGAAAATATAGATGAGTATATATATGCCCATTTTGTCGAACTTACAGCAACCGTCGAGGAACCGGGCTGTTGGTTTTCTTCGCCTTCCGCCATATTATGCTAAAACGGGTTGCCATCAAAAATTTTATTACGTAGTCAGTTTAAAAAATTGTGCAAGTAATCAAAAGAAGTAAATTACTACAAAATTCTGTAGTCAATTTTGTTTAAAATATCCTCTTAGAAAATAAGGATTTTTCAATAAAATTAGCATAGTTTTTAGTTATTGTTATCTAGCGTTATTGGAGGGGTTAGCTGGCTTTTCTTAAAAATAATATAAGATAGGTTTCATATAAAGCCGGACTGATCTAATTTCAATAGAAGATCTTTATAAACGTTGACTATATTCCAGCCTTAAGGAAAGGCTATTTCAGGTTTCTATGCAAAGCTGCATTAAAGCCAATCCACGAGCCAATAATGCCACTGGCAAAATTCTGGCGCTTGGGTGTTGATAGGTGTGATGATGGAGATTTTTGAATGAGGGCATCGAGTGGGGGGTTGGGGAGAGAAATGAGGCTGTTCCCCCGGGACGGAGGGCTACGAACTACAAACACACACACAGCTCGGCTAGGACAACACAGACACGCGAAGACATCCCTATGCCGCCCCGTCGATCGATCGATGCTCGCCATCGATCAACCCACATCTCGGATTTATAAAGCTTTCATTACTGATTGTAAAAGCCTTCTAGTAATATGTCGATAGTATAAGGCCGTGTTTAAGCCGAGGACGACGATAGTTAACATCACGCGCCTATTAGTCGCAACAATGCTGGTTTTGACCTTAATTAGCCACGCTGATTTTATGTGATCCATAAAGTTGTGTCAGTACTTTCCAAACCGCACTCTTTTACGCAATTTTTACCAGGGCTTCCTCATATTCCAAACTAATGAATTCTCAAGCTTAGTCCTTGAGCTTTAATGACTAAATAAAATACTCATCCTCCCTTTCTGGTATTTTATGTCGCTATTTTCTCATATCCATTAACATATCCTATTATCCGAATTATACCATTAACTTTTTCTTATTAGGCGGAGCCCTGGCAACCCCATGGACTTTGCTGAAGAGCTGCTAGCCAGAATCAGAAACGAAACCTCATACGTAGACAACAATATAGCTTCCGGTGACCCGTAAGTTCCCTATTAACCCTAAAGTATATTAGTAAACTATATAAACTATACATTAAAACGTTTTAGGCGCCTTTCCGAAGTCGGGAACCGTCAACCATATAGAATGGAAGACGGATTGTAAGTGTATTATTTAAATACTGCATTTATCGTAATTTAGCGACCTGACTGCTTTCTTGATGCAAGACGACTTGAAGCCGGTTAGTCACATAGCCTCAAGCAATTATGATATATATTTCTAGACGGAAGAGGAACTCCTGCACATTGGCCCGATGGATTTGGACCCGCTGGGAGGAGGCCAAGCAGCCAGGTTGGCCAAGATTCGGGCTGATACGGCTAGACGGGTGGCTCGAAGGTATCGCGCTTAACGCCATCTTGCCCTAATCACACCCCCAAAATGGACTAACCCTGGATTTGAAATTAACAATTGGGTTCTCATTTGTGTTTAGCCCGGGTTTCAGGAGAGCTAAGGAAACCCCAGCACAACGAGCAGAACGATTAGCGAAGGGGAGGGAATATATGAGGCAAAAGTGAGTTTGGAATTGGTATTTCGGGATCAAGGAATTGCTAGGAGGGCAAGAATGCAGGCGGAAGGAGTGAAAGAGAAAGTATATCCGAGGAAACGAATGACGAAGGATGAAATGGAAGATGTTACCGAAGTAGAGATGGATCGAAGGTTGGTGCTTAATTTAATTTTTAGTATTACTGTTTTTCACTTATATTATCAGCATTTAAAATTAAGATAGCCATAGTTTCACTAGTTCTAAGATTATTCAATTCAAATTTTATCTTTTAGTGTCCGATCAAGCTCATCAACAAGCTCACGGCGTCATGAAAATCCCGAACAACGCGCTGCTAGACTTGTAAAACAACGCGATTATATGAGGAAAAAGCGGTAAACCTAACGCTAAGAAATCTATCCTGTTTTAGCGCAATGAAATACAAAGACGAGACTCCAGAAGAACGAGAATCTCGTTTAATTGATAATAGGGAGCGGACAAGGAGGCGGAGAGCCAATGAAAATGAGGAGCAACGGAAGAAGAGATTGGAGCAGCAGAGGTTGTACTCACAATTTAGGTATGTTAATTACTTATCTAACATAAATAGTGCCGTCTATGAATGCCTATTAAATACCTAAATTCGCAAATTTGAGACGATCCCGGATATATGAACAACGAGATGGTCAATGGATCAAAGCAGAAACACCTAGCCATATTTCCGACACCCCGGGTTCTTCAGTCATGTAAGAAATTTACTTACTTTTAATTAATTTTTTGTTAGGATAAGCCTTTACCCAGACCTTGCTCCAAGTACAAGCCGGCATGGTATCCCGGATGGGTTTGTTAATCCCAGCAATATTTTTTAAAAGCCAATTCAGCCGCGAATATACAATGTTAGGACTGGGCTTCAAAACCGTTTTGGATTCCCAGGCAAGGTTTGGCACTCTCAAATTCAAGGGACAATTTGTTTTTATAGCGGCTCATCTTGCCCTGTCGAGGACCCAAAGAAAACCAACTCCCGTATACAGCATCGCAGGTTTATACAAAATTTAATAAAACTTCGAATCAATGGTTTTTAGGGGCCATACCAACAATACTGATGGTACCCTCGTCATTGTCAACCCGGGTCCAGCATTAAACAATCATGGCCAACAACAACAACAACAACCTCAACAACAACAACAACAGCAACAACAACAGCAACAACAACAGCAGCAGCAGCAGCAACAACAAACAAACGGGCAATCAAATAACGAGACCCCAATTTCATTAGAAGAATTGTTCAACGGAAACCAGGTCCTTTTTTAGCCACCTGCACACGAAACAAACGTCTAGCTGTTTAGATGACTAGTAGCGATTATCTGAAAACATTCCTTCAATCGGCACCTGGCCATCCGGATGCCCAAATCAATCTACTCCCGTCGATTCAATTGAACCCATAGCCATCCTTCCAGTGCAAAAATAAAAGTACCTCCCGCCCTAAAATTCAGGTCCTGTCTCGCTAAATGATCGGGGGTCATTGACTGTATTCCGTTTATGTATTTTCTGATTTTTTGTGTTTGTCCATTGTACGCCATAATTCCCCTATTATGCTAGCTTTTCGTGTCAATACGGTTTTTGCCCTTTGATAAATATATCAATTTTGCGTGGAATATAAGAAAATGCATCTTACTTATTTAGGGCTTGTTATTAGCAGTTTAATAGTTGAAACTAATTCGTTGCATTTTAATCCATCACAATTATTATGAGCATTTTAATTTTCAGATTGCAATTTTGCCGTTTTCAAAAAAAAGTAACTCTAATAAAATAATGCAGGAGTAAAGTTATAACTTAAAACGCAGTGCCGATTTTAAACTCTGTACATGGTGTTTTTAAAAACCTTTCCATGACTTTAAAGCTGTTTTAGCATTTTGCAAGTTTTCCAATCTGATGTACGCTTCAGTTAAAAAAGGCTTACGCGTTCAAACAAATTAATGTGCAATATCCTTTCGTCAAATTGCACGCTTTTCCCTTTTCTTTCATCCTTCCGTTTCTCTCTCTCTTTCTCTCTCTCTCTCTCTCTCTCTCTCTCTCTCTCTCTCTCTCTGTCGCTCTCTTCCGTCTCTCTATCTGTCGTTCCGAGCTATCACTGACTGCTGGTGGTTCGCGGGGTATTAGTGGGACGATGATGGTGGTTGTGGGAGGGGGAGGAGGCGTGAGATGGCAATCGGACTCTCGGGGTTTTAGATCCAAATATAGAGGAGCACGAGACGGATTGGGCTTGCCATACCATTGAGAGATAGAGCCTTGCCATCACCCATCGATCTACTCACGGCTACCTAGTGTCGAAAAACCGGGTTATTCAAATTCTAAGAATGAGGCGGCATCGTGTTTTTGTGATATTTCATCTACTTCTATCAATATTCGTAGTTAGGAGTGTGCAGCAGTCAAATATTACTTATGAAGATTTGCCTGCGGAATATCGATGTGAGTTTTTGAATCCAGGCGCAGTATCACTTTCCACGAGTTGAAAGTTTCATTTAATTACCGTTTTCTTAGCGTATTCAGTTTTCTTTTCCCCCAATATTTGTTTTGCAATCTTAGCTATCAAACGTCCTTGTCAAAAGTTTCACGTCTGTTGACCTGTTTTCATAAGGTCGAAAAATATCCCTTCCCCCCAATCACAACCGGAAATCATCACCATCCTACCAAAGCAATCACCAAACTATTTCATAGTACCCTATTTTTAGTACTAATGTCCGAAGATGTCTTCAACTCAGTCGTCCTCACCTCCAGCGAGCTTCCAATCATCCAGCATATCTTTGAGGAATACGATAGGCCTGTCCCTCACGAAAATGTACCATCAAGACCTTAAATATTTTATACGTTTTTCAGATTACAGTAATGCTAAAGGAGAGCGCTCCGATATTTCATGATAAGATACAAGGATTCCTGGAGAAGATAGATTTTCAGTTTGAGCTGTTGAGACTACAGGTAGATACTGTAGGAAATTGACGGATACCATCTTTAGTATCCAAATGAAAGTCAACAATTCACTTGGATTGATCGGAGGATGACAAATTTTCTAGTGAACGAAGCGATTGATTTCTTTGCTTTTACACCCTTGATCGATGTACATGTAAGGCTTTTTCAGCATTCAAAAAATTAGTTATGAAGACATTCCAAGAAGCATCTGCGAAGTATGGACCTTTATCACACGTGAAAATGGACGAGGTTAGGACTAAAAATCTGCAAAGATTGTTTATAGATGAATGAACAAATTAGCAAGCTTCTGCCAAACGTGGAACAAGCTATAGGAAATTTAAGTACAGAATTTGAAGCAATTCTGGAGACACTTTCGGATTCCATGCTGAAACTACAACTAGAGGTGAGCTAGCCTGGGCCGACCTTTATTCTATATGATCATAAATTTAGGTCGTAAGCGAAGTTGAGAAAGAGTCGGAAATAGATGGAGATTACGCGGCCGTAAATAAGAGACTAACGGAAGATGTTTACGATATGGTCCCTGTTAGTATTTTTTAAGCAATTAAAGTCAATGCAAAATCAGGAATCCCTTGAAAATATTAATCGAGTACTACCCTACGCTATGATAAACGCCATGCATGAACTGCATCTAAGTCAAATGGAGAAGATCTGGCAAATATATGGGAATATATCGAATGGTTATGATTATTACAAGGTTTAAGAAATTTATAAAAAGTTTAAATGCTGTAGGGATTAAATTTGCCGGATTTCCAATCGTTTGATGCTGATTTTCTTGGATGGACCGTCAGGCAGTACCTTGGGAAGTCATTGGATGCTTTGATTGCACATAAAAAATTTTCGATTGTTAAGGTATGAATGCTAATTCCTAGGCAGTACCTACACTAAGAAAATTTAGGATCTAGACGATCTGGACCCCATCGCCTTGGACTCCGTTCTGAACTCGACAAACTTCTCAGATAGGCTCGACGCTATACATGAAGAACTAGATTATATCTTAAACAATAGAGTAAGTAGGACCTAAAATCTTGTATTTAGCTCTAGTTGAAATTCCTGCTACTATGTGCAATTGGATCGATACCTCCACAAGAACATCACTACGTGCGACGTCTGGTAGCCCACTACTTACCTGGAGAAAAGCTCCTCACTGTAACTAAATTTTTATAAATTTAGCGTTGCTTTTAGAAAGTGGCCGAACTCCATGCAAATGCCCCATATTTATCTGGTAAGGTAATATTTGTTGCGGAGCGCGTTCAGGCTATGGTTAGATGGTATTGCCGGAAGGTAAGCTCAAGTTAATTTAACCTCTAAGCATTTTAGCAACCGCTAACCTGCACCAATCTGAACAAGACTGCAGAGTTCGTGACCAGCTATTACATACGGGTATCCGCTTTTTGTTTGAAAATAAACGCGTTTTTCTTAGGGTATGCTTCGAATTTTTGATTTGCTACCTGATGCCGAGATTGACGGGCTTAAAAAAGTTCAAATATCGATGAAACTCGAGAAGTATCGCTATGTAAGTTAGATTTAGATTCGAGTTTTTAGATTTTTGTATAAAGGATATCGCTTAGATAATGGAAAGTCTTGAGAAAGAGTTACCATCGCTTTATACGGCTATTGTTCGTGTCCATGAAAATGCAAGTTTTTAGCTTTCGATATGTACATATGTATGTATTTCTAAATAATTCCTTGTATAGATTGAAAAGAAGCTGGGTGCGATGAATTTTCTGGGGACACAGGAATTCGTTAGAAAGGTAGCGTTTTTAATCTATCTTTTATCCGAGCCCGTTTTCAGATTGAAATGGACACGATGAGGGTGTTGATCTTAATTTCATTGGGTAAAGATGATGATCTTGAAGATTTTCGGGAATATGCTAGGTTTAAAACTCAATAGCCATTCCTAAAAAAACTGTATTTTAGGTCGTGGCGTCGTGGATTCACCTCCATGGGTCGAAAAGCGCGAGCCGAGATTGCCGCCGCTTTACCTGATTTTGCCAAAGCCCTCACAATTGCTGCATAAATGTGTTTTTGCCCCTAACTGTTTTTTTGAATGATTATTAATACACAACAGACCAGACTCCCTTGCCTTTGAGAGCACAGACCCTTTTTTATGGAACAATCGATTGTCTGGCGTTCAAAAGATAAGACCATCGCGGGCCTTTCCCCCTCTCTATGCAGATAACCAGTTACCCAATGTATTTATCGCCCAGCTCTCGCTTATCTACCCGTTGACTTTTGAAAATCTTTTGTATTTTAGCTATGGAGGTGACTATTCGTGAACTGGTAATTGAAGACGCTGAAGAAATTAGAGCGCTCATTCAGGTAATTAAAAAATGAGGTTTCCATAGGATTTTTAGGGATTAGCCGAATACGAAAAAATGCCGGACTCGGTCGAACTGACAGTTCCACAACTTCAAAAGGATATCGGTAGCAAGGCAGTATTGGGATTTACGGCTAGGGTATTTTCTTGAAACTAACTGTAACCCTCTTTTGGTCGAAGTGGAAATTCCGTACGTGAGATAGCACATCTTGTGCAGAATTTCTTTACGTTTTTTTACCCCGGAGATCGCCTTATTTTCCTCCCAAAAGTATCTTACGGAATTTTTAGAACGTTTTGAAGTAAGCGTTTTGTGGCATTTTGGGTATTAAAAACGCTTGTAACTTTTTAATCTGAGGCGTTCCGCAACTTTTGAAAACGGATTCGGAATCAGCAAAAAATTCTGCACAAAATGTGCTATCTCACGTACGGAATTTCCACTTCGACCAAAAGAGGGTTACAATAAGAGGAAGCAAGGAACTTAAGGATTCCAATAATAAACTGGCTGGAATGGTGCTGTTTTATATGGCCTACTCGACCTGGCAGGGACAAGTAGGAAAAATTAACTTGATGATGACAATTTGACTATTTAGTATGTTCATATGGAAGATCTTTATGTTAATCCGAAACTGAGACGCTCCGGAATCGGTCTGAAGCTGTGGGCGCGTGTCGCGCAGGTATGCTGCATTTTAGAAATTATCGGAATAATAGCATAATTTAGTTCGCAAAAGAACGGAATATTAAACGACTGCAATGGAATGTTTTGGATTGGAATACAGACGCTATTTTTTTTTATGAAAAGGTAAATTTTCGTTTGCGCGAATGTAACATTTTAACTTTTTAGCAGCCCTGCGTGAACCTCACAAAAACCGAAGGCTGGTACCTCTTCCGAATGGGCCCCGACGACATTAACCACCTCTCCAAAAGCAATTAACTAATTTTTATTCGCCATAAAACTGTTGTTGAGGATCGCAAATAAACAAGACGAAGGCTTTATTTGGGGGTGTTGATTCAATAGGTTGGCTTCTCATTTGATGTGTATGGGGCACAGATGAGTCCCCCTTTGTACCGGCAGAGCAATAGTTCTTCTAGAAAATGTGAAATTCTCGTAATTCCGGGAAAGGGCGCTGGATTTTGGCCTTCCGGCCTCGCGTTTTTACGCGCAAAAAGTGGCTACAAATAGGCATTTGGCGTCAGAGTACGTCAAGCGTATGGCGCGATTTTTAGGTGGCCGCCATTTTGAAATATACCTTTTTCTTGAAGCGCCACTTCCGGTTCAGGCATCGGAGGAGCGGAACGCTTGCCATAGCGAGATAGCACGGCTCGGCCTAAGAAGTCGAAATTTAAAAGTATAATTGTTTCCAACGAAGCAATTACAGAAGCCATGCGTAATACTTGAAGCGCGGGGGTAAATGTCAAAAATGGTTTGAAATTTGACTTACACTCGGCGCCTCGCTTTTTTTCAGAAGGCCCTTTTGCTACTGTACTGGGCCGTTTGGTTTGTCGTCCTAATTTTAGCGAGCGGCCTTAAATTATGGGAGAATTATACGGTATTTTAAGATTCTTAGACGAGGCGATATTTCTGAAACATTTGAAGAAGACCTCATTGAAGCGCACGGTTATGCATTGGGCCGTATATGCCAAATTACGGAGGGAGAAACCGATGTTCATAGGTTTATGTGTGCGTATTTAAAACGTGTGCTTTAAGGTAAAAAACTAGCCCTTCCAAAAAACGTACGGGATATGCGGGTCTGCTGGGGGGCGATCATGGGCTCCTTGTAAGCCAGGCCCCAAAGTTCCTTATCTGGGAAGCCGAGTGACCGTCCTGGAAGCAGAGGGAACGGGTCACCACCCAGGTATCGTGACGATCTACCGTAACGCGACAACAGCGCCGGCCGCTTCATCATGCCCGGGGCCCCGGCCGCCAAGCCGACCATGGCCAACAACATTCCCGTCCACCAGATGTGCATTGTGTGCCCAATTATATGATCTAAAAAACTGGTAAAAAGGGTAGGATGTGATAGATGAGAGTTTGAAAAGGAAAAGAACATATAATGGTTGTATGAAAATACGCATAAGCCGTCTAAGTCAATGCCAAGCCTAAACCTAAAGACTTACTTAAGCCGAACCCAGGCTTATGCCTCAGATTATTACTCAGAACTCCATTCACAGCAAAAAACGTCTCCTTGTAACTAAGCCTAAGCCTCAGCATAAGGCGAAGCTTAACTTAAAGTCGATCTTCCGCCTAACCCTAAGTCTAAGCAAAGACTTCAGCCCAAGTTTTGGCTATAAACCAAAGATTTTAAGCCGATACTTGTATAAATTTAATATTTCGATCAAAAACAATATTGAGGAATACAAACTTAGAAGGTAATTTCCGGAAGTGGGGCAACTTCAAAGCTCCAATACCTTTTCCCAACGAAATCGGGAATTGCGTGAAGCCTACCTACCCCCTACCATCAGAATCCCATGGATAGCTTGTGAAATCAGCATCAGACACGGCTTTCATTTCCGGAAGATCGGATAAACACATGGCGCGAATGGGCATCGGCGCCCCTCCCCTCATTTCTTCTACCGACTCCAGCGGTACTTTTTCCCAAAATTGTAGTGGCCCGTGGGAACTGTCACGGGCACACGACATTCCATTAACCTTCACCCCAAAAAAAACGTAAAATTACCGCCAGCTGCTGGGGAGGGAATTTGTTAAGCTGTGCGGGGGCAAGGAAATGGTGATGCAGTTGAGAATATTTCAGGAGGGTCTGGTTGAGATTCATTAAAAAGAAAGAATGATGAGGTTGAGGGTGAGGGCGAGGATGGAGTCATTCATTTCGGGTTGTGGAGGCGACGATTCTGATGTATATATAAAAATGCCAAGGGCGGAAAGCCAGTTTAAAGGTTAGAGAAGAGTAGCTCGGGAGTACGTAAAGCTACAAATACACAAATGGATATTACGTCACGAAGCATTACAAGAAGTGATACCAGAAACAACGGCTGTGTCAAAATCACAGCCAAGCATTCTCCCACATAAAATGGAACCAAAGGATTTTGAAATAGTAGCACTAGCTGCCGGTGGTTGAGGAGGTGGAGCTGCTGCTGAATGGGCCCGGTCCCGGCCCAAATGGAATATATGGGCCGCACAAGGCGGGGCATCGGATGTCTTACGTCAGTTGAGGAATCGCGATCTGGAAGGCGACCCGGCAGCCATCTATAGCACATCATTTCCCATTAAGGATTGAGCACGATATGAGCAAGAGATCTGCATTGAGCTGTGTGGGTGGCTGGCGTGCGAGAACAACACGCTGGGAAGAGCTTGACTTTAACCATCCGGATGAGGCGGTAGCAGGTCGTCGTGGATTCGGGTTAGAGTCGAGTATTTTGGATGTAGTAGCCTGCGCGTTCACAGCTCTGACAAAATTTCCGTTGGCTTTAATCTTAGATCACTTGCGGTCGCATCTCGTAACAACTGGGACTCCGGCCACAATGGGTTAATTACGTCGTAATCGCTCAACTCCGTCAACCAGAAATACGGTAGTTTGCCAGCTGTGCCAAGGAGTTCATGTTCTCTCTCACCCTTTCTCTCTCTCTCTCTCTCTCTCGCTCTCTCTCTCTCTGTTTTTCCCTCTGCTTCTATCTCCTAGTAGAATTCTCTACCAAATGTTATATCTACTCACTCCCATATATCAGTAATACCTTCTAAGGACCCGGTTCTTTCCTGAGTGCTTTCTACTCAAATACATAGACCTTATCCTCCATGCTACTATTTAAAAAACGCAAGCGCACCAGCTTGCGGCGAATGAAAAAAGCTTGAAGGAATCGTATGACGTCCCCTATGGCACCTCATCGATCTCCGAAGGGCGTGAAATCTTGAAATGCGATGCGCCCTCCCCACCACGCCGCCACCTCCAACGAAATCAATCCGGTCGAGGTCAAAATTAGAAAACTAGCCTCCATAATAGCAGCCTTTACCATGATCTGAGGGGTCTGGCAGAGATGACTATATTTGGGATTTTTGATACTGAGAGTCCAGCTTTTTTGTAAAATCAACGCTTTTAAATAGATGCGGAGTGCTACTGAAACATGCATTTATTCCATTCATTACCACCGTAACTGGGGTTTACCGCTTGTTTAAAGCTAGAACAAGAATATCTGAGTAGTGGGAGGGCAAGAAAACACAGCATAAACATCGAAAAAAGCCACCGGTCCATGGATAGTTCAAGCACGCAAGAAAACGCATATAGTTTTTTGGTATAAAATTGCGTTATTGGGTGGCCACCTCAAGCGGAAGCCCAAACTCCTCCACCGGCCGATCATCGTTGACCACGAGGCTTAACGGGCCTCGGCTGTCTGTCGTTTGTACCGACATCCCTGAAATGAAAAGTTTTATTTAAACACATTTTATTAAATTAAGGAAATAGTGTTATCTTTTGTCTAAAATACGGTGGAATTGGCTATTAAAGCACAGTTGAAAACCGGATAGAATCAAGCCCACAAAATACCTGATTTATTCATGCCATTTGGGACTGTAGTAAAGATTGATTTATATAATATAATTATGTTTATTATTTTTGTGATAGTTTTTCCAACAAAAACTACCGTTGTCTAAGTCGTTTGGCCGATATGTCATATAGCCGAGAACCGCGGCCAGAATACACACCAGCTTACAGATGATGGCTAAAAGTTTTTATACAGGGTGACTCAAATTAAATGTATACATACTTAACGCCCTATAAAAATATTTATCGCCTGCATCTGAACTTTTCTTATTAACAAAACTAACGATAAAGAGTAGACTCAATATCATCTAAGGATTTTTAATATGGCGCCCTAATATTGGAACTACAGCCCCAGAAGCCTGCCTCCAAATAGGGTCCGTGTGCCGCAACTATGAGTTAGGTACTTTGTTCTATTCCGAATCGAGAGGGCACTTTGGCCGGCTCAAATTTGCACTTCATGTAGAAAAACCCTGTATCCCTAAGCTAGGTTATCGGCCATAATCGGAAAAATCGGGTTTTTGAAAACATTCAGCCTTTTGTGATGCGCGCTCGCACCAGCGAAAAAAACCCGAGGCCAGCATTCGATATTTTTGTTCTTAAAAAAGAAACCGACCATGGCTGGGATAGACGAAATAAACGAAGAAGTGCGGCATAAGCTATACAATGCCGGCATCTTTTCAATACACCCATTACCGCAAATTAATGGAGGTGTTTGGACCAAAATTGGCGAAATTCGGAATGCTGGATAACTTGATGCATAATTAAATTTAAAAACCACTATTTTCGTAATTGACTATTTGGACAGTTGTCATCAAATACTAGTTAGCAATTCCTATGATTACTAGGAAGAATGGAGAGCTCCGCTAAAAATACAGTCGATTTTATCATTCTAACCGGACGTCTCGAAAAGTTGCGGCGCACGGACCCTATTCGGAGGCAGGCTTCTGGGGCTGTAGTTCAAATACTACGATGCCAATATTTAAAGGCCATATTGAGTCGACTCTTTATCTTTAGTTTTGCCACTAAGGAACGTTTGGATGCAGGCGATAAATATTTTTATAGGGCGTTAAGAATGTATACACTTATTTTGGGTCACCCTGTATATTGATGTTAAATTTTTTGTTTTTGATTTGGATATTTTAATTAAAAATTCTAGCCCTTACAAAGCGCCATAATGGTCCAAGCCAGCTTCACCGGGTCGTAGACAAGGCAACTCGTTTTTCCTCCACACGGGTTTTCGCCCCATTTAATGCATGAATTGTCGATCAACACCCCAAATAGAATACCGCCCGGGATAAAACCTAGAAAATCAACTTGAAAAAATATTTTTAGGTGCCTTACCGAGTAGCCGAAGGAAAGTCCAATTTAGACCGATGGCGATGGTCCGCTGATCGAACGGAACAACACGCAACATTATCTAAATTCTTAAAATTCAAGATATCGGCTTTTTCACACCTGTTGTGTTGGAATTCCTGCCGCAAAACTGGCCAATACGGTTATGAAAAGACAAAACAAAAAACCATACAGCCGCCAGCCACAATCCTGAGATATTTTCGTTCAGAGTCGATAAACATAAATACCTGGTTACAATAACCCCCCACAATTTCTGTATCTGTGACACGATTCGTCAACAAGCTGACGTTCTGCACCGCGTTACAGCGACAATTTGTCCATAAAGTATCCTAAGATGCATAAGGCATGCACAAATAATATTTATATATTACCATCTCCCTTTCTTCCTTCGTTTGACAACCCGCAAAGCATGGATTATAAAACATCAACCCTGTAGCCGTCTGGCAAACCGGATTCCATTCCTAAACCCTGCTAAAGACCTGATCATAATTTATTACCTTTCGCTGACACTGGCAGTCCCCATTGCATGTGTTGTCTATTTTATCGCCATACTCACGGTATGTCATTTCGCTAAATATAATTTTAATTTTCGATATATTCGCAATCCTACTTTCCATCATATTCCACACTTATCCCCGCAAAATGCCGTTGAGGACATGACAAGATAAAACCAAAAACAAAAACGAGAGCTAGCGTCTGGCACACAATTACCATCTTAAGCATGCCGCTGACCTAAAAACCATGCTGGTATAGGAATCTAGAAGCTACCTGTAGGTTTAATTTCCTGACGATGGCGCCACCAATAAGAACACCACACGCGCATGCCAGAATAATTGTAGCTAAATAATTATGTAATATATGTCAACCACCAAGCAATAGTGAAAGGACAAACTTCAAAAGTCTCTTACAAGATAGATATGCCCCGAAAGTAGGCGTCGTGGCGAGCAACGTCTCCAGGATCTTTGGCATAAATGCAGCAAATCCGTTAATAATAATCGACTCGAAGATTCCGAGAACTACATTTTAACATAAATTATTTTGTATTAAACCAATGACCCACCAATAACCACGTTGAATGTAGGATTTCGCAGAATTCCAAATACGGTAGTTGTCAACGCCTTTCCTTTCTTTTCCTTCCCATTTTCAAGGTTGCTCTTGTGGGTCTGGGTCACTTTTAGCAATGTTTTAAAAGTATTCAACCTGATTGACATCCTTAGCTCTATGCTTTTTAGCTTCTGGGAGTTGTCGAGCAAATCCCAAAATTGGGAGGGCCACTGAAACCGTCTTTTTTCGATTCCAGTAGCATGGATTTACCGAAAAATGCTGAAACGGCCGAGAAGACAAATCCAATCCACCAAGCGCCAACCCAACGTGGATCAATGTTTCCTTTCAATGGTATGCTAAAATAAAAAGGGTTATTCCTTTCCCTTTCTTTTAATCCCTTTAATTGCTTGACAGTCCCCCAAAAACTGCCAAACTGGATTCCATTTGCGTGAAATCGGCGAAATGTCTGGCTGTCGTCCAGATAGGATAAAGTTTTGGCTGGCTGTAGGGGGAGTAAGCCAGATCGTGCTTAGCCGGTATCCCTCAAGGTCAACGTGAATAACTATTTGCCAGTCTGTATCTGCCTTTTCGGGAAATGCAGGTGAAGATGGGATAGCGCGAGTGGCTACCCATGGAAAAGTAAGATGGTAAAATAAGACATGTGTGGGTGGATGTTGTGGAAAATTCGGTCCAACTCATACCTGTCGACGCGATCGAAATCATCATAGATTCGCAGAAGGAAGCCGCCGGCAAAAAGTCCGATAGCAGGTCCCATCGATGTTATCACCGCATTTACAGCTAAAGCGCGAAAGTGTATTGTTTTTAGAGTTCTTAAAAATGTAAAACGTCAGACCTACCCAAGAACATTGGTGATGCCTTCTGCGACACATTTTCATCGATATACGCCGTCCCAATCGAGAATAGCGGTGTTGACCCAAGTCCATGCAATGTTTGGCCCAAGATGAAAATCTAGACTTTACTGGTCTTGTGAAATCAGTGGCCGAGCCTTTATACCCAAAAATATGGATTGAGATAGGAGGAGAAGCTGTGATCTTGGCAGTTTTGTTCGGAGACCGTTCTAGAAAAAGGAGATTAAGGTGGGCAGGACAAAAATCGTTGGGAATTCTGGGAACTTACCGATTGGCGAGGCACTGGCCGAAATCCTGATTCGCATCAACATTGAGTTCCGTTGGCTGGTAGACACCGATGATCCAGTGAGGAAGGGCACAAATTGCTGACCCGACAGCCATTACTAGTCCTCCAAGACCGATCCATCGGCCTTTGTGGCCTAAAGAGTTTGGTTGAAAATATTGAAAAGTTAAGATAAAATTTAACATCGTACCCTACCTTCCTGACCCCAATGACATACAGGGAAAACGACTAACAGCACAGCAAAATCGTACCAAGAAGAGATAATCCCGGTGTGAGTGCTTGAAATTACGGTAAGCATTTTTCAAATAATACCTTGACATATGAAATCGCCGCTCCAACGTCGACAACCCAACCGGAAATATAGCGTTTACCACAAAACTCTGAACAAAACATAGTTACGGTAATTTGCAGCTGCGTATGGTTTATCAATTCAGCGGGAATTTTAAATTTTCGATTTTAGGACTTACCTGAATAAACGCACACATGCCAAGAAAGAACAGCAACCATTTTGCTGTATGAAAACATTGTAACCATTTGGGGGCACATCTAAAAGTCTAACTGTGAATTTTGCATTTCTGCCCTTACTTTCCAAATCCGTATAGATAAACCTCATCATCAGGTGGACCAATATCTTCTTCTTCTAACGAGTCTGTGTTATGCCGTTCCATTCTAAAAAAATATTCCCAAGGAATCCGCGAAAAAACGGAAACGCCAAGCGACTAGAAATGTCACAATTGCGGTCCACGATTACATTGATCGCTCCTTGAAAACACCGGGATTGGAGGGAGAGTAGGAACACTGACAAAAAGAGTCCCAGGCAAAATATGCGCGATGTCGGGCAGGGGGAAAACACTCGAAACGCCCAGCAGTTGATTTGGGGGGGCTGTAAAGGAACGTCAAAATTCACGACAAGAAGGTCGAGTAGCTGGAAGAGCTAATAGTTCTCGTTGAATTTCGCACGAGGCGAGAGTCCACCTGTCATAATTTTCACGCGACTACGATGAATAGGGCACAGAACCACCCACACCTACACACAAACACACTCTCATCCCCGTTTCATCCAAGCATTTTTGATAAAAAAGAGGCTGGTGGTCGAATGACACCCGGCAACCCGACAATACGGATAGACAATCTGCCAACCGCTTTTCTCTCTCACCCCCCCAGCAAACTGCGAACATCTATTGATTTACAACGTTTCCCATACATGACAACGATGCGAAAGAAGCGGACACATTTTTCCGAAGATAAAGATGGCTGGTCACGAATATTTATTTTACCCCACAACCACTCGGTAAAAAAGGGTACGTTCGGCTGCCGGGACGAGTTTGCGACGAAAAGGGTGGCTGAAATTGGGAAGAAGAATTGTGGTGGAATGAAAAAGGAAAATAGCGAGAGCATTCTCACTCTTCCTCGTGCTCACGCCCGCGCGGATGGCCAGTGAGAGATAGGAAGGTCGAGAATGAGAGAGAGAAAGAGAAAAGAGAGAGAGAAATGCTGTGATAGGCAATCATCGAAAGGGCGCCGAAGGACACCAGAAGGCTCTGACTCTCATCGATCGTTGCCATTCAGATTGGACTCGAAAGGAGATAAAATTCAGAATACATTGTTATTTTTTTTCTAGCATAGAGGGTGATTAGACTTAACGCAGATAAACGATCCAATCGTATATCCTACCTTATATAATTTTGAGGTGTTTCTTGTTTGTGTGTGTGTGTGTGTGTGTGTGTTTGTGTGCAACCACGTGTGTGTGTCGGGTGCCTGTGCGTGTGTGTGTGTGTGTTGTGTGTGTTTTGTGTTTTTTTTTTTTTTGGTTGTCACTTTCGAAGCCCGATTTGGGGGCCTTCCACTGCACAAAATGCCCTAATTCTCCGTCACCCGGGGGAATCGGGTTCCCTCTTCCGATGGCTTTACTCGGTAAACAAAGCTAAGCCGGTTTTATTCATTTTGGGGTAATTTGCATAATGGAAATAATACAAATCTCATCATTCTTGCAATTTCCGCGCGGGGTTGGTCGGGGGGGGCCGAAGGACCCGAGCTATCGGAAAGTCAAATTTTTCAGCAATTCCAGCTCCAGCAAGGCCGGGTTTTGGGGGCGTAATTATATAATAGTGTGTTTTTTTTTTTTTTTGGCAATGTTTATTTTTTTAAAACCCCGGGATATCGGCACAACCACGGGAAGGTTTTTATGATAGGTTATGTTTGATACGTCATTAGGTGCGCAATTGCCCCAAGATGAGTGCACATAAATGTTGAAAAATTGCTGTTTTCGCAAGTAAAATTAGGTTTTTCGAAAATATAGAAAAACCTCTTTGTGAGGCGGAAATTAACATGAACGGAAAGTGGAGAGAGCTATTAGAGCGTATAAAGCGCCGAAGTAGGTGCCTTGCATATTTTCTTGTTCTGGGGGATTCGGCAGAGACCGGCAAAGTGTAGACTGAAAGGCAAGGTGACGCTACGAAACGGGTTTTCCACACTGCTCTTATAAATAATTCTCTTTGGCCTGGTATAAAATAGTTGTACCCAGGCGATGTACGCGCTTGAACCAGCAATATCCAAGGTCCATTTCCATAAAAAAATAAGAACTAGCAAAATATAGACATAGTCGTTTGCGTTTCCCTGTCAATTTTTCCATAAATTTTTTTGTGGTCGAAAAACTGTAAAGACTTAGGTTCATCCTGATATGAAGCAATTTTTGAGTGTCAAATGCACGTAGCTTCGGTCCGCGTCAGCAGTCGGAACGGTTTGGTGAACTGGCTTAAAGGTACACTAAAATCTCGTCCAAAAAGTTCGGTCGCGGTAGTAAATTGGCTCTGCAGTCAACCCCAGCCCCTTTCGCGTCCCCCCCCCTCCGCCCCCCTGGCTAGTGGTCGGCGCGCTGAGTCAGGGTTCGGTTTTGCTCCGTAACCTACCGTAACCCTGTTTGCTATCCCGCGGGGTTCCGGCCGGACCAACCCGAGACTTTAGTGTACTTTAAGGTATGAATGACACGACACTTCGCTGCGTAAGGCAGACGCGGTAACTGCCAAACTTCGTGATTTCAAAGTGCGCGTAGCAACTATTTAACTTGGTGTCATTATAATGATGAATTTCAACCTGTTTTCGAAGATTCCACTTTTCTTTGGGTCCTCGCTATCAATAATTTTTATTTGATGAGAAAGTAAAGCACCTCAGTCAAATCTAGCCCGCACAAAGACGCAGCCATATAAACGTTGCCCGCAGGAAAGCAACATTAGTGCAGAAATAGGTAAAATGGTATTAAGGGATGAAAGGCTTAGGCTTAGGCTTAGGCTTAGGCTTAGGCTTAGGCTTAGGCTTAGGCTTAGGCTTAGGCTTAGGCTTAGGCTTAGGCTTAGGCTTAGGCTTAGGCTTAGGCTTAGGCTTAGGCTTAGGCTTAGGCTTAGGCTTAGGCTTAGGCTTAGGCTTAGGCTTAGGCTTAGGCTTAGGCTTAGGCTTAGGCTTAGGCTTAGGCTTAGCTTAGGCTTAGGCTTAGGCTTAGGCTTAGGCTTAGGCTTAGGCTTAGGCTTAGGCTTAGGCTTAGGCTTAGGCTTAGGCTTAGGCTTAGGCTTAGGCTTGGCTTAGGCTTAGGCTTAGGCTTAGGCTTAGGCTTAGGCTTAGGCTTAGGCTTAGGCTTAGGCTTGGGCTTGGGCTTAGGCTTAGGCTTAGGCTTAGGCTTAGGCTTAGGCTTAGGCTTAGGCTTAGGCTTAGGCTTAGGCTTGGGCTTGCTTAGGCTTAGGCTTAGGCTTAGGCTTAGGCTTAGGCTTAGGCTTAGGCTTAGGCTTAGGCTTAGGCTTAGGCTTAGGCTTAGGCTTAGGCTTAGGCTTAGGCTTAGGCTTAGGCTTAGGCTTGGGCTTGGGCTTAGGCTTAGGCTTAGGCTTAGGCTTAGGCTTAGGCTTAGGCTTAGGCTTAGGCTTAGGCTTAGGCTTGGCTTAGGCTTAGGCTTAGGCTTAGGCTTAGGCTTAGGCTTAGGCTTAGGCTTAGGCTTGGGCTTGGAGGCTTAGGCTTAGGCTTAGGCTTAGGCTTAGGCTTAGGCTTAGGCTTGGGCTTAGGCTTAGGCTTAGGCTTAGGCTTAGGCTTAGGCTTAGGCTTGGGCTTAGGCTTAGGCTTAGGCTTAGGCTTAGGCTTAGGCTTAGGCTTAGGCTTAGGCTTGGGCTTAGGCTTAGGCTTAGGCTTAGGCTTAGGCTTAGGCTTAGGCTTAGGCCCAGGCTTAGGCTTAGGCTTAGGCTTAGGCTTAGGCTTAGGCTTAGGCTTAGGCTTAGGCTTAGGCTTAGGCTTAGGCTTAGGCTTAGGCTTAGGCTTAGCTTAGGCTTAGGCTTAGGCTTAGGCTTAGGCTTAGGCTTAGGCTTAGGCTTAGGCTTAGGCTTAGGCTTAGGCTTAGGCTTAGGCTTGGCTTAGGCTTAGGCTTAGGCTTAGGCTTAGGCTTAGGGCTTAGGCTTAGGCTTAGGCTTAGGCTTAGGCTTAGGCTTAGGCTTAGGCTTAGGCTTAGGCTTAGGGCTTAGGCTTAGGCTTAGCTTAGGCTTAGGCTTAGGCTTAGGCTTAGGCTTAGGCTTAGGCTTAGGCTTGGGCTTAGGCTTAGGCTTAGGCTTAGGCTTGGGCTTAGGCTTGGGCTTAGGCTTAGGCTTAGGCTTAGGCTTAGGCTTAGGCTTAGGCTTGAGCTTGGCTTAGGCTTAGCTTAGGCTTAGGCTTAGGCTTAGGCTTAGGCTTGGGCTTGGCTTAGGCTTAGGCTTAGGCTTAGGCTTAGGCTTAGGCTTAGGCTTAGGCTTAGGGCTTAGGCTTAGGGCTTAGGCTTAGGCTTAGGCTTAGGCTTAGGCTTAGGCTTAGGCTTGGGCTTAGGCTTAGGCTTAGGCTTAGGCTTAGGCTTAGGCTTAGGCTTAGGCTTAGGCTTAGGCTTAGGCTTAGGCTTAGGCTTAGGCTTAGGCTTAGGCTTAGGCTTGGAGCTTAGGCTTAGGCTTAGGCTTAGGCTTAGGCTTAGGCTTAGGCTTAGGCTTAGGCTTGAGGCTTAGGCTTAGGCTTAGGCTTAGGCTTAGGCTTAGGCTTAGGCTTAGGCTTAGGCTTAGGCTTAGGCTTAGGCTTGGGCTTAGGCTTAGCTTAGGCTTAGGCTTAGGCTTGGGCTTAGGCTTAGGCTTAGGCTTAGGCTTAGGCTTAGGCTTAGGCTTAGGCTTGGGCTTAGGCTTAGGCTTAGGCTTAGGCTTAGGCTTAGGCTTAGGCTTAGGCTTAGGCTTAGGTTAAAAGGATGGGCGCTCAGGATCGAGAGGGACTTATATTTTCTCGATTAACGAAAATACCGAAAATGTCGTGTAATAAGTCATTGGTGACATTGACTAACTCCTGACTTTAAACGACCAATCACGTTTTATTAACAACTCTGATAAAACATGGGATAAACATGACCTTTATTGAGATTTTGATTCTGGGTGCAATTTTGATTGATTACTCGGGAATGAAAACAGGCGGCGTTATGAAGCTCAGGGGCATTTTATGATATTTTTTATAATAACGGAAATTTTGCTTCTATTGTAGGGAAAACCCTGTTTCTAAAATCTTAAATACAATAATAACTAAATACTATGCACTTTACTAAACGTGTTTCTTTTTCAGACCTTGGCCTCGGACTCCCCGTCTCTGACGTGCTGAGACTCGTTGGAGATGGGCACTGCACTCGCCAGAATGCACGCCGAACTACCGGTCGACTCTCACCAGCCATCGGCCCAATACTGGACCCAGTAAGACCAAAACTACATTTCAACTAATGCTTTTTTCCACATTAAATCCTTCTCGAATCCAATTGTAGTGGATCCAATTCACACCCCAAAAACAAATCTGTTTTACGAAGTATCCCTGTTAATAGCTTATGCCCCCCTTTAGCGGACCACAAAATTGATGAGCAATATGCTGTTTTTTTATTATTATTTTTTTTTTATTGGAAGGATCAGGAAACGAATAAACATTTGGAAGCTAAGTAATTAACATTATCATTAAAAATAAAAAGTAGATGCGTTTTTAATCAATTGTTTTCTCAACGCAAGAAGTCAACATTTGACCGTTTTTCTATTACAATATTTGAGATAGGAATCTGGTTTTGAACATTTGAGCTCTTATTTTCGATATTTTCCAAGTCATTATCGGAGCTTAACCGAAAATCACCGGGCGGGCCGCAATCCCTAAAAGATGCGTCGTCTCCTTTTCTTTGTCTTGCCAGATCTGTTGAGCTGTCCTCACTCCTTTTAATACCATTCTCGGAGGCAGCCCACTGTCAAACCCGGTCTACGGTCTTTCCACTTTAATACAAAAGCAACAAGCCGTGAAAATGATCCCCCCCCAAAACGCCTCGTCCCCTTGTCATCAATTTGATCCCGAGCCAGCGAATACATGTTCATCCACCCGACCCCCCATTCGTTTTCTTTCTGGCATTTTTTTTATTGATTTTGTGACCTTTCCATTTCGATGATTGCGCTTAGAGATATTGTGAATTTGTTTCTCTTTATTTAAGATGTCTCGTGGATCAGTTGATGTGGTTTTTTTGTGATGAGTAAATATCGGAAAATAAACTAGCACCCGACACTGAGAAAGCTTCGAAATCAATTTTAAAGGAGACGAGAAAAGATTTTCAATGGTTAATAACTGAAATTAGATTGAGGAACAGCGTATAAACTCCATTAGTATAACGGATTTAATGGACAACATGAAAATTAACCTGTAAATTTGCCATTTTTCCATTTATCCCCACCCAACCTACCCGCCGATTTACGCATTCTAATTTTTCCATACTACTCAAGGGTAGCTACGGAGTCATGTAACCAAGCTGTCACCTATTGAATAGCCTCTACTACTCCCAAAGCATAAGCCTAGCCATTGAGAGAGAGATCGGTCATATAGCCATGGCCCTCCGCCCCTCTCCCTCTTTTTACTCCTTCCCCTATACTCCCACCCGCACACACAGAACCCCCAATTCTAGACAACCTGACATTGATCCGAGGGCCGGACCACACAAGAAAAAAACGGCCGTCGGAGCAATTTGCGCATTAGTGAAATGGCCCCCAATAAAAGCCGTGCTAGCCAAATGAGGAGAAAACGACGCTGAGGAGGGGGTTAGGGTAGTAGGTGCTGAGGGTACTATGGAAAGGGTACGCTAAGTGGACGGGAATCACTTCAGATCAAGTCGTACGCACGTACGTAGTAAAACAACCTATTCACGCCTTACCGTCGCTTAAAATTGCTTTGATAGACATAGGTTTTCGTGGACGTCGCATGCTCTTCCTTATTACTTTTGAATTTTTTTAAAAACCAAATGATTTGGCTATATTCAAAAAATATTACGCTTCCAAACTTGAGACTTTCAACGCTTCTCGCGGATGCATTCCAATGCCCTGTAAATCACCCCTCAAACCGTAGGAAATCTATTACCGAAAAAGCATAGTTAGATAAGACGTTTGCTTGAGTAAGGTAGAAAAGCATCGCCATCGTAATCCTTTTTCGCAGCATCTTTTGAAACCTCAACATATTTTAGGCTATTGCTAAGAACTCAGACTTGCAGCTCAAAAAAGAGTTTTCCACGAGTTCATCGATTCAATTTTATTTCGATGCCAAACGGTCAAATCCAAATTTATTTCATACTGTACAATGCGTGCATAAATGCCATTATACGAACACATCGTTCTCCCCAAATTCGACAGCCTCATAAGCACTAGCCGTCCCCAATGCTGTCTGCCCGTTCTCTTGAATCGACGATCTACAAGTCTCGAATAAACTGTGTTCAAACTCTAATCCCCCACTTCTTGTTCTCGATCAATTTCTTCAGCATCGAATTCGTCGCCGTGAACCCGGAGAACTGGAGAACTAAATATTAAGCCTTTGCATACCCAATCGACAGCAAGATTTCGGGGAATCATTCGTTTTTGTTAGTCGAAAATGTTAGTAACACCAGTTATGCATTCCCAAAAAAAAATAATATATCCTCACTTTTCTTTTTTGGTGTTTTTGAGGGGCGCTCGACGCCGGTGGTTGATGTTGGCGGGGCCGTGCGGGAGCCTTGATGCGAAATTACCCTAAATATTGAATAATATTGCATTAATGGGAATTGAATGAGAGCGTCTACCTGGTGCTTTGCTGCCTTTGCCCAGTGATTGCCCTTATTACATAATCTCTGAATTTTGGATTCAGCCAAGCATAGAGGACAGGATTCGCGACGTTGTTTGTCATCGCAAAACTGGAATAGATTATAAAATGAGAGGGTGGATAATCCAAGGTTACCTATGAGTGAATAAATTGAGTAAATAGGATATATCAAGGTCGTCCCTGCCATAGAGATGAAAGAATTTTTGTGTTTCGTCATATTCTATTAATAGTGAGACGACATTGTGGGGTAGCCATGTAAGGCCAAAGATTACTACCTAAAGGCATTGGCAATTAGGTTGAGTTTTGGAAATTACCATTGCTACAAGGATATTTGTTGTGCGTTTTGATTGCATTAGGATTCGTTGTCGATCTTTGCCTTGTTGGTCGAGGAAGTTTTTGGAACTGAAATGGATAATTTAATAAAAAATAAAATTGATTTATAAAGAAGTGGATGTGCTACTTCGTATGTTGTTTTTATTAGTATGCCGGTTGATATCTCGATAGGAGAAGAAGGTCTGTTTGTTACGCCATTAGGTGCGTAAACGTGACTGCACTGATCTCAAATTTTTGAAAAACGAAACTATTTCCGATAGATGTTAATGTTTGGTTTTCGTAAAAATATTGTTAACCCCTCTTAAAAATGACGGTTTTTATCAAAATACTTACTTTACTTAACCTAATTTTCGCTGTAACCCTTATTAAATTCGCCAAACCCTATCCACTCCGATTTTCAATTTCCCAAAGCAAAATTCGCGAAAGATCTGCCCTCTACGATAACAAAGCCTCGACAGAACTGGACGGTCGACACGTTTTTCGTGTTGCGATTCCTCCAAAAAAGTGTGCTTTGCCTGGTCAGTCTGCTTTTCTTCGTGATTGATGACACAACTGCTCTCCAGCGCCACCGAGCGAGCGTCCATCTTGCGGAGACGAACCTGCAAATTCGGAAATAGAAATAATACTAATTAGGGAATTTGAATAATTCATGCAGTTCATTAAAAGGATGAACGACATGCCTTTGTCCTATTCCTTAGCTTTGAGAAGATTGTTGTATAGCAAAAAGCCATCAGGAGGAATGGCACGACAAATTGACCGATCTAAAAATGGGGCTTTTACGCTTTCTAATTTTCTGGAGTCTAGTTTTGCAAAATCGTCCGCACTTGGCCTTACTTTTGCAGTAATTTATTCGAGACCCTTTGCGTCCAGAGAGTCCACTTACTTACCATAACAACTAATGTATAGGCTCGTCGTGTATATGGATTTGGCCATTCTTCCGTGCAGAACTGGCCACACATCGGCTATAAAAATGTTTATACAACATATATAAAGTTGTCAATATGCGGGTTTTTAAAAAAGCTAGCACACTAATTGATTCATATGTTAAAAAAACTTCCTAATTTTTTTGGTTACTTGACTTTAGAGCTTAAAATCTTGAAAATTCAATTCTGGAAATCTTCCTACGTTCAAACGGCAGTTAAAAAACAATTATAAAACCCACGATCAAATTTTCGTCATCAGCAGGAATACTCTCCTCCTTCATATAATATGCATATGGATAAGTTACAATAATTGACACGCTCCATAAAATTCCCGTCAAAAACATGGCACCCCTCTTGGTTATCGGCGGTGTATGGGGACGCACCTAATAAAACAATACTTACTTAACCAAAATAAAATTACCACAAGTATATATCGATCGACGGCGATGGCACCCAGCGAAAATGTGCAAATAAATATTGAAACACCTGAAATATCGTGCTATTAGTAACATATTTCCTTTCGAGCAATATTCCCCCATTTTCGTTTTATTCTTCAGGGCCACGTCGGGGGTTCGGCGTTTTTCATGGGTGGAAATTGGGTTTGGGTTTTTGGGGAAGGTTCCCTTTCGAAACCTTGCTTTCAGGGAGGCTAAATCGATAGACGCGGGTGTTAAGGAGGAAGAGAAGGAGACGGGGGGTTCTATCTGATGAACGTTTCAAAGGTGTTCAAGAGGGTTTGTGGAAGGAACTTGTGATCTTTTCGCAACTTGGCTAGACAGGTGAAGGAAGCAAGTATTGCATGAATTGAGGGTATAGCAAAGATCAAGGATTGGATTTAGAGAAACGTCGTTCGGGCTATAGGTTTAACCTTACTAAAAAAGTTAATTTTGGAATTCAAAAAGATTTATAACTCTAAAATAGAAAATATATATCTATATAATGTCCTGGTTTTTTAGTATTTTGAACTGCTCCAATTAATAAAATCGATTCAATTAAGCAAAACCCAGATTTTCCGTTTTTTGGTATTACGGCAATAAAAATTTAGATATTTTATATATTTTATATATTCTTTATATTTTTTTTGGTAATGAAAAAAACATATAACGCCGATTTTGTTAAAAGCCCGCTTTCCCAAACTCCCAAATAATAGAAATTGAATCCGAATCAAAACTAACCTTGTACCCATGGAATCATCCGGCACATCAACGCGCCAAAATACCAGTTTTTATAAATGTTGGTAACGGGGGTTATTGGCAATGATATCAAACAGATAACAATATCACTGGCCGCCAAGTTGAGGATGAAAATGTTTTGAACGGTCTGAAAAGGGGATTAAGAACCGATTATTAGTTTTTTTACATTTGTCAGTACTCTCAGCCAATCTCCAAAACCATAGATCATTTTTTCTTATTGCTCCCTGACCATCAAACCAACCCTCAATATGCAAAAAAGAGCATATGATCGTTTTCTAGTTCAAAGTTCTCAAATTTCGGCCGTCAAATTTCCTTGTCCCATCCATCCCCCCACTTTTTTGGCCTCCCCCATCCACCCTCCACCAGAATAGACCCAATTTTCGCAAATCATTTTTTCATAAATTTCTGATGCGTGTCTCGCGGGGGGTGCGGGCAACCGCAAAATTCCGACGAACCTGCATATTTCGGTATTTCATCGTGACGAAGATGATGAAAAAGTTTCCGGCTAGGCCGAGGATGAATATGATGGAATAGACACAAGAAAAGAATACTATTGTTAATATATTGTTCGATGGGTCCGGGGAGCTCTAAATTTTGCGTATACATTTCTAAAAAGGAGGCGCTTTTAGCGACAGCCGAGTTTCTACACGCAACCAAGCCTAACTTGTGCACAATTTTGCACTGACTGCTAATCGATCTTCAAAACTTACAAACCCCCCGGTTAAAGAACGTCATGCCGTTTTTCAGGGAGAAAAAGTCAAGAGTTTCTTGAAAATGGACCTTATTCGCACTGAAAAGCTTCACAACTGTTAAGCTGGGTGTTTTGCAGTTTTTAAAAACCAGTTAGGAATCACCCCATAATTCTGCACAAGATAGGCTTGCGCGCGTATGGAAACTCATTCCCACTAAAATCGTCCCCTTACAAGTCCGAAGAATCATCACCTTATGAAATATAACACAATCTTCTTGAGCAGAATTCACATCATCCATAAGAGAGTCGTTCATCTGAAATAATCTAAAATTAAGCCAGAGATGCACTGTCAACACCCGGAATGGCTCAAAGAACAATGATGATTGAGAGGACAGAGAGGCACAACCCGAGAAAAGATAATTAAAGAACGGCTTTACTCGCCGTTCTCGCCCTTCTTAAGCTACCTTAATAGCCAACGGCGGCTCATTCTGACGCAGAAGAGGCAAATGTGTAACACAAAAATGAAGGAAAAGGAATGAGACATTGAGGGTGAAAGGGATTCGACGCCTTGTTTTAGGTGCATATATTCTGGATGGACATCGTTTGAGGGTTCCGGAGGTTCCGGTTGGGGGTAAGATGAATAAAGGACGGTGGAGCACGAGGGGTTTTCGGGGTTTTCGGGCTAACGGTTGATTTGGCATTCGAAAGGGAGAAAGCGAGGGTTAGAGGTGGTGTCTAAAAATGACTGGGGTTTGTATTAGGTATGTAAATGTGCTCGTTTCTGCTTGGCACGATGTGGTAGATTCATTTAATCTTTGGTAGTCAGGTGGCTGCAAAAGGGTTGGTAAATTAGTTTATTTAGCTAATTAAATCAAGACAGTTGGAAAAAAACACGATTTAAAAGTGACATATAAAGAACCATGGGTTCAAGGAGAACCTCAAAACATTAAAGGGGTCAGGAAGGCCCTGTTAAACCAGCTTTAAAAAAACGGTTAAAGCAGTAATCAAACTAAAGTAGCTCTAAAATTAGCATAAATCTTCTCTCCTCCCTCCCTGCCCTTCCCTCAGTCTCTGCCCATTTTTATTGCATAAACATTTCCGGTTGGTTCGTTGCCAATTTTAAATGAGGATGGGGTTTACTTATCCCTTGTCCCTTTAATGAGGAATTCCAGCCATAATCCCACAGAAAATTCAGCCAAAATCCCGGCAGATTCTTGACGTTGGTGTAAATGCCGATTCGGTGATTGTTTAAATGCTATTTTGCGTGTTGGGATTTTAGCATTTTTCCATTCTGACTATTGTCTAAACAGGGCTGAGCGTGTTTACGACACGACCGTAAAACCAAAAATACTGCAAAATAAGGTTTTTTCTGCCCTAAAAATCCATACATAAAATAAATTCAGGTTAATAAAGCGACCAAAAATCGGTGACAGATCTTCCAAAAGAATGGTGAGGAATAGAGAAAGGGTGGTGGGGTTGAAAGCGGAGTGGGAATGGGAGACCCCCAAACACTGGCATAACCAAATTGTCCGCCGTGGAGTGCGGACGGCCTCCGAAGATTCCAGGGGCAACGTTTGACGAATTCCGAGAGAGAAAAGTTCTTCTGCCCCCATCCGCGTGGTTCCAGATGGTCAAACACTTTCGCTTGCATCTCTCGGACCACCACGTCTAGCCCCCCCGGCAAAACACATCTACTCCCCACGTTCGAAAGTCAGTTCCGGTAAACAAAAAAAGATCGAAATTTTGCTCGGTCTACGGCTGGCCCCGGGTTATTAGGTCTGCTGTTATGCCGACCTTCTGGCCATGGGGGAGTCTTGTATAAAATGGGCTTACGGACATTTTTTTGCAATTGACTGAAAGGGATCAGCAAAGCCCACTAGATCATGGCTCATCTATATTTAGAAGCGAGCCAACCGGGAATTCGAATGCAACGAATGGGCAGCAATAGAGCAGACGCGATTTATGCTAATTTTAGAACTTAAGCACGTTATATGCTAATTTTTCCTGTGCCGTCCTGACCCCTTTAATACTAAGAAATGTTTGTGCGTAGTAGAAATAGCAGATCAATTTTTGCAAGATTAAGACCCAGATAACATGTAGATATCGCGGCTCGTAGGCTATCAAAAACCCCAAATTTCCCCAATGTGAAAATTCCCCAACATCTGGTGCAATCCTTCAGAAACGCGTCCATCCCAGATTTCCCAAAATCCCCCACTCGATCTTTGCAGTGAATGTTCCCCGGTGTTGCCGTTATCCCCCGGAAGTGCTCCCCGATTCTATAACCAACCCGGAAATCTCAAACTCAAAAACCTCGTATTTTCAATATCCGTTCCCAGAAAACCCTCTATTTAAAACCATGGCCACCAGGTAGCCCTAAATAAAATTCACGAATGGTGTGGATCTTAATAAAGTAAGCGCCCGCGTTTTCCTGAAGTACGAAAAGCCACAGAAACTGCTCAGGAATGCTGGGATCCAGGTGTTTTCGGGTAAACAGCATGAATGCCGGGGCTGCCTACAAGAAACAGGTTAATACGTTGATTGCCAGACAGGATTTTTGGAAGAAAAATATACTTGGAGGGCTGATGAAAATTGCATGAAGTATGGGGTTTTGTTAAACTGCTCGTCAAAACAAGTGGAAGCATTTGGGGAAAGCCACGTAGAGGTTGGAGTATATTTTGAGGGCATTTTACCCGGAATGATGCATTAATGAAGGGGTTATCTGGGAAACTGCAGTTGTTTTTAGGTTTTTGAAGTGGTGGAGCTTCGAATGATATGCTGGAAGCATGTACGGCAGTATTAGCAGAGCTAATTTTAGTCAGAGAGCAATGACGACAGCAGTCAGTAAGTCAGAGAAAAAATGTAGCGTAAATTGAGGACTGGATGAGTATGAGGGGTGTGCTGCTGTCCTATTGGCTGATGATGTAGAGGCAGTGAGAGCACGAATCGAGATGAGGATTTGAGAGGAATGGGGGGGAAGCAAGTGGTGTGTTGAAGGGATGAAAAGGTTATCGAGGGCAGTAGTGTATGGGATGGGGGGATGCACAGGAAAAGCCGACAGGGAGGAGGTCCATGGGGTTGGGCTTGCCTGGAGGGGGGGGGAGTCAATTTGCATGGCGATTCGATGAAAGGGGTTCCGACGGGGAAGGGTTTGATGAATAGCATCCAACCGGGACCCCAGTCAAACTTCATCCACCCCAAAAACATGGTGCGATCAAAAAAATGGGAGGAGTGGAATAGGGTAATCGCATCCGAGGACAATTTACGGGCAATAAGCCAAGGTTTTTGGGCTAAAGGGGCTCGTAAGTCAAAATATGCTTGAAATTCAAAGTCAAATCATTCGCGTCAAGTCCAATTTAAAAATTCGTTGGGTCTATTTGCCAAAAGACGAGGGGATGACTGCCGGAAAACCATAGGAATTTAATATCGTTGCGAAAAAACACTCAAGTATCAAAAAACTAGAAATATAGATCCGCTTTTTGAGCAAGAAGTCGTTACTTTTCGTAAAGTCCGTCTTACTTCAGTACTTACTTACTCTGAACAGAAATACGGCCAATATTTATAATTAGAGCCTGCGAACCGAGGATTGTAACCCCATTTTTTGAAGAATTGGGCCCCACAACGACCCTCGACGGAGCGAATTCTGTCAAAAACTCGAAGCGCAAAACCAAAACACACACGCACTACGGTACCAAAAAAAACACGCAATTTTGTGGACAGCGAATGAAAGAACGGCCCTCAAGACCCTGAACCCAATTAGACAACCAAATGAAGCTGCGGCCATCCGGCTTTGGTGTAGAATTTGCAATGAAAGGATCCATCGAACCAGTCCATCGAACAACCCTCATCATTGCCTTCTTAATAAAAATACCACTAGGCCGTCATCCGCTTCTAGCCTTTTTTTCTTGTATTTCTTTTGGTGCCACTGGCTCCATAATTAAATGGGTCCAGGGGTAAAACGCGGAGGAATTAATTTGTTCCGCGGAAACGGGAGGGTTTTGGTCCGGCTGAAAGGCTAAGTGAGTTAAAATAAGAACCTTGTGCCCCCAGAATAGGAAATAGAAATAACTAAAGTGTAGTAGCGATGTTTGGACGCATATTTTGGGCTGAAATTTACACAAACGCTAAGCATATCTTTACAAGAACTTTATTCACATTACGTTGGCTTCATTACGTGCCATTTTTGAGGAGCATAAACGCTCATTCGAGCCCTCCGATTATCATTTCCGCAGCGTCAAAATAGGCGGTGCGAAAAAATGGTGTTGTGTTCGTACGGCTCCGAGACGCAACTTCCGGCAATAGGAAATAATAGCACATGTTGGATCTAGACTAACAGCTTTCACTTATTGTTACAGGGCCAGCAATTCAAGGAGAAAAAATGAAAAAAAGGCAATATTTTCAGCTTCAACCTTCCTGATGCAAGGAGGTGCAGCAGGAAGGATTAAGCTAATTACCCCGAGGGTTCTGCAGGAATTTCCTTGATGCTTTTCGCGACCACTAGCCCTTAACAGTAATGCAAAATAAGCGAAGATGTTGTATTTTAAAACCCTGTTTTCCCAAATTTTTGAGAAGATTTATTTGCGTTTAATGAATAGCTCGGCGCTGTTTAATAAACGCGCTCTCCAAAACGGACCCAACACCTCCGTTTCCCGCCGAAAATCCCTTTTGAAAATGAATTCTTGGAAACGATCGCATGCGGGGAAAACTACTTTTTTGGGTTAATAGACGAAACGTTTTTGTGGTGGGGAAGTGCTCAGAAATGTTCTCACGGAAACCAAGAGATTGGACTTTAAAAAAGATAAAAAGGTTTTCCAGGTCAAGAAGAGAAGTAATTAGTTGGGATGGCTGAGGGGAAGTATACCACGAAACAAAGATGGATGGTGCTTAGAATTGGTACTCCCAAGGGAAAGGAGGAGGAGGAGCGGAAGTCTGGTCTAACAGTAGACCAGGCCAGCAACCGGATATTTTCGAGGGTAATTTTTCGAACGGCGCTCGAGGAGGGGAGAATCTTTGGAGTAATCTGTGGAAGAATCGGAAAAAGCTATTTATGCAGTGGGTACTTGCTGGGGAAAAGGGGTTTGACAAATGGAAAGTCAAGGAGGAGGCCGATTGGGGAAGGAGCTTCAAGTTGGTTAGGAATTGAAGGGATGGATTCGGGGGTTTTTAGGAGGGATTGGAGAGGGTGGGAAATGGATTTTCGGATCATGATTTTTGATATGTAAATGCAGATTTACGCTGAATACAGTGTAAAAAGCCATTATAACTAAAAATTTAAAAACTAATTTTTAATATACTATCTAACCATTTGAACTTTCTAAGTTCAGCCACGGAACCAGCAAAACAAAAACCACCCGACCTTTTTCACTACAGCAAATATTAAAGTGGGAATAAAACCCGAGCAGACGCACACCAGAGTTGAGCCTGAGAAAGAGACACACCCAAAGGGAATCCAATAAAATTTGAAATATCCCCCCACACCCTCGAAAAAGGGTAAAAATGCTTGGTAACGGCCACCTTGGCACACGCCCTACCCGGTGTAATGCTCAAAGTTCTACCTCTCAATGCCCGTCGGAAAGCAACACAAAAATTTACCTAATTTGTTCCGGGACCCCCCGGGGCGTTACGGAGGGCCTAAAATGGAAGGGACACGGCGATTCGACCCACGAAAAGAGAGAACCCAATCGGGAAAGGCGGAAGCACTCCAGTAGGGGACCTAACGAGTAAAGGCAATGGGGGGAAACAGGTGGTAGGGCGTGTTGCCAAAAACTAGCGTCAATCGACCGAGACCTAGGGAGATGTCATGTATTCTGAATATGGGGTCATGACTAGAAAAAAGCATATAAATACGATATTTGGATAATTATTAATTACGATATTAATTAGGATAAATAGCAGACGGTCAAGGGATGTAAAGTCTTTAATTTGCATCTTAATTATGCGGTTATCGAAACCTAGGAGGTATATGCATAACGTCTCTCGTCAGCGGTGGAAGGCTGTTAGAATATGCAGTTTAAAGCAACCTCGAGACCAGAAATACTGCATATATTTCCAAAAATTTTATGGTAAAACCCAAATTTTTCAATAAATGGATTTATTCTTTTTCTTCGCTTGTCGCAAGTCTTCCTTAAATATTTATTGCAAATGAATTAATTGGTTATGGCAATTAACAGAGATGCCTGCTGTCCTTTTGGCCTCAATCTCCTCCATCCCGTCATACCTTCGCTATCCCAAACCTCCTGTAAAAAATACCATTTAAAAATTCGAACACTTTTTTTAAAATACATAGCGTTTGTATTACTTTAGCTAAGACCTATAGTTCAAACTCGGAACAAAAAAAAAAGATAAATTACCCTTAAATATGTATGTATGTCAATGAATGAATGCACTGAAATTTCCGAAAAAACCTTATGCAAAACCAGCTTCCTCCATGCGGCGCTCTTTGGAATGGCGATGGGCCTCCAATTCATTGAATTGGAAATCTGAGCCTCCTTCCAACCAAGATTGTAGCCGGCAGAAATGGAGCTGCTTCCCCCCATTGGTGAGAAAAGAGAAGGGGGGTTCTCATGCTTTTTGGTATAAAATGCTGTCTGGAACAGAAAGTACCCCACACACGCAAACAGAAAAATGTGCCCGAAATTCTGAAGCGAATAAATTAAATAAATAAATTAATTAATTAATAAATTAAAGCGAATAAATTCTGAAGCGAATAGCTATGCGATGTAGGTTTAAACTTAAATAAAAAATAGTTTCTATGTGGCTGCATTTGCATGCGACTTCCGTTGGTATGTACCGCACCTAGGGCTTTAGGGAAAGCTCTTTAAGGTATGTTTGATACGTCATTGGGTGCGTAATGATACTGAGAACAGTGCACACACAAGATGGTTGACAAAATTAGCTTTTGAAAATAAGTTTTTATATATAGGCACATGCGGTGGAAGTGGGGAAGGCTTATATAAACAGTACGCGGAGTAGACGCGGAGGATTTTCATAATATTTTTCATGGGGATAGGGGGCATTAATGAACACCAGAATTCGGCCCATTGTCCCCTAGAATAAACACGTTAATTTGAGGATTGTTTGAAAATGGCATTTGTATTTGGGTCAAGCGGTTGATTGTTTTTTCGCGTTCGCAACGGTTGTTCTTTGTTCTTCCAACGTATTTATGGGCCAATTTGCAACGCCGCTGCCCCGCAATTTGCAGCATTCAATCAAAAAACGACATTTCAAAGTCGGGCCCGACGGTCTTGGTGGCTTTGGTGCGTACGGGTGTGTAGTGGCGCTTTTTCTTTGAGCGGCAGCAAATGCAGGAGATGAGCAACAGGAGAAACGTCTAAAACTGGTTGTATTTGTAAGTCTTATAATTACTTACATGAATTGGGATTGCGAGCAGGCAAAGCGCAAAGAGGACAAAGTAGTAGCGGTCCACGGTACGGATCAGGTACTGTTCACATCCCTCAAAAAATATATTTGTACAAAAGTATAAATAAATGGATGAATGCATAAATGCATGGAAAATATTCCTGGATCTCATATCTTAATTTGTATATTTCATCTGGTTTAGGATTCGCCCCTAGTACCTCCTTCAACCTTCACAAAATATAGAAATTGATTTTTTAGTTCCCAGTTTAAAATCCACCGTTTCATAATTTCATACAAATACTAATTGGATGTATATTTTAACTTCAATAAAACTAAAAGATAGCTGAAATTTTATCGAATTTTCATCGTTATTTTAAAAATCATAGAAATATGCCATTTAAAAGCCCTCTTCATGTCCTTTCTCCCAAACTAAAAATTATAAAATTTGGAGCATTTTATGCCGAGTTTCAGACCGTGATTGCCTGGGCAAATGCCGGGTGGTGGAGGCGAATAGGGGAAAATGGCTCTCCAGCGGGGACCTACCCCCAAGGCCGAGATGTAGGTCGCGGACCCCCCCAGTTTCCAACAGATGTAAGCCTGGTAGGTTTAAGCAAAATACACAGGTTTTAGTCAAAAATAAATGTTTTTAAATTATATAATAGACAATGAAAATAATAGGTTTTTGTTAAAATTGACAAACCACTTTAAAAAAATCGAATTGCTCTTAAAACCGTAAAAAAACTTTTTAAAAGTCCTTAAAGAACAATACTTTTCACGTAATAATGAAAGTATTATTTTTACAAATCTAGTTTTTATAAGATAAGTTCACTGATTTTCCTAAAATAATCCGTAACTCAAAAAGATACCCTATAATATATATTGCTGGGGTGATCATTGATTCCACATCCCGCTTTAATTGATTTGCAGCATGAATCCGGAACGTATTGAACTTTCATTCGGGTCTAAGTTATCATTATTTAAGCTATGGCCTTAAACATTGTACCTGCGCTTCATATTCGTCATCTTCCTCTTCAACATTCTTCAAATAATCATCAAATCCTGAAGACCCGCAGCAATTACCCTGAAAATAAACCCTTATCAAAACTTTGACAAACTTTACCGTCATTTGTATACTATCAATTGCATCTGTCAATTTGGTATCCTTCCCGTGCACTAATAGATCGCTTTTGAAATGTCGAACAGCGGTTTTCCGAGCCTCATTCCCCTCTTCGATTACCAAATACAGCAGAAAGAATTCGGCAGTTATAATCATCAGCAGTAAGAAAAGTGACTAAAAGCATTGCATTTTTTTGTAATTTAAATATTAAGCAAACCAGCCCTCGAAGTGTTCGATTCTTTGTGCCAAACATTGTGACAAGAACAACGGTCAAAGACAGTGTGCCAACGCCCAACACCATTCCACGAATATAATAATGAGAATCGGAATGAAGTATCGAGAATAGAGCATCATTATAATACCAAAAATGTACGGGAACCACAATCATTGCAGCAGCAATTAACTCAAAATTAGAATGCTATTATTAAGTCAAAACCTTCGTTACCATGGCCCCAGCCGATTGCATATAGAGAAAAACATTTCAAGCATTTGAGGCATGGATCGTAAGTGCTTTCCGGCGGAAGAACCATCATTTTAGAATTTCGATTTGAAAAGAGAATATAAGAACATCTAAAATCAATGGTTAGGACAAAAGGGAAAGGAAAGAGTAGGCCGAGAATTTCGACAAAGAAAAATCGATCATAGGAATATAGTGGAATTGAGAGGGAGATGGATACTGGGTGGAAATGAGGGTGAATACGAATGGGAATAATGGCAGCCGTTTTTTCCAACCGTGAAGAAAAATAAACAGTGGTGGAGGTGGCACTGTCAAGGGGGGGGATGATTCAACCTGCATAATAGATCAGAGAAAATGGAATATCGGAGGATGTTAAATTATGCAAACCACCTTTGGACCGTGGAAACACAGTGTAATGGACGAATCTATCAACGATATAGAAACTGAACTATGCAACTGTATCTTCGAGACAACAAAAAACGAAAATTTTTCACAGGTTGTCAAAGCATTTACAGCACGTAATTATTTAAGAAAAGTTGTATCTTAAATATTAAACGCGCTTAAAGTCTGATCAATAAAAGGGACGACTCTATAAATATTTACAAGAACGCCCGAAAAATACCTAAATTATAATGGTTTTCGATTCTTTGTAGCTTACGAAAAAACGCCGTCAGCTATTAGGACAAGAAACGAACGGAAATTCGTGTAATCAAAGTTAAATTTTGCATGATCCTGATCGTAATAATTATGGGACGAGACTTTCAGAAGTATCCAAATTACAACGTTATTTTAGAAGATTTGCATTTTACAACTGAAAAAGCGCTCTACGCTAGCGTGATATCAAGCGAAACCAAATTCGCCGAATCGAAAGAGATCCATCCGGGTGCTCGAGATCAATAAATTATGCGGAATGGAAGGCAGAAATAGTCGGAGAAAGCCGGCGAGGATCTCCTGGGGGCAGGGCGAGAAATTGATAGGAAGATCCTCCCGGTGTGGGGGAGAAGGTGGCTGAAACTGATACGTCAGGGCCGCCTGGCCTCTCCTCCTCCTTCTCCTCTTCCTCCTCATCCTCCCCTTCTTCATCGAGTATCCACATCCGCTTCCAAAACACCTACCCCCACACGCATTACTCCAATTTATCCCCGTGTTTATTGCTACCATCTATAAACCACAATTTTATTCTGCACAAAACCGACACAAATCCACAAAAATATAGTTCTAAATACCTTAAAGCTGTCACCAAAGTCTCAGCGAATACAACTAAATAAATTGCACATTTCCGATCGCAATAAAAAAAACACACGACCAAGTATTATTACCAATAAATGCAGCTCGACAGAATAAAGCTTCAAAGGTGGAAGAGGGAACGAGAAATGGAATATTTCATGCAGAGATTATTGATAAAGCTTCATCGATGGCTTAAAGCAATTTGTGACCACAATATGCACCCGGGGAGCTGACGAAGATGAGTGAGAAAATAGAAGGGCGAGGGTTTATTTTATTCTTCTGGCTCTTCTTCGTGGTCGACTTTTAATTCAGGTTCTGTTGAGATTGAGCGGGCAGGTGAGACGGAGGTGGTGGCTGTTGGCGTTGGAGAGCTCATTGGAGTGCTTCTCTAAAAATACGAATTTTTTTAAACTGAATTTTGGATTTAAAAATGATCGACATTTTTGCGTTAGGTTTCTACTGAGGCTCTATAAAAATAATAAGCTAATGCCAAGAATCGAATTCTAGCGATACGTTCACCGCAACTTTTTCTTCATATATTCTTCGCTTTTTCTATTTCTCTCTCTCTCTCTCTCTCTCTCTCTCTCTCTCCTCTCTCTCCTCGCGCGCCCCTCTCCAGGTTGCCCCATGGTCTCCATAAATCACGAATACTAAAATAGGGATAGCCCCAAATATTTCAAAATTTAATACAAAAGATTTCTAGCTTGCTCTCTCAAAATTTCGAGCCCCTTCTACCCACCTTATCCAACGCACACTGAGAATGACCAAATCGATGCTGGGCCAGCGTACGCGATTGGCAAAAGCCCTTCCCACAGATCTCACATTTGAACGGCTTATCTTTCGAGTGGATGAAACTAGAAATCAATTGAAATACAGTTTGCGTTGATGTCAATTACCGATGATCCCTGAGATGGTCCTGTCTGCGGAAAGCTTTTCCGCATTGTTCGCAGGGATATGGCCGTTCGTCCGTATGGGTACGCTCATGGATGAGAAGGTTGTAAGATTTCGTGAATTGTCTAAAATAATAAATTTACATTAAAATTTAAACATACTAAGATGTTTATAAAAGATCTTTAGAATCGCTTACCTATGACAATACTTGCAAATAAACTCCTTCTTGGGTCTAGTTGTTCGGCCACCAGTCCGTTTTCCAGGGAGCATGAACCTAAAAGAATACAGTAATAAGGAAATAAATAAATAATACATATTAAGATGTATGAAATAATAAATAAATAATACCATGGCCGCTGGAAGGGGGCAGTCGGAATGGTTAGTTGTGGAGATGTGGTTGATTCGATAGGTGAAGCCAAAGCATCGGTTTTAACTTTAACCTCGTTTTCGATCGTTGTCGCCAGGCGGGCAAAGTCGAACTAAAAATATATCTAAGCCATGGATAATCACCACACTACCTTCGGTTTTTTGGCTGCCGGCACTTCATCTTTCTCTGGGGTGTGGACGCTATTGAAGCGCTTCAGACTCTGAAATTATTCATGAAAATCGGAAAACCCTTAATTTCGCAATCTGAATTTTCAGGGGAGGCGACGCCCCGGATGGAGACAGGCTCGAATTGATAACTTTCACGCCTGGGCCAGGCGGGGGAATGTTTGTCTTTCTTCCGAAGCATTTATCAGGGCTTCCAGATGCCACCTAGGGCGCTAATGATTTCGGAAAGGGGCTGGGAAAGGGACTGTCAAATCGGGGGGTCTGGGTTCTGTAGCCGGCCGGTGGCTGTGTATTAGAACGCCATTACGAGTGTTCGGTATGATTTAAAGTGAATCCAAAGATAGAGAAATCTATTTGAAAGACTTCGATGAGGAGGGGAATGTTGAGTTAGATTTTCGTAAAATAAAAAGTATTACGTTTTCAAAATTTGCATCAGTAATTTAATACTGAATTCTTATGACCATATTCGATTGATAGATCCATCGAAATGGGAGTATATTTACCAAATGATTCACATAAATCGATCGAAAATGGATGATCGTGTATGGAGGTGTGAGATGGAAAGCAGCGTCCCGGCCTGACTTTTTGAAAACAAAAAGGATTATAGGAGAGTTAAAAATGAATTGAAAGGCAATTATCGTCTGTTGTTAGAAAGTTGCTTATTTTCAGCAAGGCAATTCCATTAAAACTGTAAGGTTCGAAAACAATTAAAAATCCAGATGAGCATACTGAATGCAAACCATGCAGTGGTAAATCCCGCCCCAATCCTTTTAGGCTTCGAAATTAGAGTAAAAACAAGGGGTCATCATTCCAGTTAAGTTTTAGAAAAGAAACCCCAAACAGAAAAGTGAATAGTAAACTGACCTGCATGGCGAGGTTGAGGGCTTGCTGCTGGTAGCAAAAGTTGATGAGCTGATGTAGGTTCGGCTGGGGAAAGATGGAGGACGAGCTTGGCGTCGCCGGATGGAGGAATGACGCGGGGAACATTCTGGAATGTTAATTCAAAGGATGCAGTTGTATAAAGGGTGCATGCGGTGGATTAGGAAAACTTAGAAAATCAGCATCAAGTTAACAGTATAGAATCCAGAGTTGCATGTGTCAGATGGTTATTCACGAAAAAATCCGTGGAGAGGGGTGGATTTTTTGGGTCAAAGGGGGTTAGAAATCAGAACAAAGGACCGAAATTTCAAAAAAAATTAAGGCATAGACCATCTGTATTCGTGGATCATTCATTTAAAGTTCTTTACATACGAGTTTCGTGCAGATGAGTTAGGAAAAATCAATTGTACTTATGCCTGTACATATATAAAAAGCGTTTTATTGGCAATTTCAATGCTAAATGTTTATAAAAAAAGCTAAATATAAAAAAGATACTCGGAGGAGGCTTCAAAAGTCGATACAATTTACGTATGTGCTTTTTGCAATGCGAAAAGGAAACCACCGATTAAGACAATGAAATAAATCAAAGAAGATACGCCTAACAACCAAAAAATAGATCCATTCACCGTCCAAAAAATTCAGCTCTCTATGCTGACCGAGTCCCGTAGACAGACCGGGGCCTTCTCGGAGCCTAGGTGGCTGGAATGGGAGCCGGTAGCCCCGGTAGATGGCTGCGAAGAGAAAGGGGGGTGGGCCCCGTATCGATGGTCCGGGGCGGGTCCTACCGTACCCAACCAATCCCAGCCACACCTCCTTTCATTCCCTTCCATACCCCCTTCCCATCCAGCCGGTGACGACTTCTGCTCACAACCACCCGCCCAGGCGTGTGAATTACCCCCGCAGCGCGGGCCAAACGCTGCCTAAAAGCTGCCCTTCGATTAGGTAAACGGGCAGTTGGGGGTGGGGTAGGGTATATCCAAGGCAAAGCGTTTCTTGGTGTGGGGATGGGAGAACAAAATTGGGAGGGAATACTTGGCGTCTAATTAACATACTTCTATAATATAAGCTTACTTAATAGGACCATTGAGAAAATAGACGCTAATCCGATGATGAAATCTGTCAAAAATTAGCTTAGAGTCATCAAACTGTAACCAATAGCTCCGTTTATGGCTTTTCTTGGAATTAAAATAGTTTTAAGGAATTTGACATTAAAAAGCTCGAAAAAATTATGGATCCGAGAAACGATTATCAATAGGGATTACGGCGCTGAAAATTTATGGTGCAGCCCATCGAAAAACGATGAAACGGCGATAAAGCCTGAAAAGTTTAGGCTGTGATGGCTGTCACCAGAGAAAAAAACTTAATAACGACCTTTCCAACCCGTCCCGAAAATTTACAAACAAATCGCGAGTATTAAGACATTTTTGGAAGATATAGCTCATTAACAAATTCCAGAATTTCCAGAAACCCTTGAAAATGGCCGCCTCCCAATTGCAAAACCTTTTTTATCAATTACCCCCATATTAGGCTGCTCCCAACCCCTTCCTATTCCTCTCACCCTCCATTCCTCTCCCCCCATTCCCTCCCTATCCAAATGTTTATCCAACAGGGTGTGATTCCTCTCCCCTTTTTCAGAAGACGAGGCATGCTTCGGGGTTGCGGCCCCCCTTGAAGTAGAAGACCCCCCTGATAAGCCCCGGAATCATTACCAACTGCAGCCCCTGGGCCGCTGCCCCCAAAGCACCCATAAACTTGTGATTTTAGAGCTTCCGTTCTTGACTCAAAGGGGAGCCGCCTTTTTATATAACCGAGCCGTTTTAGGAGGGAGTGAAAGGGGTGACTTGGATCGCACGGGTGGTGACAAGGCGCCGAAATTCAGTGGCTTCCTTTTTGGTATTTGCAGCTGTTGGTTGGGAAGGAGGTGGGGGGAGGATGGGGAGGCAATATGGATGAAAGGGGTGGGGAAAGAGATGGATATGAAAACGTGCTAAAATACGATCGTTTCCGGGGGGAATGAAGCGATGATTTTGGTTTCTGACGGGTGGGATGGTCATGGAATTTATGGTACGACCCAAACTTTTGACTACCGTATGACGGATTGGTATTCGTCTTAAGAGAGAGAGATGAGAGAGAGAGAGAGGTAGAGAGAGACGCGGTCTAAAGAGCGTGAAGGTGAAGGGGGCCCTTATCGTAATCAGCTACTCGAGGAGCCTGGGCCCTCGCACGACGGTTCGCCCCGGTTCCCCCATGCTTAAGCGAGTATTAGGCGGCTGCCTTGGATAAACCGTGGGCCTAATCCCGGGCGGAGCTGCAGCTGATAAGGGCTCCTGGTATTGTCAGAGGTCTGGAAGGAGTAAAGTTGCATTTTCGAAATGTAGAGAACTTTGATGGCGGGTGGAGGGTGGTAAAAGGGCAGCCGAAAAAGAGGCCAATTGGCAGCTCACTTTGGTTGGGTTGCGCAATGGGTAGGTCTTTGATTGTGGTATTGGATTTCAAGGGATGGACCGGTCTATTGTTGGAAAGGAGCTTAGGATATTAAGACGATACTTTTCTTTGATATGGCTGGAGTTATTGTTGATCAAGGTATTTTTTTTTACAATAGAATCTCTATAAATTACAACATTAAGGCGTTAGGAAATTCAAAACCTTCTTCAAGACTCTGAACTACCTCCCAACAAAACTATAACATACAGATGCCGAATTTTTGGAGGTGTGGGACCTGGTGGCTGTCAGGAGGCAGGCTCCGGCGGCGGAGAAGCAAGCGGCTGAGGCCATTCAAGGGCCTCGCCGCTATTTGGCTATTTGCGCATGAGCGATCGTCCACAGTTATCGTTCGGCGGAAGGCGGCACATGGGCCCGGCTCGAGAAAGGGGACCGCCAAAACTGTATAAGCATCCCAAACAAGGGCGGGAAGAAGAAGCTGGGAGGGATTGTGGATCGGCCAGGATGGGTAGTAAGTGTCAATCTGTCTTTCCGGATGGGTTGGGAAAACAAGGATACTGAAGATGGCTGGGTAGACTAAAAATCATCAACCGGAAAGGCTTCTTGCGGTAAAAATTATCCCGAAAATTCGGGAAACGTACCTTAGGAAAAATGGATACTTTATGCAAATTCGTTCTGAATGATGACTATAATTTTCGGGCTGGTCAGAACTACGAAAAAGCTAAACTACAGCAGCACGGATCCAAAACCAACATATGCGAAAAAATTCAATTCGGAAAACTCAAATAGTTTCACCCTAGTTTTTACAGCCTGTACGCAAAACAACGAAATCCGTCCTAATTTACCTCTCAAAAACACCCCAAAATCGCTTATGCAACCTACCACCTCGGCAAATTGATAAAAATAAAGCATGCGGACGTGAAAACGTAATTCGAGGGGGTATCCCCTGTCACCGTCACCCACACGGGATGAATCACAACCCCAAAAAGATGGGCACTTCACACATCCAACCCCCCCGCAGGCCCCTCTAATCCCGCCCACATTTTGCATACCGTTGCATAACAGTCTTATCACTCTCGATGGGGGCAAACAAGTTATGGGTCTATCTTGAGAGTCTCTATAATTCCAGGTTCCGAATCCGGACGTAGAGCAGACCCACTAAAAAAAGCTCGATTGTCTTTGCGAAAATTAACTGCTTGAAAACCATCTGGTTCGGGAGATTTGCTTATGGATGTACCTAGAACTAAGGCCGAAAGAGAAGTTTTCTGGCAGTTGACCGCCCACCCAAAAATTCCTTTCACTTCCCTCCGTTTCTCCTACTTTCCTACTAAACTTAACAGTCGCCAACCGACCGAACTCAACATGTTTCCTCAGGAACCCATCCATGTTCCCCCCGCCCAACAAATAGGCGGCCGCTTCCTAAGATGCCGCCGCAGCGCCTGAAAACGCAACCTAGTCATAATCGCGTTGAAAAGAACTCATTACTGGCAACCAGCCCGTCGGTCTCGTCTCTCGGCGGAAAAAGCCTGACGCGTGGAGACCCCTTTGCATTCCCCTAAAAGGAGGCGAGACAATGAACTGTGTGAATAATGGCGCTTTTGCCGTTGCCGCCGGTTCAGATGGGATGGTAGTTGGAGAGTTGGGTTGTTTAGTGTGATTATTAAAGCCATGGGACGAGGAGGAGTATGATTATGGGCGGGAAAAATCTGAAATACTGGAAAGGATGGAAAAGAGCCGTGCGACGTACGAGTTAGGCGGGGCAGGTTTTTAAAGGTTGAAAAGCCGCGAAGCGGTGTCACAAAACAGTTTATGCTAATTTTATAAATAAGCCCTTCTTGCTGCTATTCATGCGAGAATCAGCCGCAAAAAGAATGCCCAAATCCAGAGCATCTCCCCTAAATCCCACACTTCTCTCCATCATCCCTCCAATATACGACTCTCCCCAAGAAAACAATGTAATTGTGGCCACCATCTCTTTGTAGAAGCCGCTAACCGCCGTGAAGATGTGGGCGCCGTGAGGAGAAGCATAGCTTTGTCCTTCCCCCGGAAGATCTGATGTGAAGCCATTGTCGGGGTCTATTTCCTGTATGCGTCACCATTTACGGGGCGATCATGTCGCCACGGGCGAGAGCGGCAGCTTTGATGTCGAGCCCCATCCCCTGGAAAGGCTTGGGCCGCCCATTTGGCACCTCTCTCTACACATTTGGCTCTAGAGGTGGCGGCGACCTGAGGGCCACACACACACCCACAACCCGCACAAGCCCAAGACAAATAGCTGGAGAAGAAGAAGAGAGGAGGAGGTAGGCATATCATCGCCCCGATTTGACGCTTCCTAGGGTAAATATCGGGGGAGATGGGTTGAGGGTTGTCATACTAGGGGGTAGAGTGCGGGGGACAAGTGGTCAGTTCGGTGTCTCTTGTGTGGTATCCTTAATGAGACAACAACTTCAAGGAGTTCACATCTTGCCCGTGATGGTTTCTGGCAATTAGCCAAGCTAATATACATTACGCGGTTAGATTGTACTTTATCCCCCCGCCCCAGTCGGAATCCCAAAAGTTTTTCACATTAACTTTTTTGTATTACGATATTTTGAGCTAAAACATAACTGTGTGTAGATTTTTTTTGATGCTCTAATGAATGGCGCAGCCATACTCGACACTAGCTG